GGTGGGTTTCAAGCTTCCCAAAACTTGCTAATCTACGTTTGACGTCCTCTCCAACCCGGTTGACGCCGGGGCGCTTTGACTGTCTCCACGTCCTACCAAGAAATGCACCTTAAGCAATCAGATCATTTCCCCAAGCAAGTCGTTAACCTAGCAGGAAGTCTTTGACCACAAGTTTAGGTAAGCAAACACCACCGTTAACACAAACGTCACCTAAACCAGCTAATGTAGTCAGCAACCCGGGACTATTACACACTGCGAATGGGTTACCGGGCGTCTTTACGTACCATAAACCCTCGTCGTTTAGCTTAACCGTGACCGAAACCAGCCGCGGAACGTCGGCCCCGAGCACCCCCTCAGTTTCTACCGACCTGTACAGAACCTGACCTGACCGACGCACCCACTTTATTACTTTTATTACACACAAAAACTGCGGAGCCTCTCTAGATGAGCGACTCGCTCCCAAAGAACAAATACAACGCTCCGAACCTCATTCTAGCTGAGATGGGCTGTTTACAAATCCCCTTTCAGGGGGAGTGCTCTCCTGAGGTCAGCAGCGGCTGAAACATTTGCATCAGAACAGCCTGTTCTGACGCGTACTAATTTCTTCTCCTTTCAAAACAGACCCTTTCTTCCCCCGCCGTTTTGTGGACGCCATGACACTGGGTGCGTTTGCGGACGTCAGCACCGGCTGCCGGCTGACGTTTTGGAGCTTTTCTTGGCCTTGTGGCTGGCGTTGAAGCAGGCCTGGCGGAACTTTTTGGTCTCTTGGGCCATCGTCAGGCCGGGAGACTCAGAGATGCGCTTCTTCTCGCCCTCGAGCCGCTGCAGAGTCTCCTCGACCTGCTCGCAAAACTTTCATGTTAGCACAAGGAGGACCGGGTTAGGGAGATCGGGTCGAAGGGTCCCAACTAGGAGGAGGCGGCGCGCATACAGGAAGGAAGTACGGGCTCTAATTCAAGGGGCTTATCTCCTCCTAAATGCAAAGCACATCCAGGACAAGATTTCGTCAGAAAATAACGGAGCCGCTTGGACTCGCAGGTTATCTCCGCTGTTAACCCAAGCGCGAACCAAGCCACATGGCCCTCCCGCTATCCGAATAGCAGACAATCCGGTATCACGTTTCCAGTTTCACCCCCCTGACACGTGAATCTTGAGCGACTGCGGCCAACTCGGCCGGTTGATCGATTGGCAGTTTGTGACCCACCTGTTTGGCCGAAGTTCCCTCGGCGCTCGGCCCCAACTCGTTGATCGCTCGGATGAGCCCCTCGATGCTCTTCACCTTGCGGTACGGCCACCGGGGGATGTTCAGGTCGCGGCAGCGCCGTTTCAGCACCTGTGGCGTGGAAAGAAGGTTAGACGAAGTCATTAATTGGACTTTTGTCAAGCGCTTTTGCGATGACAGATCCCGGACTCTGAATTTCCTGAAAAGTGGGGTGACAAGGTGAGCCCACATGACCTGATTCAAGGCTGTGCTAGATAATTGATCCGGAACGGTGTTGAAAAGGATCAAAATGATTATCTGTACTATATATTACCTCGTTCAACATCTCAGAAGAGGGTCGAACGAATTTTCGCGAAGACAAGTTGAAAGCATCTTTGCTTTGATTCCCCGGAGCTCAAAGAACAAAGATAAGAGGAAACTAGACGAGGCAGAAAATCTTACAGTGGATCCGATCCCCAGGGCCTTGCATGCCTCCGACATGGGCATGTCGAAGTACGGCGTCAGGTCCTCCACCGTCAGCTTTCCGGCCCGCTTCAGCGGCGCCCGGAATCCGTCCGGGGGGCGGAACCGCGACTTGGCGGGCGTGAGCCCGCTCAGAACGGGGCCTTTCAGCGGGTACGGACTCGACTCGGCCTCGCCCGGCGCGCCAGTGTCGAGCTCCATTTCTTGGGAGCTCTCAGAGCTGCTCGCGGCCCGGGGGGATCCCCCGGCGTCCTCCTGCGCCCGGTTGGCGTCCTCCGGGCAGTGTCTGGTCTCCACGCAGTCCATCTCTTCCGCCCGGTTGCTAATCCCCGGGCAATTGTTGGCCCCCGGAAGATCCTCCAGCTCGAGGAACACCGGGTCGGAGCAGGCGGGGAGCAGCGACGAGATGGTCGGTTCCCCGGGCCACGACTTCTCCCCCGAGTCCGAGCTCTCCACTTCGGGGGGCTCGCACGGGAGGCGGATCTCGCCCCCCCCCTGCAGCGACGCCAGGTCCTCCCCTTGCAGCGACCGGTAGATGGAAAGGAAGGTGCCTCCCAGATTTAGCTGCGCCGGGGAGGTGGGGTCACCCTCTCGTATAGCCCGGTTACCAGCCCCCCGTATCGGGCTCGTCTCGTCCCCTGGGGCCTTCGATTGCTGCCACGTGTCCCCTGAGGAGATCGCGGCCTTCTCGGCCCTCGTCAGCTTGACCCCCTGCCGGGGAATTGGGAGCTCCAGCTCTTCCGCCCGCACTTGACCCTCGGGGGATCCCCCCGGGGCGTTTTCGGCTCGAGCCACTTTGGAAAGGGCCGACTGGGGGGCCTCGGCGGAAGGCCCTTTGAGGTTGCTCGTGGCGCTGCTCGTGCTCGGTTCTTCGCGGGGGGCATCCCCGGGGCCCCCGAACCGGGGGCTGAGCTTCTTGGGCGCGCGGATGTTGAGGAAGACGGTGCCCATGGGCGACGAGAGTTTGCGCGGGGGGGGGCCCGAGAACGAGTGCAGGAACTCCGGGGGGGGGGCCAGTCGGAGGCGCGCAGGGCCGTACTGGGCAGCGTCGGGTTTGGTGGGCGTGGGAGGGGGGGGGACGAAATTGGTGAGCGGGGCCGGGAGGGGGGGAGGGAAGGTTAGTGTGAAGGAGTCGGCTGTGTTGAAGCCGTTGGAGACGGGCACCGGGGGGGCGCTTGGGGCCTTTGGGAACACTGCAGAAAGAGGGGATGTGGTTAAGCTTATGGAGATTCCAGCAACCGAGTTTGGAAACCTGCAAGAAAAGACATCGTTCTCAAGCCGGTCTGGCGTATTGATGTGTGTGCTTGGCTACAATCTCAGAAGAGACGAAGCGGATTGAGAACGTGCAAGCATCAACGGATCTGACGTCCAGCACTTTTGTCCAGTCCCACGAGAACAGCTGTCGAATCCAGAGGGCACAAGCGTGCGAAGGGTCGTCAGGATCCCCTAATTAGGGTGAGTCTTAACCCCTCAATCCAAGCAACTCTAAAAGCATTACGGAACAGCATCTTACGTGGATGAAGGTTCTCCTTTGGAGGCGCCACAGAGGGGTTCGGCGGCGGCGCGCTGAGTGAAAAGCTACCGAGAACTTCCGGAATAGGCTCCATCTCTCCAGGGGGGCTGGGGCTTCGGAGGATCAGCTCTTCGAAGCTGCGGCACTCTGGCGTGCGCGCCCAATTGCTGCCAAAACCGGCTGTGGCAAACGACGTCCTGAGAAACAAGAAACGGAGAGGGTAAGGAAGGGACAAAGAAGCTGTCTCTCTCTGCTCACTGCACAAATGGTAAACTCATGGATTGCTTTGAGTACGTTTTATCTGTTTTGAAAAGGTTCCTGTCAAGCTCTCCAATCGTCATGCGGTCAGGACCAAGGACGGAAACAACGGAACGGAACGAAGCGTAGAGCCTAGAGCCGGCTGCCCCACCCAGCTTCGCAAGGAGGGAAAGAACGGAACGGAGCGGAACATGGAGAACGGAAGGACAGCTTACTTTGAGCACGCGGCGGAGGCGCTCTCAGCCGGCTGCCCGCCCAGCTTCGCGAGCTCTATCACGGTTTCCACGTAAGTGAGGTCGTTCGCAATCGTCGGCAGCATGTTGAGAAGCGGGTTGCTGCACAGGAGGAACGCTTGATGAGCCGGTGACCTGGTTATCAAAACCCAACTCAACGCCCTTTTGTTTTGATTGATGCTCAATCCACTTGGTCGCTTCTAACCTTGCCGTGCAAGCAGATCGCCTTGTCTCTGACTCATACAGTCCACAAAATCCATACAGCTCACAAGATGTATGGCCAATCTTTGGCAATCGCAAAAACGACCGATGCTTCTTCAGACACGTGGCAACTCTGTCGGGGATTGCAGTAAGTCCCGCGTTTAAGCGTCTAGGCAAAAGAGTCAGAAAATCGACACTGCATCTCACGTAAAGCACAAGAAGGTCAAGGGAAGCCCTTACCTTTTTGGAGATAGCAGCGGGTTGATCGACGCAGGCGCCGGCAAGTAGTCTGCGTAGTCGAGGATGCAAGTCCAGTCCCTGTCGGCCTTCTGGCGGACCATGAAGCGCAGCGACTCCGCTTCGCTGGAAAAGAATCTGAACGCAGAGAGAGTTTCGCTCCGGTCAGGTGCGAGTAAGGCTGCCGAGCTCATGAACGATTTTGAACAATGCAGTCCGAGATGGGCAGTTGGTTAGTATTACTTTGAGCTAACCAAGTGTGAACGTTCCTGGTGACTGCAGTGCTAAGGAAGCGCACAATCAGCCGGGCAAAGCAGCAGAAGTGGGAAAGGTAGAGTGTAGAAGTGCGCTGGTACGGCCACGCTAAGAAGTCGAGGTCCTATCGCAGATGCCTTTGCCTTTGCCTTCGAAGCAACGGTACTCTGACTGTTTTGGTCACACCTCAACTTTCGTCACGGAGTCAGCCTGTGCGGCCCTTATGCACCTTTGAAATGATGCTTCTAAGGTGAAGATGACAAGAGTGTATACGGAATGAGGACGTTGAAAGAGAAAGCTAGGGGCCTCACATTCCGAATGGCTCGTGAAGGGCGTAGTAGCCGGTGGGTACGAGCGAGAAACCTTGTTGCAGAGCCATGTATTGGCCCCCCTGAGAATATATTTGCACGCTCCGAATGTTCTCTGCAAAGAGGAGGGCTGGGTCTGCAAAATGTTGGGGGTCGGCTTTACCCACACAGGTCTAGATGTCAGCTTTTGCCTCAACCAAATTCTTTACAGATGCCTTTCAAAGGTGCTCCAGTGCACACAATCGTGACTGCTCTCTGCCATCAATAAAAGTGCATGAAAAGCTCTTCTTCTAGCATCGTTGAGCTTCGCTGACTTGCCAGGGTTCACAGAACACATGGCTTTTGGAAAGTATGCTGTCAAGGTAGTCAGCAAACCCCGAACCTACAAAACCTGGATTGTGTGGAACACACTTGCTTCATCTACAAAGTATGCCAACTTCACTCATAGGTTTCTTCTGACATGCGCAGCTCCACTGGGCATGAAAGGAGGAAAGAGCACTTGAAAGGAGGAACTGAGCACTTCAGTGCACCACTGGCAGGGCTGGGAACCCTTAGATATACCACAACTCCTACCAGCTTTCCCTCAGCTTACTTCCCCTACTTACCCTGCTTCTCCCTGTCTTGGAAGACAGCTATGGCGTCAAGCTTGAAGCCAGGGGGGGAGTGATCTTCCGGAGATGGGCTCCTTCCCTGGGGTTGCGCGCCCATGCCTTGATGACGTGGCATGACATCGGCCCACGTGGGCGCCGGGCTCTCAGCAATCATGGCTGCGCCGGGCGCAAGTGTCAGGACTCCACACTTCTTGACACCACTACGTCACTGCGCGGTCCTGACGTCAGTATTTGTCAGCAACGCAAGCGTCAATGTTTGGAGAAGTTATGAGGACCTGCAAGAAGAGGAAGGGAGAGGGGTCACGACCTGTCTGCGGTGATGATTGGGGGGGTTTGGGATAAGTGCGGAAGCGGGTGAGTGTTTCTTTAGAAGTAGAAGAGGCACTGGTGTTCTGGTGCGGGAAGGAAGGAGTCTTGGAAAAAGTGCATAACGCACGCACCCCTGAGAATGTGCCCTGACGCCCATAGGCTCCACCTAGCCTTTCACAGATTCTGCTGAGGGTTACAAGTGCCACGACTGCAAAGAAAATGTCTAGGAAGCTGAACTGGTCTCTTGAGTCAACTGAGCCCAAGAACCATGAGTGGGACTCTGACACAGCGCTCCAAGACTTGGCTGCAAGAAGTTGAAGGTAGAAGCCTTCGGAACAGATACGAGCGTTTCCGTTATTGTGAAACAAGGAACTAATGTGGACCACTTTATTAGGTGGTGGGTTGTGCGAGGAAGACAAGAGTTAGTAGCTTGGCTTGAAGACCTTCAGAACGTTATTTGTTACCACGTTCTGAAACCCTGCTGCTGCAAGGCACTTTGGATAAAGACTCAAGTCTGAGCCTGGCCGGAGTTATGTGGAAGAGCATGCAAGAAAGCAGTGTTGCAAAGGAGTGCCTAGGTAGTTGTTTTGTGAACTCCTCAGGTATGTTTCATCAATGACGTGAAACGAAAGTGGAGTCAAACGAAAAGCTTCTTTTTCTGGCTATCTAGGCAGTCCATCTGAAGAGGTTATCACTCCTTGACCCAAACATGAGTGAGCTCCAGAATTACTAACGGACTCTCAAAGAAGGCAGCTCTGAACCACCTTGCTTTGGAAGTTTAAAGGCACCTTGGTTGTAGTAAGACCTTAAACTAGGTTCGCGCACTGGTCTGTTGTTGCAGCCTTAAATGGAGGTCTGTAAGTGGTGGATTGGTCCCTGTTTCGTCCGGAAGCTGCAGAGCTTTTAGCACTGCCTAATTTTCAATGGCCCACCAGATGTTCTAAAGAGTAGGTATTGTAGGACCTGTTCAGACAGAAGGTAGAGGACTCTTCTCGACAGCCCACCAAATGGTCTGAATGGACAGCAGGTTCTGTAGCTCTGGTTGCATTCACTTAGTGGGAAGTGCATACTGATTGATTTGAAAACATCTCTTCTCAGTATATCAATGCATCGGGATGACACTTTCTGCACGTGCCTCAGCCAGGTCATGTCTTTCCAGAGTCTTTCTAGAGTCTTTAGGCAGGCGGGTGACGAACCAGTCAGGAAGCTTAAAGATAAGGCATAGCTGAAACTTCACCCTATACAACGGTATTGGTAAGGCCCTTAGTCTCTTTCTTTGGAGGAAGACCAAAGTAATAGTCTCACCTGTCAACTCAAATGGTGCCATGAGGAGGTCTGCGCCAACCGCTGCTCCCAGAGAGCAAGCTGCATGGCGCACGCACCTGCCAAAAGAAAGAATACCATTTGCCACCTTGATAGTCTGAGCACACTTCAGACGCAATGCAGGCCTGATAGAGGGTGGTGCAGACTGAGTGGTGGGCGTTTGAGACTCCACCGGTATCTCAAGGATCCAGACCATGACAGACAGGGGACTCCAAGGATTTGGGATGCTTGACCAGCTGTCAAAACCAGGAAAGATTGTCTGCTTTACCTGTAACTCTTGCCTGCGCTAGTGGCACCCCCCCTGAAGAGTGTTGGGTAGCGGCCGTGTCGCTAATGCTTATTGTGAATCTCTGTGACGCAACAACCAAGGTGACAACACCCAGCTGTGACGGACGTCAGCTGCGTTTGCACAGAAGCTCACAAGAATGCGAGCTCAAGATTGACTGCAAAGAAGCTTTTGCTCAACCATGGTGCAGCAACGAGCTTCTTTGAAGCCCCGAGCTTCTTGAGGTTCTTCTTCCTCCTTTTCTGAAAAGGGAGGATTGGGGGCGGCCGGGCAGAAGCCCCATCTGTCAAGATGACGAATTAATCCGTCTGAGCTGAAGTCAGGAACTCAGCTCGTGCAGAACTCCAGTCTGTTTGCTTTGACCCTGAGCTAGCTAGGGCGGCCCTATCTCAGCTCGAACTGGTTCCATGATGGAAACACTGACAGTCTCGAGCTGATCAGTTCGGAACCAGAAATTACCAGCAATGAGTCCAGTCTGCAATGTGCAATATGATAATAGGTATGAGCTCAGAGTCGGAGTCACGAAACATTAGTATTAGACCCTGTCAGCTCGGTTTTAACGGCCTTTTTGTACGCGTGACGCGCATGGCGAATCTTGGGCACATTGGAAGTCACTTGGTCGCCAATTGACGTCACAGGGTCAGTACAGTCGGGTCGATGTCTGGCTCCTTTTTCCGACTTGCGGGCGCCAACCAATAGATGGGGCGTCCGCAGGTAGGAGTCGAAATCGGTACCTCTAATAAATCCAGATATTCCCGTCCGTCAAATCACGTTGAAGGCTGGTATTTCGGAAGCTGGTCAACGAGCCGTCACAGGGTGACGCCGGATTCTCAACCTGTCAGCAGGCAGCAGATATACCTATTATCTAGGTATACTATGCACATATGTGCACGAGTCCCGACACTTGCACCCCCTGAATTAATAAAAGGGGGTGCACCGGGACCTCATTATTGCGCATTTTTTGCCGGCCGACGCTTTGATAATCGACTTGTTGGATATCTAGAAGGTTTTCCCGGATTTTTCCGACTTTTCCTGGGCCCTTCGAGCTTCGGACGAGTCTTGCATGGCTGCTTCCAAGCGCTTCCATACCCTTCGCTTCTTACAAACCCCCGGGTATGCTTGTTCCGAGCTGGACGTCGTCCACCTAGCTGGCAGGTTCCCCTTCATGGCAGCCAATATGTATATATTGCCGGCCCATGTTTAACCGGGGTCTACTACCCCAGTGATGGCTTGCAGCTAACACGTCCTGGACATTTTTCCTCTTCCAATGAGTCAACTACTACAGTAGCGCAGATTGGCAAGGTTGTCTGATCAGGTTGTTGGCTAACCTTTACTTATAGCCTCAATTTGGGATTCCTCACGGGAAAAACCAGCAGATCTCTGCTGAGAAGCTGCCCGAGGCGCTGAGCCAACAAAATGCGCTAGGATCACGTGAGCGGCGACGTCTCATTGACACATCATTGCACCGATCAGTGATCACTGATCACTGTATGTCGCACACCGGCGTGTTGGTAGATACGGCAGCCAAAAAGTACCCTAGCTAGAACTTCAAGGGAAACCAGACGTCGGTGATATCGGGGCACCAGTGCTAAGTGCACTGAGTGCAGTTGCTCCGTACGGGCCCAATTATAAAGCTTCATGCAGTATTAAAAATTCGATCTCTATGACCGGAAGAATATTATTGCCAAAGCTGACCTCAGACCGGGACGATCGAATATTCAGACCCTATAATTCCAACCTCCAAGTTTGAAGTTTCGGGGACGTATGTTGTTTCGATCGGTACTTATGTAATATGTAGGAGCCTGATCTACGCAGATATCCTGGTAACGTGGGGGTTCAAGATATCTGAGACCGGTACGTGCTACAGCCTACCCATGACCGGCCGCATCGGAGCGCCATCCAGTCACCGGGTTTGTATGTACCGGTAGGTACAGTGTTACACTATCCTCAAGGAGGATGAGCTCAGGACTACCTGCTCGACTTATGAGTACTTAAAATATATAAAACCCCGCAATCACGTTCATGGCTGGTCCAGTTATCATAGTCCCCACCTTACCCTTATCGAAAAGAAATAAAGGATACGAGCTAGCCTTGCCTCCAAATGCAACCAACAACTGAAATTAATTAGGGTTATACCTATACCAATTGTGACCACTGCGATCGACGTGCCAACATGGCCGCATTTTGCGAGCGTAAAAATAGGATGAATTGACGTCATTTAAAGGCGTTGTGATGTAGGATTGAGCTTCTGTGACACGGAACATATTGGTAGCTGGAGCCTACGACATGAAGACGTCAGACCGTATTTTTTGGAAATCCAAGTACCGGTAGGATGCCAAGAACCTGGGGACCAAATCTGACAGCTGACAGGTAGAGATCCGAATTGTGAGAGGTTAAGGTCCTGACTTCGACTCCAAGCTTCGAATACCCTAATCGAATGTTCGATCCGAGAAACGGTAGCCTGCCAGGGCCAAGTGAAGCAAAACCAAACACGTATCCGAGGGTTATCGGTGGTTTCTGTTACACACTTCACGCGCTAGGAGCCTAGGCCGGTTGTGATGACTTACACTTCAAGCCCTACGTAACCTCGGTGGATGTAGCGCTACCGTGACTATAACCGGTATTCGATATCGATGTTGATCAAAAAAAGCATACATAAACAATTACGTTCCGGTCAGTGATCAGCCAGTGCGGCAAGTGGCCAAGCAGTGAGCAGTGAGCAGAGTACCGGTATACCGGTACGTAACTTGGTAGTAGGTACCTACATGCTTACAAGGTTAACCTACCTACTCTATGGAGTGCCCACCTAGAAGGTACGTACCAGGACAGGGTAGGTTCTAGGCTAAGTGACTACGCGCCGCGTACCTGTTGCTTGGGAATACCGGTATAGGTATTTGAAAGCAGCAAAAGCTAGAGCCTTAGACCATGTATACCTAAGTTGAGATTGCATTCGATAACACCGGTAGGTACATTTAGTACGTGACACTGCAGGCACTAAGTACGTACTGTGATGTGTTTACTTCGTACGTGGCTCCCAGGCTCGTGGAGTTCCGCTCGTATCCCATGCTAGGCTCCGACTGTTTGACAGTCTGTCCGACTCTGACAGTCTGACAGTAATTACTGGTCTAGATACATAATGCATCCTAAGCGCTGGAGTTTAAACTTTAAAGTTTACAGGTAGGAACAAGTTATAACTCCCGGCCTTGTCTCCTAACTTCTCAGGGGCTTGTCTCTTTTCAAATGTAGGGGCCCCGGGGGCCGGGCACCTCAGCTAAAACCCCTAACCCAAAATCACAACGTGCTAGCTCCGCACGTCCATTACAAAAAATAACCACCAACCCTACCTACCCGGCCGTCCCCCGTGTCAGAAACCCTAGGAAGCTAGGAGACAAGGCTCAAGCCCCTTAGGATTTTGGAAACAGTTGAGAGGGAATTCACGGGGGTATCCTGATTCCTGACTGACTTAACCCAAAGGTTAAAGCAGAACTGCTATGTACGTGCTAGTTGTGAATGCAGGGTAACTCGAACAATGTAACTAACCGCACATAACTGGCTTAACTTGAAGTTGTACGCCGGCCAGGCATGGATGGCGTATCCATGCTGCAGTAACCGGAGCTTCAATTAAGACTGTTCAATATAGTTAATTAGGTACCAGTCACCGTACCACACTCTCGAGTCTCGAACTGAACACTAGGGGAGGTAGATTCGAGCTAATAGGGGTCTTGTAGCGTCTGAAGTTTGAACTACCCAGAGTCTAGACTCTACCTATCTTCGTAGACGGTATACCTAGTATACCGTAGGTATGGGTGTGCACTGTGAACCCGGTCGTCCGTACCACCAGTAGGTGACGTTTAGTACAAAAGTATTTACCTTATATGAGAAGTATCCATATGAATCGCTGCACTGGACTTACAATGCGGCCACGAGTTCCGAGTCGGAGTCACTACTGGTGAACTGTACGGAAGTCGCCTCGGGAGGGGCTCGGGCGGTTGCGAAGTTGTCAGTGTACGGCAGCAAAAGTTTTGAGACGTAGTTACGACCTATAGGCTGTATATTTTAATATGGCAGCATTAAATTTGCAGGCGTTTCTGTTTTAATGTTGCAGCCTAAAAGCTTTGCGGTACCTATTATAACCTACTAGGTAGCTACGTAGTAGGTCCTACACTAGATCGACCAATGTGCACATTTCAATGTCCTAAGTACTGTGACTCACTCGGAACTCCGCTGACTCACTACCATATTGCTCTGCAGGCTGACATGCATGCGTATAAGATCTGAATGTGCAGTCACCCTCAACCGCACCGACGTCATTCTTCACTAGAGGTTTGACGTCATTCTTCTCGCTGAGGAGGTGATGCTAGGTAGATCGCACTGAACTTTCCCGGACACTCGGAAGCAGCGTTTCTATAGGGCCGGGGACCCCCCGGGGTCCGGACTCCCGTACTACTGCACAGCGATCGGAACCAAGTTCAGAACCAGTACCTATCTCGATTAGATTGCAAGTTCGACAGGGGACTCGCTCGACGTCTCACAAGCAGTGTTTACCACGAACCGACTTGCAGTGGTATTGCGACCGACCAAAATTGAAAGTGACCGACTCCAACGATTGTGGCCGGCCGCAGGCCGGCTGGAAAGCCGACCACTATGAAGGTGGTCGGCTGCCCAAACCGTCCTGTTTCTGAGATCGAAGTCGGTCCCAGCCGGGTAGGCCACTAGTGGTCGGTAGGCCTTTTCTCAGACTTTTGGCACTATTTGAACCTTCAGAGACCTTGACACTAGGCCAAAGTGTGGTGGAGAGGATCGGGTGACTTTTGGGCTGTAGTGTCACACTTAGAACTTGCGGATTAGTGCTCTGGCCAAGCAGGGCCTACTGTCAGTGGCAGAATTCGCGCCGGGTAACCGACCCAAGAGAGCGCACCCGGCCCACAAAAAACCGACAAAAATCAAGGTGGTCGGCCCGGGCAAACCGACCAACGGCCTCTTCCAACCGACTGCTTCAACAGGGACCCTCTGGGCAGCCCGCTATCTCAAATCTTCGTGGTAAACACTGCTCACAAGACTTCACCAAATCGCTGCTGTCAGACAGTCAGACGACTCACGGCAAACCAAGGTCCACCGGTATTGTACAATAATCTTACCAGTGACCGGCACCGAGCACTGGTGGAGAGGCGGCCATTTCCCGCTTCATGGGGATAGCCTATTTGGAAGAGAGTCCCGTTGATGGAAGGGTCGTTTATAGATGCCGGCATTGGGCAAAGCCATAGCGCCGCTCAGGTTAAATATATTTAGGGGGATAGGGCTCGGGGAATGCTGAGGCCAGTTTAACGGTATATTGCAGAGGGGCCAGGATGATCCCATACCGGTATATCTGCAGATTGCAGTGAATCAGCTCTTGCAGTACGGACCTGGTCTGATCCCCGACTACGCCATCTAATCAATCACGTCTGCCAGCTGTCACGCTATCGGCAAGGTCTAAACAAACGCTTTCCTGGGCAGCAAATCTCGAAAGCGCTCAGCCATAGCCGCAATCCGACTTACAGATTATTCCAACTGATCCATGAGCCGGCGGGGCGCATATATTCGATACAGAAAAAGCGACCTCGTTTCGCGTATATAGGTGTCTTTTGCTTTTACTAGGACGACGCTATATTCCACCCGAAAGAGAGTACTGACACGATACGCGATCCCGCCGCTCCCCCTTGGTAAATGGACATTTGAAGTGGGTCGCGGAACGGGCCGTTGAGATGGTTGTCCAAACGGACTCGGGGCGGTCACTTTCCTTGAGAACCTGTGCAGTGTGGAGGTATATAATGCTAATCTGTGCCCCTGCAAGAATAATTCTACCTGAACGTACGGCAACAAACGTACGGTTCCCAACCATTTTAGTCTCGAATCTCGATCCTATTTCTCAGTAAATATGAGGGACGCTGGAATATATTCCCAGAGTACTTCTTGATAGCTTATGACTCTCGAAGTGCGGGTAAGGTACGTAGGCCCAGCCTACAAGATCTGTTGGCAGGCCCAGCCCCACTGCAAACGTAGACAAAGCGTTCGCCGGTGGGTAAATTTGCAGCTGATTGTGTGAGTAGGGTTGCAGGGTGACCGTGACGCAACTGCCAGTGCATCAGCAAAGACCGTGTACGTAACCAGGCTATTGAGTGTCCAACCAGGCCCATTTTCTTAATACATGGATATGTATAACCGGCCAGCTTCATCACAGCACTTTTTGGCCCGTAACTTTGGATGGTCATTGACTGGCTATGGGCCGATTACAAAAAGGTTATTAAGCCTCCGATAACCAGACTTGGGCGGTAACCAGCCTTAGAACAGGGTTGAGCCCGGTTAGTTGTCCAATAACCTGGAAGTCGAGTCTGGTAAAACAGCCTGCTTAGCAGCCAAAACTTCCTCTGTTATCCACGCCCCTATTTCATCCGTGTATTCGAGGTGGCCGGCTAAGTTCCGAAAATCGTCGAAGAGGGCGGTCTCAAGCCTGACGTCCGCATACTACACCAGGCACCTCTAACTAGTAACGGCCCCTTCGTCCGGGAGGACGGAGTGACCTCCCCCTCCGCCCCGTCCAGAAGGCGCCCGATGAGCTGGGCTTGTGACAGGTTGCGTACATGCCCTACTATTATGACAGGTGGCAGGGCTCGAAGTGCCCACCATTGGACAGCCCAAGATAGGAATCGTGCATGGCAGTGGGTCCAGCTAGCAGATTGGCTCTACACTCTTACTGACTCCGGAGTGCGACGGATCCTGACACCACCCTGACACTAGCAGAATGCAGTAGGTATTTTCGAGTCGCCCCGCGGCGGCTCGGTATTTGTGAGTCGGACACTGTCGGAGTGACCGGGACACATAAAGACTAAAGTACGAGCCAGGAGTCTGCAGAGTTGCCTGGACAGATCTTGGAAAATCTAGGGCCCGACGTGCAAGCGCGCTCTTCTGACAAATCATATCACTAGTCGGAGATTGAGTGAATGGAGAATCTTTGCCAGATCTAAACGTCCACCTAGCTACCTATATCCACCAGCTGGCCCCAAGAGGAGTTCTATGACACTGCTCAATAGACCATTGGAGCTCATGGCAACTTCTAAGACTTCATATTCATTACGGGGAGAGGACAGCCTTACGCAATTGGATGTTGAAACACGTGTGCAATTGCTATTCCGACCCATCGAAATATTGAGCGAGCATGACGTCTATAATCACGATTGATTGATTGGACACTGATCGCCGGGGCCACAACATAGGCTAGTAGCTAGTCATTTGAACTCCCCTTTCAAAGTGGACGGTCAACTAGGCTTCGTTCAACTTCTCTTTACTCCGCCCCACCGCACTGAGCAGGCTGCCCTAGTAACGCCGACGTGGTTTCAATAACATCCGCTCGACAAGTTAGTTTCAGGACAATTCCAATATGACATCTTGCATGATGCCAAACGATGACTGACACATGCGGAGTTGAACCAATCTTTGGATTCATGCAACCTAGCTGATCCTACGTGCTGGCTTAGGCTCTGTCATGCATGGCCGGCGACCTGCGCATGAGTCTTTAACTAATTATATCGATTTGAGGATCAAATCAAGTTCATGCATGTGTTTCAAACGGAGTCTGGGGCCTCCGCTCAGGCCGGGCCGGACGTAGTTACGTGGCGCGCGCCGGCGTACTCTCTGACGCGGAATCGAGTCGGTATATAAACCATGAATTCAATCATGCAAATATTGACGTGTATACAGCTGCTGAGGGCTGATTGTTGCGTGACACCTTCAAGTTGCAATGATGCCCACATAATTATACTCTCTTGTAGCACTGATCCTCGGACCGACTGAAGTCATCTGCAGTGTGACATGCCATGAATGAATTAAGGTGAGTGGACCACACACATAACCCAAAACCTAGCAGATGGCAGTGCATGACACTGCATAAATTCAAAATCTGCGTCGAGCCTTAGAGGCCGACTCCGCTCTCGCGAGTCTTCAAGAGTGAGCATCACAACAAAAATGGAGGTGTATGGAAAAGGGAAAAGTTACTGATTGTACAGGCTATGCCGTACGAGGGAAGCCTGATTGAACGGTGCATACCAAAACATGGTACAGGACGTCATTGTATTGTGACTTCCACTGTTTATACAGGGTGCAAGCTCTTTGACAAGTCCATGTCAACATAAAATGACGTTCCTAATCGATTGGCACATCTACCAGACCCCGACCTGAACCTTCGGCTCCATTCCTTCCCAAGGAGGCCGTTTCTAGGATGCGCAGGCCCCCTCCTGTTTGTTCCCTAGCATCCAAAAAGCTCACATCTACCAACAGCTTCGCACGGCCGTCCGGAATAACATTACCTTTCTTGTCTTTCATCGCTATCGCTCTCAAACCCGCTCTCAACTCGGCGACAGGCAAACACGTCTGGCAGGCGAAGTCGTCCCGCTGCAAAGTGTCGGACTCCCGTACCTGCAATGTTTCCGGTTATGGATATAACGAATTTAGGCGTCTATGGTCAATTGGTTGTAGCAGTAGATATGGCAGCAAGACATATTGTAGGCCATTGGTATCAGTCGGCATGCTTCGAGAATCAGGAATGTATATAAGATGTCGTCTTTGCGTGTGAGCTACAAGCAGCTCCGTCAGAACGTCGAGCAGAAATGCGGCGACCACGTCATTGCCCTTCAAGATTCAGCTGCGTAATGAGCGGTCCATCGCCGCGGCCAATACTATGAATCCACGGGCTCGCTTTCTGCATGTGACTCAACATCCACACCGCTCCCAACAGCCTGGCGGTGTCGGTGCTCTTTGGTGACTGTGCTACTTTAAAAGAAAGGGTTAAGCTGTTCAGGTTGAACGCGTCACCCTCCCCCTCGAGTCTCAACCTTCGAAACCTGACCTTTCACTGTGGATCGGCTGAGACTATCGGACAATCCAGCTCTCATACTTGGTAGACTCGGGCTTTGATGGCGGCAGCTTTGAGGCAAAGAGCTGTTCAGTGAGGTGGAGCCAGACTGCGCATGACTTCGGAGAGACTCACAGCGCAAACCTCTATAGGGAACCTGGCGAGAAAGACTTTGGCCCGACGAGAACAGGCAAGGCGTGGAACCTTATTGCTGGGACTTCCACTCTATTCATCAAGTGGAGCTTCCTAAAATGCTAAAAAGAATGACGCGCTGTTGCATACACTTTCGAAAGTAGATCCGACTCAAAAACCGGTCGCTCTTTTGTGGAATTGCAAAGGACCTCACCTCGATCGCAAGGAGCGCGAGCTCCGGCACCGTCAGAGGGAAGTGGAACTCTTCCTTCTCCCAGATGGGGTGCTTCGTGTTCTTGTGCGTCTTGGTGTGAATCTTCTTTTTGTCCGCAGGTACGCCGTAGATGGCAACCTGAACAGCGATACAGAAAAACGATCAGATCCATTTGCGAAAGCAGGGGAATAGATCAACTCCAGAAGCGGAACCAGTCGTGCACAAAACCGCAGCCGCAATCCGCATGGCGTGCTGGAAGATTGTCTAGATGCTTCAATTGCGATACACGAGAGGAACGGCGGCTCACCCGTACGAAGAAGTCAGGAGGCTTTAGGGCGTCGAAGCGCTTGTGCGTGTCCCGCCCCGAGATGATCCGGACCTGCACGAAGCGCAGTCATTCTGATGACGTCAGCCTTGGAGCCCTACTCGTCATTCTGACGTTAGACGTAGGTAAGGGCGGCTAGATCCACCCGTTGCAGCATGCCACGACTTGCATACGGCTGATGTTTTGAAACGGTGCGTGGCGGTCTGCGTTGCTTGACGAGGTGGAATGGCATGACAGAACGACATTCCCAGGATTCTGATATTGACAAGCGCCCAAAACTTCGCGGGTCCGTCTATTCGCAAAGACCTCTCGTAGGCCGTTTCGCTAAAAACGAAACCCCGTTTTCCCTACGGTCATTTCAGCCTCAATCGCAATCGGCGAAACAGGCCGAGCAAAGCAGGAGCGAGCCCCTCACCCTGAGAGTCGTTTTCACCGGGCGCTTTGCGCTGGGGTCGAACTCTGCCCCAGGGCCCCCTTCGACAGCTCCGGGGGGGAAGAAGAAGTCGGGCTTTTGAACGTAGCCGCAGCCGCCGTTCGCCGAGAAGAGGCCGTGCTGCAACCACAGGTGCCGTCCGTAGCCCTGCAAAGCGATCCCTCTGTTTTAGAAACCGACAAGGACAACGCCATGCGATCATGTTGTGCAAAATTTCCAAAAAAAAATGGATGAAGAGAATCTGTCGTGCACAAGTGCTTTCCTGCCCTGCAAAGCGATTCCTCGGTTGCAGACAACTCCCTTTCGCAACCCCACGCGGTTGTTCTTTGGAGGAAAGTTTTCAGAAGGGATCGGACAATGGAACCCATGCCGCGCACGCAAGCGCCTGCCGTAGCACAGCGGTCGCCGAATGGGCGAAACGTGCGAAGCGTGGTCGGCCTCGAGGAGGTGGAAAAGGGAGCCCTGGACACTACATATAGTACAGCGGTTTCTCCACGACAGTTGGCATTCTCTTGCAGCAAAGCTGGACGGCTATATCGTTCCTGAGGACCAGCATCAAAACATTAGAATACACAGCAAGGTAAAAAGCGAGGACCAAGGCAAACCAGAACCCGTTTTGACTGGGTTTGCAAACATGATCGTACTACAATATCAAGGTGAAAGTTGGGAGGAGCAATCGAACCATAATCGACCAACAGATGAAAGGCCGGGACAAACACCCTCAAACACAGGCTTACAGGAAGGTGAAAAGCGCGGGCGGTAATCTGCACGCGGTCCGTGTGACGTCTCAGGTGTCACAGGTGTTGAAACCTGTGCACGCACCTGCATGTTTATGGCCGCGAGCTGGGCCCCATGCGCCCACGCGAGCGTCGGATCCAGGTTGGACGAGTCGAAACGCAGGCCGTAGGGGTAGACGCGAATGACGTTGGTCCTGGCAAACCTGCAGGATTCGTTCGGCAGGTTAAGTTCTTTCTTTCCTCTCGACGTCTTAATACTGTCAAACTGAGTCCTTCATGACTTTGACGTCTTTACTGTGATACTGAAGTAGTGTATTTATGTGAGCGAGTCGAAGCGCAGGCCGTAGGGGTAGACGCGGATCACATTTGTTCTGGCAAACCTGCAGGATTCGGTTCGGCAGGTTAAGTCCTTTCTTTGTTTTCGACGTTTTTATTGTCAAACTGAGTTCTATCTGACTTTGACGTCTTTGCTGTGATATTGAAGTAGTGTGATTATATAAGCGAGTCGAAGCGCAGGCCGTAGGGGTAGTCGCGATCACGTTGGTCCGGGCAAACCTGCGAGAGGTCGGGGCAAAGTAAGGCATCCGCGAACCGAGTTTCGTCACCTCTTTCTGGACTCTTTTGCCTCAAAGAGGGCGTCAGATTGAAAACGCACTAAAGGCATCGGAGTCCTGAGGGGAAAAGTCGTCAAAGGGACTAGAATGCATCTTGAAACTTTGCCTCAGCGACCAACACACCCAGTTTGCGGTATCTGGTCGCCGAGGTGTTACGAATCAAGGGACGCCCTCTTTTAAGGATTGTCGAGCGCAAAGAGCGACCTGGGCGTGGGGCGCGGGACTTAGCCGTGGGACGTGCCCTTTTGTGAGAACGGTAAAGCGTTTGAACCAGACGTGCGGACGGGGCCCAGAACAGAGCGCAGCTTAGGGCGCATGGTGGCCCCGAGCAATCTATTGCCCCCCGCGGAGATAGAGTTCAAGAAAGAAAGTACTAAACCAAGGTGATCATAAACTCCGACTTCTGATTACCTTGACCCAGAAACATGCCTGCTCTGCACCCATACCCACCCGAACCACCGAAGTAACCCTACCCGTCCCAGTGCGGTTACCTTATTATTATCTCGGCTTATCATCACTTTTCCTAACTTCCACCCTGCAGGGGGCTGGGGCGTCCGCGCGCCCCAGGCCGCAGGACAGGTGTCAGTTCGGACGCTACAAAAGGGTCGGGATTTGACTTCGTGCGACCCAGGGAGACTATTCGCACGCCGGGGACGGAGTGCAATCGACACCTCTGGTGCGGATCGCAGCCGCGCTTTTCACGCTACGGCCAGGTCGAAACGTTACTCTACTGACGGACTCTCAAAGCCGTTGCTGGGGGGGTAACACCAGTCTACTCATAGTCAAGAGCGGGAGGCCGCCGACCGGCAGTCCCCACGGTAGCGGAATACCCCTCACGAACCAACACAGCAACTGGGGCAAGAGCTTCGGTGCATCGGCACCCTTCCTCGAACCTAACAGCACCAAATAACCACATGCGGTTTAATCCAACACTCCCAAGCTTCCGCGGACGAACACATTCGCCGGGGATACTTCCAAAAACACCGGAACAATTGCACTCAAACTTTGAAGAAAGAACAACCTTTTCTCTTACTTGGTGAGCAGAGTCGGCCCGCTCTTGGCCAGCTTCTCAAACGCCGGCTCGCCGATGTTTGCCATCGTCACCCGGCCGCTCCCCTTGAACGCCCCCACGTATTCATTCGGCTTCAGGCAGGGGATGTAGATAAGCGATGAGAAGCTGTCGTCGTATTCCGGGACGGCCTCGTTTGACACCGTCGCCGACAGGACCGCCTCAGCAGTCTCTGCCGGAGGGCTGGGGTCATGCGCGCCTGGAGAAACGGTGTCAAAGGGCAGTGCTGTCAACGGGTTGGTTTCTCAGGTTTGCAGCCAGGAAAGTGGGTGAAATCACGACTTTGAATGAGCAGGAAGCTCTCAGTGCTGCGATTGGAGACAGCCGGATCTATAGCGACTGCGTGGGGGCCTGTGAAATGAAGACAAGAAAACTTCGCTCAAAATCTCAGGCAAGGAAAGGCTGCACAAACTCACGGGTCTCTGTTGGTTAACAGCCTGGAAGTCAATCTCACACATGACCTGCGGAAGGCCGATATCGTTACATAGACCAGCAAAGTGCCATTCGTACCCGCCATTATGATATCAAATTGCATGATAGGTAAGAAGCATCAGCCAGTCAGCTTGGAAAAAAGAAGAGAAGCACACCTGCTGCCTCTGGAACCGCCGATCCGGCGACCGCGGCACCTTGTGTTCTCCCCACGTCTGCGGTTCCTGCAGATACTATACAAGATAGCCTCAAAACAAACTTTGGTGTTGAAGTTAGACCCAAAAGGTGTCGGCTGTAGGGTTGGTGGAAACGGGAGACCAAAAGATCATGATTGCGCATCAGCCTACAACGGGCTCGTCCTCGCAGCTATTGAAGACCGAATGGCATGCACGCTCTGCCTGTCGAGCGCAGTGGCCCTCTCGATCTGCAAGCTTTGCACATGATACGAAAGGCGGCGCGAGACCGAACACAACACGGGATTTGGAATACCGGGCATGAAGGGAACAGAAAATCTCGACGCCACCGTCACAGCGACAAAGAGAACCGGCATCGCAGACTTTGGGCAAATCGCCTTACCTTCGGTCTCATCTAGTTCTCCCTCCTGCAGGAAGTCGTCCGCATTGGGCACCGCGTCGTTCGCCGCTTTCTTCGCCCCTTTCACGCCTTCCTCCGTCTCTGAGATTGGCTTGTCCGAAATGACGAATCTTCGGACCAAGTCCGCAGGAGACAGCAGCGGGGCGTTGGTGTCGGACGGGGGGAGGAAGAGTTGGTCGCCGAGAATGTCTCTCAAAAGCTGCACGAAATGAAAACGGAGTTCTGGGCCTTTGAAGAGTCTGGCCGGTTGAGCTCGTTTCAAGAACGCAAGCTTAGCTCAGAAGGTCGGTGTCGGACAGCGGAAGAAAGGGCTGGTCCCCGAAAATGGCTCTTGACAGCTGCGCGGAAAAACATCGACCCGTGGGCCATTCATTAACTGCCTGGCCTGTTGAGCTCGACCAGGGAGGGGGGCTGGGGAGAATTGGATCGCGTATCGCTGCTCGAGCAAGTTCCGCCAGCTGAGCGAATTGCTCGATTCCTCACTCGGAAGGGGCAATATTGGCGGGTACTCTAAACCCCCTGAAACTTTATCGATGACACAGACCGCAAAAAAATCGTTGGGTTACGGTACCGACCACTTGGGTTCAGCGGACGGAGACCGTCTGGTACGTAGGTATCAAAAGACTGATCATCGAGCCGTCCAAGCTTCATCGGACGGACGGTGTGTTTCCAATTGAGCTCGTTTTGCCGACACCTGTCGTCGAGCTCCGAGCTCGTGTTACTGCCTTGAGGTCGTTCGAGATGATTCCAAGTCTCCCCACCCCCCCTCCGAGGGCAATACTCAAGGGAAAGACTAAGCTTTGCAAGAGATCTGTGTGTATGGACACTGAGTTCCGGGGTGGAAATGAAGAGCTGCTCCGAGATTGTGTATCTGACGACTTCACAGGCAGTACGGATTGCGGTCTTCGAAAGCCTGGCCTGTAAAGATGCATGGGTATCAAACGCTTCACAGAACCCGGCATGCGACCCTACCAATCTTTGTAAAAAAGAGCGACTCCCCGTTCCGATGCTGTCAGCCTACTTCCACCACCTGCTTTGAAAGGACGTCGTGATAGTCTCAAATCTGCCAACTCTCTCACTTGTGTGGCAGATGCATCAGTTGTTTAACTCTGTGACTGAGCCGCCTCATACCCCAACAAACCAGAGGGAAACCCCTGTTCAAAATCAGCAGGGTAAATCTTCTAAAAGGTTTCGACAGACCTAGAAACCCTCTGAACACCATCATCCACAAAACCCGTTTACTGATTCCCCAATCTGCTTCTGTCAACAGAGGGATTTGAAAGATTCGCTCAGCAAGTTGTCCGAGTTTCTCACCTGTGCCAGCAACTGTTGCAACACGGGAGGCAAGTGGTTCTCAATAGTCAGGACAACGGGGTACTCGGATGCGACGAACGCGTGCTCTTTGATGGCCATCAGGAGGTCAGTCACTGGTGCGGGTTTGCAAAGCGTCCTGCAATCAACAAGAAGTCGGTGTGGAAAAAACGGAAATTCAAAGCTGTCAAGCGAACTACTGTAAAGTCTCGCACACACTCTTTGTCCTGGTTCGCGTGACCCTCTGCCCCGACCACAATAACTCGACTTTAAAGTAACGTCCGCACGTGGCGACGAAGTCGACCGAGCGACTACTGCCGAAAGATACCTAAAACGAACTCGGACCCACAACAGCGCAACAAGTTTGAAACGTTCCAACCTGTCAACCGCTGTAAATTTTGATCTTGTTAGATCCACAGCTGTGAGTGTTAGGTTCTCAGGCTCACATGATATTCTCAACCTTTCAAATGTTGATCTGCCAGATTTAAGGACTCTCTTGGGGTCCAAAAGTTTTCCCTGCTTGCTCTATAGCTCGACCCCCGAACACAATATAAAGCCGTTTTTGGCTCTGTAGACAACTAATTTGCCTGATCTTTCCACAGAACACATGCCATGCACGACCTTGACGTAAGCAGCTTGCAACCAGTTTTTCCCGTTTGACCCACAGGAAGTGACCCTTTATCTATCTTTTCTTGACGGCCACAGAATCGCCCCGACTCACATGCCGTGCACAACCTTGATGTTGTTCCCGTCGGGCCACACGTCGAGCTCGATGACGCGGCAGCCGCGCCCGAGCGCGTCCACGATCGGCGCCGCGCTGCTGTCGCTGGTCAGCTGATTGCCCGAGAGGTACGAATTGTGCGACGTGTACCAGTAGTAGTGCGATAGCGGCAGGCTCATGTCATGCGTCACCTGAAGATTGTGAATGTAGGCTTAGTTAAACTAACCAGCCTGGGACGGGTGGGGTTAGTTTGGGGGTTGAGGGTGGGCAAGGGCTTGGAGCGGGTTACTATGAAGGTTAGGATTCGAATCTTAGGGTAGGAAAGCTACGAAACCAAGAAGTAACTGTTCCTTGATTGAAGAAGCATCGTCAGTTAGGAAGACCAGTCCAGTTGATCCGCAAAGTGAGCGTGGGACCCGCGGGTGCTTTTCAGATCTCACGGTAGCGAGACCTTTGTCAAGCTGCCGTCCCGAATCCTGACCGTCGATATCTTGGCATTGTTGTTACCAACAAGTGATGTCCGTCAAATGACGTCCCTTAAACGCAAACATTTCGTTTCAGCATAGAGATTAAAAAGCGAATTGGGCCCCAACTCGCCTTTTACTGGGTCAATGCTTGTTGTATCTACCTCAGATGGTTTGCGATCCTTTTTGGACTGGCGAATCCACGACTGAGTTGAGAAAAGCACAAATCAGAAGAGGCAAGATTGAGATGGACCGACTGCTCTTCAACTGATGCATACATATGTGTGCTGCAGTTGAGAACCAGTTAGTTTCCAAGCGGTGTCATGATTCCAAGTGCACTGAGTAATTTTGTTGCGCCTTCCTTGAGCACAATTGATTGGTCCATCTTCCATGTAAACCAATCTTATACAAATTCTGTAAATTCTTAAGTGATCCCCCATATACCCCCCTTCGACCAGACTTTCTTTATCCTCAGCCATCGCAGCAGGGACTGCATCGCCCTCACCTTGCTGACATCATGGACGGCGTTGACATCAGCATCGAGGAGGAGTGCATAAAAGCCGGCTAAGTCCAGCTGCTCGCGCCCCTCTGGAGCATCGGCATGTGGCCTTTTCAAGTGGAGGTGGGGATGATCATGGGCCGCCGCCTTCTCCCATTTGGCGATGAGCTGGCGGGTTTGTGCTGGTGAAGACCCGATGCCCTGGATTGGTTGCAAGAAAATACAACTCAGATGACTAAACCAGTGCAGGATCGTTGCTGGTGAGAGGCTTTTGCCAGGTAAGTACGTTTGTTTGTCGTGAAGTAATAAAGGCAAGAATGTCATTTTTCAACGAGTGTTCGCCAATGTTGTGCCAAATTTGTTTGATCATAACGGTTAACAAACAAAGCTGGCAATTGTCGATGATGATCTAGATTATCACAAAGAAGCCCCATCCTGAGTTGTTATCTCGACAATGCGGGTCGTGATGGATGTGCAAAGAGCAAGCTTCACTGTGCTTTTGCCCTACAAAGCTACGCTGCGGGGGTGAATAGGCTTGACGAGTTAACCAGTTCTTATTACTTGCAATTGATGCACTTGGGGCAAGTGTTGGAGTGTCCAGATTAGAAGTATACTAAACACACCAGGACTCGCTGAAGGTCCCAACCAGGCGTACACGAAACCACGTTCGATTGATGACGACTCAATAGATGCATCGGATGCGTCGCCTGCGAAACGAAGTAAATGATACTAATCATCACTCAGACAGTGTCACCTTGTCAGACCTGAAATGTGGTAAACACAAGAAGCAAATACCTGCGAGTCTAGAATCCGCTGAACATCGTCCACATCAAGGAACCCCTTCTCTCCAGCAAGCTCCTCAAACAAGCTTCTGACGGTGTGTGGCACGTGCTTCAAAGCCTGCAGCTTGCTGCGGATCTTGCCGCTCGGGACACAAATGCAATTGCCCATGGCTGCAGACAAACTTAGCCTGGACTAGCAATTCGAAGATGCCCGCAGACGAGCTCCTCCAGGCTGCACCCCTGGCTCTATGAATCGACGCTATACCGTAGCCTCTTTGATCAATATGTACCTCTGAAACCCTTTGAAAAAGCATGAACTTGAATTTGATGAAGGGGAGGGGTGCTTTCTCTGCTTTCTGCGCAGGAATTTGAAGTTGGAAAAGCGTTCTTGATTCTGAAGTTGAAGAGCTCCAGCAGCCAGCTGGAGCGCTCTCGCCAGCTGCACACGTGTCCTCCTCATAGTGGGTCGGCAAGGACACGTCATGAGGTGCTCCGGCATAGGGCATGAGCATAGAGCATCCAGGCGTTTAGGCACACCAAGAGGGTATATCTTGGTGATTTCTGCACGATTAAGATAATCATGAATTTTCCAGCGACAGGCCAGCCAGAGGGGCCTCAGCATTTAGGTCCACGATTCAAGTTGGGTCGCTGCCCACCCCCAATCCGATTTTCAAGTTCGGAAACAAGTTCATAAACTCAGGTAGGATACTGGAAGGATTGGCGATACGTGAGTGATACAGTTCAGCAACACGTTCAGTCCTAGCAAAAGAGACGGGCAACTTGACTTCACGTTTACGAGGATTGCAACAGAGGCGCTCGACGCGGCATCTGAATCCTGATGTGAGGGAGGACTTCAATGCTTTTAGAGCGTGCGTAATCCACCTTTGTCCAATTTAGCCAGCGCCATTCAGAAAACGTATCGTACCAAAGGCGAATATTCCTGGCCACAACCGGGCGCCCTGCAGCGATTGGTACGAACCGCCAGAAGTTAGGGTTTGCTGTTTCCGTCATGGCCGCGCGAACGGGCTCAATCCCGGGCACGCCAGTAACCCCGGGCAAACTTACGCCCTTCAAGCGGTTCACGAGGGTGAATCTGCGCTTCAAACTGCCTTACATGACTGTTTGGGGTCAGAATCTGATGGTCGTGGGGTCTGATCCCATCTTTGGAAGCTGGAACATCAAGCAAGGAATCTGGATGACGCCGCACCATGAAGGAGACGTCCTGGTTTGGCAGGCTTTCGTCTCCGTGCCAGAGGCGTTTGAGTTTGAGTACAGATACTGCCTTGTTGATGAGAAGTTGAATGTGTTGAAGTGGGAAGCTCTAGAGAAAAGGAAGTTGGCTATTCCAGAAGGGCTGGCGGATGGGGCTGTAGTAGACATCCTGGACAATTGGCAGGTAAATTGGAATTTTGCTTTGCAGGACGATTACGCGCTTGCATGCCTCATTGGTTTGGATTCATGCTGCTTGCTTGTGACATGTGCATGCGGTGTGCAGAATGCATGGGAACCGATTGACAGGGATCCACGGTTGCTTGTTTCGGCTTTTGTTCGTTCTCATTAAGCAATGCATTAGCATGTCTACGTCCTGTCGATCATTGCGTCTCTTGGTTATAAGATGTAAAGCCAAGCTTTCTCTCTTCGTTTGCATTGATTGTGTTGCATGGTCGACAACATTTGAATGCTCTGGATTGCGATGGTTTTTGCTGCTCTACTGAAGTGGTTTTGTGCTGGCCTCATATCAAGTCTACTGTACTGCTTTGATTGCGTCTGTTGCTTTCTTCCTCAACAAAGTCGATATGTAACCACTTGTGCTTCGTTTTCAATAAGCTCTCCTGCTCTGATTGCTCTTATAGATGTTGGTTGTCTCACCAGAATCTCTGCCAAATGAATGCATGCTGGATCCATGAGGAAGCGTTACTTTATTGTAGAGAGCTGTTTTCTTCTGGCAGGGCTAGATCTTACCGATGGCACTCACAGATCTTGGAATGCAGACCGATTGCTTCAGCGAAAGTTGATTCTGCGGTACAGATTTGGTAATGGTACTTATTAAAACTACTTGTACTAGTGACAGAGGCTGCTCTGTTTCACTAGTAATTCCAAATTGCATAAGAAAGGGAGCCTCTCGTGAGAAATGGGGACAATTCCCAGGTTGACTGTTAAGATCGCTTGGCTTCTTTAAGAAAGTCAGAGACCTGTCTTTCGTTCGCCACAGACAGAATTTTGCTTTGGCAATGTCTGCTGCCAAACGAGTAAGTACAGACAATACACCAATTGGTGTTCCACAAAGTAGCAATGGTGGCAGGTCTGCAACCCTCAAAGCAGGAAACAATCGAGGAACATATTAGTAGCCCAGGCAAGGCACTGCTTCGGGGGCTGACAACATTTTTCACACCTCCTCGGTTCTTCATGCCAGGCGCAATTTGTCAAGCATGGCAGTTTGGACCAAAGCTGCAGCTCCCTCTGCTGATCCACCGCCACGCATGAGATCGCCAGCCATGACCTTCATAAAGATTTCTCAACCGAGTTCTTCTAAACTGCAGGATGGAGCTGCCCCTGAAGTTCTCCTGTCAAGGGCCGCTTTCAAGAAGGTCATCTTCCAGGAGGTTGAGGAGAACGGAAAGCCAGAACCTCATGGAGCTAGGCCCACCCCATCACTTCATCCAGATGTCTTTGAGTCTCCAGGTGACTCGTCTAATCCCTCCCACTTGTTTAGCAAGTGCGCATGTGTACCGCACTCAGAGGGCAGTTCATGCAGCTAAACAAAATCTGTCAGTGGTTGTGATGCAGCTGGGGCCAGGGGTTTCATCTGTGCGGGGTTATGATCAGCTGATGATAAATGATCTTAGCAGATGGGCGCCTGATGCTGGTACGAGCGAAGCTTTCGAGAGCATCTGAAGGGCGACGTCCTTGAAATCAGTGTCCCTAAAGGGGCCGGCAACGCGCAGCTTAAAGCAGCTCATCTTCAAACTTGCCCAAGCACACCAGGTCCAAGATATGTTCAGCACTGTTAAGGTTAACTCGAAAGTACTTCTGCCTGCAGACACTGTTGTGGTCCGCTTCAAGGTGCACATTGCTCGCCTGGAGCGGGGCCAGTCTGTGTACGTTGCTGGCAACAGGCAGGAACTTGGAGGTTGGGACAACACACGGGCGGTGCCGCTGGTGCAAACGGGGGGGTCCACTTGGGAGGTGGATGTACCCCTCTCCAGGGCGCTCTTCCCCATCCAGTACAAGTATCTGTTGAAGGATAACAAAGGCGGAGTGGTCCCGGAGGAGGGGGCTGACATCGAGCTTGCTCTGGATACCACGGCCAGGAAACCATCGACCATGATTGTGGTCAATGACGGGCACTTCAGGGTGAGCCGTTCTGCATCAGGCAACGTCTTCTTCGTTAGTATTCATGTCATGGACTTTGACGTCTTCTGGGAAATTGGCCCAGTGATCATTTTCTGCGGCATAGTTGCGCCGGGGTCACGAGTAGGAGCTGCGCTACTAGCAGGCAACCAGTAGTGATGGAGCATACATCAAGATGGTAGCACCTCCGCTTTTGTTCAACCATTGCTCGGGGAGCTGCGAAGCGGACAGCCTACTTATCAAAGTTCCCAGGAATGGCAATCCTCATTCACCGCTTAGGCCAAGTCGAGGATTTCGAGACAGTAGTCGAAAATACTCATCAGTTCCAGAAGAAGGGAGCTGTTTTCCTGGGCTGCTCTCTCTTCACGTCAGCAGCCTTGAGCATAAAATCCAGGAAGCCGCAGAATTCAAAAGTCTGAACCGGCAAATTTTGTTTCTACCAGTCCATCCCCTGGAAGGGGGCTGGCGTTGCAGTCCCGGTCTTCTCCATCCGGACTGAGGAAGATGTCGGCTCTGGAGAGTTCCTGGACCTGAAGTTGGTTGTCGACTTGGCCGTCAAGTCGGGTCTTCACCTGGTCCAGTTACTGCCGGTAAACGACACCTCAGTCAACATGATGTGGTGGGATTCTTACCCGTACAGGTAAGCCCCTGCTCCTGTTTCCTACTTCGCTATGCTTTGGTTTCCCTCTTGCTTTCTCTTAACAGATTCGGCTATAGAATGTCAGTTGTCAAGTTGGTTTCACTGTGGGCTCGTTGAGATTGCAATCATTTGATTTCCTTACTTGCAAAATATCAGGAATCGTTTGGTTTGAGAGTTTGAACTTATCGAGAAAGCAAAATCCTAGCAGGGTCAGCAACGATTTCGACAAAAAGTTGGATCGGAGCCTTACAGCATGAACTCGATGTTTTTTCAATAGGCTTGACGCTCATCTGCAACTCTATCCTCGAGGCGCCGCCATGAGGGGTCGTTCTCGTCGGAGCCAAGGCTTGTCCACGTGCTTACAAAAGCTTTCCTATCCCGCAGCTCCCTTTCCGTCTTTGCCCTCCATCCCCTGTACCTGCGCGTTCAAGCCCTTTCCGACAATCTGCCGGAGGCAATCAAATCGGAAATCGAAGCAGCACGCAGGACCCTAAACAAAGAGGTAGGCTCAGAGCCACCGCACTCGTCAGCCAAGTCGATTGGTTCTCTTGGGCCTCATCATTAGTCACAAGGTATCCAGGCAAGCAGCCTGGTGTTGAAGCCATAAAAGTGATTTGCCTGCACAATCCCAACAGATTTCGACTGCAACGCTGCAGTCGTGGTCTCCCCAATCCCATGCAATTGCAGACGAAAGGAATGTTCTTTGAACCGCGCGGAATCAAAAAATCGAACGGTTTGGTTATGTACTGTGGCCTTCTGCATTGTTTGACAAACACGTAGATTAGTTCTAAGTTGAGATGACGGTTTTCTGAAGCTCTTACGCTTTCTTAAATGGACCTTCCGAATGACAGGCTGTAGAGTATGAGGGAACCCTGAAAGCCAAGCTCGGTATTGCGAAGAAGGTGTACCTCCTCGAGAAGGACAGGGTGCTCAAGTCAGCGGACTTCAGTACCTTTTTCGACGAGAACAAGGTGAGCAGTGCACTACACCCTTGTTCGGAACCAGTCTACGGTACTCTGCCCTTCTCTTCAAGCTGCATTGTCTTTGTCGATTCGAAGCGTTTTGTCCTTACCCAACGTGCAGACAATCGTCGTACGGTTCTTTCGTTCCTTAACTTGAAGCACGTCACATAGGGGTCCTATCAGGTCGTGCTGAGTGATAACCAGCTTTGGGTTTCATCAATACCTTCAGCTTGAATCTATTAATTCCTTGCCCCGTTCGGATGACACATACTAACGATTTCTCCCTTGCAGGGCTGGCTGCGGCCGTACGCTGCTTTCTGCTTCCTGCGCGACCTTTTTGGCACTGCCAACCACTCGCAGTGGGGGGCCCTCGGGGAATTCTCGCAGAAAACGCTGGACCGGCTGGTGTCCCCCGAAGCGGACCACTACGGGACGGTTGCGTTCCACTACTATGTTCAGTATCACCTGTACAAACAGGTAAAGTCACGGCCCAGCTTCTCTTTGCAGCTAATCTGGGATGTGCAGTGGCGCACTGACTTGGCTCTTGGATGTAGACGGCGAAAGGTTGCAACTTACACCAGTCGTTCAATGCAGCGTCTGTTGCTTAGTAGCGGGGCGATTGCAGCCTTAGTCTATCACCCGTCGAGTTGGTTCTCAGGGTCGTCGGGCGAAGTACTCGCAGTCAGCGGAATACATAACCACTGTTGACCCGAAATGGATTATCCTTGAATACGAAGTCGAGGTTGACTCTCAACGTAGGACATGAGTTGTTTGGATGCGGAGCAAGATTCTGAGCTGCCAAATTGCATCCCTGCAGCTCAAAGAAGCCGCCGACTACGCCCGCGCCAACCGCGTCGTCTTTAAGGGCGACCTGCCCATTGGGGTGGACCGCAACAGTGTGGACACGTGGCAATTCCCCACCCTGTTCCGCATGAACACGTCCACCGGCGCGCCCCCCGACTACTTCGATCCCAACGGCCAGAACTGGGGCTTCCCGACCTACAACTGGGAGGAGATGGCCAAGGACAACTACGCGTGGTGGAGGATGCGACTGACACAGGTGCGGCAAGAAAGTCCTGAGACTCGGAAGCGCAGGCTTTGCGTTTTCTGTTCGAGGAATCTGTTCTGAAACCACTGCGCAATCACTCACTGTGCTGAATGACAATCTTCTCAACCAAGTGCGAGTGCCTAAGCTACTTAGTGAGGCGCTATTGGTCGATCATCTCGACACGAGAGTGAAAGCTTCTACGTTACTACCGACGTGGTTGTTTGAGGTGGTCTTCGATCTGTATCTTTCGATGTAGGGATTGCTATGTTCGTTCTGTGGCGCACAGAGTCCCATCCACTGTCCTGATGTAAAGGATATTGAGCTGTGGGGTCATTTGATTTTGCCCACTCACAACCGTCTTCCGCCCTGTACAGATGTCCAAGTTCTTCAGCGCCTACCGGATAGACCACATCCTGGGCTTCTTCCGCATTTGGGAGATGCCCGACCATGCGTGCACCGGAATCCGCGGCAAGTTCAGACCGGCACTGCCCCTGACACAGGTGAGAGAGCCGACACGTCTTGCTTTTTAGGACCTTGTACCCGTAGAAGCTCCCAATCAACTTTGGAGACCTTTCGTTTTGGGACTTCTTCAATGCGAAGGCTCTCCTCTTATTCTGGAATGCGCCCTGGTAAAACTTTGTCATATGCGCTGCTTCCTCCAGTCACATGCTGTGCCATCCAATTGTAGAGCAGCCAGAAATGCTCAGTCTTCACTGAACAGATTACGACTTGTTCTTCGAAGACTGTCGTTGGAACTTTATTCTGGCACAGCAATAAAGATCGACGCGAGAAGACAGCCTGTCCGGTTCACATAGGGCCAGGAGCTGCTGGGGATTATCTGCGTTGTCTTTTGAGCCCACACTAGGTTCTGGTACAACCGCCTAGGCACCCATTTTTAAGGGCTGCAAACCGCATCTTCCCCTTTCACTGACGAACTTGAGCATAGGTTCACTTTCACGAGCGTCTTAGCATCCCTAGTGGGTTCTACTTCCTGGTGGCTTGCGGTTTCCACGTCTTTCACGAGTCCTGCCAACACATCCGGTCTGAGTCCAGCTTAAGGAGTTTTTCCCGCCAGGGGTCTGACGTGCTCGTGTCTGTGGATGCAGAAAGAGCTTGAGGGCCACGGTCTCTGGGACTTCAACCGCCTGAGCCAGCCGTACATTCGGACGCACATCCTCCAGGACGCCTTTGGCGCGCAGTGGAAGGAGATTGCCTCCAAGTTCTTGAACGAGTTCCAGGAGATGTGCTACGAGGTGCGGAACCGTCCCCGCTCTGTGCCTTTTCTTTGCTTTGTACCAGAGAGGGGACCGAGTGTAACCAGATTTGCTGCGCGTTGAGTCTAGAATGGGCTGCCTCATTGTGCTCCGCAGTATCCTTAGTCCGCTTGGAACCTCCGTTGATTCTCGGGAAGAGATTGGACGATATGGAGTATTGATCAGTGCTTCTGCTACCGCATGGGCGCGCTGTCAACACGTATGGATCAATAAGTCGTCACGCAATGTCTCCAGCATGCCCGTACGGGCAGCCCACATGGCCCTGGGAAAAGTGACAGGCACCTCTTGTGCTGTGCTGAGACCCACGGCGTGTCGCTAGATCGCGGGACGTCTTTATCTGCTACACGAAATCACGATCATCAGGGCTGAGTTTCGTGCTTGGGTCAAGGTTGATGCTGATAACCAGAGGCGAAACTCTTCTGGTTGCAGTTCAAGGAGGAGTACAGCACGGAGAAGAAGATTGCAGCTGCGCTGACGCCCCGGCCGGACTCCCCCGACTGGCTGAAGAAGGAGTTGGACGAAACCAAGAAGGGACTCTTCAAGCTTATGTCGGTAAGGCCTTTACCACTTCATTGGGCCTTGCTGCGCCGTCCTGTTGCGGAGATTGTGGGTTTGAAGACCGCGTCACTTTCCAACCCCTCTTTAGCCTGCATCTCTTGCCTGGGGTCCGCATTGATACTTCCACACACCTCTACTCGACGATTCTCTGCAGAACGGCTGCCTGATCCGCAATGTATGGGATGCAGGCACTCTCTATCTGGACTCCATTCTGCATGAATCTCCTGAGTTTTCAAGTAAAGCCAGTTCGTTTGCCCTTCCCTACGCTTCTGCTTTGCAAATCGCTCCCCTTACTCGCAGCCATGAGGACCCCGACCCTTTCCTGCCCTGCTTCCATTTTCGCAACCCTACATAGCACACAAGAAAGTCAGTGTCGTACTGACCTTTTTGAGTCCTTGCTTGCATTTGCAGGTTACTGCCTAATCTCCAATCATCGTGAGAGTCATGGAGTAATTGGTTTCTCTCCTCTTGGTCACCCATTTCAGACTTTGTGTTTTTCAGCAGAACATTGGCCTGATACGGGACTCCCCACGCTCCACCTGCACACCGCACAGTACTAACACCTTTGCACAACTCCAGCTGTATCACGTGGACCTTCTGCCTCGTTGACTTACGCATTCAGACTTTCCCTTCTTGCAGAGAATCTGCCTATTCGCGATCCTATCACCATCCCGCCACGCTTTTACCCTGGCGTTTCCCCCGTTACACTGCTAGCCTCCTAAAAGAAGTCCGGGTTATCGAGTGGCCACTCTCCTCTCATGCCACTCAACTTAGACCTACCTCTTCTCGCAGACCATCTGCCTGATTCGCGACCCCGAGGACCCGGCCTCGTTCCACCCGCGCCTTATCTGCAGAGTACCTGCCTAACCCGCGACCCTAAAGGGCCCCCTTTTCAAACCCGCTCTTACACCTGAGAGTACGAGCAACTAGGCTGAGACCTTGCCGGCCAGCCCTGAAAGCGGATGCATCGCTTTGTTTGCAGAGTACCTGCCTAAGCGGCGACGCTGAAGTGGCCCCCGTTTTTCACCCCCGCTTCATGGGGCACCTCACACAGATTCCCAGGCTTTTCAAGTGGGTGTTTCGCCTTTGAAGGTTACTCATCTCTGTTGAAACTTCTTGCAGAACATCTGCCTGATTCGCGACCCCGAGGACCCCGCCGCGTTCCACCCGCGCTTCAACCTGCAGAGCACGAGCAACTACGGCGACCTGGACGAGCACAGCAAGGCCGTGCTGCAGGCGCTGTACACCGACTACTACTTCGGCCGCCAGGAGCAGCTGTGGCGCGAGAACGCCCTCAAGACGCTGCCCGTGCTCATGAACGCCTCCGACATGCTCGCGTGCGGGGAGGACCTCGGCCTCATCCCTGCCTGCGTGCCACCGGTAAGATGCTTTAGGATCATCTTGCTTTTTCGATTAGTTTGAGCGGGAGACTTAAGGAGCGCCGATGGAAACGGGTTGCTAGATCAATGGGTGACTTCAGGGCAGTGAGGGGGCTGGGCGCCTGATTTGCAATCAGAACGGCTGACCCTCAGGCAGTCGAGTCCGAACTACGTCAAGTTGTGGTTTCGTTTGCGTAGCGGCTTTCCTCGAGGTGCAACTAGGTGAGAAATGCACTGGGTTCCAACATGATACTAAGTACCCCGCACTGGCAAAGCTCTACGTAATTTAAACGGTAACAGTAATCATACACAGGCTCTCGAGTCTCTACGATCTCCATCCTTCGGCCTACTCGGCTTGTGGCACAAATATTTACATGCAGGGTGCGAGCAGCGCGGCTGTCAAATCGGGCGCCGACATTTTTAACTCCGAACCCTGTGGAAATCAGACGCCTTCCCTTGTCCCTTGAAACCCCGAATCTTTTCCAGACACTTTCAAGTCAATACCCCTCAACCACGCCCTCGCTGTGCTGGGCCTTCTTGCTGCTCGTTTGTCACATATCCAGAACCTGCGTTTCAGCCCGAAGCTGTCAAAACATGTCGCAAAGTCGCAGCCATACACGCCCCCAACTCGCACTTCCATCCGTAGACTCGTAGACTCAGTAGACTCGTAGACTCAGTAGACTCATAGACCTAGTCGATTCAGTTCTCAGGTCCCCGTCGAGTGGGGCTGCACGAGTAGCGTATGCCCAGCACGTTTTGGCTAAGCTCAAGCTCCCAAACCCCTTTGCAACCCACTGCGAAACCTCAGATGCATAAACTACTCATCAACCCTTTCTTCTCCAGAAATTGCCGAATTGCGTCTGCTAGGGCTGCGCCCAGCCCGTTTTGTAACCTCCGAGCTTCTAACCCCTCCCAAACCCGCTTCGCAGCCGTGGATACCAAAGTCTTTCCTTAACCCGGAATCTTAACCACCCAGGTCCTGTCGGAACTGGGCCTCCTCGGGCTGCGCATCCAGCGCATGCCCAGCAAGCCCGGCCAGGAGTTCGGCCTCCCCGTCGAGTACGAGTACATGACCGTGTGCGCGCCCTCGTGCCACGACACGTCCACGATGCGCGCCTGGTGGGAGGAGGACAAGGAGCGCCGCGACCGCTTCTTCCGCAACGTGCTCGGGTTCAGCAGCGCGGCGCCCGACAAGTGCGACCCGGACGTGTCGCGCGCCATCGTCCAGCAGCACATGGAGGCGCCCAGCGTGTGGGCCATCTTCCCGCTCCAGGTGAGACGGGGCCGCTGACGTGGCACTGACGTCACTTTGTGCGTGTGTTTGAATGGAAACCTATTGTGATCTGGGCCTGTGGCATTCCTCGGGGGCTCTAAATCTCTGAGCAAAGTGGGCCTTCTCAAGAGAAACTTCGTTGTGAGGGGGTTACTGAGGACTCATTGGCAGGTGTCTTCATGGGTTTTACTCTCGAACGAAATGCGCTGTGGGATATTTGCGGTGGTCTTCGGATCTGTCGGCAATTGACAGTCAGACCGACTGGTTACTGCGGCTCCGGTTGATTACTGATCTTCTCAAAAAAATTAGAGTGTCCTGAAAGCGAGAATGAGATTCAGAGGCGGAGGAGCTGAGCGAGCAGAGTCGCGAACGCTTCGCTGTTGCGGGAAGAGAGAGGCTGTGCAGCACTTCCGTTCCCAACGATCATTCCGTCTTCTTCAGAGCACCTTGTGTTGGGAGCTATCCTACTATTCAGGATGCTCGCTTCACCGTCTCCAGATCTTCTCATAAAGTACAACCGACGCTGCTGCCGTTCTATCCCTACTCCCCAGCAAACGATGGTACAAAACCTATTTCTGACACGTGGCTCGCTTTCATTGGTGCAGGACCTGATGGCCCTAAAGGCCGAGTACAGTGCACGGCCGTCCAAGGAGGAGACCATCAACGACCCCACGAACCCGAAGCACTATTGGCGGTTCCGACTCCACGTGACCATCGAGAAGCTGCTGGGGGACAAGGAGCTGACTGGAGGCATCAAGGAGTTGACTGTGGCGTCCCACCGAGCGGCCGAGGAAGGCGGAGCGCAGGAAAGAGGGCCTGCGCCCGCAAAGGTGCATCCGTATATGGCAAACGGTACTGTCAAAGAAAACGGCGTGATGCATCAGGTTTGAGAGGATTCGCTTGAAGAGAGTGGCCGGATCGGAAATGATGAGGATCTGGTGCTGCTTAAAGACAGAAGTGCGGAGTTCTGAGGATTGCACACATTACAACGGCATCGACTTTGGAAATACAGGTGCATCATCCGAGTTAGCGAGTTCTTCGTAGAGGCAATGGTAGTTGGCCTGGCTGATCAGGCGAGCGAAATTTGAATTCAGCATCGTGCCACCGAGCATTTTAGGTAAATAGGCAGGTTAGTTGGATATATATACTGGCGATGTATCATTTTATACAGCTCCGACTAGTTTGCCCATTGGAATGAATCTATTGGCAGACATTGATATGGATTGCAACACCAATCAACAACATTTCTTAACGTTTGAATTCCATTGATCCATCCGACGGCATCGGACCCCTCAAGGGTGCTAACGACCCGAATCCCCAATTGCTGGCAGTTTGACCCGGACCTGGCTAGCTGGGAAGGGACCGTGGCAAAGCCTTGAGCCAGTTGACTTCTAGCAGATTGATTTTGAAAACACTAATCATCTACCGAGGGGGCGGCAGGTGTTGAGTTCTTGCCGCACTCACGCATAATCATCTATTCTGCTTGCTTACGGATTGCTTACGTTTACCGTACCCTAGTTAAAAAGCATGCAACATGTTCGTATGTGCTGGATTTGAACGGGAGCAGATTGCAACGATATGTGACAACTTGTCGAGTCGCGTGCGGCTCATGGCATGCACGTCGAAAATCTGTGAAAAGAGGTGCATGACGTAAGAGATGGCGATCCTCCACGCCACATGCTCCCCTTGACCGTCCTTAAAGAATGCATGTAAGGACTCAAACATATGTGCACGTGATGGAAATGGGAAGCGACTCGAGTCACGTCCAGCCGCCTCCACAAGTGAGATCAGGCTAGGGGGATGGGGCGGGGCCTAGATAGTCAAAGACGGTTACTAATCAAAAATATGCATGCTATAGCTTTGCCCTATAGTCGATGCATCGTGCACCGCACTACCATGGTCGGAACATGCAGGCAGGCCAATGATCGCCCCAAGAATTATTACCGACGACACCGAACTTAAGCTTATATGATATGATCATTAGCGGTCAATAATTAATCTGTAGCTCAACACTTGGTTACATTGAAGGTCAAGGGTCGTCTCAAACAGCCACACGCAGCCGGAGCAACGTGGAAGCCGCGCTTGTTGACGGATATTCTCTTCTCGTACCTTAACATAAGGCAACCACATTGACGCGAAGATATCATATTGCCTATACCCGCAAAAGAAAAGGTACACGCGCCGCCGCTGCCGCCTTAACATACGTCGAAGTGCCGATTTCGGTAGATAATGCTATCAGCCTTTGCCGTCACGTCGAACAAAAGTAATGAGGACGCACACTTGCGCGCAAAACGGGAACTCCAACTTGCTCACAGTCCTGAAACCCGTACGTTTTCAGCTTGGTTAGTCTATCAAGACTTATAACTGGGCGGCGTGCATACCTTGTAGCGGCTGGAGAGGGGGCCGCCGTGCGTCAGCTTCGAGGCACGACGTTTTTGTGTCGTCTCAACGGCCCAACTTTCTTCTCGCCCAGTGCTCTCTAACGTCAAAGGTCAAGCGGAATCCTTTACCACCAGCAAATGATGGACACTAAGCGGCCTCTGGGTTATCTCAAATCCTAAACCCGCTATGGGTGCCTATTCACACCGCCTCCGGCCACCGCTTCCCGTGCCAGCCCTTCTGCCGCCGGACGCCGTCAAGGTACGTCAGCAGCAGCTGCGCCTTCTCCACATTCACCTGGACACGTGAGAAGAAGAAGATGGCAGCGATTCTCGCCCGCTTTCAGAAAACGGGACCCGTCTTAGAACACCTCGCATCCGTGCCCGTAGATGCTGCCTAGATCAGCGTTCCAGAACGGAAGCTTTTTGACATCATGCTGACTCTGTTTTCCATCCCGCTTTACTCTTATTCGTGAACCAGCATTCTCGGTCCCTAAGTCTGGACGGCTTGGTGATACTTCGAACAACCGATGATCTCCGCTGGGCAGGATTTCTGAACCGCTCAAACAAGTCGACGCTTCAAGGCGATTCTGTGCTGTCAAAGAAAGACGTTTGGTTCCACGAATTGTCCAGACCTTTAACAAGCGGCGACAATGAACGTATCCAGAAAGGCATTGTGATGCCGAGTTAGCGGTGCCGGGTTAGAGATGTCGGGATTGACAATGGAACACCCACAGGCGACGGCCCCTTCTCACTCTCCATCCCGGACAATCTGCAGCAGCCCATGCAGCAAATGGTTACCGTTACTAACGGACGAACTTTGGGTTAACCTTCCCTAACCCAGCATCTTTTCATACAAAAACACGCGACCACAAAACAGCGGTAAGGGCAACCCGCCGAGAAACTCGCCTGCTGTCCGTAGTGCGAGCCGTCAAAGCTGGTCGCCTCCACCGTCAGGTTGTACGTCTCAAAGACGGGCACCCGCGGCCGGCCCTGCGCGCGCGTGCGCGCCTCGAAGAAGCGCTGGAGCGCGTCGTTGAACCGTAGGGTCGCCTCGGTCCCCTGCGTTTGGAGGAACTGCGCGGGTTTATTGCGCCCGGGCGCATGGCGCGCGATCCATACGTGCTCGGCCTGTGGGGACGCCTCCAACAGGGGCAGGATCTGCGCGGGCGCGGGGAGGGTTTTGTCAGCAAGCCATGTGTGGAGAGAAGACCACGCATATCTTTTTGACAGAGCATGCGATGTTGGGGGACGTCTCCAAAAGGGGCAGCATCTGGGCGCGCGCGCGGAGGGAAGGGGTTGTCAGCATGCCACGTGTGTCAGAGCGATAAAGAAGGCCACGCGTATCTTATTGACGGAAGAAAAGAAAGGCAGAAGCGAAGGCTCCAATAGGGCAGAACATGCGTTGTGGGGGGCCGCCTCCAACAGGGGCAGGATCTGCGCGCGCGCAAGGGGGGGGGGTGGTTGTCAGCATGCCACGTGTCTCAGAGCGGTAGAGAAGGCCACGCGTATCCTTTTGGGGGAAAAGCAGATATTAACCAGAAACGACGAATACCAAAAGGGCAGGATATGCAATGTGGGGGAGGGGGGAAAGGTGGGGGGCTGGCGTCAGCATGCCCGCGCCTTTCAGAGCGGCAAAATGCAACTCGTATCTTCTTCTTTTGGTTGATTAGCCGGACAACCAGCTAAACATGGAAATCAAGGCTTCAAAGATCGTACGAGGCTTGACGTCTGAAGACGCGAGCAGAGGAAACGAAAGAGAGAATCGAAGGAAAGATGGCAGGCAAAGGGAGAAAGGAGGCGAAGGGCCAGGGGTGGCCTCAAGCGCCGGGCGTGTATCTTCAAGCGCTTTCCAAAAAAGGTTTCTAGGTGGCTCTGCGCTAGCAAATTTGAGCAGCAAGAACGATGTTCTGGTATTGGCGAGCGTAGAGGGGCTAGGTCGCTCTCCACAACTTGCTGCCTTTGTCCAGGCCTAGGTCGCCCCCGGTGGTGCCAAAGCCCGGGGACCGGCATGAGTTGATCTTACGATTTGTGACGCGTCTTGGCACCAGGCAGGAGGGGAGAAGAAATCCAGCGCCACGTCGGTCGCGGGCTTAACCACTTGAGTTAAGCGTCAACCGGGGGCGTCACCCATTTCAGAAGAGTTGCAACTGACCAGTTTGTTCTGACCGGTGAGGCGAGACAAAAGGGGAGACGGATCCGAGCAGCGGGCGTAACAACTGCGGGTTTAAGCGTCAACCGGGGCCTCTTCCGTTTCAGGAATGGTTTAATCGCGGGGTAATCACGCGGGGTTAAGCGCCAACCCGGAGCCTCACCCGTCTGAGGTGAGTGTCGATCGTGAGCGTCGCGTTCAGGTCCATGTGCAGCCCCACGCCGTGCAACACGACGGTGCGCGGGTGGTCCAGCAAGTGCGCGCGCAGCCACTTGTCGTTCATGAACGTGGGGTGCCGCCTGGAGGAAAACGCGCGCGATTAGGTTAGAGATTGTGCGCGAGTACGTCAAACCCTGTGCGCGGGTGGTCCAGCAAGTGCGCGCGCAGCCCCTTGTCGTCCATGACCGTGGGGTGCCGCCTAGAAAAATGCGCGATTAGGTTAGAGACTGTGCGCAAGTGCGTCTTACTGTCAAATGGTCCAGCAAGTGCGCGCGCAGCCTTCTGTTCGTCAGGAACGTGGACAGAACAGTCAACGATTCCAGATTTAGTTTGGCGAAAGGCTCACAGATCATGTGGCAATCGCTCTTCTAAAGGAATAGAGTTTTGTCCAAAGGGGAGTGGTGCCGTCCGAAGGGAACGCGCCGATCAACAACCGTCCCAATCCGTACATGCGTGCTTGCAGGATGGCCTGGTTGACAGACTACTTAGCAACTAAAACATTCTAGTACCCAAAAGAAAGACAAATGGGCGGAGACTTTGTGGATAATGGCGCGAGAGCGTCGCGGACATTGCCAGCCCTCAATCAATCCTTTAAGAAGCTGCCACGCCGTGCCGGTGCTCACTAGTGCAGGAAGTCGAGCTGCGGCGGGCGGACCCCAGGACACATTCACCAAGCTTCAAAATTCGACGCCCATTTTGAGCCAGCCCTTCAATCTAAACGCCCCGTTATAGCCTTGATAGATACAGAACTTCATGTAGTGACGCCGGTACTATTCTTAGGAAGTGGACCCTTGGTCATCGAAGAAACCGTAACCGGGTCTGTCCATCACAAAATGTACACGCTTGCTGCCCCTCTGGGCTATACCAAAAATCAACCATCTCACCAATGGAGAAAGTCGAGCTGCGGCGGGCGGACTCCTGGGCACATGAAGTTGAGCCAGTGAACGTGCACCTCGGCCGAGAGCTCCGCCGTGCGCCCCGCGAAGTCGCGCGTGGAGTGCACCCAGAACGGCCGGCACGCGCGCTCGTCGAACTGCTGCTCGCCTTGGCAAAACTCCTGTGGGCATCGCCAAAGTTTCGTTGTGGACATGGCGAAATGGTACTTCCTAGAGTTGCTTTCAAAGAGTGAGCTTCTTGGCTGCCCATCCAGGAAATAGAGATCCGCAAACGACACGAGAATTCTTGAAGTTTGTCGTGACAATCCTAACTCCAATTCTGTCCGAAGTACAAACCCAAGAGGAGTTCCATCATTTTCCTGTCTTCGGATTAAAGAAAAGAGAAGTTTAGCCTCTAGTTTGAGAAGACGTTTGGACGACCAATTCGTGGACATTTGACTGGTGGGGTTAGCAGAAGGCCCGACACTAGTGGTGGATTAGATTGGTAGAAGGAGACAAGGCGTCAAGTTCTCCGGAGCGAGATCCCAAACAGACAAATCGAAGCTGGCGTGAAATCGGATGACGCTGCAAGCGCTCACTGCATGGATTCCAACTTCAGGTGCGACACTGGCCACCCCCGCTAGCTTCTTCCGTCGAGCAGCCTCTAGTCTTCACACCTCACCCGATGATATCAGGGAATTCCGGACCCTTATCTCCCTGGCTATAAACACCGCACGACCCTGGTAAAAGGTCTGTCAAGATGCAAGGGTTGATGCACGTGATGACCTGGGCGTTCATCCCTTTCAAACCTGCTCTCAAACCACCTTTTAGAACACCCCGTTCGAAGGTCCATTTGAGGGTCCTCCCGGCGTTCATTGGGCCACTCATGGCCTCTGTCAACTAGGGCAAAACGTGCCAAAAGGGCCCCAAACGAATTGCCACCAAACCCCCAAAACCCCAAAATCTCAAAATCCAAAACCCAAACATACCAAAACCCTCATGTCACAAGATGCTAACTTACTGTGATGTCGGGCTGGCCCTCAAACTCCCATTGCTTCAGCGCCCCGTTCACGAAGTTATCCCGCAGCACCATGAAGAAGCCCCCCGTCAGCTGCCGCTCGAACGAGTCCCCAATGATGAGCACCGAGTCGAACGTCGACAGGATCTCGCACGCCTCGCTGGCACTGTGGACCCGTAGATCCGCCTCGCAGGGGCGGTCCGCGAAAAAAGTGCCGTTCCAGACCCCCCGACGAGACCCGTGCCGCACCGCCTCGAGCCACTCCATGGGGGGGCACGCTGGCCCCGGAAACGTGTATTCCATCTGGGGCCATGGGTCCGCGGCAGCTCTTACATTGGTGACTGCAAGAATGGAGGGCATTGGGCTAAGGGCTTCGTTAACTTCATGTCAGACTTCAGACTAGCACCAGGCTTATCAATTACTGGAAAAGCCCCAGCCCCAGCCGGTTGCCATGGAGATGAGATCCCGTCAGGACGTGAGAGCTGGGCGTACAACATTTTGACCCGCCTTTGGAAGTCCGGGCCAAAAGAGACAAGTGCACATTGATCTGCCGGCATTCTGGTCTATGGAGTATTTGTCTATAGCTATTGGTGGCGCTGAACAGCACAAAAGACATGGGTGCCTCGAATCTGGGTGGTAGCTAGCCGCATCACCCAGAGCCGCCAGCAAATACTGAGGTTGACAGGCTCGCAAAACCGCCAAATCATACCCTTCCAGTCCTTTGTGTGCATCTTGCCAGCAGGATTGAACTCTGTGGGCGCCAGCTGGCGGCCCCTTGTTGTCTCATTATGCTCGTGTCCAACTAGATTCAAGTGTGCAAGCCCAGCACTTGAGTCCATTTCCCTACTTCAAAGCCACCTCTCAGCTCCACAACTAAGCCCCACCGACTCTCACCGTCACTGGATGCTGCTTCCCGCTTTCCCCCTGCGGTTTCTGCCCCTGCAGCTTTCTGTGGCTCTGCCTCCGCGAGCCGCGGGCACTCGATGAGCGCTATTGTCGCCACCTGGCTCCCACGCATGAGCACATTTGCAAGGCAGAGTAAGAGGAAGGATAGCACGGCAAGCATGACCGTGACTAAGAGCTGGGCCGTCCGCCCCCGGCCGGCCACCATGCCGCTTGCTGGGCCCCAGGCAACGCAAACCCCAAGTCTGGTTCAATGCACTAGAACCTAGCTAGTCTATCGCACCAGTCTTCTTGCAGAGGTTCTCGGTGCGGCGGAGTCTTTGTTGCGGCGAATCTCAGCTTCAGCGAGTCTAGCTGCGGTGAGGGTTACTGTGGTGAGTTTAGCTGCGGCAAGTGGAGTCAAGCCGTAGTCTCCGAGTCTGTGATCAACTCTGTCCCCTTTGCTGTAGCACACAAGCGTGATTGAGAGCAATGCTGCTTAGCTGAAGGTTGGCAGCCACAGATATTTGTCAGAAAAGCTTCCTGTGAAGCTGAAGAATTGCAAACATTCCAGTTGCACTGGAAAGCACACCTACTAGCAGCATCGACTCCAGAGCTGGCAGCTAAGGGTGAACGAATCTACCTATCCTAAGCGGCTTGCGACATCCAGGTACTCTGGAGCTACGAGTTCTCTTCAGACTCTTTTTACCTGCTGGTATATCAATATATGTTTCAACCCTTGCTGTTCTTCTGGAAAAAATAGTATACCGGCTGTGCTTCTTTTCTCGCAGCTTTTGACCAGCTACCTAATGCTTCGGGCCCGCTTCGGGGTAGACCATCATCTTTGACTTCGTTTCCATCTCCAGACAGAGTCAGCTTCGAGTCTTGAAATTTCGGGATGCCCTTTCTGTATGGAACATGAGGGGCAGCTTGGAGGGGAATGCTGTCAATGCTAACGTGGTGGCTTGACTACTGTCCCCAGTGCATGTGGGCAGAAGTAGGTGATCCGAGGTTGTACCTTCGAGTAGGTACATAGGACAACGTCGGCAGGATGGATCAGTACTTGCACTGTGCAGCGACCCCCCCGGGGCAAGTTTATATCAATGATTGCTGCGCTCGCCCAAACTTTTCCATGACACAAACCCGTAGATGTAGATTACGGATGCAGCTGCGTGTCAAAATTGTCAATAATTATTCAACTGGTAAATACCGCTCGGTCGATTTGTACACGTAGGCACGCACAGCCCGGCCCCCGGGGATCGCCGCCGCCAAGTCTGTAGCCGCTTTAGTGCCGATACGGTACGTCCGAGTCACAGGCTGTGGAGCCGGATAGGAAGTACAAGTTGAAGGGATCCCTCCACTAGGTCCCCGCGTTGGAGGGAAAAGTTGCACTTCGGAGGTTTCTGGGTGAACGGAATAGCGGAACCACCGGACTCCTTTCGCGCCACTTGTATATAGGGTTTTGCGACTAGGGTTTGGCTGGGGTCAGGGCATTTCGGCTTTTGCTCATGGGAGGTTCAATGCAGCAGGAAGGATTGTATGCATCTTCTGAGCACCGCATCAGCATTGCCCTGCATGCCCCTCCTGATAGGATGTCTGAACAAATAGCAGCTGTCTTGATCGAGCATGCTCGAGGCCTGACGCAGCCGACCGCCAGCTTTGACCGGCAGCGCCGCTAATCTAAGAAACTGTGAGCCGCACTTCAATCTTCCTTCAGAATAGGGGTGGCTTGGCCAAGAGAACGTTCGACAGATGAGGTGAACGGGTTGCAGCTCGCCAAGCTGCCAGCAAACATGTGTTAAGAGCTTTGGCAGCGGTAAAGACTACTCCGTTCGTTCCGGTTCCTTGTGGTTCAACCGCTCTGTCCTCAGGGGATACCCCCTCAAAATCCTGCCGAATTCGGTTCGGTGCCGCAGGTCGCTAAGCTGCCATTGGATTTGTGCTGAAAGCTTTTGACAGCGGTCGGATTCTTGCGCTCCGCTTCTCGCTCGATGTTGACCGTTTCCGTCCGTGACTTGTATCGGAAACGCTCCGGAATCTGGTTTATCTCCGTCCGGTTTCAAATCTGTTTAAATGTGCGGGCTTGCATTATGCGGTGATGAGCCGTTGCTATGTTATGTAAGCGAGTCCTCCATTAAGCTTCTTGTCATTGTTACACAAACTGAAAGGCCAGCGTAGCACCAAATCGCTACCACTGAATCCTCTTCATAGAATAGTATTCTGCGACCCAAAAGGGAGTCGAGCGGTGAGATTTGGGCGGCTGTTTCCGCTCCTTCCGTAGGTTTGACCGCTATATATTGAGACCTCGTTTATGATCTCACCCCGGAAACACGATTTTCCGCCCCAAAAAGAGAGCTTGGAGCCCGAATCTGTTAGAATAGGGGAGTACATTTCGCTCTATTTTCGAGTCTTATAAGCTTACATACTTCTGATGCAGGTTTCCTTGGTGGACGGCATGTACATACCCACTCGTTACCCGAACGATTGTCCACGTGGCAAGATCCCAAGCGACGTCTTTTCCGCGCAGCAAGTCAACAAGGCACACGCAGCTGCTACTTCAATACTGGAGGGCTGTCGAGCTCCGTATGAGAAAGCGCGCTTGTAAAGTTGATTGTTTTACCCGTGCTTTCAGTCAGCCTGCGCTTATGCGGCTATCCACGATCAGCTAAGACCAAGAGATCACTTTCACACGACTCGATAGCAGCTAATGCAAATTTCAGGCCCAGATCTGATAATGGTTGCGTTTGGACGCCTCCAAGATACGAAGCCGCAAAATAGTAGTTGTCAAATAGTTGTTAGTTCGTCTCTAGCTGGCGACTCGTCTGCAAAGCGAGTCAGACTGGGCGCGGGGCAGATTGCAAGTAAGTGCACAGAACTTACGTACCGCTGTCGATCAGTGTCGTGAAGCTTGACATGCATTTATCGGCAACCTTGCTTGGAATTTGATGTACGGGCACAAATGTATGTGAATGCACCTTACTATAATCAACATGAAGCACAATGGTCCATATTAGGTGTGAGTCAGCGACCCAGACGCTTACGAGTCGATACATGTCACTGAGTGCGTTGATAGTTAATGGAATGTTGCAGTTCACATGTCTCAGGGTCACGGAACCTGTCAACGATTAACTTTCAATGAGGATAGAATTAACCTTGATATAGTACCTCATGAGATAAGGAGTCCGATCGCCAACATGGAACATGCAGTGTTCTAAAATTCTCAACCATGCACTGAGATTCAAAAAGCCTCATTCGGATTCGAGGAAATGAGCGAGTGGCTCACATTGGAAACACCATGACATGCCCGCCCCCGGTATCTACTCAGCATGATGGACTATACACACGATCCGGATGTTATGGAAGTGTTCTCAGGAGATCATTGAAGAGTTGTGCACTGAACATGACATGCAGAACTTAAGCTTTATGGACCAACTTGGAGAGGAGCACTGATACCCCACCGCCACGTCGTGCAACTTCGCTTAGTCGATCGGTCGAATAGGCAATCCCGGCCCAATCCAACAAGTGATCCGTCACTTCAGTCGGGGGTTTCTCTACACTTTTTCGTTTCTTCGATTTGTTTAAGCTGGCTTGTTCCTATTTTTCTTTTCTTGGGCCCACGCGTTGGCACACAAGAGCCAGGAGCAGAAGACTACAAGCACGGTAAGTCTGCAATCTTCGGTTGACCGTACCTTTGACTACACTATGACTAGCGTCGTTATGAGGTGGTGCGCAGAAGGTGGTTTTGCGCTCAGTTTGGTAAGCGTGGTTTCCACTCATTGTTTGTGCTCTCGCCATCCACGTCTTTCACCCCCACCCTTAGCATGTCAGTGTTTGCATATCTGCTGAGAAGCGCATCTGCCTCTTAGGGCTACAGCCCCAAGCTCTTTCCCTCCTCTTGTTCTTGTGGACGGGCCTCGTTCGACAGGAGCGTGGTTTTCTATGTTGTATCATTGCATGTTGACCAGCTCGGTTGCTCAAGTTTCAGCATAAGCCCAAGCCCAAGCCGTCTGTAGCTTGCAATCTAATGTTTGGGAATGCAAACCGCCGGTTCCTTTTTCCCCTTATGAGAAAAGATCCCCAAAGCTTTGAAGTACGGGGCAGGGGTCTTTTAATGGCCCGGCGTCCTGCATTTCCATCCTAGATGCGGTCATTATGCTGCACAAGCCATGCCAGATACTCCAATCTACCAAGTTCTACCTACCCAAACCGGCGCTACAGTCCTCCAGGAAGAACAAGAAGTTCAGGTGCTGGTATTCCCCAAGTACATTGCTGAGCAGCTTTTGCAGTGTTAGGAGAACATGTAGTGTCGGTATGGTGTACTACGAACGTTGGTAGGTGGGGTACACATGCATTAGCACTTGAAGAAGAAGCAAACGAAACACACACCACATATGTATGCCATGAGAAGCCTATGGCCTATTTGGCTACGGCGAGAACGAAAAGAGACCATCCGTCACGGTGGCGGGCCATGATCGTAAGTCAGGCTCGCATGGCAAGCTCTCAACGGCGTGCCAGCAGCTAGTACACAAGCACAGGCTCTTCAGATGCCTTGGTCCTATGCGACGATATTACTAGGTTGATATGACACAATCTTTCTCATTTGCTTGAAATAGAGATGTTTGGTAGGGTAACATGATACGGTCTCTATACATTCATTCTTCATCCTCCATCAGTGCGTCCAGATCCGCTTTGTTCCGGTCGAACAAGTTCCAGATCTCAGATATCCGCTCGCGGTTCCGCTGGATCTCCCACTTCCGGTTGCTCGCGCTCAGCTCCTGGTACGCGCGCAGCGCCTGCTGCAGCCGCGCGTCCTCCAGCTGGTCGATCTTGGTCGTGTGCGCGTCGTGCGACGCTTGGATGGAGTTCATCAGCGCGTCCTTGTCTTGCAAAATCTGAGCCGAAAACGAAGCGACGTCAGCTTAACGTCGATGAAATATTTTGAAGTAAAGAGTTGGAACGTGAGATAATTGAGGGCTGGTCGATCTTGGTCCTGAATGCGGCGTGTGAGGCTTGGACGAAATCATCGGCGGCGCCCTTGTCTTGCAAGATGTCACCCACCGCCGTCAGCAATTCGTCAGCAAAGTTGAACGCTGAGAGAGCGACGTTGGTTGCGGCCAGGTTGCGGCTGGTCGATCCTGGTCGTGTGCGCGTCGTAAGAGGCTTGGGTAGAGTCTATCAGTGCGTCCTTGCCTTGCAGAATCTGAGCGGAAAATGTACCAACATCCGCTAGACGTCAGCAAAGTGGTTGAAGCACAAAAGTTGCTACGTGAAGAGGAAAAGGTTGCTATAGGCTGGTCAAATCTGGTCGGGTGCGCGTTGTAAGAGGCTTGGAGAGAATTCATCAGTGCGTGCATGTAGTTGAAGCAAATGCACGGCCTCACCTGTTGGAGCTCCTCTTCCGAGTCTTCGAAGGCGCCCCCGGCGAACTTTTCAAGCAGGTGCGCCGCCTGTGTCCCCACGGCCTCAAAGAACGTGTTCTCCAGCGTGCGGATCGCACCGAAGAACGCCGTGTACTGCAGCTTGTTGGCGTCCATGATTTCGACGTACGCCTTGTCGAACTCGGTCCACAGGTCCTGCATTGGTAAGAATTTGACGTTTCTGAATTGAGATTCCCGCACGAGTTTCGAGAAGATGGCTTGGAAGCTATTGGTGCACATTGCCAAACGGAGTCGGCAATCCTGCAATTGGACCTTGTCCATCTGGAAATCACGAATACCAGTCTTGCAGTGCGTACACATCAGTCTACTGATTGAGATTCTGATTGCCCGCTCGCATGCTGGTGGTTAGAGGTAGCGCTACTGTGTATCTGATGAGCAGATATGGTGGCTCTCGAGACCGTAAAGCCCAAAAGAAGCAGACTATAACGTGCAAAACTCAAGCTTGCTAAAGCTCTTTGACCATTTGTAAAAGGAGACTGTTCTGGGGTTGACTCTTCGAGCATCTACAGGGATTCTGAATCTTTCGAGATGACCACCGCAATCTCGTAAAGCACAGTTCTGAAAGAAGGGGTTAGTCGTCGCGCTGAGCCGCACCTCCAGAATGTCCACTGTCTGCATCTCCAGCTCTAGCAGCCTCTCTCTCAGCCGGTCGTTCTCCTCCCGAGGGCCGCGGAGCGCCTCCTCGGAAGTCGCTGGGTCCAGCTTGGCGGCCTGGAAGGCCTGCAGAAGAAAAGAAAGACGTCAGAAGAAAGAATGAGAGACCTTTTACCTTTAATCAAAATGACGAAATGCAGTCCTCCTCGAGACCGGCCCGAAACCACCTTAGGGGACGAGTTAGAATGGCCCCAAAGTGGCCATACGGCCTAGCCCTGCCGCATTAGGACTTCAAAGCTGATAAGGAGCTCGACCCAGAACTCTGCCTTCTTCGGCAAGCTCAAAACTCCTCGAATCTTAGCGGTCGCCTCAGAAACATGAAACAAATCGTGGCCCATTATATTCGGAAAGACATGTCATTTAGGTGGCCCGAAAGGGCTGGGTATGTCTGCGGATTCGAAAGTCTTGCCTTCTTTCGAGCGCTCTCGAAAGCGCTGACGAGCGCGCGCGCGGCCGCGTTCTTGTCGGCCGTCGCGCGCGCGACCGCGTCCTGCCAGAGCTGCCGCTCGTCTGCCACCTTCTTGTGCTGCTCCAGGATCGCGGTCCGGAAGTCTTCCGTCAGCGGAACGGACTTGTCCCGGAACCTGAGCACAAGCAGATCGATAAGCATTGAAGCACGCTTCTTGCTCTTTTTCCGTCACCAGAATTAGCGACAGCGTCAATACTGAAAGCTTTCCGCAAAATATTGCTTAAACCTACAATACTTACGGCCAATACACAGGAGGCCTGCCAAGGTTTACAGCGGTTTCAACTGAATCAGAAAAAAAGGGTACTGGATGCAAAAGGGCAGGAGTAAAAGGAAGGAGCAAAAACAAAACGAAATTCAAAAGAGGAAAGAAGAGGAACGGCAAAGCTAATATCAAATATGAAAGAAGGGCTGCACGAAAGGCGCACTCACTCTGTCAGGGCGTCAAGCAGAGTTGGCACTTTCTTCAGTTTCGCATGCTCCGGGTCCTCCGCAATCATGTCCTCAAACAGTGTCCCGATGCCCGTCAGGTTTGCGGCCGCGAGGCGCGCCGCCTCTGCGGCGACCTCGCCCCGCTCCTTCTCCCGCGTCAGGTCGCCCTCCTCGCGCTCCTCGATCTCGATCAGCTCGTCCTGGTATTGCTCGCGCGCGGCGGTCACCTGAGGTGACGTCACAAGAGGGGTTTCAGAGTCTCGTAACTTGCGTCAGCACAGGGGATTGGGCATAAGACAGCCGTTGACCGTTCTTCCGGAGCGTTTGCTAGGCAGTGCTGGCGAGGCGGTGTTGAAGGGACCTGAAAGTGGGCCCGGCCTTTGGAAGCGCACGAAGGTTTGCTTTGAAGCGGGCTTGAGCAGAGGTCGGAGAAAAACATGCCAATCATGTGTTGTCGGTTAAATCATTCTAGTCGATGATGGCGACTTTGTTCTCCGAGATTTGGATTGCGCAACCTGGAAAGAAGATAAGGGCGGGGACAAGGGAACGCACCGCTGCAGCCTCCACCGTCCGATAGTCGAGGTACTTGAGATCTTTGACGTGCGCGATCACGTAGTTTTTGTACTCAGGATCCTGCAAGAATACATATGATACCTCTGTCTCTGTGTTGTTGCTCTGTGCGAAGCGATCGCAGAAGATTGGCCTTGTGTGCGAGAGATCTGCAGAGACGCACTCGCACAATCAAGAACATGCATCCTTTTGTGCAAGTCCCGCCGCTTCCCTGCGAGACCAAACCTTGTGTGCAGATAGCCCTGGAAATGCGCGAGACAAGCGTTGACAGTTACCGAAACCCTTCCGGCATCGTACTGAATGACGTCTCTCTCACCTTGCCAAACGGGTTACCGTCTAGGTTCAGGAGTCGCAGATTCCGTAACCGCCTCAGGTACAGTAGCTGGAGAGAAACGGAGATATTCATGTGGTCAACGGAGAAGCGAATGCAGAGCAGGCGAAGAGAGAGTGTACGAGGCCTCCATTCGCGCGCACGAGCCCGAGTTCAAGCACAGAATCCCCCTGATTGCCCGCACAAGCAACCGTGGACTCATTTGTTGGCAAAGTTCACTTGTTCAAACAAGGCATACCGTGAGCAGAGAAAGGCCCGGAAAAGAAGCGGGAAGTCTATCCACTGGTTGAAACCCCTCGTTGGAGGCAGGTGACCTGTAATTTTAGGACTGTTTGGGCGGCGCGACCGAGTTCTAGTGGAGACATGCCCGATTAAGATTCCGACCTTCGTCAAGGTCTGCGAAGAAGCAACCTCTGTTTCTTATCGGTTTGGGTGCTCTGGGCGCTACAGTGAGACGACTGTCGACTATTCACCGGATATAGAATGCAAAGGTCTAGTGCTTCAGTTCTTCTTTAAGTTGGAATACGGCAAAGCAAGCTTTACCTAAGAGTTCGGAGAAAATGAAACCACCGCCGCCGAAGCTCACGCTGTCAAGGTTCTTCAGATTGTTGTTTCCCAGGGATAGGACGTTCAGGTTGGAGAGACTGTCCAGCCCTTCAATCTTGTCAATCTTGTTGTTGAACAGCGACAGGTCTGTCAACTTCGTCAGCGACTCCAGGCCTTCTATTTTGGTAAGGTTGTTGAATGACAGGTCTGCAAAGAGAAAAGTCGAAAAACTTTGCAGAGCAAAGACCTTGGATTTCATCTCCTCAGGTTGGCCATCTGCTTAACGTAGTCTGCTCACTTCCTGCTCCGTGATTGACCCTTTCTCCGAGGGCCGTACAGGCGCACGGGCAAGAAGAGCTAATGCTAATGCGAATGAGCATGAGCTTGCTTTTCAATCCCGACCTTCCTTTGTGTACGAAATTTTGTCACATTACAAGTCAACGGAGGCGTTCGCAAGATTTGGAAACTTGCACTGTATGTTAAGGTGCCTCAACATCACTTGGGACCTTGCTTTCACATTCCCGCCTCCCAAAGCCTCCCATGGCCTAGCCTGCACCTGCCAGAACGGGGCTGATGTTATGTCGGAAACCGATGAATCTGAGCGAAAGTAGCATTTTAGAGATGTACGTGCAGGAAACACAAAGGCGTCATCCCATCCGTCTCAGCTCTCAAAGATTTCACTCGACCCTAGGTTGTAGGGTAGCAGAAACGAAGTGAGGGTCTGTCTCGCCAACTCACCGAGCCATGTCAGGTTGGTCAAATGGCTCAAGTTCTCAATCTTGGTTATGGAGTTGTTGTCCAACTGCAGTTTGGTAAGACTGTCCAGGCCCCGCAGATTATCAATCTTCTTGATACCTGCAGCAATCTCCTGAAACGTCATTGCAATTGCACGGTAATTGCTCAAGCCATCACTTCTTGCCTGGCATCTTTCCAACAACCTGCCTCTACTGTCGAACCCCGCAACTGCTGAAGAGATAGACAGAAAAGGCAAACTTCTGACTGCACAGTTGCTTTGTCCCTTCTGCATAGCTTTCTGTTTCTGCTTTCAACATCATTGAGTTGGGTCAAACTTAGCAGTTAACGTTGTTTGTCGTATCCAGACCCGTTCCCTAGACATTCAGCCGTTTTGTTGGCATGACGTGAAGAAACGTGTTCTTGACCGTACTGAGCTTTTCCTTTGCGGCCATGAATCAAGGAGATGAGTCTTACGCTTGAAGCTGGCTATAAGAGACTGTGTTTCCCTCAAGGAGATTACAGGCTCAATGGTTTGCCCAGGCTCTCCTTTGTTGAGCACCTGCAGTATACCGCAGCATATTCAAGTCAGCAATACCATTTCGTCAAGTGTGGCGTAGACTGGGCGGCCAATTAGAATTGTTATAAGAGGGATGGAAATTTGCTGCTTCAATGCGAGCAAAGGTCGCCAGACGCGGACTGTCGTAACTTTTTTATTCAAGGAAGACCCATGAAAGCCTCAGCATTTATCAGTCTTGAATCAAGCCAAGTGGTGGTCAAGTCGAGTCACTTTGTTCTTCAGTTCTTGAAAGTCACACCGACAAGCTTTGGCAAACTAAAAACTATCAGCAATTTGTGCAGATTATGTGCTCAGTCGAAGAAGACTGCAACTAGCAGCTTAAAGAACGGCGTTACATAATGATCTTGATGGGCCAATATTAAAATATTGAAAGGACAATCCAACAAAAGTCAGAGATCTAGCCCTCAACTTTACAATCTTTTGCACTGGTTCAATTTTGAATCTTGCATAGTGACTTCCCTTCATTACCACCAACAGTGTGTAATGATTGCACGTAGTGATTGGGCAGTGATAAGCCAGCTCACCTTCACACATTCTCTGATAAGCTCCTCGGTGATCACATTTGCTTCGTCACTCCCGTCCATCTTGCTATCTCAGTGCCACGTCCACAAACAAGATTCCAGTCTCTCTCAGTTGTGTGTTTCAACGAGCCCCTCTAATATGCTACTATGCTAGGGGCTGCAGGAAGTTTTGCCTTCTCTCAGCCAAACCGCTCATGCCATTATTAGTACGTGTTTACCTTCTCATTCTGTTCTTGGGCGCATGTCTTCGTTATAGCTGGCTGGCAACAGCTCAATGATCCTCAGAGCGGCTTCAAGCGAAGTTTGTAAAATCTCCCTCCTTGTTTCTTCATCGGAGAGAGTTCATGATTGGATTCTATGCCAAATGAGCTATCCAGTGGCAATCTGCGAATTGCAATGACTGAATCTCTGTAAGAGAAAGTTGGTCCGACATGCTCAGCCATATCTGCAAGGTAACTAGGAAGTTGCCACGCCGCAGCTTGCTTTTGACAATCTGTGTTGAGATTGCTGAGACTGATTGAAAATTCATGAAAGAAGACAGGAACTTATGAGCTGCAGATGGTTAGGTACCTAGGAACTCCTCACTTGAAAGCTCTAACTGCTTGTCAAACTTCAACACCAAGCTAACAAAGCGGCCGCCGCCATACGCGCGCACATTCCCAAATTGAATGTTGGCCATCCGATGCTGCACGTGATCGTATCTACGCCACCTTTCGGTCGCCTGCCAAGAAGTCAATCTGCGGACGGTTAGTACCATTGCTTGCAGTCAGGGCACCGACATTCTGTCAAGTGGATTTCGAGTCCCTTTAGAGTACTACATATCTAGCTCGGATCTTGATACAAGAGTACCAATTAGTGTAGGTAAGATGTTCTGAGACGACTAGCTAACGTCGTCTTACCTTGTACAGGTTCAACGCCAGATGTTAAGATCACTTTGCATGGCGGGAACGTGGCGGTGCACTGAGGCTGGATCTGAGGCCTGGGGCGGTATAATTTCGCGACGAGTCTTCAACTGGTCCAAGATGAGCCGGGCACACCAAAATTTGGGTTAGCGAAGCTCTACTGTAGCTGTCGACAGCGTTGACCACCTCGATTTCCAGGATCCATCCAGATTGAGTTTGTTGGAAGCAAATGCTGCGTTCCCGCGCAGCTTCAATGCCAATGGCATTGCATTGACATTGCCCAGCTTGGATGGAGTCAGCTTGCCAAGTAGCTTGCGAACTTACACATTAAGGAGATGCATGGCATTACTAGGGAGCAGTACATGGGGATAAAGAAGGGCGTCCTTAGAGCCTCATGCAACAAGATTAGCTCACTCAATGAATGGTGCAAAGCGCTGAACCGTTGATGGTGGGGGCGCGCCAATAAGGAAAGGAGACAAGGGATTCCGGGTGCATCCCGAATGAAATGGACTCAAAAAGAATCAAATAGCATGAACGACAATCTGTATCATGAGGGGGTAGCTCTGTGTTGAACAGCAGGCTGAAGCACAAAGTCTTGAGAGGCGGGTAGGGCCCAGGAGGCAGGTAGTGACTGCCGCTAAAACACAATGGAAAAGCGCTCCTCTTGCTTTGATTACATCGCATAAGAGCGGGCAACCATGGCACTGCAAACGGGGCCCGATGGCAGCCTGCCAGGTGTCCCTCTCAGCGCCCCGGCCGCCGCCCCACCCTTCCAGCTTCCACGCGCAACCGGGCGCAGAACCAGCATGGGAGCCTTTGCTCCCTGGGTGCAAGCAGGCGGGATGACGTCACCCTTGATGACGTTACCAACGTCGTCAGAGCCCGAGCAGCGCCCTCATTTCCCAAGCGGGGCGCCTAGTTTCGTTGCCGTCCCTGAGCCCCATGCTGTGTCATCCGGGCAGGTTAGAATCGGTGGCGCGGAAAGCGAGTCAAGTTGGGACAGCCTGATTGCTGCGGTCCTCAACCATGGCCCGGTTCTAAACCTGGGGCAAGGCGGTGAGGAAGTGGCCAATGGGAACCGGTTATCACCAGTGCGGGAGTTTCCACTGTCCCCGTCACTGTTCAAGCCGGTTAAGGGGGGCATACAAAGTCCAAGTCTCAAACCGGAGGTCCTAAAGATGCTGCTGTCAAAACCCCAGAACCGCCCTGTCATGCAAAACCAGGAACGCATTCACACGAGCGTTCCACGAGTTGCAGCGGTGGGTGTGAACAGCCCCCTAGAGGGAGCAAACCCGCTGCCGAGCCCGCAGGTTCCGGCCAGCCGGAGCGGCAGCAATCCGACCCTTCCAATCAAAAAGCGGGCACAATCTAACGGCAGTGGGACTGCCACGTCATTGTCACAGGGACCCCCACTGAAAGTCGTTGCTTCCGAAGGGATCAACAGCCCGTGCCTTCCGGAAACCAAGCCGTTTCGGAGCGGGGACAGTGAGAGCACTAACCCAAGCCAGGGTTTGCTTAAGTCAGTGTCAGATACGAGCAGCCAAAGCGTCAGTCCTCAGCGCCGGCTTCGGAACGGGTTAGCGATAATCCCAAACCAGCGGCAGAGTGCACCGCTTGACAAGAACTTTGGGCCGAAGCAGCAGTTCGAGGACCGAAAGCGACCGGACGAAACGGACGTTCTGAAGATGATGCTGTCTGCCCGAGAGAAAGAACTAGAGGCGGTGCGCCGGGAGCGCGACGCGGTGCAGCTGATGGCGTGCGCGACCAAGTCGCTGCTGGATCGGAAGGACGAGGTGATCGAAGCGCTGAAGGAGCGCGTTGCGGCGCTCGAGGTGCAGGTTCGAAGCCACGTGGCTGGCCACGTGGGGGGCCACGTGGGGGGGCACGTGGGCCCCACAGAGAGCGAGGAGATAGCGCTGGCGGCGTTGACGGGCCTCCAGGGGGAGGAGAAAGCCCGCGTTGCTAGTTTCCGCAAGCCGCGGACGCCGTCGGTTACGGTGACTGGGGGAAGGATGCAGCGGATCCGGAGCTTCTCTTCTCCCCTGGGGCGGACAGACTCGAAGTCGAACCTGTGGCACAAGGAAAGCGCGCAGGGCCGGTTCGACGAGCGGTCGAAAGCTGACGGTCGAACGCCGCATGGCGCAAACGGGCAGGGTTCAAATTCGACGGAGCGGCCGATCGAAGATTCGAGGGGACAGTCGGACGTGCTCGAAGCCCTGATGGCGCTGCAGGGGGGGCGCCAAGAAGCGTCTGTTTCGGGAGGGGGGTCAGAGTCAAGCGGGGAAGCGCGTCTGTTGAAACAGTCAGGAGGGGCTCTGCCGGGGGAGAACCTCGGACCTAGGTCGGGAGTCAGAGGGAGCGAACCGGGGGGTGAGGCCCTAAGAAAGAAGAGGAAGCTGGAGGCCGGGGAAGAGCTGTCTTCCGGCGAGGAGGAACCGGGGGAGGTCATCGCGTCTCCAGTCCTCTTGCGACTACCAGGTCAGAATTCGCCGACTTGTTGCAGGCCAAAACGCAAGGAATAGTCACTCTGTGCGGAAGGAGGTGGTCTCAAAAGCAGTTTTGTCGCATCGATCACGAGTGTTGTGGTGCGAAGGGCTGCACGGAGGATGTTCAAATGTTCGAAAGCTAGAGGACTCTATAGGACGAGGCTTGAATGATTCGGCGAGTGCTAGCTGGTTGTTCCGAAGTGCCCAAGTTCGTTCTACCAGAAGAAGCGCACAAAAAAGCTTTTCTTAGCTTGAACTGACTGCACGACATACCCCGTGAGGTTAATCGCTCCTTAGATCAAATGCATGCGACAGGCCCAAGTCAAGCCGATTAAAAGCGTTGTCCCGCTTGCTTATGGAAGCAGCCTGCTTAATGAGAACGACTGGTTGACCGTAGGTTTTGCAGCATTTTGGAGATGTTCTGTTCGTAATAGAAAAATGGAGTATGGATCCGAGTTCACCGTTAAGCCGTGAAGCATCAAAGCTGACGTCAGCCGTTTTGTCGTTTACAGTTAGCCCGTTCAGCCGGCACCTCAAGAATGCAAAGACGGCCGCCTCCTCACCGGACCATGCCGACTCCACAGGTTCGTCGCCTTTCTCAAACTGACCTGGTATGAAACGACAATCAGACCCACGATTGCCAGCTGTCTGGTTCCCCGCCGGTCGGAGTAGTCCAAGAGGTACTTTTCGTTGAAAAGAACCCGTTGGGATTAGAGCTGCAACGCACATTTCTTTAAAAAGCGATTGTGCGGAGGCAGTTGGCCGAATCTGTGGAGACCGTGACAGATGGAGTCAGAATCTGCCTCCTGCTGCGGCTTCTTTGTGTCCGACGACCACTGTGCATATTATGGTGACTCTTTGACCTTGGGTGGAGTCAGCGGACTCGTAACTCGTGCTTCTTACAAAGGTTGACCGTTGGCTGTTTTGCACCTTCTTTTCTTGGAACTCTTTCTAGAGCACGGAGTACCCAAGTCACCTGGCTTTAGCACAAAGTTTTAAAAAGCGACTTTTATCAACGAACTCGTCACTCCGTTCCAATGAAAGTCCCGTTTCCAATCCCAAGTACTCGGGCATCGCCCAAAGATGGAGTCGGCATCTTCCAAAAGCCTCCTTTTCCATTAGTATGCAGAACATTATGTTGCTCGACCGTTGCGCTGTTTGTCAAACAATTTGGGCTGAGTTTCAGAGTGAGCACTGAACCCGCTGCATCTTCTCGCAGACTCGGACCGCCCCATCTCCCCGGCCTTCTCCCCCGGGCAGCCCCGGTACGCACCGGGCGTGCACCGGGTCACCATCAGCAGCAAGCTCATGCCCAGGGTGCGCGCGCGCTACTCCTTCGTGGTCGACGCGCGGGGCCGTCGCAGCACCGAAAAGGATACGTGTCAGATCGTGTGTACGAACCACTGTCCGCAAGGACGCAACTCGTTCGCGTCGCTGTCCGCTTTCACGAAGCGGCACGGGGACGGCGTCGGGAAGAGCTGGCGGCGGAAGCTGGTGCTCATCGACGGCCAGGATCGCGCCGCGGGCAGCCTGTCTCGCTTCTTGAACGGCCTGGATGACAAGTGACCAACTGGATGATGCAAGATATTGGGTACGTCGTCTAAACGGTTGAAACAGCGGGTGTATGTCAACGTTGCTCTCAGTCGTGTACACATGGGTCCGATCCGGACGGTGGTTGCATCATGTTTATCATGAGCCGACGGCTGAAAGGGCTTGGACCTTGGAGAATAGATTGTGGCCATGCAACCTTGTGCACACGCCCTTGTGGAGCCATCGTTTACTTGAAAGCAGGAATGCTGTTGCATTTCACTCTCCCTTCATTTGCACATGATTATAGACGCAGCTTAGAAAACGATCGCCGTCGTAGTGACTTCGTGTCTATTCTGGTACTTGGCGGGGGAAAATCAAACGATTCGATTGAACTCGTTATGCAGGGCGTCATCAGTTGATCATTGTGCACTCCGCTCGAGTGCCTCGAGAGTGTTCCGTGGTCTCTTAGCGGAAGTACTGCATGGCAGATTGAGTCCGTAATAATATCATGAGTTAGTCGAACTTAGGCTCTTCTAGGAAAGTTGATCAACTCTGTTCTGGTCAATAGAAGGACAACAAGGAATGTTTTAGATCAGAGTGAAGATCCCTTATCGTGTCGAGCCGAATGCCAGCCGTTTGTACGTCTTACGTCGAGTGAAGTATAATGAAGTGCGCCACATCGGCGCCAGCCACTCATCGCACTTCATTGGCACCAAAAAGGGGCCTCTCAAGTGTTCATGACGATCCAGCGGCAACCATACAGCACGTATTATGTGAAACTCAAAGCATTTTCAAAGGTACTGAACAGTGATCTCAAGTCGGCGACTAAAAGATGACTTCCTGAGGCATAATTAGTACCTGGCCTCACAGCCTTCGCATTCATGCGGGCGCCAATGACAATGAAGTGGATGGATGCCGGCAGGCCAACTATCGAATCTTGATAAACATTAGTGTACGATATGGGCGTTAAGGTTTCAGGCGAAACGCCACTTCTCATGCGAGTTCCCCCGGCCTTCTTTTTCGGGAGCTCCTGGACGACGTGCAGAGAAACGCTGGACTGGCCCGTAATCAGGTTGCAAGGCCTTGAATACAGTTGAGTTTAGCTAGGTAAGAGATTCGAGGAGGTTTTGCCTATGGCCCGCCTTGAAGTTTGAGCAATCAACTGCGAGCAAACGAGCACAAGCTCATCCGAAAATTGCACGGGCGATGAACAAATGTGGCACGCATTGCTCAATGATGCGTTGCCACGTGTGTCAGAACCTTGAAGAAAATGATGAGTCTCGCCCGTTTAAGACTCTGAAACTAGCATGGCCGGGCTTAGCTCATCAGCAAATTTGGGCCTTGCAGACCACGACCGTGCCAGGAATCGGTCCGAGGTTTATTGACACGCTTGACCGTCGGATGGACTGATTGATCCTCAATCGACAGAGAATGGTCGCCCAAGTTTCAGCTGCCACGTGTCGGGCGATTCAACCAGGGGGGATCCCCCAAAGTCGGCCGGATGCGTGACAGTACGGCGCCGTGCCCTTCGAAGTCATTCAAAGTCACTGAGGGGACTCGATCCTCAAGCCTAAGGCTCCCATCTGACGGATTGGCAGCCACAGGTCACGATTTACGCCACACGTTATGTGACGTAGTTATCGCCGGTGTTGAAGTGTAGTTACCCACCTTGCTGCATTAACGGTGGCAGACGTTGCTTGTAGATGACTAGTATCCGAAGAACAGATGTTTGAAGTTTGTACTCAATTAAATTCTGTGTTGACACCCTTCGGGCCCATGTCAGTTTTCGACTCCGACTCGCTACGGTCCTATGACAATAAATGTAACAAACATTACCTGAGGCGCATAGTTGTGAGTCCTAGCTTCTTTCCTGTTTAGCTCAGAAAGCAATTATGGAAGGAGGTTGCTTCCGATTGCGTCCAATCGATATCGTGAGGCCCGGGTGAATGCCAGTTGAGATGCAGCTACTCTTCATCCCTCATACACGCGTGGGCGTGCAATCAAGAGTGCATAACATATTCTGATTCAAAGGAATCTGCTAATGTCAGTGGCATATAGGTCGATCGACCGCCCTTCAAAATGATAGATATCATTAGCACTTATCACGGACTTCGATTGGCAGAAGTCTGGAAATGCATTGAGCTAGTATTCGAACACGTTCATCTGGACTATCACTTTTCCTCTTGAACGCGCATGACGCTCAAGTTCTATTACGAGCCTAAGACCGCATGGAATTGAGATTCTGTCCATGTAACCAAACTTTATTCAATAACGACATCTTCTGATCATGAGCTTTCCGTCGCTCGTGTAGTCATGCGCTGATACGTATGTGCAAAGAAACCGGACGAGGTTTACTGCCAAAAATTCCAACATTCCGGTACTCTTATCTCCTGCAAAGGAGGTCGGACCCTGTTTCCTTCACTGCGCTTCACATCCTTAATCTTCTAACCTAAAACTCGACGCTCCAGCGACTGTGTCTGCTTATAGTCAGATTACTTCTCAGGTCCCAGTCTTCGAATCTACTCTGTCTATTGTTCCTGGACGTCTGGCGCAGTCGTATCTGTATAACCACCCTGCTTGTTGGCCCACTCTGTCTTCTTCATTGCATCTGGATCGCCGGGCCCCTTGTCCTGTGCCTCCTTTGCACCCTTCCTGCACCATAATGACCAATGTAAACAAGTGTCGCAGACGGAATGTGTATTTACTGAACAAAATTCAGAGCTTAACAGGTTTTCAGAGACTTACAGATAAATTCAAATACTGCTTTGTCAAATCAATTGATTAACCTGCTAACTCCACACGTAAGAATGTGACGTGCGAGTTTTGTCAAAACGCCATGGTCAAACAACCTCAGCCCTTCAAAAGCAATGTGCGTCAAGATGAATTTGTCTCCCAACATTCAAAAGCATGTCCACACATGATTGAATTGACATTCCAATCCCAAATAGTGTAGCAGAACTTCCTACAGGAGATTATAAGGCACTTATATAAGACACTGTTGAACAAAATAAAATGCAGCACAGAAAATATTCCTGGACAGACTCCAGAGAATGGTGAAGACTTGTCGGCCAAAACTGCTTTGCTCAAGTGTACTCTCCACAGATGATTGTGATCATTCACAGTCCTCTAAAACAAGGCAGATTGAAAGAGGACACACCTGAACTCAAAATATGCAGCCGCCTTGGCCGCTGCTTCGGCTTGCGCCTCGTCTGTGTGACCCCCTAGCTCCTCGCTCTCCCTAACTTTCTCATGCTGTGCTGTGTGCGTGTCCTTTTCCTGCACATCGAAACTGCGTTTTGTTGTTGTGGATTGCAATTTGCCTCAAGTCCCTGCACAGCTGTTGATTGGAAAAAGCTTTTTCCAATGTTTTTTATTGCTGAAAACTTAGTACTATATCCCCTAAGCATCATGGCGACTGAGTGCACCTTTTCGGTCAAGATTAGATTTGAGAAGCAGACAGTGGTTCCGAGTTCTTTTCGCTTTGCTTCTCAAAATTACCTTGAGATTTGCAAGTTGTCACCACCAATTTCGAAATCTCTCTGGGAAAAACACATGTTTCGAATAAGAATAAGGACTTTATTCCAGCATCTCCGAGGATTTCCTAGACACATAGTGTGTACTGAGCACAAATTAAACATCTTTCAATGGGTGAAGGGCAGGAACGAAGACGGTAAGATTGAGTAACCCGCTGCAATGCAAGTTATTGGTTGCACATATTGCCAGAGGGCTTTCTACCTCAAATTTTGAGTGCGCAGAGTTTGCAAAAAGGGCAGCTAGCTTCTGCATGCAAGCCGGCTTATACACTGTATAAGTGTTGACCAAAGATTCTGATAACAGTTTCAGAACTTTACAAACTGACACCTTAGCTCAAACTTGCAAATGGGTGCATTACTGCTTATTCTCAGCGCGACATGCACAAACAGACAAGGTCGTGCGCATAGTTTTTGCTCACATGGTCTTTCTGCCGCGTGTCTGCTTCCGGAAACTTGTCCCCAGGCGTGCGCTCCACCTTTTCTTGATAGCTGGCTGCGTTTCCCTCCATTCTCGCTGATGTGAAAAGATTAGAAAAGTGTCCGCTGCAGACTGTGCTCTGACTAGTGGGACCCTTAAGTTGAACTTCCAAAATGTCAATCCTTTGCCTTGTGAGCTTGAGATTGCGGATCACAGCCGCCCTGAGAGCCCCTGGCAGTACACTTGTCATCAAGAGCTGCTTGAGATTGTTCGAATTGACAATCCTCGCTTCAGAAACCTCTCTCAATCACAATGCTGATAGTAAGCACACTCCAAGGAAGCACTTTGCTAAGAGCAATACAGCAGATTTGGAAAGGAGAAGTCGGCGCCAGTTCAGCTCAAAATTCCTGTGCTTTTGAGTGAAGATCTTCTCTCCAGAACGCAAGCTTGCGCAAGTTGCAGGTCTGACATCCATTGGCATAGGCCAGCTGTTCTGCATGCATGCAGCGCAGCGCTGTGTCGAGTCAGCCAGGGATGGAACCATTTCGTCTAGCGTCAATTGCGCTTAGTCGTCGATAAAGCGACCACATGGTAAGTGACAAAGGTAAACCGTTGATAAAGATTGGCCCCGTTCGCCACCACCGATGGATCGGCTCTCATGCCCCGCAATGTGACATGTGGACATGGACTCTATTCATATTCATAAGTGAAGCTTTGGAGCTTTCTTGCACCTTTTGAAGCATAACTTCAATAAGTCTTACTTCTGGCAACGAGCTGAAAGGAATTCGACAGTGGATGAGAGGTTGAGACGTGTGAAGAGCCAGTTGGAAGAGCCCGGGCACCTTTTCAATATTCTTGGTCAGAGGGGTTGTACCAGCACGATATTGTGCTTGAAGGTGCAGTGTGCAGCTTGCAGGTACTTCTCTGCATAATAATGCTGGAGTGGCCATGAATATATTTCACCGCTCAAGTTCATTGGTCAAGTAGACTCCTATTCTAGCATGAGATACTGTGATCATGGCGGCACTTAGATTACGGGCTAGGTTACCGCATGAGTACGTCCGTCTGATCATATGAACAAAATTTCTCGCCAACCCTGAAGCTCACTTGCGCCAAGTTGCAGCCTGGGTGCTGAAAGTGCGATCTGTACAGACGTTGCAGGCCTGCACCTCAAACCTGTCAAGCCTCCGCTTCATGTCCAGGAAGGATCCAAGTATTTGATGACGTAAGCTAGAACTCTGCCCCAATACCAGTAGCAGAGGCCCGGGCCAAAGATCAAGCAGTGAGCAAGTCAACGTTGGAGAGCGCTCGTGAACGTGTTTTTATAAGTACCAAAATGACAGGGAACCTGGAGAAACGCTCGTCGGCGCAAATCTTGGAACGTGCGCAAAGGCGGCTTCCTAAGAATGAGTCGGAGATTGCTAGAGTGGTGACGTATATAAAGGAGATGGAGTGTGAGATCGATCGTTTAACTGAACAGGGGGCGGCCGAGAACTCTGAGAGAATTCAGCACTTGAAGAAGAGGATCTTGATCAATACCGAGCGTTTGTCCATCTTACAGGAATTGGGAGAGGCTCTATCTTTGCAAGTTCGGCTTTCAACACATCGTTCAGCAGATGTTGTCCCACCTGCTGCGGAGCAGCTGATCCCAGAAAGACCCGCAGCATCTTCATGTGTCCGGAGAAGGCGTGCTGTGCCAATCTGAAAAGGAGAAGGTCTCCAAGTTGACGTTCTTTGTGATCGACTTTGACCTTCACAATAGAAGATTTACCAAGCGCAGGGAGTGGGGAGTCTGTGTAGACTCGGAGGTACTCGTCGGTCAAATTTGTCCGATTCTGTGGAAGCTGCCCTGAATTATCGGAGATCCATCGTAATCTATGCTTAAAGACGCCTGCTTGTAGGAAGCAGAGGATCAACCCCAGTCGGCTACATGCATTTTTGGATTCAATCTGAGCATTAATTTTATCGTAGTAATGAACTTACTCATGATACGGTACTCGTCAGCACGACTCAGTAAGCTCGATCTAGCTGGATCTGCGGTCGTTCAATCGCTGAATTTGCGCTCTGCAATTACATGGATGAGTGACTATGGACAAAGTCGATCACAGTTCCATACCTATCATATGCATGCCCTTCATATTAAGCAGTCATTGTAAATATAGTGAAGAGGTAGGCTGGCCATCATCGTTCAATGATGCATCATGCTGCACACAGAGGCCACGTAGTCATTGAAAACGACGTGGCGTATGCTCACAGGCTAGGACACTGTTAGTATAGTTGAACGCTCTACCATACTAAAGCTCGGCGGCTGGACATGACTGCTGCTGTGCGCCGCGCAGACTCCGAGATATAGACTAATTGATGATTAAGAATAAAGTTACACGTACAGCCAAGCTAAAGACTTGTGTAACCCATGGCCGGCCCTAGCTTAATTGCAAAACGTGGTTCACAGCATATGGTCGTTCGATCATGCAAGATCCCTCAATGTGCTTGCATATACCGGCAACCTGAGTTGACAGCAATACCGCTGGCACGATCGATGATCAATAACACAGATATGCGGCGTTGTTGACATGGTCGGACACAAGAACTATGATTGTTGCAGATAAGAGACGCCGACCATGATCGATGTATCTAGCTGGCCCGAGCATGCGCAATTTGGCCGACAGCTCAAGGAAGGTTGTCATGAGGGCGTCACCAGCTAAGTTCGAAGCCATGCCAATAAAGGCCGCTAATCTGGTACCTTACGTCTCTTGTATAGACATGTACGTGACAAGATTGAGGATCCAAGTCAAAGGCTTGTGCAAAGCAAGATTGGTCTTGAACCAACCAATCATATCATGAGTCGTCATGCAATCACTACAGAGAATAGACCACATCTTGCCGTTCACTCCAGCTTAACGAAAGAGGTCATCGAAACAGTCTGACACTGTCGGGTCCTTTGGACACAGATGCCCGCCTTAGTAGGATCAATTGCCTGATTCGCGATCTAGAATCAGCGACCCGCAACGTTGCCGTTTGCAGTTGCGAGGAGATTGCGGATCCCATCGTTCTTGGGACGTCTCGAAGCATTCCGAGAGCCGCCTGCCGACACTGACCCGCTCAAGCGGCCACTCCTTCGAATTTGTTCCAAGATGACCTGCTTCTGGGCGGTGCCATCGTCGTACCCGACCATCTGCGAAACACCAAAAAAGAGAACGGCTTACTCTCCTTCTCACACATCCCCGTACTTATCTTCCGCTTCTGGATTGCCTTTCAATGATCTGCATCGAATGATATTCAATTTGCCAGACTCCCAACTGCTATTGGAAAAGCGCGTCACTCTGCTTATGGAAGACAGGGGCAATAGACTCCCACTTCAAGATTTCGCCATCCACTCAAGCGACGCTTCACTGAGTACGATAACCCTGTCCAAAAATTTCCAAAGCGACTGCCGGACCATGATCCTCAAGTCCTAAGAATCCTTCCAACTCCTTGGACATGTCCAAATTCTGTCTGCCCTTGCTTTCAGAAACACAAATGCTGCAGCACCGGTTTTCCACAATGTCTACGGATTTCAAGCCGTCAGAAATTTCAAATATTCTCGGAAGACGGCAAGGAGCTGACCTGGGACTCCAGCTGCGACTCCTGGAAGCGCTCATCCTCCGCGACAGCTGGCGCGACAGCTGTCCGCTGCCTCGTCCACGGCCCATCTGCGGCATGCGGAGCAAGGGCCGCCGGCTCCCGGCCGGGCCACGTTTTGCCGATTCGCGGGCGCTTGGAGTCGGAGTCCCCAAGGCCGCTCTCGCGTTTCTCTTCTATGGGCGCAGACTGCAAAAGGCAAACGGATGGGAGAGGTCGAATGAGTGGTAAAAGGCTGCGGTGTATGCCAACAAATATGCAACTATGCAAAGACTATGCAAAGATCCGACTTTGCAGCAATATTCTTTTGAGAGATGTTGCTTCCTCGTCGCCTCAGTCCTCCAGTCAGAGATGAACGCTGTTGAAGTTGGGCCGACTTTTTGATATGTGCTCCGCTCGCAGTTGCATTGGGGACACCTGCCAACGCAAAGCGTTAGAAGGACACACACCGGTTTTCATTTCTACTTGCTGGTCACAGAAAACACAGTAAGTGGGAATCCGTCCTGGCGCAGAACCCGCGGAACCGCACCGGCGGGCCACTTACCGGCTTCTCGGGTATCTTGTGCAGGAAGCTCTCGAGCACGTGCGCCCATCTGTCCCCTTCCGGCGACTGGCCGGCCGCGTCTCCCTCTGGCCCCCTTTCACTTGGCGCCCCTGCTTCTCCAGGAGAGCGTTTCTGACCGTCCACGACTCCCTCACATCCCAACCCGTGCTTGTCTTCCCTTTCGGAAGTTGCTTCAATCCCAACCTCAACACGTCCCTTCTCTGCAGATTTTGCCTCCTCTTGCTGTCCCCCTGCCACGTTGCCCTCCTTCCCCGCTGCCACGTGCCCCCCCCCAACGACTTCCGCCGCATCTGCGCTTTTGCGCTGCTTTGCGCCCCCCCCCTTTCTCCCCTTCTCTTGGGAATCCGGCGCCGAGTCCCCTGGCGAGTCGCGTTCGTCGCTTTTCCGTTTTCCCCTACTCGGGGGGGCAGCTTTCGGCTCCGGCGGAACCCCCCGCCGGCTCCTGAGGTTCTTGCTCGGGGTTTCGTCGTCCAACTCCCTCCCCTCGGACGACCCCCCAACCGGAGTCGGTCCCCTTAACCCCTTTTTCAGAACGGGCTCGCTCGCTGACGTCACAGCCTCTTCTTGCTCCCTCTCCGCGCCCCTGGTCTTGCTCTCCCTCGCGACGTCATCATGCGGAGTCCGCTTCCGCTCGGCCTCTGCTGTTCCGGCCAGATTATCAGCTCCCCCGGGCGCCGGACCCCTGTTAACACCCCCTCCCCGTGCACTTTCTCCGGGCCCGTCTCTAGGCCCCTCCCGATCCCCGGACCTGTTCGCCCCCCCGGAGGGCGTATTCACACCGAAGCTGGGCCCCGCCAGGTTCAGAGGCGACTTGGCGCTTTTCCCGGGGGAGGGTGCCTGAGAAAAGGTCCACGTGGCAGTGAAGTCGTCCAACTTTTCGAAGTCCCCCGGTCTCGGCTGCGGGGGGCTCTCCTTTTTGGGGCGTTTCCGTTGGGGCTGGCTCGCATGCTGGGAGGACTGGCCGGCTCGGCCGGTGCCTGCAGATCGAGAAGGGCCCAGTCAGCTGATGACGTCACGGTGACCGGTTTTCAACCCGCGAAATAGCGCAGACGCTAGACCGCGCGGGATTCTTATTTTTGTTCTGACGGGCTTTCCTCAAGCTTGAGGTGCCGAAAGATGACAGCCGTCTGTTTTTAGGGGTTGTTACGAGCTGACAGCGAGCCACCAGCTTTTGAAACTAGGCAGGTTTGAATGACTGTTAAAGTGACCTCTGGTCCGAGGGCGGCATCTCAGCTTCCCAGAAACGCTTTCCACAAGCTCGAGATGACGGCATGATGACAGCTGCCCATTACCATGAAAGCATCAAAGCCGACAGCGAGCTACCAACGGATTTGAAAGAACTTCCATCCAAGCTTATTCTTGTACTGACCTCTAGTCCGAGGGGGCGGCATGCTCGACTGCCCAGGAGCGCTTTGCTCCGCATCGCCCGGGCTCCGCGCCTCTAGTTGCGAGGGGGCGATCCCCCCGGCTTGGGATGGAGCGCAGGTGACGTCAGTAGGCTTCGACGGGGGCGCGTAGTCTTCCACTGGGACTAGACACCCCTGAAAGGCGAGAGACGGGCGGAGGTTATCGGCATTGGCGAAAAGCTGAAGAGAGGCTGCGCATGTGCACGTCGGAATCTGACCTGATTTCCATCTTGGGCTAAGATTCTGAAAAGGGAGCACAGCATTGCTGATGATTGAAGCCCGCCTCCTTTTATCCTAAACTTCTAAAAGATCTCCTCAAATGAAAGCGTTTCATTCAGTGTCCCTTTCGCTTGTCGCGAATAGCACATCACGAAACGTAGCAAGTCAGCCAACGACGAATCACACTCGGCTCGTAAGAAATCAGATGGGGTACACTCCCTGAGCTTCTGCAAGCCTCCTGAATGCTTCAACCAAGTATTTACTTCCCAATGATGTGGGTCACCTTTGGCCTATCATTGTGGATCAGGAGTTTTACCCTCAAGGCTGAACTGTACGTGCATCAGTCTCGCAAAGGGCGAGCTTCCACCTGAGTCAGCCTGAGGTCAGCAAACTCAAAACATACACGAGAAGGAAGTACTTCGCAAACGACGATATCTCTGCCGCCCACTTTGATTCACACCGCGAACAACAAAGCTGGGCAATGAACTCCAGCTTCACCTGCTTCGCACATGCGATCAGCCACTCCCCCGTCGCAACCGGCTTCCCTTTCCGCACCATGTGCCGATACTTATCGCCGTCCGCGTACTTGGTTACCACGTGGGTTACCGTGTTGGTTAGCCGGTCGAACGACTTCGCCCCGAGGCGTTTGGCCAGGTCCCTGAACCACTCGTGTTCTTTTTGTTCGTACTTTGACAGACAGACCGTGATGCCTCGGAAGAAGTCTAACGGGAGGGCGCGCGGGAGCGGCCGGAAGTAGAGCCGGTTTTCCTGAGGCACTAGCCTTTGCTCCTGCAAGGGTTTCGACTCATTGAGGTTTCAGGGTTTGAATTTTTAGGGTTTCAGAAGAGATGTTTAAGGGTTTTAGGTTGTTAGGATTTCAAAAGCTTTTCAAAAGCATGGGCTTCAGATTGTTGGGATATCAGAAGCTTTTCGAAAGCACGATTTGGGGCGTGGATCGTCTACTATGTTTCAGAGATGAAGTGCCGCGATCGTAAATCCTGAAAGAGTGCTCTGGGTCATAAAACCCGCACGCGTAAGGACCACCGGCCCTACAAACTCGTGTAGATCCGAAACCTCGACAGATTCTACTCAAGTCCAAGAATAGCTCTCATTCGAACCGCTGAAGCCTAGAACGCGGAGCGGAAGGAAAGCTGATAAAATTGGCAGAATATGCAGGATCCCAGCTTTTTGGTAGTCTCCTTCGCACCAGCGTCGCCTAGTCAATCTCCGGATGCATTTCGATGAAAGAACAAGTTTGCAAAGCGGAGCGTCCTCAGGCGCACCTTCAAGCACTGCACGACCCAGTAGGGCGTTACCACGTCTGCCCCGTCCGGCACAGTTGTCGTGTTCGTGTCGAACCCGTGCTGCACGACGAAGTAGTGGACGCTCTTCGACGGGTCCGTCTCAAGGTCGCCGGCGCCTTTTCTCACGAGCCCCTGAATCTCCTCTCTCTGCATAGGAAGGTCAAAGCCCGGGTATCCTTTCCGTCCGTCCCTCGTGCAACGTGTTTTTATTTGGATTGTAAAAGCCGTTCCGATTATGACAATTCGGTGAAACTGGGCCGACGCGATAGTGCGAGGGACACTGCACTGCTCAATTTTTTGAAGGAGTTTGTGGGGAAGCTGTAAACGTTTTGTAGGCCAAAAATTGCATTCAAGCACTGATCGTTGAGCAGACCCGAAATAGTTGAGATCTCATGGATCAGAGGCTTGGTCGAAGGTTCGCAGCAGTGTCGCCCTATTGGTCGTAGATTCAGTGGCTGTTTGTACCTACTATAAAAACTGGACCGGAGCGCTGGATTGAAGATACAGAAAACGGCCAGAATAAGATGCACCAATCCAAGGGCGCACATTGAGGCTGAACAAGAGGTTCAAGACTTATCAAAGTGCACAATCGAAGAGGCGAAGCACTGCGCCCGGCAGCTGACGAAGCCAGCAAGCTCATGTCTATCAAGAAAGACCATGCTTCTTAACATATCTCAGTTTCTTTCAGCGCCGAGCTCTTTGATCTCCGGCTAGGACAAAGGAAGTAGACGCTATGGGAGTTGTAAGCTCTCCTAATCCGAATAGGATGCGGTGGTTGAAGTCTCAAAGGCTCACATCTTCAGCTTTCATCCTGACGTCGACGTTAAATCGCAGCCCCTGAAACACGTCGCTCGTTTCAGGAATCTGTGAACCCGCTGGAGTCGATTGCGTGCCCCCCGGCGTTCCCCCTTCGCATCCGCTCGCCTTAACCCCTGCCCCGTTCTGCAAACCCGGCCTTAACCGACCTGAATTCAGATCCTCGGACTGTCCGGCTTCAACAGTCGGGTTACCTGCCTGGTTATCGCAACCCGGACTAAACTTCACCGGATTTCGCGCCGCCTCTAACCACTTCCTCCCCTTCCCGGGGGGCCCCATCACCGTCTTTCCTCCGCCCCCCTCCGCCGAAAACGCCGCCGCCAGCTTCGGCGACGCCGCCCCCTCCTTCTGCCACGTGTCCCCCCGCTTCGGCGACATGAAGCGCTTGCCCAGGACGGGCATCCTCGCGCTGACGTCAGCGACCGGCTTCCTCGGGGGGATCCCCCCGGGCCCGAACCCCGTTCGGCTGGCGTCGTCGAAGATGTCGGAGCGCATCTCCATCACGGGGGGGTCGTTCCCAGCCTCCCCCGAGCCTTCACCGAAACCCCCCCTCGAGCCGTTTTCGCTGAACTCACGCGGCCGTTGACTGACCTGCCGTTGCGATTCCCTGAGCTTCTCCCACTCTGAGCTGCCCGGTTCGTTGGGGCTGTCGTCGTCATCGGGAACAGGGCCTCCCGCCGGCCTGCTGGCCGGAACTTGTTGGAGGAGGCCCTGTTTCTGGGACGGGCGCGCGGAGGCAGTGGGCTCTGGCTTTGCAGAGGCGCGAGCAGCTGCATGGAGGACGAGGCCTTTCCTTAAATACTGGTCTTTGGAAAGCCTTCGCAACACAAATTTCGAAGCACGCAACAATCTGGATCCTTGATGTGTCCGGATATAAGCATGTCTTCAGCAGGTTTGAGAGGTCTCCGCTCATGTTGGTTTTGAGTGCAAATCTTCGCATTAGACATACTAAGCTCAGCACACATCAAGGTGGGTCTACCGAAGCCTTCGCGCCACTCGTATCGACTCTGTCGACTAACAATCGTCCTTAAGCGCTCTTTGCAAGGACAGCGCTCAGGACTTGGACGCAACCGCACCACCGTCATAAAAAGGAGTTTCTTTTGATTTGAATCGAAAAATGAGTGCGCACCTGTCAGCTGATCGCGCGGTACCCGGTACTTGTCCGCCACAGGAAGCAGTTTCCTGTACTGGAGGCACGCCCGTAGCCACGACAGCCGCACGACTTCTACGATTCCCTCCAAATCTAGTTTCCGCACTTCGGTAAGATCGCTGCAACGAGAGCCCGAAAGAACGTCAGAGGACGAGTTGCGACGTGCAACAACGAGCGGGCGCCCTTTTTTGACCTGAGTTGTTAAGGAGCCAAGGGTTCATCAAGCGAACCGGGTCCGTACGTCAGTCGAGACTGTCGCATAATGATGTGCGAGTCTTGGGTCACAGGTCAGACTTCGCACTGCATTGACTCCAGAAGGCTTCGTAATCGAGCCATAGATATCCTCGCATCAATCAAGGTTTGCAAGAGAGGATTTGAGGTACCAGCACAAAGCAGAAAGTTGATCCGATCGTGCCCCATTTCCCTACTTGAGCGGGACAGCTCTTTCCGCTTTCGCCACACTCTATTGGATCTTACCAGTCGGGGCTGTCCCCCAGGACCACGTGGGTCGCCCGCTCGTCCAACAGCGCATACCGCGTTGCTCCACTCGCGCGCATTATCCCCATCGCCTCCTGCAGCTCTTCCCGCGTCATCCCCGAAAAGTATAGCCGGCACGAGCTGAGGAATAGCTTATCGTCATCGTCATAGCATATTGCTTCTCGGCCAGCGGTGCTCGCGTGCTTTCCGCTCTCCGCACGTCCCAACGACTCGTCGTCTGTGGGCGTAGGCGTGGCGACCACGCGAGTTAGGGTTAAAGATCCCTGTGTTCCGGAAGCTAACCGGGTGGTTTGACCGAACGAAGTTTGGGATGCGGAGCGGAGCGCGGCCGGGAGCGCGGCGTCGTTGGGCGGGGGCGGCGCAAAGGGGGTTTCATCGAGACACCCTGGAAAATAGACTTTGGGAGGTAAGAACGGGGGAGCGTAAAGAAACGCCGTCAAGGCTGCTCGGAGGAGCAATTTGTAGGCATCAATTGAGGTATTCGGGACAGCCTTCAGAAAGAGTGTTGGGTACAAGAGGAGTATTTGCGTCCCGATTTAGATAAGAAAAGGGTTGGGTATCAGTGCACAGACCTTCCATATGATACTGCCGGTCTCTGAGGATTCAGCAAAGACCTTCATGAGCGTTTCGTCTATCAAGGCAAAGATCTTCATGAAAATTTCGTCTATCGAGGCAATCTGACAGCACAAAAGTTGCGCCAATCTGCGAGCCACTCAGCGACGAGAAGTCGCGGCGCCCACATTCACCTCCTTGTGAATGTCGGGTGAACACAGTTAACCACAAGACACTGAACCCATCGGACTTGATTTTGAACGCAAGTAAAACGTCTGAGACGTTCAGCGAGGACAGGGCCAGGCACCTAGTACTCTGCACGTTTATTTAGATGATTAACACACGGCCGTGCACGTCTCTTTCAGAGGAGCATGACTCACCTTTCGCGGCAACTGACTTGTAGATCCACTCTGGGGTGACGACTTTCAAGCGTGAGTCCCGTTTTGTTGCTACCTGATACTTCTTGCTGTTGGTCGAGTGCAGGGTAGTCAAGGAGGATTGACAAGGGAAAAAAAGTATGGTCAGAGCACATGTGCTTCGCGTCTCAGAGCATGCTTCCAGAGATCACTTCCTTAATTCTCAAATCCATCTCAAAGCTTTATCCTTTTCCACAATTGAGGCCCCCAGCGGGAAATGCTCACGCGAGCGCTAAAAACACCAGAAGCAGATCCAGTATTTCCAAGAATTCAAGAGGACAGAAGACTTTCTTGAGCAACAACCGAACCGGCAATGAAGCTCGAGAACAGCTACAAAACAACTGGGACATTACGAAGTTTCGTTTGGGAGGATATGCCACAGACGAGGTGCGTGCACGTCGAGTCGAGATCTGCATCGAACGTCCCGCCGTTCGCCCAAACCAGCTCCTTCACCTTGTCTTTGTCCGGGGCTGCAAGGATAGAAAGCTACAGCACTTCGACCAGCAGGCATGAGGTCACTTCTTGCTCCTTATTACGCATTCCAAAGCCGCTTAATCAATCGCTAATCAGGTGTCGTCAGCGACGGGCGGTTCTTAAGGAGAAAGTTACGAAGAAGTTTTCTCGAGGTGAGTTCTCTGATGCTGAGGTTTTGTGCACGCAGCAAGAAGCCTTCGATTGCCTGACACGGCTCGGAGACTCTCTGAAGGTCGTCCAGCGCAAAAGAAAACTTCACCGATTTAAAGGTTAAGCACAGTTTCCAGCAACTCCAACCGACCTGCCCAGAAAATTTTGGCTTCAGCAAGCTGGTCGATGTGACTTACTTACTTCTAATCATCTGGCCGCGATTATAACCGTCTGACCACATTCACATGAGAGCACACGTATCCTGAGCTTCGGGGTTGAGTCATACCCTTCAGACTGGTACAGCAGACCTTGAGCTTGCAGAAGACTGGGAGCCTAAAGTCCTCCTCTCGCGACGCCGCATGCTCAGCCCAACACTCTTCCACCCACTTGGTTGTGACCACCGGTTTCTTCATCTTGACGGCCCACTGGTCATGCAGATAGGGACGAAGACCCTCATTAGACCTTGGTGTCAAGAATACAGCCGCTCTCCTGCCTATCATAATCAGAGAAGATTTACTAGAGTGGGAAGGTGCAACACGAATCTAGATATGAAAGGTGCGACCTCTGAATCTGCACTGCGACTATTGCAAAGCAGTTCCCTTCCGCATTGTTGCAACCAGTTTGCGACTCTTCAAATCCAACAAGCTACCGGCAAACATCGATTCCGCAGTTGTCCAAACAACCTGGCTTCACATCTTTCCTTGCTGTTGCAACTGTTTTCAGAAAGTTTCAGAAGCACGACTTTGACTCGGCAAGGCCTGTTACACCATACATGTAGCATCACATTGCGAACATAAAAAGACATTCCTGTTTAATTGTGTTGAGCCCAATTTGACTTACCTTGCACTTGTCGTTGATGATGTTCTTGCTGACAACAGTTGTAATTGTGCCGTCAAAGTTGTTGGTGACCTCTGCCCCCATGGCAAGGACCCAGGAACTAAGCCTAGTCTGCATGGGAGGGCACCACATACTGTCAATCGACCTTTATTCAGCTTGAGATTTGATCGCAGACTGAGGAGTCAGGTCTTGCGCTGCAACGCCCAAGATTCAGCTTGTGGCAGACACCCTGTAACGTGGTGACAGACAGTGGTGGGACTTGCTTTGTAGTTGCGAACCTGCATCATTTTGATGCTTTGAGACCAGTGGATCGTCCAGGTGTGCACTTCGAGGAATAGTAGTAAGCTTGTTCCAAGCTTCATGGGAAAACAGGGTTGGAACCTGAGTACTACTGCCAGGCCTTACCCGTTCTTTCTCAAACCCCGAAAAGCCCGTGAGGCAAATCTTGTGACCTTCCAGGGCTCGGCAACAGAGGATGCGGCCAAGCTTGGGCAGAGGCCGACGCTGTTCGACCGACTGGTTCACGCACTCAACACCTGACGAAATAGTCTTTGTTAGGTAAGAGATAAAGATACGACTGCCCTCAGAGAGGAGATAATGTCCGGCTGATGACAGGTTTCTTCCCACTGATGAAAGGCTATACTTTGCGTAAGATGCTGGCTGTCGCGAGGAAAATGGCCATACAGATTTGTTCTGAGATGCGTCCCCCTTGCCAAGATACTGGGTGCAAAGAGCCATGCGACTGACGGTAAGACCGAGGAGTACCCCTGGGGACAGCTGGCGAATCCCAAAGAGTCACATACATCCTGTGCATAATGAACTCTGCCTGTCCATTCGTCTGGTCGACAGACATGTGCAGTAAATGACATTTTCAAAGCAAGGACCAGCGCAAGTGGCCTTACCAATGATTGTCCCCCCCTTTTTGCTCAACTCTTGAATCTCCTCCTGCATCTAGCAAGCCAGATATGTCAGCTTCAGGATCCACCCTGATTGTTGAGCTCCTTTCAACATCCCCACCCCTGTTTGTGAAGCAAGTAGAATTTTTCATGTAACCACGCTCCAATCAAATCTACAGCAACATAACCCCTCTCCAAATCAAACTTGCAGCTATTTCATTGACATCAAAGGCGTCTTGTGGGGCTGCCAAAGCTTTCTCAATTGTGCACTTCATGATCAACAAATGCAGATCACTTTAACAATCGCGTCACCACATATATTGAAGAGAACGCCGGAAGCGCCCTGTTAATCTACAAAGCCTGCAGTCGGGCAATAACGGTATATTCCAATAGACTCTACATTGCAGGGCCCCTCATCCTAGTGAAACATCCTGGTTCTCCATGCACTTCCCCTGTTGCAGATATACATAGCAATTTAGGAACGAAAGTCTGAATCGCAAGCACCTTTTGCACGTCATCCACCACCAGGAACTCCTCCTTGGAATGCTCTCCTTGCATCCAGTCGCCTTCTTGCAAGGGTGCTCCATTTTCGTTCAGAGCATGGAAGACTCTCTCACGAGTCTCAGCATCCAGTTGATACCAAAGCCAGACTTTCTGGCCAGCAAACAATGACTTCATGGTTCTTCGTTTGCATCCCTGCGCGTCCTACACCTCGCGCGTCCTACACCTCGTCATACACGATTTTACCTGGACCCGTCCCGGTTGCCATACCGCCAGCTGTCCCTTGCGCAAAACCGGCCCTGTGACACCTCCAAGCATACCAAGTCCTAGGCCCAAGGACCACCAGGCTACAGTTCCAGCAAACTTTTGCTACCCGAAATGAAAGAATCGGTGAGAGAAACCTTCGAAGCTTCATAATGCCAGCACTCATCAACCTCAAAGCCGCCTTCTTTTGTGCTCAAATTTGCACGCATTTTTTTCACAGGAACTTTTGAACCAGGAAAGCGCGAAAGCGGTGCCTCGAAGAGGAATGTGAGAGGTGCGATCCCGTCGCGACCCGCGTCCTCTGCGGGTCCATGCGTGCCAAGGAAAGGCTATCATGAGCAATCTGCATGATGTTCTGGAGCATTTCCAATCGAGCATTGCGCGCCAAATTTGCCCATGGGCGCACATGTCATTATAATGTGTGACACTGACAGTCTGAGTGAGGGGGCGGCTCAGCTTTGGCGAAAGGACTTCATGACCTAGATCTGCTGATTCTCATAAGGGTCATGCGTCTTGAACCTTTTTAGGGTTTTGAGCTTTGCCTCCTCCTGTTCCTGCGGGCGGAGTGAAGGCACACCTGTACAACACGGAGAGTTGCAAGCAGTATCAGCTGGTCCCTGATTTGCGGAGGATGTTGGAAGTGAAGGGTAGAGCAACAATGTGAGGGCGAGAGAGGGAGGGCAGAATGCAGCCGACGGGCGTGGCCCTGGTCGGGCGGACCGTCGAGCAGCGCTCAAAGGAAGGCTCCACGCTCCAGGCTGGCCGTGTCGTTTCATTCAACCGGGCCAGGGGCAAGTACAAGGTGCGCTGGGAAGACAAGACAGAGGACAACTTTGCAGAGGATGAGCTTGCTTCAATCCTTGTAAACTGGCAGGAGGATCCATATAAGCCGGCTGATGGCGGTCCTAGAAGGAGGGGCAGACCTCGAAAGGCTGACGTTGTGTCACCGGAGGAGCCCCCGGAGCAACTAGTGGGGGGGCAAATTGAAGAAGCAGACGGCAAACCTGAGGGTTTAGGGCCGACATTGCTGAAGAGGGGGAGGCCAAAGGGGACTGGCAAGCTCCAGCGTCGGGCGGGGCCGTCAAAAACCCCCTCCACGGCACTAGAGCAGAGCGCCGGCGGCGGCGGTTCAGCGACTGGTCGAGTCGTGGTTGCAAGTTCAGAGGTGGGGCCAGACAAAAAAGGTGAAAGTGCAAGAAAGGACGGGGTCGAGGAGTCTGGCAAAATGACGTCAGTGTCTCCTGATCCTCACTTGAGAAGGTTGAGAGAAAGACCGGCGCGTGGCGCATTGGGGGTTGTTAGCCCCCCCCGAAAGGTCGCGATCTTGAGTCAGGGGCGAAGGGTGATCGAAGTTGATTCTGGCGGGGGGGAGGAAGAGTCGCCGGTGGGGAAGGGGAGGCGGCGTGTGCAGACAAACTACAAGTCGGGTGAGTGGCATCAAACAAGGTCTTACACGGTCACAGAAGATTGTCATTGTTGTATGTTTACACCGATCGACTGTTGCTCCCCTGTTTCTTTCGCAAGCTTTGGGTTTCAGCTATTGTTGTTGTCTAACGAGAAAAAGCTTAAGCATTTCTGTAGATGGAATTTGTTTGCAAGATCTAGAAGTAGGCAAGCCCTGGGAGAAGATTCTGGGGGCAAGTATTTTCGGCCAACATAACGCACCTTTTTTCAGAGTGTGCAAAGCTCATATACCCCTGCTGCGTCGAAACGATACACCTGCAGCCAGCTACAAATTTGTGGCATCCGTCTAACTTGATTTCGATAGTGTGTGCCCCAAACTGGCTCAAGTTGACCTACATAATCTAGAAATTGCAGGAGCAGTCTCACTTAGAGCACACATCAACGCATCAAACCGCTTCCTTGACCACAGATGCGACACCCTCTCATACGTCGCGCGATAAGATCTTCCAAGAAATGAAGCGGCTTCGTAGGCCCTTCACTAACCCTTAACTTATCGCAACAAGCTCTCATTAAATTTCAAGCATCAGGATGACTTTGACGTGCCCGAGCCCGTTGTTCTCCACTGACTGTCACGATCATCAACAACAAGAAAGGTTCATCCTTACTGCAGACAACGAAGACGAGGCAGCACCCCAGACCACTCCAGCCAAACGGTTCCCCACCCCAGCAAAGCACAAAGGCGGCCTCCTCGCCCTCCCGGCTTTCTCCTCACCCCCATCAAAAGCCACCGCCGCAAAGTCCTCCCCTGCTGACGTCACTCCACAAGTCACCATCCCTGCTGACCTTACCCCTGGCGCCACTACTCCCGCTGATGTCACCGTTGACACCATAACCCCTGCTGACATCGCTGCTGACGTCACTACTCCCGGCGCGGCCTCCCGCTTTCTCGCCAGCCGCGCCCGGTCCAAGCTGGCCCGCAGGGACGCCCGGCCCCTCCCGAAACCTCTCGCCCCTAGTTTCCCTGTTTCGGGGCCCGCCGCCCTGGACCTCCTCAGCACGTACGCCTTCCTCCGGAGCTTCAGCCAGGCGTTGTACCTGAGCCCGTTCACACTGGACGACTTCCTGGCGGCGCTGGGGTGTGAACGGGCGAATTCGCTACTGGACGCGGTGCACCTGGTTCTGATGGGGGCGCTGCGGCCGCGCGTCGAGGAGTTACTGGCGAAGCAGGGGCCCTGGGAAGTCATGTTTCTGGGGTACGTAGTCCTGATTTGTTGGTTTGATGGCATTACAAGCTCCCCCGAGGCGTTGCCTTCATGGCAGAGCCTTTCATCGCAGAGGCATTTGTCCTTCGTCAGCCTTGCTGGAAGGGCCAGTTTTCAGTAGAAGAGGATAGACCACTTCGGGCAAACTTGTAAGAGCCCACGTGCAGGCTCGCCTGATGGCCTTTCGCACCATCTTGAAAAGGATCTGACACACATAAGGCTCTGGAATCGGCACTGAAACTTCTGCGGGACTTACTCAATTTCTTTTCGTCACAATTTCCGGTTCGAAGCTTCTTACAGATCTGAAAGCGTCGAAAGTTCCTCGTGAGAGCATGCTTTCCAAACTGAATATCCGAGCGAAAGCCGAGGGTAAGATACTGACGCTTTTTAGAACATTTTGAACGTTTACATCTTTTGGCCTTGTACAGACGGGTCGACTGGGAGCATCTGGACGAGATCACGTGGCCCGAGTTCGTCCTCGCCTACCTCGCCGCGGCGGGTTTCTTTTCGTCCGCCCTCCACAAGAAAAGCTTTTCTCAAACCCTCTCCCGCCGCGAGTACTACGCGCTGCCTCCTGAAGCGAAACTCGAGGCGCTCTCCTTCCTCTGCGACGAGGCCCTGAACTCGGCGCGCATCCGCAAGGCCATCGCCGAGCGGGAGGGTCGCCAGAACGACGTCACCTTCAGGGTGACGTCAGCGACGCCAACAAGTTCAGGGGCGAAAGCGACCTCCCCCACGATAGAGAATGGTGTCACGGACAGCGGTAAGAAGGTGGCGGAGCCACGTGGCGCGAAAGGGTCAGGCGAGGACCCGGGAATGAAAACCCTTAAGGCGTCACCCGCAACCAGCTTGCGGCCTGCTAGAACGACCGGGCCCTTGACGAGGTTCGCGGGAAAAACCGGGGCGGGGGACGGAACGGCGGCACTGGGGGCCAGCCCGAACCAAGGTGAAGCGGCAGTGGTAACGTCTGGAGGGGCTGCTACTGTACTAGCTGCCAAGCCGAGCGTCGAGTCTGCGGGACTCGAAGGTGGCTCTGAGGGGCCGGAGGAGGCGAGACGCGCCGGGGGCGTTGCGGACCCAGTTGCAGCGGAGAAGTCCAAAAGCGGGGAACAAAATGAAACGGCCAGAGACGTGGGAAACGGGGTAGCAGCGAACGGCGTTGAAAAGCTGAGGGACAGAACAAATGAGGACGGAGGAGCAGTCGCTTCTGGAGAAGGGCCGTCGGTGGATGGGGGGGCGGTTAGCAAGCCGGGCGGTGATGGCACTGCTGACGTGGCAGCTGGCTCGACAAAGGGGGCGGATCCGAACGAAGCCCCCGAGAAAGAAAGTGCTTCAAAGGGGCCTATTGCTGTCGCAACGAACGGGGGTTTGGGTCAAGCGACGGCCAAAGCAGGCTTGCAAACCCACGGGCACGTGATTACATCTGCCGCTCTCCCCTCGACCGGCCAGCTGCTCCTAACCCCCCTGCCCAAGCCGCCGGCTGCCGACGGCGCCCTTTCCAAACCAGCTCTTTCGACCCCAACGACATTCTCCTTCCTCAAACCCTCCCCAATCCCCGCAGTCACGCTCAAACCCCAAACCCCCGCAAACCCTGCTCGAACCCTCCCAAACCCGTCCCAAACCCTGCCCAAACCCCAAACGCAACCCAAACCCCGAGAAGACGACTCTGACGACGCAAACCTGGACGAGTGCGTGCTCTGCGGGATGGAAGGGAATCTTTTGTGCTGCGACGGCTGCCCTGCGGCGTACCACGCCCGGTGTATCGGGCTGGGGAAAGCGCAGCTCGCGGAGGGCGAGTGGTTTTGCCCCGAGTGCCGGGTGACAGGTGTCAACCGCAGGGAGCCTGCGCTGCTCGGGGTGCGCGTTGAGCCCCTCGGGACGGACCCCCAGGGGCGGGCGTACTGGTTCGCGTTCGGAAGCGTGCTGATGTGAGTGATGACAAAAGTAGTTTGCTTTTTCTTTCTTTTGCCCCATCGATAGCTTGGAGATTGCCAGGATAAGGAACCCAAAGAGATCAGCGAACAATCAAACGATTCGAGGGACACAAAAAGTCGTTCGTTCGTTCGTTTTCGAATGGTGGACTGGTTACAATGTTTGAAGTTGGAATTCCGTTCACGTCATTCACCGTTCGAATGAAATAAAGGTAGCCTCTGTCCTGATTTGCCAGCTTTGGAGATGAGCTGTGTTTACAACGGCGTCAAATCTCGTGGGACCAGCTTCTAGGCTGTGTAAGAGTTGCACTTCGCATTCTTGCATGCACCAGTCCGCGCTTCCGCAAAGATATCTCATCGACAACGGGAAGCGCTTTCCACCACCTTCCACTTCGCCGATCAATTGCCGCACGTATTGATGCGGTTGTTTCTGCTGATTGTCTTCGCAATACCATGAGGTTCTTCAATACTCCAGTGCCGCCAGTCCCTTGACCGTCACCTATCCCCCTGAATCTCAATCCAGATTTCTCTTTCCCAGTTTGGACGTCACTCCCGACGGCCCCGCCGTCATCCCCCACCACTACGGCTCGGCCGACCTGCACCTAATCGCATCTTTTCTAAGCGAGGGAGGGCGCGCATATTCTCGGTTACACAGCGCCCTGCTCGCGCGCGTCCAAGAAGCGGGCCTCGAGGCCCTGCTGGAGCCCCCACCGCCGCCCCAGGCAGAGACGGCGCCCCTTGCGGGGGTTGCGGCGAAGGCTGACAAGGCCTCGCCGCTGCCGGAAGCGATTCCTGCAACGAAGAAAGACAGCGGGGATGCGAAGATGGTCGAGCAAGGGGCGGCTGCGCGGGCAGAAACGACTCCCGTAACTTCGTCAGGGATCGAAGATACAGCTGACGTTGCCATGACGTCAGCAGAGGCGCAGGCTGGGGTGGGGACCGGGCCAGAGGCCAAGCCGGTCCCGAAACCCGCTCAGAATCCGTCGATTATTGCTGCAAGCCCGAGCCCGCAGTCACTCGCTGCTCCCGTTCTTGGAAACCTTCCAGCAAACCCTCTTGCAAACCCCTCCGTAAACCCTCCTGCGGACCCTCCTGTGAAGGCAATTGCAGCCCCTGGCGTGAGCCCTCCTAGGGACCCTGCCACAAACCCTGCGGTAAAGCCTCCGCCGAACCCTTCCGCAAACCCTCCGGCAAACCCTTCCGCAAACCCTCCGGCAAACCCTCCTGCAAACCTTCAGGCAAACTCTTTTGCGAACCCTCCTGCAAAACCTCCGCCGAACCCTCCTGCCAACCCGTTCACAGAGCCGGTACTCGAACCTGGTCCCAGCAGCCAGTCGAATTCCCTCTCCAAGCCGATTGCTGGTGCAAACGGCACAGACGTGGCACTATTTCCCGCGGAAACGCAAGAAGGCGGTGCATCGGAGGGACTGTCTGTAAAGGCGTCCAATAGTGCTGTCGACGAAAGGGGCGTCGGGAAGCCGGGTCCAGCGGAAGGGAGTGGTGCTGTACCCATCGCTGCGGCTTCAGAGGCGGGGCAAGGAGCGGGAAATGGGCGGAAAAAGGCCCCGGATCCGGTGCCTGGTGGAGTTCTGGACGTACGAACCCCGTCCGAGAATGAGAGTGGACCGAAAAGCAGTCCGGCGGCTCTGGGGTCACCGAGCGTAAGTGACGGTCTGCAGGGGCGAGAGGACGGCAAAGCTGAAGCAGGGGGGAGCCATGGGGAGCAAGCGGCCAAAGAGCGCCCTGATATAGCGATTGGCTCTGAAGAGAAGGCCGAGAACGGTTATGGCGTACTTTCGGCATCAGCAAATGCAGTTTCGGTAACGTCCCCGGTGATTGGAGCGGGAGGGGGGGCAATAGAAGGAGAGCCGGCAGCCAAAGGGTCCGCGGCGCGGATTGAGGCTTTCAAGGAGGGTGAAGGGCCGAGTGGCGTTGTCCAGAGGGGAGGGTCTGAGGGTGTGGCCAGAACGTCGGAGGCAGCGGAGAGCGACGTGGCAGCCGGGAAGGGAGAGGATACTCCGGTGAAAAGCGCCAAAGGGCCCGGGGCAGCGGAATCCGCAGGTGCGCCTGCAGGTGAAGTGTCCCAGGCCCAAGGTCTACCGGCATCGAGCACCCAGGTCCCGCGGCCCCCCGCGGACGGGCGAGGAGGCCTTTCGGAAGTCCCCGCCAGCAAGCCTCTTCCGTCGGACAAAGCCATTGACGCAGCAGTCCAGGGGGGCCGCCGCTAGCGGAGGTTGGGGCGGAGAAGCCGGAAGAGGGGTCTGTGGCTGAGGTGGCGGCCGCTCCTGAACAGCCGGGGGAACAGAATGGCCTGCTTGGCGGTTCCCCCGGGGGGGGGGCAGGGCAGCTTCTAACCAGGTTGCGGCTGAAGGGTTAGGGCTGGCGGGTTCCGGAGAGGGGCCTGCGGTTCCTAACCAGTTCGCAACAAGGGGTTCGGAAAGGTTGGAAGTGGCAAAAAACGGAGGTGGGTCTGCGGTAACCCAATTGGCAGCAGGGGATTTGGCGGGCTTAGGGCTGGCCGGGTTAGGGCTGACAGGCCCTGGAAACGGCTCTGTGGGTCCCAGAGGTTTGGAGGGGTTTGCACCGGCGGGGGCATTGGAGACTGAGCCGTTAACGTGTGATGAGCCCCCCCTGTTCGAGTTCGATAACATCGAAGATCTGGTCGAGAAGCTGGCTCGGGAACAAGGATACCTGGTGGATACAGGGCCCGCGGATTTGCCCCCCGCTGTGGCTGGCGCGGGAGGCCCTGTACGGACGGACGCCGCAAACGGGCCGGCTAGGCAGGAGGCATCGGATCGGGCGCCTCAACAGATCGGAATCGAGTCGATAGCGCCGACTGGAGGCCTTGTTGGGGTCAGCAATGGGGCGCCGGCCTTTGCTCCGCTGTCCGCGGGTGGAGTGGCAAGGCCGGAGCAAGGCCCTAGCAAGCGGCAGAAGCTCGACGATCCTCTTCCGGTCGGGGCCGGTGTGCCCGGGCTGCAAAAGCCTCCCTCGCTACCTGCCACCACGCTTGCCCCTCCACATTCCCAACCCTTTATCCCCCAAAACAACACCCTCCGACCAGCATTGCAGTCTCAGCAACACCAAATCCCCCCGCAAAACCCTATGTCGGCACCCGCTCCGGCTCAGGGGGTTCCTTTCGCTAGCCCCAACCACCCCCCGGCGCCGCAAACTCTCTCCGTCCGGTCCCCCGTTCCGGGCCAACAACTAGGAGCGGGCAACAACTCTATTTCCAGCCAGCCCGTGCTGACGTCAGCAGGGCACGCCCCTGCCCCGAGGCCCCCGCCTCCAAAGCTCAGGTGGCCATTCGATGACGTCAGTCACCCCCCAGCCAGGCCGACGCCCCCTCCCGGCACGCCACAGACTCCCGCCATAGCAAAAGGCCCTGTCAGCACCCCAGCTCAACGACCTCCGACTGGAACGCCCCCGTCGGGAACGTCAACGGCGGTCCAAACGGGGCCCGTCTCCAAAGGCCTTGTTTTGACGAAGGGGAGGCAGGCTCAGCTTGCAAAGGCGGGTACGAGCGGCTCGGTGGCGGCGACTACGGGGCCTTCTAGTGCATCGATAATCATCAAAAGGCCGCTGAAGCCGTTTGAGAGGTACGAGAATCGGTATGCGGACGGGGCGGTTGCAGCAGAGGCGGCGGCGAGACTGACGGCGGGGGAGAAGGAGTCCGCTTCCCAGGCTTCGAGTAAGCACTCTTCTCTTACTCAAGTATCTGCCAATTCAAAGATTGCCTTTTTTTTGCTGAGAGACCATCCGCGATAGCGTTTGGCAGGACGTGTCGCCAGAAGGTGTCTCTGACAAAACATTTCTGCTCTGACTGGTCGCGTCAGATGTCCGATCGGCGAGCGCTTCTTGCGATCTGACACGACTATTCGAGCTCGAATCTGATTGGATTGAAACCAAGCCTTGAGTTCTAAGTTGCATCTAAGTCGCCGTCTAACCAAGAATTTGGTTCTCTTATGGGTCTTTTAACTGAGAACCACGAACAGCCGCATCAACTTCAAGACTCAAGGACCTGAAAGTTTAGAGCTTTCCTTCGCCAGCATACCTGCGGAAGCATCATCGTCGCTCCCCTCTCTGCTGTGCAGCCAAAGAGAGCGCAGAGAACGAGGCCTCTTCAACATCGTGTTTTCGACCACGGAACAGCTATTGATCATCTTTGAGGTATAAAAATCAACCATTGAGTTTCGGGACTAAGCGGGCCCCTCGTCCACTTTCGCAACTAAGAAGAAGGGCGCAGGCTTCTGCCGATCGGAGCAAAGTGTCCTGCAACACGTGCCTTCCCGCAAACCATCAGAGCGAAGACTTTGTAGATTCTACTATCCTCTGGGTCTTGTTGCAGCCAAAAAGAAGTGCGCCAAAGCCGCGGCGGAGCAGTGCAAAGTATCCCGCGAGACGTAGGTCCTTACTAACCCTCAAAATGGAAGTGAAGAAGTTTGCTTAAACACAATTCAACCCATTTTTCGGTCTGCTGTGCAGCCAAGAAGAAGGGCGCCAAGGCTGCGGCAGAACAGAGCAAAGTGTTCCGGGAGGTGCTGAAGCGCTTTCACTGGCGCGGCCGCCCCTTCGGCCAGGATCGTTGCGGGTGGTGCCATAACTGCCTCACTACAGCGCAGCGCAAGGGCTGCCTCATGACGCTGACGGGGGAGAAGGTTGCGCGCGGGGCGCCGCTCCTGCAAGGTACGACAGCGAAAGATTCTTGGTGTTTTGAAGAGAATTGTTTTTCTTTCTGGCAAGCTTGCAATATCTTGTGCAGTGGGCAGTAGCAATGACAAACAAAGACGACGGGTGGATTGTTGTGTTTAATCTATCAGAGTGATAAGGTCGTGGGCCCATGCGAGAGTTTGACGTTTTTACATTGAACCTTTTGAAGTGGGACACGCTTTGGTCATCCGGACTGGCCAGACGAGCAACGTTCTTTTCGTGGATCAAAATGAGTTCGGGCATCCGATTTGCTCCGGCTTTATTTTCCGAGTTTACCTTTGCCTGTATGGGTCCATCTTCCTTTCGAGCTCCTGTGGTGGTCAGGTTTCGCACGTCTTTGTCTGCTCGTATGGCTCTGCCAAATCAGCAAACAGTCCAGGCTTGTTCAACAGAAATGAAACATAGAAAAGATTTACAAGAAGCAACTCCCTGGGAGCACGGGTTCCGAATTCCTTCGACAATCTCAAAAACCTCTACAAAACCGGGAGGTATTGTTGACCATTCAGAAGTCTTTGCAGGCCCAGCCCGGCCGGGCGTTTCCCCGCACCTCGCCCGCGTCATCAACTACGTCCTCCACATGGAGCGGACGGTCCGCGGCCTTCTGGGCGGGCCCTGGGACGGCCTCCGCTTTTCGGACAAGTGGCGGGCGTCCGTGGAAGGTTCACGGACTGTACGAGATCTGAAGCAACCGCTCATGGAGGTACGGTGTTACACTGGACGGGTCAACATTGCTACAAAATTCCCTTCGTATGTTTCTTTACGCCTAATAGGTGTTTATTCTACTATCTGAGAGTTCCTCATTTCGCTCTGCCTCTCAGCCGCAACTACAACGCTGTCAAACTGACAGCTCTGCGAACGTCCTATCGTGACGAAGTGAGAGTCACTTTTCATTCAATGTCAGTTCTTAACGCCGACGAATGTCTCTTGACGACCTCGACTTTGCACGGCGTTGTCCACAGGCGCAAAAAAATTGGCATCTTGCCAATGGATAGGATGCGCACGTCCGAGCTCCCTTTGGTGAAACTTCCCTACAGTGGTTTTCGATCCGGAAACTACACTCTCAAATTACTCTTACCAGCCCTTAACCACTCTGCAGTTGGAGCGCTCCCTCCGCCCGATTGCCCGCACCACTGATTGGCGACACGAGCTGGAGCTCGGCCCCCAACCGGTCGCCCACCACTCCGCCCAAAACCTCAAAACCCTACCCTCTTCGGACGCGTCATCCGCCGTCCAAAACCTGTCCAAATCTTCCAAACCACGCCGCAAGGGCCAGAGCGCAACCCGCATCGATTCGGGGGGGTTCCGGAGAGAGGGCGTTCAGTGGTACCGGGGGGGGTGGCTGGTGAAAAGGGTGGCGGACTGGGAGAGACTGCCCCGGGGGGTACTCCGCAGGGCTGCAAAGAGGGGGGGTTTTGTGAAAATGGAGGGGCTGACGTATGCGGAAGAGGAGGCGCTGCCGCAGCGGACGGTGGCGGCAGCGTGGAGAACTAGAGTGGGGGATGCGAGGACTTTGGCCGACCTGGCGCTGCAGGTGGGTTCGTAATGCACATGTGTCAGATTTGGGTTTAATCTGCTCCACTTGGTGCGCAGTCGAACGGTCCAAAGATGCGTTTCGGGAAACAACGGTCAGATAGCGTAAATATTGGAATGGAGGTTTGCGCCACGCTATCAAGCTGACGCAAGTTGCGTAAAGGAACTGATCAGACGGGCCCTTCGGTGATTTGGACATGTTTCTAGCAAAAGCTTTGAATGCTTGTCCGGTTGAGAGTTTCAGCGGCTTGGGCGCAGGTGAATGAAAAGGGGATTTACACATGAGTAGCTGACGGTCCCAGGGTTCTGAGAGTAACATTCGCAGGCAGCTGGTGGATTTGCCTCTTGTCCTAATAGTACGCTTCTTGTGGTTGGCCGAAAGAAGCGCAAGGGCTCTAAGGTTCTTAGGGGTCTTCCACTTGCAGAGGTGCGTAGAAGCGAAGGCAGAGCGCGTGTCAACAGCAGCCAGTAACAGGGCACCGTTGCAAGCCTTCTCCAGATTTTATTTGTAAAGTGATATTTTTGCACAACTCTCACTCGAAGATGTGGTTTCGTTTCTTGATGTGACAGGTTCGAGAGCTCGACGAGACGATCAAATGGGCCGACCTCAAACGGCCCGTCCAAGGCCCCGGCTCCAGCGCGATTCCGGACGCTGGCACCGTCCTAGCCGTCACGGACAAGCGTACGGACGGCTGCGGGGCGGTTGAGTACCTGGTGCGAATAGCCACCGGGGTGGACCGGTCTGTCAGCGAGCCGACTGCCCAGGGGCCGATTCACACCGACGGCAAGAAGGGGAAGAAGCGGGCGGTGGATTTCACGGCCAGCTGGCGGGCGGAGGCGGCGGTGCCGCTGTTTGCGGTCGAGCAGTATGAGGAGAAGGCGAGGCGGTGAGGTTCTGCGCTCTTTGTTGAGCCCGTTCTTTTATTATCGAAGAAACCGGTCACCAGACCTCCTCTTGCCGCTCCTGAAGCACAATTCGCCATAGTGCTACCGTCGAATATTTCTCAACGCAAAAGTACTGACACCCGTGATTTGATTACCGAGGCAGTTTTCAATTGATAGAGATTGTTGTCTCGCATGATTGCTTCTCAAAGCACCTCCATAAAAGCTCGTTCATTAGCTTATCCGTTTCGATCACCCTTTCACTGCTGGCCTGGTTGTTCGACAAATTGGAGCTTACTTTCTTAGTGGACAATCTGCAAAGTTCGACGACTCGAGGATTGTTCGTCCATCCATTCGTCCTGTTCTTTTGGTACTCAGCTTCCTGAGCCACAAACTGGAAAGCCCTTGCTTCCTTTCCAGGGACAAGGAACGTGCTGCGATGGCTCCTCCTCCAAAACCCCGCCCCACTCCCCCACTCAGCGCCCCCCCTCTTCGCCCCACTGGTCCCCGACACGGTTATCCTAACCAGTTTTACAACCCGGTCGCCCCCCGGCCGAGTCCCCCGGTCACAACCTGGGTGCCCGCTCAACACGTGTACGTGCAAAGCCCACTGTTTGGTAACCCTAACCCCTGGCAGGGTGCCCCTAATCCCGCAACGTACCAAACCCCAGGGGCGTACCAGTGGGTGGCCCAGGACGGGAAAAGGCCAAAGCAGGCGGTCAAGAGGAAGGGTCAGCTTAACCCGGGCCAGCAACCGAGCTATCCCCAACCGCCCACCGATTTGATGCCGCCCCCGCAGCACTACACTGCCCAAAATTTAACCCCGGTATTGAACCCCGGGCTTAACCAGGGCTTAACTCAATGCTTAACCCCACCCTTCCAAGCAGCGCCGGCGCCTGCGGGGCCGCTCGGGCAGTACTACTACCAGGGGGTTCCCACCCCGGGTGGCTTAGGTGTTAACCCAGGTGCTTTGGGCACTAACCAGGGTGGTTTGGCCGCTAACCCGGCTCCCTTAGTCGCGGGTTCCATGTGCAACTATTGCACGGGGCTCATCGGGCCTGGAAAGTTGGGGGCGCGCTGCAGCAATTGCGGGGGGGGGTTCCACACGGACTGCATGCGAGTGCAAGGAAACCGGGTGGTTTGCCGCCAGTGCACCGAGAGGCTGTCTCAAGGGGAGAAGAAGAAGAATTGGAAAGTGGGGGCGGAGCCGAAATCAAAGAAGCCGGGGGGGGGCGTAAGTCTTGCCACTCCTATGGCGCCACCGCAAGTGGGGGCTGATGGGGAGATTGGGTCGCCGCCATTTCCAGCAAACGGAGTCGTTGTGGGGGGTAGCCAGACAATAAATGTTCCTTTCGGTGGGGTGGCAGGCCTGCCCGTGCCAGGATTGCCAGGAACGGAAAAGGGTAAGAAGCCCAAGAAGGGGTCTGAAAAGGGGGGTGCCGAAAAAGGGGTCGTCCTCAAGCAGGGGGGGCCGGGGCGGCAGCTGCGCCTGGTTTGGACGCCGGACCAGTGGGCTCCGGACGGGGCGTTCGTGACCCCCCTGAAACGGGCGGAACTGGACTGGGCGCGCGCCCAAGAGTCGGCGTCCGAGTCGGACAAGAAGCGCGAGAAAGAGAACGCGGACCGGCTCGAGGACAAGCGCTTTTCACGGGAGGCCGTCGAGCGGTTCAAGAAGCTGCGGGAGGAGCGCTACAAGAAGCGGTACGGCGAGGGGGGGTCCGGCGACGCCCCGGAAGCACCCCCTCAAACCGGGGAAGTCGGGGAAGTGCCCAGAACGCCGGCTGCAGCGACGCCCATGAAGCGGCTCAAGCCGCCCGTGAGGAAAACGCCGGAATTGGAGCAAATGGCGGCGGAATCCGCGGTGCCCATCTGCCGGATCTGCTTCGAGAACTACAACGCGCAGCTGTGGTACATTGCGTGCGACAAGTGCGAGAGGTGGTACCACGGGGAGGCGTTCGGGCTCGTTCTCGAGGACGCGGCGAAGCTTGCCAGCTGGCGCTGCGGCAAGTGCCTCAAAAAACGGACCCCCGACGGGTGCCCGTACTTCGACCCGGTGGATGCGCTGGCGGAGCCGGTGTGGATCCGGCCGAAGGAGCGGACCGAGCGGAACGAGCGGAAAGAGGTGAAGATCGCATACATGCGCGACGTCGAGGGGACGGCGCAGTGGCACATGAAGCGGGAACGAGAGATGCGGCAGGGGCGCCCGGCAAGCGCACAAGAGGGCCTTGTTGGGAGCGTTGCGGCTTCCCAAGCCGGGGAGGCTAAGCTGGGCGAGAGTCAAGGGATCGCTGAACAGGGCCTCACAGTCTCTGGGGGAAGTGAACCGGTTGCAGAACAGGGTTTGATGGGGCTTGAGGGGGCGGTCGGTGGGACGATTCCGGGGCCTGCCTGGCTCGACTCGAGCATGGACTTAGACCTGGAAGGGCTGTCTTTCACAGACATGCTGTCGGTTGAACACCCGCCACCGAAAGCCGCAGCAACGGTACTGGCGACCGTTACCAAGCCCGTTCTGGGCACCGCAGCTGCACATACAGAGGGCCCGGTGGGGGGCGTGGAAGGTCTCACTCTACAAGGGTCGAAGGGGGCTGACGTGGCGCCGAATGATGGGTCAAGAGTTGAGGTGGCGAGCGGAACTGAAAACGCGGGGAGCGTTCCGTCCAGGATGCAACCGTTCGGGCACGTCATGGCGGCCAAAGTGGAGCGGATCGCCGCCCAGAAGCGGAGAGCGGAAGCGAAAGCGGAAAAGAAGAGGAAAAAGGAGGGGGGAGAAGATGGGGGCAAATCAGGGGAGGAGACAGGTCGGTTGGATATGGATGCGAAAGGGGGGGCAAAGAAGGGCGGGAAGAAGGTGGATGAAAAGACATCGATCCGTCCAGGGCAGCAGGAGGGGGCGGAAGACGTTCCGTTGGTGCTGCTTTTGGGAAGCGGGGGATCTGGAGAGAAGAAGAAGAAGAAACGGAAGAAGGGGGATGCGGAAAAGGACGGGCCGTCAGCGGAGAGAGAAGGGGAGCGGAAGAAGAAGAAACGGAAGAAAGAGCGAAATGGTGATGAAGGCGCTTCAGGGGGCGCTGGTGTTGCGCAAAACCCGGAAGGGATCCCGACTGCCACCGCACAGGACTCCGGGAACTCGGGTGCTCCTATTCTGATCAAGTTGCACACGGCCCGGGGGGGTGGGCAGAAGCCGGGAGGGGAGGGTGGGGCTGAGCAGGGTGACCTTACAAAGAAGGTGCGTTTCGGCAGCCACGAAGAGATTGCACCGGCATCAGTAAAGAAAACAAAGAGCGGGGGTAGCGCAGGAGTGGCGAAAGCCGAGTCAGATGCGAAGGCTCATTCAGGAGATTCCCAGATGTCGATTGAGAAGAGTAAGAAGAGAAAGCGGGTCTCGAACGACGCTCCTGCGGTACCCCCCGGAGCGAAGAGGCGGCGGACCGAGGGGGCTCGGAAGGCAAAAAGCGTGTTCGTGCTCCCTGCATTTCTGGCGGGAAGCAAAACGGAGAAAGTTTCGCTGTCGGGGGGGCAAGCCGGACTGACCGGGGGACAAAGCGGCGAGAGAGAAGGGCGCGAAACGAAGGCTGGGGGAAAGGCGAAAGGGCGCCGGAAAGCGGCTTCGCAACCGGAGGTAACGGAAGCTCCTGCTAGGGAGGATGTTGGTGCGGAGGGGGTCCCTAAGAAGGGCGATGCGGTGGGGGGATCGTCTGCACAGCAGGACGACGGGGGGGGGACGGCAAAGGAGGGCACTCTGCCGACCTACAAACGGCTGAAGATCAAGAAGCGAGCGGAAGGGGGGGATAGCGAGGCAGGTGCGAATAAGATCGAGGATTTGGGGGAAGGGTCCGGGGGTCTGATGGAGGGGGGCCGTGCGGAAGACGGAGCTCGGGAGGGGCGAGATGCAGAAGGGGTCGAAGCAAGGAGAGGGTTTGTGGAGGCGGGGCGTGCAGAGAAAGCAGAAAAGGCGGGTCCCAATGGGGTTGGAGGGGTTCGCTCTTCAGTGAAGGAGCAGAAGGGTTCGGTGTTGGAGGAAAGCAAGACGGTTCGGGAAGCGCGGAAGCCCTCTGAGGGGGCCGAGACGTCGGGAGATCGTCCCCGGGGGGAGCCCAGTGAGGTCTCCGAAGGACAGGGGAAAGGTGGGGAGAAACTGGGTGAGGGGCGAAAAGCAGCGCAGCCGACTGTGAAGAAGATACGTGTCAGGATCGGTCGGGGGGGGGGCAATTTGCGGTCGGGCCAGTCCGAAAAGGTCGAGAAGCAACCCCCTCAGAGGGAAGCAAACATCCTGCAGGGTGATCCCGAAATGGGAAAGACAGACGCGCTGACTGTTGGGGGTGAGGAGGAGGAGGGGCGGAGAGGAGGCGTCGAAATGGGGGGAGGCTCGCCAGCCGGGTTTGCGAAGAACGCCAAGGACTTTGCCCCCCCGCCGCGGAAAACCCGCCGGCAGCTGAGGGATGAGGCTGGGAGCCTGACCAAACCCTCAGAAGGTGGGGGCGCGCTTGACACAGACAAGGGCCAGGCCGTTCTGAAGGAGAGTGTCAAGGGAAAAGGGCGAGCAGGCAAGGCGGAAAAAGGGAAGGGAAAAGAGCCGGAGGCAACGCCGCAGGGGGGGGGGAATCCAGGCGCAGCGGAGGAGGGGGGCGCTCCGGCGTGCTCGGTGTGCGGCCTGACGACGGGTGACGTGGCCACGTGCAGAGGGTGCCACGTGGCAGTTCATCTGGTGTGCTACGAGTACGACCAGCGGGTGCTTGCGAGGAAGGGAACGAAGGGCTGGAAGTGTACCGCGTGTCGAGCGGGAATTCCGGCAGGGCAAGGTGGGCTCTCTGAGCGGCGTTTCGTGCTTCGAGGGGTGTCTTTTTGAGACTTCTTTACTTTGGTTCCTTGGATTATTGTACGAGAGTAGAGCTTTAATTTCAGCTTTGCCGAGTTCGACGCACCTTTTGCGGTCGACGGCTGCTGCGCTCAACATTATAATTGATAAGAAGCCGATCGTCCCAATGCCGACGGGGCGGGACTTTTCGAGCAGAGCTTTGCATGCTCCTCTTCAGGAACCCTACCCAAGAAGGGCTCACATGTAAAGAGCAGCTACGTCTCTTTCTAATCGTGGATGAAGCTGCTGAGTTCAATCAACCAGCGCATTCCTGCGTGCCGATTCTTGTTAAGACCTTGAGAAACTCGCATTTCAAATGCACTGCAGCCCTCCCTCATTTCAAACGCCAGTACGCTCCTCCAGCATCGTGATGCCCTTCTCACCATTCCGTCCTTCATAACCAGTTCTACAAAACGCCTACAATATGATCCGTATTCCTTTCACTTAACACTTTTCTTTCCGTCGAACCAGGTGCCTGCCATCTGTGTTCCCAGCGCGGGGGCCCGCTCGTTCCGACGGCGGAGGGCACGTGGGCCCACATGACGTGCGCGCTGTGGCACCCGCAGACGTACATCGACGACCAGGGGCGCGTTCTGGACGTCGCCAAGATCCCCAAGGTGCGTTTTTTTCTGCGGCTTTCGTCGAAACGGATTCTGGTTTGAAAGGAACGCTAAACCATCTCGTTCTGGACTTGCAAGCCTTTTTTGATACATTACGTTACTCCTGCGGATGAATCACCAGGAGGTTTAATCCGGTCAGAATTCGTGAGCTCACTGAGGGTTTTGCCGGTCACTCTTGTTTTGGCGGGAATTTGCAGTCGAAGAGGAGTGAACAAGTCGTAGTTCACGAGCTGCGAGGGAGCCGGTAGAAACGTTTTGCTGTTAGTGAAGACAGCCGTGCTTGTTCCAAGCCGGTCCGATCCAGAGCACAAACAGATGGAAAAGAGTGGCGAAATAGAGTGGCAAAGAAGCCGCGTAATCCCTTCTTTTAGGAGACGTGTAGCTCCTTCCGAAGACTTTCCTGCTCCAAACAATCTTCGAGACTGTGCTTTTTCCCCCGCAGGATCGGTGGAAGCTGACGTGCTCCGTGTGCGAGACCCACGAAGGCGCGTGCATTCGGTGCAGCGCCCCGGGTTGCCACACGCCCCTGCACCCTTACTGCTGCCGTAAGGAAGGACTGCCGATTTTCATCATGCCCGGCCCGAAGTACCCCATCCACGTGGCTTATTGTCGTCAGCACGCGAACCAAGTGACGTAAGGAATGGTCAGGCTATCGGTACAGGATGTTTACATGTATGGTTGTGAGCTTGACCAGAGATAAACATACTCCACAGAGGAACGACCAGTCGAACCTGCAGGGCGTGTGGGTTGGACTTATGGAAGGTACGCAGGTGCGGCGCTGCAATCGTAGTGCACAGGTGGTAGAACAGACATGATAAGTGACTTGGTTCTCATGTTATGGCCTTTATTCGTCACGCATCTGCTCAGCTAAGTCGCTTCAGCTCTGTCCAATGACCGGCACTTCAATCACGCAAGTACTTGATCTCACACTTGGATGCACATGACGCAATCGCAAATATTCAACGATCGAGTATAATGGTGGATCGCTCCAGCTTTCCAGACTTTATAACGTCACAACTATGGTGTTCGAAAGTTGACGGCGGCAGAGGTATATGTCAGCGTTGCTGCGCATATCACAGTGATTCAAGAATATCAGTGCATAGATGACTAGTACAGATCACTGCCAGTTATATAAACGTTCTATATATGCAGACAATATAGAATGAATACCACTGAGAGGCACGGGACGTATGAAATCGTGCACGTACGCAGCCGGTCGACCAGAGATTTCTCAACCGTCCACATTACCATGCCCAATTATGGCAGCCTGAGCGGTGCGTCAAAAAGACTTTCGCGCGGCCCATTGTCATGTAATGTGTTTGAATGTTGATTCTCAGTGACCGCGTCTCAGTGCACGGATGAAGTGAAAAGAGCTGAAGACTCTGCAGATCTTTCAGGTTGCCTGAGGCTGCACCCGACCCGCCGCCGGGACGTGACGTCGGCTCCTACATAGCTAGTTGCACGCCGGGCTCGAAGCTGATCGTCATGGTCTCTTTCCGGCCCAGAATATCGTGGTCATTTGGATGAGAAAGCTATAGTATAGAAGTTAATAACGCCGTTGAGAACGGCGTCATGAGATCGAGTGATTGAGTGCACGAACCCAGTGAAGGATTGACAGCATGACTGAACCCAGGCGTGAACGGGAAGTAACTCATTGTGTTGCATGTATTGGCAACAAGCGCGCTTTGTGACGCGTGAATGATCAAAGAACTGGTCGATGCTCCGGCAGAAATCTACGACTCCTTTCTGCGCAACAAATTTGATACCATCTCTTACAGACGTGACCAAAACCTGTAGTGACTACAACAGGTATCACTGATCACTGATCATCGATGGATTTAGGCGGCGTCTGCACAGGAGGCAATCCAGTTGCACACAGCCATGTGCCCGCATGGATGCTGTGCGTGATCGGACGTGCCTGGAATGAGTGGCAACAAAGAAAGCGGCCCACCGCTTCAATCAATTCATATTGATGGAGTGTATAGTTTCAACTCGTCTGTGACGACCTGTGCGGAAGGTGAGTGTACCTACTATGGTGTACCGTAAGTCAACATGTCCACTTCCTGACTAGGAACTTAAAAGCTCAACACGCGCGCAGTACACTGCTTACAATTCCAAAAGTCCAAAAGTTGATTCGAGCCCAACTTACACAACTAGGATGGCGGCGCAGTGACCTCGACGTCCCCCTTCTTCTTGTGGGACAAGCTCAACTCCTCCACGCCTTCCTCTTCCCTTTTAAATTTCACGGACCGCAACTCGTCTCCCTTCTTATGGCCTTTCGCCGTGTGCTTAATCTCAAAATCCTTCGTCTTGAAGTCCGCGGTTAGTCTACAGATCTCGTCGTCCTTTTGCCACGTCACGGCCAACACGTGGCCGGGCGCATCGTCGTCGATGCTCATCTCGCCGCCAAACGCGGGGTGCTGGTTCCGGAACCGGCACAGCTCAAGCAGCGCCTGAACCACCGGGCGCTTCACCTGGAGAAGTGTCGATTTTATTGATGATCAAAGTTGCAAGAAAAGTGACGTCTTTCCCCAGGGACCGGGTGGGGTTGGCTTGGGGTATAAAGCTTGAAGTCAGCTCGATGGTTAGGGTGGGGTCAGCTTGGGGTTTAGCTTGGGGTTCGGGTGGGGTTAGCTTGGGGGTTAGGGTGGGTTAAGGTGCGGAGCGCAGAAATTTCTCGAGCGGAGAGATACCTTGGTTAAAGTTTTCCGATAATTCATTCCCAATAGAATGTCCTTGAAGAGTCTTTGGCTACGGCCAGGGCAGCCGATTGTGCGGTTGTGAGACTCGAACTTTCTTCAAAAAGCTTATCATTCCATTCACCAAAACCGAGAGGTTGCTTACCTGTTCCACCGCCTGCTCGTACGAGTACAAGTGCCGGTTGATGGCCCGCCCGGTCCCCTCCTTCTTAACCAGGGTTAAGTCGTTGGACCCGACCAGCATGCCCACGTAGTAAACCAGGGGGATCCCCGGGCAGAAGAACTGGATGGCACGTGCCAGTAAATACGAGTGCTCGTCCTCCTCGCAGGCGGAGAAGTACGTGCAGTTTATCTGGTGGTCGATCGACACGTAGCCCGCTTTTTCCGGGTCGTACAGGTATTTTGCGGTGATGGAGGCCTTCTCCTTGGACGTGGCGTCGTTTGCGATCTTCTTCAGCTCCTCCGTGTCGCAGACCTGCGGCGGGCGTGGCAACGCGTGAGCGAGCTTAGGGTAAAACGAGTCCTTGTCAAGAAACGGGTTGGAGGGAACTGAAGCCTCACGAAACCGGTAAGAGAAAACCAGAACTAGAGACGAACTCAGGTACTGCGACCTTAGGCTGATTTAGGGTGGCATGCGTGGCACCCTCACAGAAATCACACGCAATCCCCACGCCATCCTCAATTCAAACCCATCCTATGTCCGTTGGATTATAAGCAGAAGGTCGTTCCTGAGCTCGGCCGCCCGACTGTACCCCTTGATTCAACCTACAAACCTCATTTCTAAGCAGGGGCTAAACCACTGGGACCTCGTTATCCGGGCGCACCGTCACGAACCCATCTCCTCTCCCCGTTCGCAATCCAACGCAACGGTTCATTTCAAGGCCCCCCTCAAACCCCACCGAAACCCCAAACCCCAAAACCCTCAAAAGACCTAAACCCTAAACCCTTAAACCCTAAACGCTAAACCCAAAACCCTTGAAGACCTAAACCCTAAACCCTCACCGACGCCAGCCCTGCGATGTCGTCGATGCCCATTCCGTCGTGCGTGTCGAGCACGGTGATCTGGCGCCGGGGGCAGATGCGCAGCCAGTGCCGGAGGTTCTTCGCGGTCTGGAAGTAGAACGCGTGGAGGACAAGCAGCGGCAGCGCGAAGTCGTACACCCAGTAGCCCTTGTCCGCGATCTTCAGGTTGGTCTTGTACTCCTCGTGGACCTCGCACAACAACCTGGGGTGTATAGGAAAAATGTTTCAGGGTTTCGGGCCTTCAGGGTTTCAGTGCAAGCTTTGCAAGCCTTGAGAAGATTCTGCAAGTCGTACACCCAGTAGCCGTCTTGTCCGCAATCTTCAGGTTGGTCTTGTACCCCTCGTGAACCTCGCATAGCAACCTGGGGTGTACGAGACGAAGGGGTGTCAATCTTAGCGGCGTCGAAAGGCCTTGAGAGGTCACACCAGTTCTGAGAACAACGAGCAAAGTGCTACGCAGACCTTCACGGGCCTTGAAGAAGCGTACACCCATTGTCAACAATTCATCACATCCTTAATGACAATCTTTCAATGCATGATCCTCTCGGCCCACCACGGTAATACCTACTCGCCACCATCTGCCATCTGGTCGCCAGACCAGAGGATTCCGTTAACCAATTTTTTTAAGCCAGTCTCGAAATTTTGTTATAAGAAGAGGGCCTGAAGTAGTGTCAAGAATAACCCTACTGAATCCGGGCAGTGCATCTGGCTAGAAAGGTAGCATGCCCGGCTGGAAAGGTTTGGTTCGAGGCCCTCCTATTGAAGCGCAACCACCGGGAACCGGCTACTCAAGGTCTCATCTGTCTTACTTTAAAGGTGGCCTTCACCAGTGGATGGTGGGAGGCATTCCGATGCAGGGCAACGAGTCTTCCAAGACGAGGAAAGGTGGACCAAAAGCGGAAGGGATCCCCCAAAGCAGATTTGAGAGTTTGGGTTGAAGGGCGACATACCTGATCCCTTTCTCCTGCACCAGCTTCTCCATCTTGTCCAGCAACTCCCACGCCTCAGGCTCCTGCAGCAGAAGAGACAGAAGAACTAATCCTCAATTTGCGCTGATCAAGCCTAGGCCTATGTAGAGTTCAATCCGTTCCCCGGGCCCTAAGAAACTGGAATTTTAGACGCGAAGCTATGATGCTCCGCACCCGTACCCAACCCCAGATTCTTAAACCAATCCCACCCGTCTTCCGAGAAGTGCCGTAATTCAACACACCCTAACTCAACGTAGCATTGACACTGCTGGAAGGGGGCTACAGGCTATCGCTTTAATTTCGTTCTGGTTCAGCGCCTTTCTACAGACCGATCACGCCCCGGCGATTGACTATGAGAGCTCATCAATCCGGACCTGGTTGAAAGAGCATAGGTTTCTAGTGAGCGATGTCGGCAAAAGCAAGGTTTTCGCAGACTGTACCTCGAAGAAACAGCGCGTATCAAGCTTTTTGGTGAAGTACCCGAAGGCGTCGAGACGGATCACGCTCGCCCCGTTGTCTCGAAGACTGGAGATGGACTGCTCTATGAACTGCCAACCTGGACGGATAAAGAAGACAAACTGTTCTCGCGACAATAGTTGGATGAGTGCTTTTGTGAATACGGCTTTGCTTAGTTCCCTATGAGGAAGCAAGTGCCTTTAGAAAAGCGCGTCGACGGTGATTGTTGGGAACGGAATGTTTCACGGATTGCCAGCCTGAATAAATTCGGAACGGAATGCCTCGGACGATATTCCGCCACGAACTGCACGACGAGAGAAAGGTGCGAAGTCCGATGGCGCTTCTGCCCCCTAATTTGAGCTATGCGCGCATTGAGTGCCTCGTTCGATTTCCCCACAAACTACAAGCCGGGAAAGCCTGGAAGACGACTTACTTGCGTTTACAGATCGGCTACGAACTGCCGGCTGAGACGGAAGCGGAAGACAGGCAAAATGCGTCCGACTGATTTCGACCCAGATCGCCAATCGATACTAGTTCCAAGAAAGACGGAATACGTCTAACGGACTCCACAACGAAACACTATTTGGAACGAATCTAGGAGTATGCGGGGAACATTTACATGCCAACGTGCGTCATTGGGGGTACGTCGACTTGCTCCAGTGCAAAGCTCAGTCATTTGATTTCACGCGTGTGCAAATACAGAAAATCAGAACCCCAAAACCCAAAACCCCGAAAGCCGAAAACATACCGACACGCGTCATCGGGTTGATGTCAATCTGCTCGGGGCCAAACGTGCACCAGAGACGTCTCTTGCTCCCGTCCTTCATTTCCACCTCCAAAACGGGCTCCTTATCGTTGCGGCACCGGATCAGCTTCTTGTCGTTCTCGTTGGGCCGACCTGCGCATTGGGGGTTATTGGGTCAATTGCAGCTTCCGTCAACGTAGGCTTGACAGCAGGTTATAAAAAGGCTTAACGACAGGGTAAGTGGCAGGTCCCACTGCAGAATCAACAGCAGATTTTGATGCAGCAACGCCTGGGATTCACGTCCTTATCCTTGTTAGGCGGACCTCCCTTTCAAAGTTTGTGAGAGTGATTTCCGTTACTGACATAGGGTTTACGCAGCGGGGTACAGAACAGGTTCGTTAGCAGGTTCCAGTGCCGGGAAAGCGGCAAAAGAGACGTTCTCGATCGCACTCGTCAGGCCGAACAAAGCATCAGGCTCAACAGCAAGGGCTGTTCAAGATGAACGGCAGGCTCATAGAAGAGAAGTTACTGTAGCGATGCATTCTGGTGCAGAAAACGTCGTCTCCTCTTTTTAGCCTCTTGTAGATAGTGCGCAAGCACTAACCAGTGATTAAAAGTGCGGTTAATATCCTTAACCGAGTCAGCATGGCATCCCCACCTTTCGGCCAAAATTTGTCCCAGTCAACAAACATGTCCGCAAACTCGGAGTCGTCGCCCTTCGCCAGGAAGTCCTGAAACTCGTCCGAGTCGGGGGAAATGTGGTTAACCATGAACTCCACGCACAGGTCGTACCGGTCAGCAATCTCCTTGACGTCATCCCATGTGCCGAACTTGGGGTCGATGTCCGTATAAGCGATTGGCGCAAAGCCGCCGTCGCCGGAGGAGCGGTACACTGGCAGCAGGTGCACACTGCCGATAGCGCCTGTCATTACGAAAAAACGAAGGTTGGGTTAAGCATGAGTTAAGGAAGGATTCAGGGCGATGGACTTGACTTGAGGGCTTGGAAAGTGTCGATGGTCCAAACAATTGGCGCGCTTTGAAAAACGGGCGAGTAAAGCCTCACCCGCTGGCAAGCAGCGCTGAGCAACTTTCCAGCTTTTATCAATGTACATACTATTCTCATAGTTGCACTCAGACACTCCAATGCAAGAGAACACCGCTGCAGGTCTGCATCTAAATAGCAGAAAGAAATGAGCCCAGGATCCTTTGAGTCCAGGGGAACCCTTCCAACTTAACGTGATCAGAGCAGTGCTGGATTGATCGTTTCCAACCTCACCCTGAAGGAGTCAAGCTCCAACAGAAGCGCGACAAAGCAAGGCAGGTCGACAAAAGCTGGCATGCACTTTCTCTGGTGTCAAGGTCTAGTTGGTTTCGAAATCTTGAGGCCTTACCTCTCAAGTGGTCGTTCATGAAGCGCATCAGATCCTTGAGGCCCTCCCCAACCCCGTTCCCATACGTGCTCAGCTGCACCTGGTTGCGTAACGTCATTTGGTCGAGCGGGTCCGGGTCGTCCGTTTTGATGCGGCCATCCTCAAAGTTGTCGCTCTTGTCGCTGTACAAGAGCTCGTTGAACCCAGGGAACATCGGCTTCTGCCCGATCGCGGTCCTCCGCTCCTTCTGCAAAAAAGGTCAACCCTGTTAACCATCGTGCTTCTTTGACATGTCTCCGACAGGACCTTCTGGGCCTGGTACCCTTATTGAGGGCTGGTTGAAAGTCCTCATTGATCCAAAAGCTGTATAGAAAGGGTGTGCTGGGTTATGAGTTTGAACAGACGACCTTTCAGAAAACCATCGATAGCAGCGGTATGCGTTTCAAGGAGGACGCCCACATCGCTGCCACTTGCTTCTGGACAACCCTTAGCTGTTGGGAGTCGACAAGAGAAAAGCAATACAGTATTGGAGTTCCTTATCAGTGCAGCAGAAAATAGTAAGAAACCAGATACTGGCCCGATGTGGCCACTGCCTAAGCAGAAGTGTCAGAGGTCGCAAGTCAAACTGCGCCACTCAATCAAAGCAGAGACGGTGGCTCCACAAGCTATGTAATCATAATGACGACATTTTGCAGCTGTCAATTCGTTTCTTCGGCTCAAGCAAGCTGACTATCAAGCAGTATTAAAAGAATTCTGGACTGGAGGTCAGGGCCGGCAGTCAGGCGTGCATTCTGCATGCAGCTATGCTGTTCATCTTCTCACTCGGCAACAAGGATTGCAAGACTTCTATAGCCTTGAATCACTGGGACTAATAACCTGACGTCATTGAGCACCATATGAAGCCATGAAGTGACCACCTGCGAGGGTGCCACTACCTCATGATCCTCAGCATTGTATCCCAAGCTGAAAATGAGACCCCTTAACACATCATACTGCACAACATACTGCACAAACTTACCTCTAAAGCGCTCGAAACCATAGCTGGAGCCTCCTCAGCTACAGTCGGTGCAGGCCACAGCTCCTCCAATAAAAGTAGTGTAGCACCCACAGGAAGAAGCTTCAATGAGGGTGAACACTAGGCCAAACGAGGAGACAACGACACGTTTTGACGCTGCGCTCGTTTGATCTGCGTTCTGCAGCTGTTGCCGAACTTTTATGTGCGGATCACATTGTCTTGTTTGAATCCCGGGGGAACTGAAGTCCAAAGTCTCTGGAGAGCATACCTACAGTAGCACTGAGAATAGCTACGGTAGACAGCAGAACAGCAGAACAGCAGAAATCACACTTGAACAGCACTGTCAGCAGCTAGAATAAGATTGCGGCCGGCCTGCATGATGACATTCTCATGAAATCTGGGACAGGTGGCACACCGTGGCACATAGTGAGTCACGACTCAAATTCAGTCCAGAGTTCTCTCAATCATTGCGGTCGGCAAACGTCCGGTATCCACCGGTCACCTTTCCAGGGAATGATTGCTGACCAGTGACTCCCCGACTGCCTTTCAATTTCACGGAACGGGACTGCTGATGTCATCGGGTGTCAGTTGCTGGCAGTCCTCGTGGCCGTTCGATTGCTGTAGGTCACAGTAGGTGGCTTGTCACATCGACGGCCGTGCGGCATTTGCGGCTGTCGAAGCGCGGCCGTCGAAGGTGCTCGCGCGCGCGCTCGGACTCGGAGAGCTCTTCTAAAGGGAGAAAGGTTTCCTTTGGGTTTCACTGTTTCATGGGGGTGGTGGTGTTGTTGAAACGAGATAGGTAGATACAAAAATAGAGCTTGCGCATGTAGTTTAGGGCGAAAGCGGCCGCCTTTGCGTGCTTCAGCTTTAGCGCACCATAAAGCCAATACTTGATCTGTGAAGACGTCGAGAGCTCGGCCAGATGAGTGGTAGCAGCCGCGACATCTTTGATTCTTCGCTCGACCTCGAGCGGGAGCACCTCGACAGAGGGTATGCGGAAGGGCTCAGGTGAGTTTTCAAGCCCTTCTCCGATGGCCAACTTATCGAGGCACCAGGCTTGGTTAAAGTAACCTGGGCTAAACTTTGGTTCGCCAACTCTCTGCATTTCACAATGCAAGTTTGGTGCATTCTCACCCAAATACTTTGAGATACTAGATTCAGCTTGGCCATTCGTTGTAGCGCTTCATTCACGCAAGCATCAGACCATTGTTTGTCCATGCACATCCTAGAGCGCCTCTTTTTAATATCCTGAAGCCCCATCGCTTGATGAGAGATCCCAGAATGCATGGGAGGGCAAAACATCGTGAAACGTTCGGGGATACAGGCAGCAGTCTTTGATAAACTTTCATCAGCCAGACAAATGACCAGATTGCTAGCTTTGCCACATTACGACCTGATTAACAATCAGGCATTGATGTGGAGCGAAGCCACAGGCAAACCTGTTACACAAGAGAGTGGTGCCAAAGGTGGAGCGCTTTTAGATGCTCACAGCGCTCATGCAGGAAAGCGTGTAGTTTTTGTGCTGCAGGGACGGTCAGACGGAGGGGCTGAAGGAAGGGAGAGAAGTGGGCCTGAAGAGCGGGTTTGAGATTGGTGAGCTGCTTTAACGAGAGGCTGGCCAGCTTTGAGCATAAGTCATTCCCTGCGCAGTGATTTGATTCATTCCATGATGTCACTAAGAACGGCAGTACTGCCAGATAGCCCAGCCCTTCCCATCGTTGGTTCCAATTTCAATAGGGCAACGTCAATTTAAGGAGGTTTTCACCAACATTTGATAAACTGGAGATTGCAGGTTGAGTGAGAGGTGATGCTGCTCCTTGCTCCACACATTTGTGCGACTGCATCTTTCTGACTTGGTTTGCTTTGGATCAGGGGAGGAAGTTGGATTCTACTCTGGGTGTGTGGAGATTTGGAGCAAGGCCTTGGAGACAGACGGGACTCTCTTCAGCGCCAGGTATGCTGAACTCTTTGCTTGTTGAACGGGACCCGCAAATAACCCTTTAAACTTGGAGTTTGTTGACCTGCGATTGTGGGGTACCCAAAAGGGCAGCAAAAGTATATTGAGATGTATCTATCAGGGCGCAGAAGCCTGACGATCTACTTTTAAAGCGCAAGTTCTTGTGAGGTGTATGATATCGAGATGCCTTCCGGACAACTGTTGACTGCTATGAGAAGAACAAGAGGATTTTTTGCTGATGAGCTGCACAGATGAAGCTGTAAAGGTTCCGTACCACTACTGGCAAGTGAAGCTGATTGTCATTGTGCGGCTCTCGACTGTGTCTAAGAATCTGGTGTTTTTGCTGAAGACTCTCCTTTGGCATTCGCATGTGCAGGGGTCGGAAGAGCATACACACATTCTCGCAGCAGTTAGCTGCCTTTCCTCTCAAAGAACCACAGGCAAGTTCCACTGTTGCTGGCTTGCGCTTCCTTTCCATCTCATTTCAATGTTTGGGTCTATAGTTTGCTTCTCCCTTTGGCAGCAAATCACGTGCTTTGTGCAGTTCGACAAAAACGTCATTAGATGCTGCTGGAGCGCTTCACAGAGTTCGGTCAAAGAGAATCCCAGATCCGGGAGGGGACGAACCTGCTTCTTGAGGGGTGATTGCGAAAACTTTGATGAGTCATAGGACGTGGATCTTTGAATGGAATCTTGTCCAGGCTAACGTCCTGTTTGCAAAGCACACGAAGCCACCCTCCTCAATAAGGAAGAACTACCTCATCAGTACATTCAGACAATCGCAGCTAGCCTTAGAGGGACCATTACTTTAGTTCAGCCCAACGATTCATAACCAAAGGAGAGATGAAGCGCTCAAAGGAACGTCAAGGAACACTTAGCTCCGCAGAAGGTTGAGCATCTGACACAACCGCCAAGCAATGTCACCGCAAATCGAAGCAATTGAAAAGGGCCCTAGGGACTCAAATCCAAACCGTGAGAGGGTTGGATCATACGTCAAGCCCCTCAAATCAGATTCTGCTCCCGTCCGCAGAACGAGCAGTACGACAGTCTCTTGAAGCAGCTGAGAACGCGGTGGAAGGTGCTGACGTCACTCCTGGGCGTGGCGCCGTTGGAGTATCCGGGGTACCCCCGGGGGGAGGAGGACCCCACCAGCTTCTAACTAGAGCGAGGGCGCTGCGGGGGCGATGACCGAGAGCGACGAGGAGCAGGAGTTCATGTCCAACCTTTTCACCGACGAAAGGTGAACCTTTCTATTGAACCGATTCGCCTGTCTTTTGTACTTTCGCGATTTCTGGAGCGGTGTTTAAAGGCATTACATGATTCACACTCGCACGGCTTCCTTACTTTCGTGACTTTGGAGAAGCTTTCATTGAAGCCAAGATTCGGAGTGGCCGAAGCTAACCAGAAGTACAGTGTGCAATGATCAAGTCACGACCTCTATCGATGTCCGTACCAACCACCTTCTTATGCTCATGAGGTTGCTAGTTCTGCCAGATATAGTTCGTAAGCATCCATTCCTAACGCCACTGATGGGGTCAGCCAGCTACATCAGCCACCGGCGATCCGTGTGGCAGCACTGCCTGCAGAATTCTGCCGACGCCATCGTTTGTTGCTCGTATCTCATGTGCCACTTCGGTTCTGCAAGGGGAAGAAGAGGAAACGTTTCCTTTCTTATGCAGCTACGTTCCAAAGACGTTCCACTTCGGCGCCCAGACCATCACCGTGCTGAGACTCGAGGCATCTTCCAGTGAGTCTCCTTCTCGACAAAGTTATCATCGAGCCAAGAGAGAGAGAATGGATAGGTCCTTCCTGCTGAGAACAAACCGCACCTCACATTTTCGAAATGAGAAATTATATCTACTGGGCACTCGAGCCCACTCGAAACCCCCTCCTGAGCATCACCCGTCCCTTGCGGGTGACCTTGACTTTCGAATTATATGTACCTTTGCCGACAGGTAAAAGTCTTTAAGCATGCGCAAAGCCCATCACATGTGTTCGTCGCTCCCCGGACGCTCCCTCAACGTTTGTCCGTCAAGAGCAACCCTGCTCCGCGAGAATTGGCTACGCGTCGGAGGAATGCTCGGAGCTCACTGTGCTGACGTCACGTCCGTCCCTTCTGCTCAGCTGATTTCGACCTGACGGGGCAGATCGTATGGCCCGGCGCGCAGCTGATGGGCGCTTATCTGAGCACTCGGGCAGAGATGTTCAAGGGGAAGACGGCTTTGGAGCTAGGGTCGGGCGTGGGTAAGCGCCCGCTCAGATGCTGAACGTATGACCATGTTAAGGGGCGCTTTTAAAGTGTTGGACTCGAACAATTTGTCCCCGTTTTTCCGAGAAGAACGTATCAAACAAAGAGCAGGCTGCGGCTGAGCCCTGCCCGTATTGTTGCTCCCTACCTGTCGGAGCCTGCCCAATCCTTTCGCTCCGGTTGCTGTGAGATAATGAAAGCTTATGTTCAACGCTCCTTCGTGTAGCGACTTGGTTTGGGCTTACAAAGGTGTGTAAGCCGTCGACGGAGGCGGACTCATTATAAACCGGGACTGTGAAGGGATTTCTGAAAATATCCACTCGAACTTAGCCCTTTGCAGGACTGACGGGGCTGCTGTGCGCCCGATTCTGCCCGGTAGTGATGACCGACCACAACGAAACAGTGTTGAAGGTGAGGAGAAGACACGGACTCTTTCAAACGGCGGAAAGAATTGTGGGGGAGCTAGAGGCTCGCCTCTACTCCATGCAGAGTGACGCCGTCTCAGATAATCCTCCCTTTGTTCATGGATGAGTGGCCTTAATCGACCTGACCTGTCAGGAGACGGGTCTTCGCTTTGCATACGAGCCTTCAATCGCGAGGGGTTTTCCAGCGACTTCGGAAACTGCAGTTGAACGACCTGCAAAGCGAACACCACAGTGCCCATTGACCTGACTAGCTGTTGATTCTGCAGCGTTCGACGTTGTTGAAAAGTTCGATACGACGCAACTATTGAAAATAGAATCTGTTGATCAACTTCTGTGTAACTCTTTTCGTGCTTGTTACTCTTTAACCTAGACCTTCCGGTCAGTCACGGCTTTCTCCATCCTGGCCAAACCCACGAGATTTGGTAAAGAGTTCTCTTAACAACCTTGTGCAAATCAGCTGTCACGATCTTTTCTCAATTGTCCACCGTAATAAGCGGCCCTCATTTCTGTTGGTTATTGTACCCTAAACTTGATCCATCGACTTTTCTATGCCTTTTCTATTCCATTTTTAGTGGATGGCGCTGCCGCTATCACGGTTCTGCGGAAGCGTGCCCTTAGCCATGCTGAGAGAAGGAAATTAGCGTCCAGTCTTTGTCCAACCACGACCGGCTTGACCTGCTGCATTTCGCGATATGTTAATCATCTGCAGTCCGAACCTCGTCAATCCCACTGTTCGTTTCCAGGTTATGAGGAGGAACGTCGCGTTCCAAACGGAGGTGGCCAAGGAAGCAGCGATCCATGGTGAGCCACGTGGCACCTCTGAAATGTTGATCGAAATGTAGCTGGACTTTCTGGCTGCTTTCTAGACTCAGCCGTTCCCATCAGTTCGGAGAGTAGAGATTTCACACTCACCAGCAATGCCCCCGTAGTATCAGAGTCCTTAAGTCTCCGTCAGCTACTTACGGTTGATCAAAATGCAAGTGAAGAGGTCGGGAGGTAACGGGGAGTGTGAGGGCGGTCTCCTGTTAGCGACGACCTTGAAAAGGAAGTCGTCTATTGTCGGCCTTCCTGTTTGGCCGGTTTTGATTGCAACTCGAAATTGAGAGCCTCTTTCTAAGAGTCCCGCCTCTATATTTGAAGTCGATATGCTTGGCTACCTTTCTACTTGTCTGCCTTTTCTTCATTAACATAATCAACTGACGTCGGCGAAAGTGCTCCTCTTAGCTAAGAGCAAGGGGACTCGGGAAAGTGCAGATCTCTCGGTCAATTTCTTCTTTGTGTGTTTCTTCCTCATCCCAGCACTTTCTTCACCCCTTCCTTCAAGCTCCGCGCTCTTGGAACCCTGCTGTTCACGCTCAATGTAACAAACACGGTCTCCTGTGCAGAGGTCGATTGCATGCAACTAGAGTGGGGCAACCGGGATCACTTGAACGCAATCCTGGCTCGCCACCCGGGGGGCTTCGACTACATCCTGGGAGCAGACATCTATATCCTCGTCCCGCCTTTGCTTCTCCCGGGACTTTAACCTCAGGGCCTCTACTTGTTCAAACTTGTCTCGTCGGCCGTTCCAAGTTGCTTCTTAGAGCAGATCACAACTTACCGGTTTGACTGTCAACGGTCTTGTTTACTTGCAGTCTGTCGACGTATCTTGTCCGGATGCTCTGCCACGTCTTGTTTAAAGCATACGTCTGTGCTTTCGTTCTGCTGGCTTCTTTCTCCTCTTGCGTCTCTTCGCTTCGATCCCTTTCGAGACCAAGGCTATCAGATGTGCTCCATCCTCTTGCTCCCTCACATTACATTCTTTTTCCTTTGTAAGGTCTCCCTCGTGTCTATTTGTGAGGATTATGTGTCCGAGCATATCGCTTCCGGCTTTGGATTACCGATGCCTGACGTATATGTCCGCGCCTCGCCGGTAGTTCACGAGCGCTCCGGGGCCCTTTCCGACTTTCGGGGTGTGATTTGTCTGACCTACGAATCTTGAGATGAAGTCTTTGGGCAGGTTGGTAATCTTGGCGTGCTCTCGTCATGTTTCAGCTACTTGCAAGCGCCCCCTTTCTAGATTTCGCATTGCGACTCACCATGTCGCAGTCTGCTGACGACCGTCGCTAGCCCTCCCGTCTTGAAGCAAGTGTCTAGCGCTCCCTCCAGACTGAACTCCTTTTCAAATAACGGCGCTACATAAGACATCCCCATGTCCCTAATCATTGTTTAGTCACCACCTTATCATGGACATTTCGCCGGACGCATTGAGCTTATTGTCACACGTCAGCGGACATACTGCTCCTTGACCGAACCCGTCAGCACGTTACCAGCAGGCGAGCGTGCCCCTGCTCTTTCGGACGGTTCGGCAGCTGTTGGACGTCCGAATTGGGGCCAACTTCATCCTGGCGTATGTGTCCCGCATCAAGGGGTACGTTCACGGTCTTACTTCGTCCGAAGTTTTCGCGTCATTGGTGCTGCTCTTCAACTTATTCCACGTTTTTCTGGTCCGAGCGATTCAGCAGTGCCTAGATGCGTACATTTGGATGATCTGACTGGAGACCTGAGACTGACCCTGATAGAAGGAAGTTGTATACACGAAGTGCTCGATCGAGCTTCCAGTCCATGGCGCGTAGCCGATGTCAGATTCGGCGAAAGCTCGGAAAGACAATTCCGGAGGGACCAAGGGCTTTTGATGTCATTGTTCGAAGAATTTTGGCTTGCATTTAAATGGAGAGCAGACTGTTGTCATTCCCTGCACTTATTCAGCCTTTTTCACTTGAATCGAGCAGACTCCTGTCTCCGGTTGGCGCGTTCAGCCAGCTTGCGCGTAAGGAGCATGGTCGGCTTTTCTAGAATGAGCTGGAGAAGGGCTTGAGAGCAACTGAAAAGGATTCCAATTGGTCTTTACAGAACCGACGAGCTTGTAAAGGCAACCGTGCTGGATAACAACATGCGCGCCACTGAAGCTCCCGGAACTCGACAGAAGCTGGCTAACGGGACCCTCGAAGGGTGGGTCTATGTAATCTCCTCCAACTAAGGAACGCGAAAATATCCAGGCCCGGATACTACCACTTGCACAACGATGGGTGCGGTTCGGTTCAACCTCGTCGTGTGGATTGCGAGATATCCACGGGTAAGCAAAATGGGAGACGTTAGTGCTTTCAGAACTTGTCTTAAGGAACAAAAAGAGTGACTGGCAACCAGCCTCCATGGGTCTTGAAGTCTTCATCATCATCGTGACTATCTTTCAATGCTGGCCACTGCTTGCGGTATTTTCAGGGACGTTGTCGAAGATCATTGTAAGAACACGTTCGTGCGAAGTATGCACTCAAGTCAACATTGGCATGCATGTACCTGCACACCGCTGGCGCCCCATGCCTTTTATAGGCATGATCGTATAATCGTATGCTCGAGCTCTGAGAGAAGCGTCCCATCGGCCGGCACATGTGCGTGACCTGACAATATCGATTAGAGCATTCACAACCAGCAAGTTCTTGCAATGTCATGCACTCGCCAGAATCATGACTCATGTGATACAAGGAGCCAAGTGATCGTTCAATAGCCTGGTGAGGATCGTGGACGTGAACCCGCGTCCAGACAAAAACTAGTTGCATTCTGCACACGTATCTAGCCGCCACAAGTCTCAGCTGTAGGCATGCACTGCGTGGCGGCGCATGCCGCCACTTGTGATGCACGATCGTAACCCTGAACTGTACATAGCGTTGTTGAAGAATGTCGCGACCCCGCCCCTAACTCGGAGACCGCAGAAGCCATCACTACCAGATTGGAAAGTTGATTCGTTTGCAGGATAAGGTGGTTTGAGCCGTGGATATTCGTATCGACGGTGCGCGCAACCTCAGCCAAAACGGTGGAGTTCGATGGTGTCAATGGCGCCCCATGTTTACAAAGTTCCAGCTGAACGTACACGAATCGGACCGCCGCACGCATCGACATTAAATATTAGACACGCGGCGCGCGATGACTTGCCCAATGTTTCATTGATGTCAGACAAACTCATCATGCTCGTACGGCCGACCGACTTCTACGGGTAAGCCTCTACCGTCAAAGTATATTAAATTTCAGTTGAACGCGACTCGGTCTAAATTCGCGCGTTGCCTCGAAGAGGACATTACCAATTCAAACTCGGCGTCCGTGTCACTAGGTAACACCTACTCCAGCTGGACTGTTCCGAACTTGGGCATATCGCTAGGCCGGTCGACACAGCGCGGTACATATTAGACCGAGCGGTCAACTCAGTCCAGACACCAAGTGCAACCTTGCCCGGTGGTCTAGCCGGGTGGATGATATGGCTCTCGGCCTGCAGAGTTGAGGGCCAAGCCGCCCCTAACACCAGAGTTCCGACCTACGACAGGTGGCGGTTCCTGAGTGGATCTTATCCTGCAAACGAATCTGGCTGAAATGCCCCGACCACTTCTCCATCAAGCTACCGGGCACAGTTAGGGGCGGGGTTGCACGCTTCCTCTACAACGCTATGTAGCCTGCCTAGCTTCTCATGGTGTGTAGTGACGGCCCGCACTTGGTGCATATGTGCATGGCGCATGATCTTTTGCATGCAGCTTGACGGAAGCAATATGCATGCAAGCTTCATTCTTGAGTGACTGGCGGACCTTCGCCGATGCCAGTTCTTAGTAATCTGCATATCACCTAACTCACATGATCGCTTACACAAGGTCACTCAATGAGAAGTTAAGCTTATCAGTATTTGCATATCGGCACTCAGTGAACGAAACAATCATTGCACGGACACATCAACATAATTGATACGTGCCATGAATATCGGATACTCTGAATTGTCATTCCTATGCTTGATTTGGCCCGTGAGCTGGACATCTTGGTGTATGCATTGCATAACGTGACTGTTTGAGCTTGTAATGCGGTCCCAATGAGACCTACACAAGGGTAGATTCAATCTGAGACCGCCTGATTCTAACATAGTCAGGCTTTTCTCTTTTCTAGCTTCTCAGAGAGATCGACCCAATTTCTACTTAGTGTTGACAATTTGCGCTGGATAGTTTGCCCTTATCGATTTTGGGGCATAATTCGTGTCTTCAGTATTTACAACCGGAACGTTCTTGACCTTTTATCCAGCCTTCCATACTTTCTTAGGTAATCATTCGTATGGTACATTCGCTGAGTAATTTCCGTTAGAAACATCTCGGCGTACCCACTCGAGCTCGTTCCCTTCATCCAACAACCACTTGCCTGATTTCGTTGTCAAGCCCTGTCAGTTCGAACAATAGACCGTACTGGTCAAACTGGTCAAGAAAAGTACAGCTCCGCACCGTGGAATCTCTCTACGTTGCCTACTTCCACAGCGGCCTTCCCCTTCTTGGCCGCACCTTGTCGGATGATCTGCTCGAGCACTCCCCGAATGCACTCCTCCTCCCAGCCTCTGCCCAACGGCACTGTGCGGACAGGCTCGTCTCTCCCCATGTCTACCACCCTTTGTCCAGATGCCCCAGCTGAGACGAAACTAGCAACTTGGCCCGGACCCCGTCCTCCCACGGGCTCGCCACCGCGCCGCCGAAACCCTAGCATCTCCTCCAAGTGCTCTAGAATGCTGTCAAGGTTCGTGATCGCTCTCTCTCCCTTGCGGCCTGCACCTGTGGACCGCTCCATCCACTCAAGGAGCTTCAAAAGCTCCGTTCCATCAATCCCGCTCTCGTCCCGTTTCCGCTTGGACCCGCTCGACCAGGCCGAAGTGAACAGAGTCCCGCACCACTTGCTCGTCATATTCTCCGAGCTCTCCAAGGGGCGCTCTTCCGAGATGTGAGCGGACGCACCACGAGGCCCCGCAAGGTCCCCCTCCGTCTCTGTCAATAAGCTCTGAGAGGGCCGTTTTGAAAGAGTTCTACGTATCCCCTCTGGCAACTCCTGGTTTTGCGGACCACTTAGCAGGGAGAGAAGTGGAGGGGGGCTGACTTCGTAAGGGGCGTTCTGATGAGCGCACTCCGACCTCCCTCCTTCGTTCTCACAACGGGGAGAGGCAAATTGGTCCTTCAATGCGCGTGTGTACTCCGACTCAGACCCCAGACTGTCCCTGCATGTGACATACAACACTCGTCAAGTCCCTGGTTTAAAAGACTATCAATCAGGACACAACCTTGCAGCTGCTGCCCCTTTTCCATTTCTGCAGCGTCACACCACCTTGTACAAATGATGCTTGTGAAGGGGCGAACAGATGTTGCTGCAACACGTTTGCAGTATTGCTGAGGAATCTGCGCTTCAGAAGCTCTTCACCACTGCTCTACCTTCTCACACATCAGCGGATCCTCACACAAACAACCCATTGAACCAACTTACAATGGAAGCTACCAGGGCGATCCTACAATTTGACACAAGTGCGCAACCATCTGGTCATATCAAAGATTGACACAGAGCTTCAACATCTGATCTGGATTGTATACCTGAACTCCAGCTCCACCCCAAACGGCTTAGCCTCTCGCATCGCAATCTCATCGGCCCGCAGCCGCGCGGCAAGCATGCTTAGCTTGGGTGACGGATCGAGACTCAATTCGAGGGCCTTGTCCAACTCAACAACGGAAGGCACAAGCACTATCCGCTGCTTGCTCTCGCTTGGAGCCGCGGCTTCATTGGCAAAGGACCTTCTCTCTGTAGGGGAGGCTTCCCCAAAGAGCATGCAGGCGCCCCGGGTCGGGACTGGTCGGACAGTGGAAGCAGAAGACTTCTTCTCTATAGGGACCGCCCGTGCAAAGTCCTCTACTCGGTCTTTGCTAAGTGCTGCCATTGAGCTCTGGGGCTGCTTTGGCTGGGGGATTGATTGCGCAATGTTCTGCAGTGCCTGGAAACCGCGCACGTAGTTGTCAAGGAGCGCCTCCTGGCTGGTTACAGTCGCGCCTAGTTTGAATTCCAGGGCTAGCGGCTTGGCGACGTTGGCAGCAGAGAAGCCCTGCTCCGACCGCCGGTCAGCCAGAGAGCGCTTGTCCCTTTGCATCGCTACAGAAATGTTGAGCCCCGTCAGAAGATCGCTGAACCTGCGGGGAGGACACGGCATGTTGATGATTTTGGGTGCCGCTAATCAAATATTTGCCTGACAAGGAACCCCAGCAGAAGATTAACGTGCTTTGGAGTGAAGTGTTGCATACAACAGCATACCGGTGATTGTCCAGACACGCAGGAGCTCAGCAGTCAGACTTAATACAGCTTCCTTGTGCAGAATATGCAGATTGATTTGGAAGTACGAAAGACAAGTTGCTCAAGCAGTTCACTCCGGTTCCACTTTAGACCAAGAATCTGACAGGCTGCTTGAATGATTGAACCTGCTGGACTTAGATGTGGAAAAAATGATGATCTTGCACAATGATAGTGCAAATAATGAAGAGTTCAACTCAGAGTCACCCCTCAATGAAACACAGCCTTGAAAGTGCAGAAGGCACAGATTTCCCCACAAGAACAAATTCATCTGCACAAGTAGCTTGGCTGAGTCGCAACCTCAAGGAAGATAAGTATCTTGTCTAATCATCTTCCATGGTTCACAACCAACCAGGACAGAGGTGTGCAAAGTATTATTCAGTCTCAGATACCTACGATCTGCATTATGGGCCCCCTTATTATTCAGTCCCAGATACCTACGATCTGCATTATGAGCCCCCTTACTTGTTCATCATAAAGCCGGCTGTCTGTCCTCAGACCTAATCCACTCAATGATGATTTCTTGCTTTGAGTGCACCAAGCACACAGCACATCTTTCGTAAAGGGCCGTAATAACTTCTGTTCAACAAGAAGTGACTGGTCCCTAAACGTTGTGCATAACCAAAGGCTTTGCAGACCTTTTCTTTCCAATCTGATCTGCCTCCCTGCATGAATATGATAGGTGCAAGAATGATTCACTCACCTTCAGCAGGCTCGTGGACTGCCCGTCAAAAGTGGTCACAATGGCTCAGCAATTGGAGCTGTTCCTGTGGCAGGAAGCTTGGTGTCAATGTCATCTGGATCCATTCGAGCATAGCTATGGAAGATGCCCTTGCGATGTGCACTCACCACATCAGAGGTCATTGTCTTGGATATTCCGAATACTCAAAACACTTGCAGCAATGCATCATACGATTTCAACAGCAGCACTAGCCCCTTTCCCTCCATCTCAAAATAACAGAAACTCAATGATGGAAGAATCGAATGGATACTCGGGTTTTGATAGAGCAAGAAACGAACATTCCAATACTCGACCAATGCTTTTATTTATGCAGCTGAGTGACTGACTGCCCTTGATGCAGTGCTGGCAAGCATCTGCAAATTACCAGATTCTTAATTCCAAGATTGATGGTGGATCTGCAGAGCAGTTGTGCTGATCTTGGACCACCAAGCACAAGCTCAGCTTCCATGATTCATACTCAACGGGCATTGCATGCATCCCTTCCTTCTATAAGTACCGCAGAAGCAGATGCATAATGCAACCCATGATTTTCCAGGTCCATGAAAGATGTTCTGTGATGATGCTCAGCATCATCTGCTGGAACGGCGATTACTTGATCCAATATTGTTTCCCAGTTGGCTTACCTAGTTGCTCCGTTGCTGCCAGCCTTCAGCATCCCAAAGACAGAAGCCCTCAAGGAGTGGCACCACTCGGCATAGCAGGAGTATCAGACGGCCTAACAATCAAGGAACGTTGATGTTACCTCTGCACCTCGTCCTCTTGACCAAGCGCCTCTTGTGCAGCCCTCGTTGCTCCCGCAAGGGCCCTAAATGAGCTGAAAATCGAAACGCCGAAGTTCTCTGGTTTGATTGGTCTCCTTCTTCTTTCTTCTTTCAAGTTCTCCCCTGTCGAATTTTGGGGATGGCAACCGCGAAACTTACGTTGCAAGTACGGTGCCCACTGCCACTGGTACTACCGGTACTGTACTCACTGCTCAGTCTGAGTAAGCTTTGAACACGTTTCACAATGATGCCATCGTCAGCTAATGTAATGCCGCACCACCCGGGCAGTACCGGTATCGGATTCATAGGGACAGGGCCGTACGCAACCAAATCGGAGGAGGATGTCGTCCAAGGACTCTGCCCGGGGGCCTTGTCCTGTCAGCTTGATTTGGGTTTGCACAGTGCAGGTTAGGAGTTTGTTTCAATCGTCAGAGGTCTTTTAACCGGAGCCTCGAAGAGCCTCGATCGAAGTTCGAACCGGCCGAACCGGTCCTGCTGTAAACCCGGCACCGAGTACATATTAAGGTTAGGGTTACGGTTCTCCAATTCAGCTGCCAAAACTCCCCGAGCACTTTTTACAAATGAATTGACACAGTATCGACTCACCGTACATCATTTGAGTAGGTATTGGAGGCTGGAGCTCCCTCTTCACAGGAGTGCCCTGTGCTGATCCGCCTCACTACGGGCCAATGCAGAGTTCGAAACAAGCCGTCACACCAGGCAGACTACCGATCGACAGGTTTGCCTCGGCCGATACAACCGGGGGTATCGTGCCGAAAAGCCGACGTCAAATTTGAGGCGCTTGGGTGCATGTCCAGCCAGCTTTGAAGTTCGGATTGACCGGAGGCTCAGAACACTTGGGAGTCGGGACAACTTGGAGGAGCCGACGAACGCTGGGCCGGTTGCTCACAGCCAAGAAGAAAATTATGGGAGTCTGAATCGTGAGGTCATCATGACCCTTGCCCCGCGTCAGGACTCAAACCATGGTAATTTTGTTTGTTGCTACCGGTAGCACGTATATTTTACCAGAGTACGAATCAGAGTAACCGGTAATGAAAAGTATCAACCGGTTTCTCGAATATAGCAAGTTGATACCAGCGATCATGACCGGGCCTAATGGTACGGTGACGTCCAGCTGGTGCGGAAGGCACCTCTGCCGGCCTAGTCTGATTCCGATCGACGTAGTGAACAGTAACAGCCAGTGAACAGTGACGGAGACGGGTAGGGTTAGTTAGGGGGTTAGGGTGGGTACGGGTGCGGAGCGGGTGTTTCCTTAGGTTAGGGTTTTTAGTAACCCCAAAATGCTTACTGTTCACTGGGCTTGCTGTTCACTAGATCGAGAAATACGGTAGTCTGCCGGCTGAGCTGATAGCGTATAGGGACTACCCACTACCTCGTATAGTGCGAGCTAGGAACTTAATTAGACGTTTTCAGTCCCTTCTTGACACTTTCACCAATTCGCGGTCGTGCCACAGGATTGCCTCGAGGCGGTCAGTAGGAGCGAAAGTGTCTGTTTGGAAAACGGTGAAATACTGCTTCAATACAAGCAGTAGACCAAAAATGTGCATTTTGCGTGTTGACGTACGGGTTCTTTCCGGACCCCCGGGCAGGTGATATTTCAACCGTAATTGCTCAATGCTTGGAAGTTGGGCTGGCATGTCCCCCAGGGCCCCCCCCAGCCGGCTTGGAATCAGCCGGGACTGGTCAAGTTGTGATACCGATTCACCTGAAGTGACGTACTGAGTATGATTACGTCTTGCCAGTTCCTATTCCCGGCATTTGTGGCACTTTCAGCTTCCGTGTCACGTGTCCTACGATCAATCGCAGACAACCATACGTGCGTCGCGCACGCTCTTTTTGGCATGCCATTTTTTGGCTAGTATTGCGCGCTATAAGTGTGCGCGAGCACAGGAGTATTATTGAAAATGGCGCAGCCGTAGAGATGGGCTCAAAAGTGTCGCCGTATGACGTCGCAAACGAGGAAGCGACCAGAAAGACTGCATGCAACTAACAAACGGTCGCTGTACCACCTTTAGAGATTCTTCGTTTCTACCCCGCCCGAAAAATACAATCCGGATATACTGCTCGGTGTTGCGAAACTGCTGTACAGCGTGCGGGTTGAAGTCCGTCAGATGTCACCAAATTCATTTCCTGATATCCAGGTGCGTAGTAGTAACGCTATTTTTCGTACAGCTGAATTACAAAATTTGTCGTCTTGCATCCACCGGTACCTGGTCGGACCTCCGGTCGCAGGCCGTCCGATGGACATTCACGCGTGCGAAGGTTTGTTAATTACCGTCGCTTGGTCCGCCCACCTCGTACTGAATGTACACCCACCCTCGGCGGTGCCCCGAGTACAAAATGCTGAACTTGGTGTCAATCAGCCTCGGATCCTGATTATCCTGAATGTCCTATCGTTTTGGATATCGCATCGGTTCTAGGGCGACGCCCTGTTTTCCATTGCAATTTTTATTTTTTCGCGATTGGTAAATCGTCCAAAAACTTGTATCGGCGATTCCTATTCGATGTTGTAATACAACATCACATTCTGGCCATCCGATGGTGTCTGAATAGTTCAAGTTTTCAAAATGGGGAGAAGCGCTTTTAGATAAGCTACTGATTCTGCGCGCGCACGCGCCAAGACTTGGACATACAGAAAAAGTTCCGATTACCAACCATATTTCGAGGCCGCATGATGACGCTAGGAACCTACCGGGTACAGCTTTAGCCGCATCATGACCAGAGACACTACTACCTACAGATTCCATGGCAACCGGTGGGTCACATATGAGCTCAGTGTGATTGCAAGTATGTAGGACTTCGAAGTTCGCAGGCGAATGTAACTTACGAACAGAGCAATCAAATAGCATGCCGAGAGCAGCACAGTGTGCTGCCTTTCTACTTTAATAGCTGAGCTCCGATTTGCATGCATCACGAATCATCGTAAGCCTATGGCCTATTTGGCTACGGCGAGTACGAAAAGAGACCATCGTGTGAGCTCCGATTTGCATGCATCACGATTCACGAATCATGATGATTCAGATGCACCATCGTCGTCGAACCATCCGATCATCGATGGTCACAATCGGACAATTGTAACACACTTCTCAACTTCTTACTAGTAGGGTAACTTCCGATATCTTATTTTTGGGCCCGTGCCCGGCCGCGGATGGCCACGCACATGTACTAGAATGTCCTCCCCCTTGGAAGTTTTGCGATCCTTGGAAGTTCTGCGGCGAAAGGTTTAGTATGGGGTTAAGAGTTCTCGTTTTCGAAGCAGGGAATCTGCTGGGGTAAGTAGGGGATTAGTCGCTCAAGTTTCGATCTCGGTCAACGCGGTCAACCCGGTAAGGGTTCCGGCCAATGGGATCACGAATAATACTGCCTTACCGTTTTTGGAACATGTCATGTCAATAAGAAAGGCAACAAGAACTGGCAATCATAGTGCAGACCAGTGAGCCGCAGTGGGAGCGGCAGCGGCAGTTGTTTGTTATTTCTCACAAACGTCTAAACGTCGGCTGGTCAATTCACGTTCAAGATGGCGTCCAAGTTTCTCGGCCCAAAGGATGTACACAATTGCTGTTAAGTTCAATGTGTCTTGTGAATGAGAGTTTGATTGACATGTTTTGTATGTGAGCCACTGCTTAGCCGCTTCGTGTACTTGATCGGAACACATGGCAGTGGGTATAGGAGTCAGGTTTACTCATGCAATTCATTGTACGGAGTAACATTGTGCAGCCGGCCATGATGCCAGGCCTAAGCCAGGAATGTGCGTTTTTGATGTCTAGTTCCTGAATTCCGCCGAATGTTGTAGTGTTAGCGAGTTGATCAAATTGTCAAGGAGGCTACCGGCCGTGTACATTAGACATGCTTTGGCTGAGTCTAGTTCCTCATCATGTGTATTTTACGGGCGTTATAATGGACGAACATATAGGCAATGTTCATGTATAGTTAGAATCCGCGAGACTGGGCACTGATTGTTTTCACCCCGCACCAGCAGGCTCACCCCTCTCTCATCTCTTCCCGGTAAGCTCCTTCGTTGGAGATAGGAGGGGGCAGGGTCCAGCTGCCCATCGGACTGTTCGAATCAGCCGTGCTGCCACCTGCCAAAGAAGAGGAAAGCTGATTCAATCGATGTCGAAGGTACACAAAAAGGGATTGGTTGTTGTTTCACCAATCAAAGCGTTGGGTAACGGCTGTAGATCCCGGGAGTATTCCCTCGAGAGGTCGCACCGTCCCTCGACAAACGAACCCTCGTTGCTTGGTCTTAGGTACTTCAAAGTGCACTTCGCCTAGCAAATCTGAATGAGCACTGTGGAACTAGCTGCTCATATTCCAAATTGAGTCCATGGCAAAGACCACTTGAACTGCGCCTATTGACTGCTGCTCCTTGTCGATTTCTCCCTGCAGACTGATCGCGTGCTGAACACTTTCGCAGTATTCTTCGTGCTTTCAATAGCTACCTGCCTGTACACATCACATCTTCTTTTCTGAACCCCTCCCTGTTCTTTTTGGGATGCGACAGATGCTAGGGCTCTCAAGTCCCGCTTACCTATCACAGGACTGCTCACTTTACAATCTTTTGGCTTACGATCTCTCGAAACGACGTACCTTCCTTTGCTGCGTTCTTGCACCGTTCCCGATAGTTTTTCGAAAGAGACGCCTCCAGTCCGCTCAGCAGCTGCTCGTACCGCCGCTCGATGTCGGAGATCCAGTGCGCCAGCTCGAGTTGCCCCTGAGTTGGGCCGTACATAGCCAGAAACATTCGATACACGTTGAACGTGTTACTTAGGACGTCATCCTCGTAGTCAAACAGATCGTCTGAGATCTCGACCAGCAGTTCGGATGCTGCAAAGCAGGGAAACAAGAAAGAGTAAAGAGGAGAGGGAGGCATTTACACTCAATTCAAAAAGCACTCCAGCTTTGACACACTTCTAAGACAATTCAGCGCTTTTGAAATGTTGACAGCCAATGCAGAAACCGACATGAGAACGTAAGGAATAGCACAACAACGCTTTGAGATGGCAACTCGGCCAAGTTCAGAAAGTTACGTAGAACTTTCGACTCAGTTCATCAGCACCAATATGAATGAGAGAGCTCAACATTGACATGGGTCAATTACATCAATGATTGGTCTGCAAGGGTCGCACATGTAAACTTGGATCACACTTGGTGACTAGAGGTGTCTGAGGAAGTCTTCTCAACCATTTTTCTGTGAATTTCTCAAACACTTGGGATCACTAACGAAACTAAAAGTCCTTCCATCCTTGACCTCCCATGCTTGATCCGTACACTTGGTGGACTACAGTGAAAAGAATACATGCATAACAATCTCACCTTTCAGAAACTCGAAATGTTGTTCATTCACCGCCTGTCCTTCCATTTCATAGAGCAACAGATTGAGCACTCTGTAATCAAAGGACTTCAAAGCTACAGCCCTCTCAACCTCGCGCCTCTCCAACGTCTCCCCGCAGCCCACGGCCAGACACAGCTTGCGTTCGAGCCCCCAGAACTCAAGCCCATCTCTCAGTTCCCCTTCCATTCTGACAGTCAGCAGTTTTTCTTTCTCCAAAAGGTCTGCTAGGCCAGCGAACGGTGTACAAGGTAAATCATCCACTTCATCAATAGTGTCCAAAGCGTTCGCTGCACTGGTCCCTTGTTTGAGTTCGGACTCTCTGCAAGTGATGTCAACATGCTCATTGAGTTCTAGACAGTGCTCTGACAAGGACGTTTCTGCTGGATTTTCAAAGCTTTCACTCCTGGCGCACCTTTCTGTTGCAGGAGGATTGCAGTCGATCCTGCGTCTCTTGGCTGGATTCAACCCTTCTACTTGAAGATGATGCTCACTCCCTGCTACAACATCGCCTTGCTGCTCAATCTGAGCAACAGTTTTACTTTCTGCTCGTGACTTTGAAGCTGCTTGACAGTCTTTTCCAGCTGCAGACTGTGCCTCCTCTCGGCAGCATTGCCGAGTGTCAGTCCCATTGCCCAGCTCAGGTGCAGCTAGACGGTCTTCATTCTCTTGATCCAGTTGGTAGATGAAAGCTTCAACAAACATCAGCAGTGGCAGGTGCTTGAATACATGCGCAGGCTGTGAGGCGTCCAGTCCGTGGAACATGAAGTAGGAGCTCACAAAATCCTCGAGAGTTGTTCTAGCTCTCCGCATTGACTGCAACGATATCAATGGGAGGATAGACATGGCTGGCACTTACAGTGAAGGGCCATGCAAATGCAAAGGCCAGTCCGGCTGCTGTCCCTCAACGTTCTGGTTCTTTTCTTGCTGCCAGTGCCAGCGTTGCAGATTATCCAGATCGCTTGCATTTGATCACTGACAATTCCGCGCGGGCTGTGCGTCCTCCTGTGAGGACCTCCTCCCAGGGGCAAGTCTGGCGACCCACGCGTCGGCAAAAGCCAGGCAATCTTTGGACCGGCACTTTTACAGTTCTTGGATAGACCGCCGCCCAAGAAACGCCACCAAGCGGGAGTCGCTTGGAGTCGCCAAATCGAGATGCCCGGTACATTGCGTCTGGAGCCTTGACTCTGAGCAGCAAGTTCGGAGGGCGACAACTTCAACTTCAAGGGTCTATACACACAGAGAGGGTGTTCGTGTTTCCGAGCGACGGTACAGCAGGAATCGCGGTGCTGCCGTCGCCCAAAAAGCACCGTGCCGATCGCGGGGTGTTGTTTCCATTTCGCCGACTCGTACGGTCATACGTCAGCAACAACACCGAGGTGTTCCAATCGGCCACCCCGAAAAAAGCCTGGTGACGGTCCGAACACCGGGTGTTGTTGCGATCAGACCGTGTACGGGGCAATTTTGCGTGCGGAAGCTACCCCCCGGCACGACGTTGAGTTGCAGGGGGAATTTGGGCAAAACAGCACCTTGAGTTCTCGGCGATTTGCCAAAAAGAACACCCGCTCTGTGTGTATAGACCCCAAGTTGAGCATCGGCTCTGTGCAATGCTGCTACTTCTGATTCGTGCTGGGATGGCAAGGTTTTGGACATCTTAGGCCCTTCCGGTGGCCATTAAGGGGGCAGCCACTTGTCAGTTTGTGTTGCAGACGTGGCGCCTCAACCTCGAGGAGCTCAGAACCACCACGTCACTGTTCTGCTTGGTGCACAATCTCAGTTGTCGACGTCGTTTCTCTGCAGATCGCCAGCACCAGCCATTCTTCACCTAATGTCTGAACAGAGGTTGCTGTTGTATTGCTCCTCCTGAGAATCCAGCATTCTGGATCCAATTTTGAGTCTGCAACAACTAGGAAACCCCAGCTTTGTGAGTCCTACATTGACAGCCGGTTCTGTAACGTCAAAGAACACCCAGCTTTGCCAATCCATCATGGACAATGTGGCCCTAGTTCGAGCGGAGCTGGACAAGCACACCACCAGCAAAGAGGAAAGGCAAGAGCTGGTAAGCTATGGTAAACTTCGTACTTCCAGCTCATATTGGCTAGCAGCTTCTTTTGTAGGAAAGCAGCCCGGTTCTTTGCATTTGGTACGGAGCAGGATTATGAACAAATTCAGCCATCATTCATAATGCATTGGCGATGACGCCAAGGACCTGGGGAGTACCTAGTATACTTTTCTTGTGATCCTGGACGTGGTTTTAGATCGCCAATCTTCTCAGACTGCTTGTACACTGAAAGTGACCTGCGGAGATAGCCTTAGTGCGTACCAGGAAGAGGGGCACGGTACCTAACGAGAGACTTACATCAATTGAACTTTGATCATCCAAGCTGCTCCTGGAGACAGACTCTCTGCTTATGCAGGAGGCATGGGCGGACGATGCTTGCATCTCCCGATACTTACGTGCACGTAAAAACAACGTGGCCCAAGCCATAAAACTTCTTAGGGCATCCCTCAAGTGGCGGGTGGACTTCTCAGTCGGTGAGATATTGTTTGATCATGCGCCTTTTTGAGACCATCACAGTCCCACATCGGATGCTGGACCTTGAGAAAGATCTTGTCATGGCCATCGCCAAGCCCCATCATGAACAGTCTGTGTGTCCTGTAAGGCAACTACTTTGCACAAGTCCAGGTTGAACCGCTGATGCGATCCTCACAAATCAAACTGCTCTTGCACATGAAAGGCTGTGATCTTGCGCCTCGCTCTCAGTCGGAGGGACCTTTCTGCCACCAACTAAGCTGTGATTATCTGGGTTCCCTCCCAAACAGAACAAGGGAACTTTTAAGGGAACCTCTCTCTCATGCACGCCTCTGCGCTCCTCTTAGAGAATCTTACCTCAGAGAATCTTCTCCTTTTGTACACTAGTGAATCTTCTTCTTTTTATTTGCCTAGGAAATTTTCCTTTACAATATCCTAGAGGATCTTGTTTCTGCAGCCTCACTACATGCGGAAGAATTCCCAGATGAGTTTGCAGCAGGCAAGATGTACGTTGGCGGACGGGACACCCAAGGGAGGCCTGTGCTGGTGAGTAACGTTGGCCAATATACGGAACGATATGAACTCGAGTGCGCGCCAGGTCCAAAGAGGAGGGGGACAAAACATCTATCTGCTTGTATCCTGTTGGTCCTCTTCAGGGCAGCCGCAACTGGTGGTATTTTTCGACACTCTATGCATAACACTGTCATATTGTCAGAAGATCTAAGAGTAGCATGCTTAAAGGTGCGCATGTGTTAAATCAAGAGGGGACCTTACAGAAAGGGCAGAGCTAGAACCAGGACTGCAAAGGGACTTGCTACCATTTCGTTTCGCCTTGCAGATTACGAGGAAAAAAGCGGACGCGATCCAAGCTGGTCAGCACGAAAGGTAAGCTCTCGTATGTGTTGCTGTCGGGTCTGTTTAACGGTCAAGTGATCTGGCATTAGACAGAGACCTTCTCAGATTTCTTGAGCAATTGGCAACACCTCCAAAAAACTTCCTATCCCTTGGCTCAGATCCCATCGACATTGGAATCGTTCATCCGTCTCAACTTTGCGCAATAGCCCAGGGCTCTCCGCTTATCTGAAAGCCCAGTGTCGTCATGGCCTAAAGCTGCGGGCAAGTCTGAGCCCCTTTCTCTATCTCCTCGCTTGCACTTGTTAACTCCTTTCGTTGTTGCGCACTCTCTCACATGGCACAGGCATTCACATGTTCATCTTTTTCTACCGCTGAGTAGAATCTTCCAAGATGGCTTTCACTTCTGCCTCTTTTCTTCTCCGACCTGCACACACCCCTTACTGCAGGTATCTGCGCCATCTGGTCTTCACGCTGGAGTCTACCGTCGCCGCAATGCCACCCGGGGTTGAACAATGGGTGTGGATTATGGACCTCCAAGGTGAGTCCGCACCATATCGCTTAGCCGCTACTTGGCCGCTTTTTTGTCTTTCGGTGGTTCGAAGCTTGAGATGGGCACAGGACACGCGTGCCCATTTGCAGGTGGACGGTACAGACATCCGCAAGGGACTTTGATCAGAGGTACTGAGCGTCAAAGATAATGACGTTTTCGGCGTTTAGTGCGTGACGTCTGTTGGGCTTTCCAACGCATCTTCATGATGACTCTAAGCGGGAGGGGAGAAGAAGCAGATCTGAATTCTTGGCAGAGAGCGAGTCATTAATCTAAGGGCATCCGTCTCGCTGCAATCACACCGACCTGTTTTTTCATTGCGGCGGAAACGAGTCCCGGGGGTGTTCGATGTCCGAACCTACCGTGGGCGCGTACCAAGCCAGCGGTTTTGCCATTTTCAGCGGCAGCCCGTATTAAACGTGGATGGTCATTTCCTGCGTGATGCAGCCCTTTTGCCTGTGCCCCTCCTTTTCCCTCTGTTGGCGTGCGCTGCCTTCTGAACGACCTGATCAGCCGCCTGTGGTTGCTGCAGGTTACTCAAGGGCTAACTCGCCGCCCCTGAGCGTTTCTTATGCTACCATGAAGATCCTTGCCGTGAGTCCTTCTGTTCCTCGCCGTGAGCGCACGCTCGTGAAAGTAGAGAAAGTCTGCGCTACTACCGAGAACCGTCTTCTAATGGAAAGATCTGTGTCCGAGGTTCGCTTTATATGGGATGTTCAATCCGCTGTCTCGCCCTTTATGGTGTTTGCCTTCCGGCAAGAAGTAACTCGCCTTTTGTATCGACGTCAGCCTTGCTCTTGCAGGACCACTACCCCGAACGCTTGAAAACAGCGTTTATTGTGGACGCTCCGTCCATCTTCTCGTTTCTTTGGAAGGTGGGGTTTGATCAACCTTCATTCCAATCCCGCTGTAGGAAAGTGCTTTCAGCAACGGGTGGTATATTTATCTGTTGGTCACACAAATGAGCAAGTAGCCTCTTCCAATTCCATCAAACGGAGGGAGCAGATTCTTCGCAGTAAAGACGACAGATTTCAGGTCGGGGCGGTCCACGAGAGCCAGTTCTTGGCAGCCTGGACTTTCAGCTTTTGTGAAACTTCAAGCGTTGACTTCAGTCAGCAAGAAAAACTCCTTGTCTGACATACAGGCGTTGGCCTCGTTCATTGACCCCGTCACCAAAGAGAAGGTCAAGTTTGTTTACTCCAAGGATCTCCGACCTGCCGAAGCTCCCGAAGATGCGTCAGGGGTTGCGCGGGAAGAGGCACCTGCGACTAAGCCAGTCGAACCCTCGAAACCTGAGAGCAAGTCTGTAGACGATGCTTTCAGCCCTTACGCTTCTTTTTATCGGACACCCTATGATGAAGCAGCATATCGGACTTTTTTGACGAAACGTTCTTAGAGTAAGACGGAACTGTTGCATTAGTGCCGAGACAGATCGGCCAGTGCAGGATATATAAACTCCTACTTTGTATGACGATCGCGACTCAAAGGCCCGGCCCATGCAAAGCAGGCATTATCACATGCATGGACTATTAATACCGTCGATATGGCAGTTCTGCCTTAACCCTCGGGTAATATCAGTCAGGATATCCCTATGAATTGATCGATCATCTAGTATACCACTGTCATGTACTGCGCCGGTACGTCAATACCGTATTAGGTGAATGATTGCATGTACGTAGTTTTGAGAGCCAATGATGTCGATCAACCATCCCGTAATTCTGAGCCACTGTGTTGCTTCAATCTGGTGCCTAATACCGCACCCGTTAGGCTTTGTTTGCCAATTGCACCCAATCATTCGTGACTGGCCATGATGCATGTACAACGGTAGATTACATCATGTAGGTATGTTGAGGGGCCTGTAAGCGGTTGCTGTGACATTGGACCATTGCATGCATTTCAAAGTTGCACCACAGGGCTGTAAGTTATCCTAACAGACGTCAACAGTCCTCCGAAGCTGGTTGCTTCGAAAAACGTGATTTGAAGATCAGGCACCTGGCGGATCCCAGTTGTGATTTTGGACAACGTTGGACGATCCATTGGTCACCCGTCTCTACCTGGATTTTCCATGCGAGAGCCAAGCTGAACAGCTTATCAATGTTGACCCGCTTTACTTGCACCGTCTTGTACCACATGCCTGACGCGGGCGATGTGCTTGACTGTGTTGAGATCGACATCTGCTGGTGGGTCTGCCACAATCTCCACGAGCTTCTGCCGGGGGGCGGATAGGCAAACCTGCAAAAAGATGGGTGAAAGACTACATACAGGCTACCTACCGCGTTCAGGAGTATACCTTGCAGACCGGAGGGCAAATACCCCAAAAAATCCGCGGCAATGACGGGTGTCAAAACACCAGCACCGAGTGGATCGTAATCAAGAGGACAGTGGAAAGCAGAGTAGACGGACAAATCTGAAGTAGGACACGTTTTTCGGCAGTCGTGTTGTCGGAGATGAGGTCTCCTGAAAAAGAAGCTCAAAACTATGGTTTCTGAAAGAATCACTGAGAAGGCTTTGCAACTAGATGCATCACCTTGCACCACCGGCAAGGCAGATGCTGTCTTGCTTGCGCACTGCTTTGAATGGAGGCTTATAGAGCGTACTGTGGCCACGTTGTATTGTGCTGACGATACTTACTTAAATGGCAGCTGTGGTGAGTATTTTCATCCCATATTTTACCTGGAAAGTGGCCAGCACCGGAGGAGTCGTGACGCTCAGCGCGCCGAGCACGTTCCCCAGGTACTCAATGTCGGCCGCGAGCTGCTGTGCCCCCTTGTCGCTGATGCTCGGGATCGAACGCAACTGGTCGATGTAAAGGTTGGTGGCGCCTTCGGCGATCTGGAAGGAAGAGTACACTGACTCAGAGGTGGCACAGCATTTTCCCGAGAGTAAGGAACCTGAATCATTAGCGGCCTTTCCCATCTCATATTCCGCCCGCTTTGACAAGAGGGGTGAGGGCCCCGGCATATACCGGAAGACTAAGTATAACTGAACACTTCTTACCAGTTTGAACCCGTCACCTCAAGCATTCCACCGCCTAACCACAATCATGCAACATCAGAATCCAGCCACAAACGCCAGAGATGCAGCCGGTAAGATACTGTCACGTCTTACCTGGACCACTTTGGCGCTCCTCAACCCCTTTACCCGAGTCGTTGCAAGCGCTTCCAGTCGTCAGAAGCCATAATTTCAAACCCTTAAATCCAGCTTCTGAGTCAAGAACTACTGACGTCTTGCCTCGCAGCTCACCTGGGACCCCTTCTCAATTGTTAGGCAGCTCTCCACACCCGGGTCGTGCTTCCCCCTCGCCCCAGCCACCGACCCTTGAAACAACTGGAATTTATAAGTGGACAATGTGCTCAGAGCCTACAAGACGCTGTCAGCTTGCTCACCTGGAATAACCACTCCGTGGCCAGGACGCTCTCCCTTGTCCGTCTCGCCCTGGCTCACTGCGGGCGGCTCCAATCCAAAAGTTCCATTACCTCAGATTCTTCACCTCAAAATCTGTCAGATACTGCCACGTGGTTCACTTGGAACACTCACAACGTCGCCAGGAAGCTCTTCTCGCCGTCTTCCCCCCTCCGCCTCGCCCTGGCTCACCGCAAACGGCTCCAACCCAGACTCTTATACCCTCAGATCCCTGAATCCCGAACCATACTTTAAAAAGCCTGCAGGAACCTGCCACGTGGCCCACCTGGAACACCCACTCCGTCGCCAAAAAGCTCTCCTCGCCCTCCTCCCCCTGGCTCACCGCGAGCGGCTCCAACCCAAAGTTTCATAACCTTAAACTCCTGAACCCCAAACCATACTAAAAAACCTGTAAGGTACTGCCACGTGGCTCACCTGGAACACCCACTCCGTCGCCAGGAAGCTCTCCTCGCCCTCCTCGCCCTCCGCGTCGCCCTGGCTCACCGCGAGCGGCTCCAGCTGCTGCGGGAGCGTCAGCAGATACTCGCCGACGGAACGGATGTACGGCAGCGGATACGCGCTGAAGCTGGGCAGGTCGAACGCGTTCTCTTCCTCGGCGGCCGCCCACTGCGGCAGCGTACCGACGCCCTCCAGGCGCTGGCGCACCTTGAAGATGAGCACGTCGTAAACAAGATCGTGCACCGCGTCCTGTATGGCAAAAGGAGTAAAATCTGGGCCTTTCGAATATTTCGCATTTTGGAATATAGAAGAAAATTCCAGTAATGAGGTGAGTTGGTCGTAAACAAGATCGTGCACTGCGTCCTGGATGGCAAAGGGAGTAAAATTCTGGGCTTTTTCAATGTTTCGCTTTTTAGAATATAGAACGAAATTCCAGTAATGAGGTGAGCACGTCGTACACCAGGTCGTGCACCGCGTCATGTATGGCAAAGGGGTAAGATTCTGGGCTTTTCAAACATTTCGCATTTTAGAATATAGAACAAAATTCCAAGAATGAGGTGAGCACGTCGTGCACCGCGTCCTGTATGGCAGAAGGGGCTCAAGATTTTTTCTCCTTTGCCTTCAGGTAATTCGTGAGCAGAGTAGTTGAAGTCCTGAGGGTGAGCACGTCGTATACCTTGTCTTGGGGAGAAGAGAAGAGACGGGCCTGACAGCCTAGAACACCCTTCACACTGCCAGAAAGTCCAAATGTGCAACTCACTTTTGAAGTCCTTCTCTCGTCTTTCTTCGAAAGCACTGCATACGTCTTGGTTAGTTTTGCTGAGATCACTTTTGGACATTCAAGGGATGCGAAACACCGACTACCAGAACCTTTGAGATCCCACCCGCTCCTTGTATGTGATTACTTTTCCGTCTTTATAAAGTCAAGCACCTTTTACACGCATTTGCCACTCTTTTGGTCGCCAAAAGAACTTACACCTGCAACTTTCTTTGTAGCAAGTTCGAAGCTCCATTCACGTCCTTGAAAGCGCCGCAACAGTACGTCAATACATCCAAGGCATCCACCCTGGCAATTCCTGCAAGTACTGACCTGGAAGGACTGCACTCGTTGCGCCGTGTGCGGCAGCGCATGAAAGCGCGGATCCTTGGCTTGCTCCAGCAGAACCGCCAGCCGCCTGGCCTTCTCCGGAGCGTCGATCAGCCGGAGCACGGCGACATCCAACGGCTGATCGCGCGCCGACGTTCCGGGGGTTCCCTCGCCGGGGCTTTCGACCCCCCCGATGTGCAATTTGTGGCTGAGGGTGCTGAGGGTGTTCCGGAGAGTGGTCTCGAAGACGGCGGTGCGGCTGCCGAGGCTCTCGCTGACGGTCAGCAGTTGCAGGGCGCCCTGTAAGTGACAGTTCGAGCTTGTCAAAGAAGCTCCCAGCTTTGCGCAAACTCGCTTCCTTATCTCTTCCTTTCTGCACTCCCGTCATCTCCCCACCGTTCGTCCGCTACACTATTCCCTCTGCGCCACTTCTCTATCTTAGTCCCCCTTCTACCGTCGTTTTAGTACGTCGCTCTTTACGACCGCTTCAAATGCAAAAGAAACGCCCGCTTCGCTCGACGGCTGCATTAGACATACCGTGCACAAGACGTGCAGTCCGAAAAGAGACCCGTAGCTCCTGGGGAGCTGTCTTCTGACATTGCCTTGCAGCAGATTAACGAATCGGTCTCATTGCAAATATGACCTCACGAGTCGGTCAAATCAAGAACGCCACAAATTGGCATGGGTCGAGAGGTCAGCCTCCTCGCCTGCACAGCAGACCACTGTTTCTTCCGCATACAGATCGGTGTCGCTACCACATAACCCCATGAATTTGTCCAACAAGAAAGCAACAAGACGGCTTGCGTCAGGACTTCGGTTTTCTCGCCCGCACAGAGGACCAGTCTTCCTCCTTCGCTACGATATGACCGCACTACTGGGTCAAGCGATGAACTTTACCAAAGATGGCACTGAAGATTTTGTTTTTCTTGCCTGCACGGTTGACCAATCTTCCTCGCCCGCGTCATCGTGGCTCGTGGTGGGAGCGCCGCTGACGCTGCCGTCGACCCCGCACACCGCCCGCAGCGACTTGAGCACCTCGAACAGCGCCGCCACGTAGGACAGGATGACGTCATCCAGCGTCCGGACCAGGGCCCCCGCTTCGCTGCCGCCCGTGAATCCGAGACACCTGGAAGTGCAAAGCGTAAGCGTCTTAGGCTCGGATGGACAATATGCTTCTCGAGGTGCATTACTGGCGGAGCGGAAGGAATCTTGAATCACACACGCCCCGGAAATAATATGAACAACAGCAGTTAAGGACAAAGGGTGCGCTTTCGTGTGAAGCTATCTCGAGTGCATGCCTCGGATGACAAGGAGGGGATCGCCTGGGTGCCCTTTGTCGAGCTTTCGGTGTTCGTTCACCGGCCCATCAGCATGAACGAAAGGCCGAATTGAGTGACCCTCGGTAGCCAGCCAGCAATGAGTATACAAAACTCCTAGCCTTCTGCAGCTAACGAAGGTCTGCCGTTTCTCCAGCAGCTTCTTTATTCGTACTTTCATGTGTATTCGACGGCCGAGATAAGACATCTGTGTTCCAGCTATACACAAAATCACAGGTGAGAAAAGGCGCTCAAGGTCACCACGCTAACGACGAAGCATTTTGCCAGAAAACAAAGTGCGATTGACGACCAAACTCGCGCCTTCGCGTCCTGTTGAAGGCAGCCTCCATCGAAACCATGACCGCTGTCACCAAGACCTCCCAACAAAGATCAGACAAGAGGAAGGCCACACACGTCACCACCATTAGAGTCGAGCACATTCCGCAAATCGCAAGAAACGAAGGCCTTCGATACCTCTCGATGGCAGCCTCCAGCGAGACCATGACCGCCGGCACCGACGCCTCCATTCGCCGGACGGTTTCGCTGAGCTCCACCGCGCGCGCGCCGAGGCTGCGCTGCACGGCGCCACGCAGGTCCAGCTGGGCGACCTCTGACGTCAGCTGCATCTTCTCGAGCTCGCCGTACCTGCAAGGGATTCATGTTTTGAGCGATGTGTAGGAGGCGATTGAGACGGAGTCTGAATGGAAACCGTTTTCCCTGCGTTCTGTAGGATAGCAAAATTTGGTGAACGCAGTGTCATGCAAGAAACGTGACACGTTATCCGGTTTCTGGCGATCTAGGACGATGGATGTTCTTTTTGCAAATGAGGAGGCATCTGACTCAGGGTAGTCTTCGAGCGATAATCGTGACCGACTTAACGCCTCTAGTCTCACAGGTCCGTCAAGCAAGCAAAAGTTCCTGCAATGGCTACACACTGCACCGTGTGGTTCTTCGATGGAAGCACACACCCCGCACACTCTTCTTACATTCGTCCCCAAGACCGATCCTCTTCCCGACAGGTCGAAATGAAATCAAGATCTCATAAGCAAGCACTCTTGAGAAACTGACCCACCTTGCTTTGTGCCCCTCAAACGGCGAGTACACCGCTCTGAGCACCTTCCCCAGCTCCTCCCCTTCCACTGCCGCCAGCACGTGTTGCACGTTCCGCGCAAACGCGCCCGTCATCCCGTGCAGAGTCAGCAGCGTCGCGAGTTTCGACCCGCCCCTAGTTTCCGCGCCGGTAGGCGCGTTCCCACCAGTGCCCTGGTGTAAATCGGCGCCCGCCTCGGAGGCCGCTGCCTCGATGCGCGCGGTGAAGGAGGAGGAGATGGCGGACATGGTTTCCATAAGGAGCCGGGGGACGAGCAGGTGGGACTCGGAGGGAAAAGTGAGGGCGCACCATTTGGTCTCCTAGAGAGAAAGACGAACGATTGAGAATGTTTCAAGCTTCCGCACTTTTATATAAAAAGGGAACGGTCTCCATGAGGAGCCGGGGGACGAGCAGGTGGGACTCGGAGGGGAAGATGAGAGGGCACCACTTGGTCTCCTGGAAAAAGAGACGAACATGCAATCTTTCAGAAGCTTCAAACCCTCTGGAAGCAGCCGAGATTTTCGACAATGACAAAGATGTCACGTTACTGAGGAGAGGTCTCCATGAGGAGCCGCAAGACGAGTAAGTAGGACTCGGAGGGGAAGGTGAGGGCGATTGAGAATGTTTCAGGCTTCCGCAGTTTGAACTAACTGAGAGAACGATCTCCATAAGGAGCTGGGGCACGAGCAGGTGCAAGTCGGTGGGGAGATGTGAGGGCGCACCACTTGGTCGCCCTGGAAAGAGTGACAGATACGCGCATTTTCAGAACCATCAAAACGTTTGGAGACAATTGGGTCTTTTCACTAATTTGAAGATGTCAATCATTAAGGAGAGGTCTCAATGAGGAGCCGCAAGACGAGTAAGTACGACTCGGAGGGGAAGGTGAGAGCGCATCGCTTGGTCTCCCGGAAAGAACGACGAGCAAACGAGATCTCCACAACTACTGATTTCACGATAAGCGAAGGGATGGTACTCATGAGGAGGCGGGGAGCGAGAAGATGGGACTGGGAGGGGAAGGTGAGGGCGCACTACTGGATCTTCTGTACACGGGGTTGCGGGGGATTTGAAAACATGAATCTTACAAGCTGTAGGGGTCAAAGGATTTCAAGTATCCGTAACCGGTGTTAACGAACGTGAAAAGAGGAGGGGGAGGTGACTTGGCTCCTGGAAAGGAATGCGAATATCCATGACTCTCGATGGAATTTGTGGATTAATACCACCAAGAGGCGAGGGACGAGCATGTGGGACTGAAAGAAAGAGTGAGGGCACAGAACTTGGTCGCCGAAGAAGGAGGTCGAACAAAGAGAATTGCGGGACCTACGGACTTCGAGAGATTGTCTTGACAGCCTTGTGTGGCTATCGTTTTTGTACTGTTGACATAGTACCTCACCTCAGCATTCTGTCCATGCCACAAGCACTGGCAGCATGGTACGTATAATCAATCCCACGATTGCTCACCTTTTCCCAAGGACAAGCTATTTAAACACCAAGGCACCTTGATCCTTTTCATGAAGCTGATCCTTAGTTCCACGCACCAACAGAACGCCAAGACGGTCGGGCTTCCAGTCGGATGGCCTCACCTGCTCAAGAACGAGCAAGACCTTGTCGTAGAAGCGGGGCAACCACTCCCCGAAAGATGCGCCGGTGACTGCTCCATCCTCCTGCGAAGCGACGTTTGCAGTAGAGCCGGTACCCTTCCCAACGTCGAACTCCTCCCACGCCTGCAAATCCTGATTCTCGATTTCAGGGCTAATTTTCAATAACAGTAAGCTCCCAGCCAACACTAGAAACCTATATTCGAGAGATGACCTGTTCCACAGCCGTACGCATCTCAAATCCCCAAATGTGCCCCTTCCGTCCCAGGAAGTTAGCCTACTGTTCTTGCAGGCTGCGATTCCTGAAATCGACATCCATCTGCAAGCCATACAAAAAGCGTAGTTGCGCAGCCTATTCAACTTCCACTGCTCACCAGAATAAAGATTCTGTGCTTGGACAAATAGATCAGGGCTCTGCTTTCAACATCGAAGGCAGTATCGACTCCAAGCAGATTGCGGCTCAGAAAGCGATCAATGTTCAAGCAAAAACGGCAGGCGTGTAAGATCGATTGCAACAGTGTAAAGCGAGTTTTCTCTAAGCAAGCAAAGTCTGCTTGTCACAAGATGCTCGGGGGGTGAAACTAGAGAAAGTGTCTGAACGAAGGAAGCAGTGAAACAGATTCTGAATAACCTCGGCCACATCAGCCCCTTCCTTTCGCGCCATAATCTGCATGCACTCACCTTTCTGAGCGGCCGCATCCGCACTTTTGTGTACTGCTGTTCTAGGGAGGAGAAGCGGTTGATTGCAATCAGGATATTCCGCAGCTTCTGTGTGTCATCCACCTTGCGCGCGAGCAGGGCCTCTGAGAGCTTCGGCTGAACCATTCCCTCCAGCCGGTCTTCTAAAGCGCCAAGCTGTCGCTTGACATCAGCAAACTCGGGGACCTGTAGAATGAAAGAGACTCTTACTTAATAATGACATGGGGAAGGTTTAAATATAGAACGGTAAAAGAAGAGGCTCAAAAGTATCCAACATCCTAAGCACTTTGTGCCGCAACAATCAAAAGATCTGATTATTTGAGTCCACTTTCTGAGCAATGCAGAATCGGAGAGATCTTGCAGATCTGATGTAAAAGTTCAGCCTCCAGGGAAGAGCAACGCATCAAAAGAGAAACTTGGTCCAAACATTAGTGTTGCTCCCTGAGGCGGAGATCAATATGCATCTCAGGGCAGGTCATTACTTTTGTTGTGTCAGGCCTGCTAAAAAGACTTTCAGGACTAGGCTGGCCTTGTTGCTTTCTCACTTGAATGGAGGGTCCTCGAAGCCTCAACATAAGCTTTTGAGATTCTTTTTCTTGTTCGCACCTACAATGCTGTTATCAAATTCTCCTTCCCAACTCATCAGAACGACAGGACGTGTACTGTGCCAATTCAGGCTTGCAAGTTGCAGACCGGGGTGGTGGTCCTTAAGATTGTCGAAAGATTTGGGTTGGAAGGGGGTCAACGCTCACCTCTCCGACAACCTCCAAGCACCGTCTCATCTGCGCCAGAGTCTCGGCTACTCGTGGGAGATCCCCACTAGCGAACACGTCCTCGATGCTTGCAGATAGTTGCGCAAGTCCAGCAGCATCCTGAAAACATACACGCAGCGAAGAATGAACAGCTAGAGAAGAGCACCTAAGCAGGTGGTTCACAAGCGCTAAAGCAAGCGCCAGCCAGCCTGATGACAATCCACACACCAGGAATGCAGCCAACATAACAACATCCATATCATGCTGACAGGGGAGTTCCAGTACTTAACGAAGCGGCCGATGAAACCTTGAGCAAGGGGTAAGGCAATGGACCTCGAATGCTGGTTGATAATGCTGCCTCTGGAAAAAGTGACCAGTAGGCTAGCGCAGTGAGATCGATGGTAGGAGCCAACTGGACCGGTGGAAAACAGGGAGGGGATCTGCAGATTCATTTTGGGGCTGAAAGGGTCTTCATTCAGGGAAACTTTAGCAGCTGCCACCACTCATACGCCGTGAGTACGATTGTGGATTAGTTCCTGTCAATCAGCATTCACCTGCAGAGTGTCTTTCGCAGCCTCCATCCTCTGCTTCACCGCATCAACCTTCGACAGCGCCGCGACCGACGTCGCAGACACGCCCTCAACCTGCTCCAGCTTTTGCAGAATCCCCCCGACTGTGCCCCTCAAAGACAACGCATCATCCCTCACTCTGTCTATCTCTCTTATGGCCCTCGGGACTCTCAGAATGGCATTTCCGCTCTGCTCCTCTAGCTGTGCAGCGATGTTTTCTGCAAGCAATTGCAGCTTCATTTCTACTTCAGACAGGTATTTGTCGATTGGCTCATCTGGGGGCTTGCTGTGACAGGCTGCATTGACCCAGTCCTTGGAGCGGAAGCCCTCCTCCGAGAAGCTTGCCAGATCCATCAACATCTTGCCGAAATCTGAACAGAACAATGAAAATATTGCATTCAGAGGTGCAGCTCCCAGAAGATAAACAATTTAAGGAAACTGGTCCTAGTCGAAGCGCTGCGGTCTTTTGGATGGCCTTTCTAATCCGTCTTAGCGCCCTTCAGGCTTTATATTGCAGCTTTCCAGAGCTTCAATGAATCAATGAAGCTGCCTAATGCCAGTAATGGATCAATGAAGCTGCCAATTGGCCTGCTTTTGCAATCTGCATCATGAGCTTCATTGCTTGCTTGGAGAATCCGCGCGCGCGTGCGCTCAGCCTGCCAAGGAGCCGGCCGCGAGCCGGCTCAAAGTTTGGGGGTTCTCCCGCCAAAATCTTCAAAACCTTTTACTAAGTTTTAGCCCCCTTTCTCAGTCTGCCCAACCTGCAGCAGCCCGCTCTGATCAACAGAGGACCGTGGTTGCAGGACGCTTGCAGCGCTGCATAGCACACCTACAGAAGGTATCGTCTACCGAAGGTCGTTCAAGGCTAGGAACAAGGGTTCCAACGCAGCGCTCTTCTCTACACTTCAGATCGACTGGTCTGAGAAGGACACCATTGCAATGTTGGGTTTCTCCGACTGGGCTTGATTGCTTCTTTTGAGAGCTCAGCTCAATATTGACGAGAATGAGTAGCAGCACCAGTCTTCAGGGCCTTTGGTCTCGGCCCAGCAAGCGGGTCCCTGGCCTTGAAGCTGGCAAGGTGGGGATGGAGGAGACACCGCCTCCAGGCAAACCGCAACCCGATACTGAACCAGCGCTTAGAGAAGAGTTGAAGCAGACGAATGAGGGTTTCAAAGCAGATGAACCAGAGAAGGATGGGAAAGCAGATGTACAGATGAAAGATGCACAAGCAGATGTACCGGCGGCCACGGTTGTGAAAGAACAGGTTCAGGGGAAGAAGAGGAAGGGCAACCCAGGGCCCCAGACTGGAGCAAAGCGCAGCAAGCAAACATCAGTATGGGCCTATCCGACCACTCCTTCTGAGGAGGACACCTTGCTGCAAGCTGCTGTACAGGAACGCCTTCTTCTGCATGAGGATCTTAAGAACGAAGGAAAGCTGTCAGTTCCTGCACAGAGCGTTCCAGACTCCCGCAGATGCATCGCTGAGCAGATTGAGGAAAGCAGCTTGCCCTATTCTGCCCTTGCGCAGTCGGTGTTTGACAGGCTCACTTTGGGGGGGCACAGCACTACTCCTGCTGCAGTCAGGAGTAGCATTCTGTCTCTGGCAGAAAGGGTGAATTACGGGGCGCAGAATGCAGATGCAGATGTGTTGGAAGATGATGCGGAGGACAGCTGCTGGAAGTGGGAGGTGGGTGTAATCTCGCTGCAGCCCCTTGTGATAATTTTCATGGATGGTGTACCGTTAGGACTTTCATCTGCTGTGACATGTCAAAAAGCTTAGCAAATGTGTTGAAGGTTGTGTGTCAGAAATTTTTCTCATAGTTGATGCTGCCGTCCTCCTCACTGATCAGGCCATCAGTCAACGTTCCCAGGGTGTGGTCTTTCTGACCATCTGGACTCAAGGACTCAATTTGGAGCCCCTTATCAAAAGGTAGACGCACCAATCAGGACAATTGACGTGATACACCTCTTTGCTTCCAGAACTTTACAAGTATGGATTTTCTGATGTCAATGTATGTTATCCATGCTGATGTGGTTTCCTGTCATACTGGTACAGGTGAGGGACACGAAGCTTTTGCCTGAAGGGGTGCGAGAAGAGGCCTTGGACCGACGGAAATGCAGGCGGAAAATGTCGGAGAGACTGGCATCTCTTGATGGTGAGTCACGAGATGCACCACTTTGGCAGCATGAGCTGCATCCAAGGGTTGATGTGACTACGCACGACAGCTAAGTCCCTTGAACAGGGTCACCGTTATGTTATGCCCTAGTGAGGAAGAGCTTTCTCTGCACTCTGTTTACAATGTTGTACCCTCTGCTTCCAACTGCTTCTTGTTGTTTAAGGAGGCTCCATTTGCACAGGTTTGATCGCTGTTCTGAATGACGGGGCCTCGACGCCAGCCAACCGAAAAGCGGCGTTCAATACTGTAGCTGCGTTGTTGAAGAAGCAGGAGGATCGTGCAGCGATAACCAGGCTTGCAGAGGACCTAGCTCGAAAACGGGAGGCCAAACAGTAAGTTTTCTGAGACCAATCACTTTGCTGCATTCCGTAGGAGGGGTGCTAGCGATTCCTTGCAGCAGCTCCGGATCCTTAAGGATCGGCGAAGAGCCTAAAACGAGCAATCATTGTTTAGCCTTGAGCTTCTTAGAAAGTTTAGTGAATGCAGGAGAATGCTGTCATCAGAGGCTGGTCATTACGGTCTTGCTTGAGCACCAGTGGCTGAAGCTAACAGTCAGACTCGCGAAAATAAACCCTTGGCTTGACTCCTGCAGGCAAGCAAGGGATGTAAAGAATGCTGCAAAGGATGCAGAGCGCGCCGCAAAGATGCAAGAAAAGGAGCACCAGAAGGTGGAAAAGGACACAGAGAAGGAGAAGCAGCGGGCAGAGAAAGAAGCTGAAAGGCTAAAGTCGAAGGAGGTCAGTTCTTGTCTATGACCAAGATGTCTTTGGCAAATACATGCTACTGACAAAACCACTTATGAATGAGGCAAATATGAGTGCACTAGGTCTGTGGCGTCTCCTTGTATGTTGAGTCAACTAGCAGCCTGACTTGCAACACATCGAGTACAGCTGCCACGTTCATGTAAAGCTGCAGAGTACCCTAATCTTGATGGCCATGATCGCACGTGCAGGAAAAGGAGCGGGAACGGGCTGAGAAAGAGGCAGAGAAGGAGCGGCTAAGGGCTGAGAAAGAGGCACAGCGCCAGGTATGTGTCAATTTGTCAAGAAGTTGCGCTGACATTGACGCAGACACCAAGAAGTCCTTCGAGGCTTTCAAATACTGCTGCATGTCAAGGTAGTTGTTCAGGTGATAGTACTTCTCTTGTTTAGTTGTTTAGCAAAGCTGTAAGGACTTCAGCATGCATCTGTGATATGTATAGCATATCCATCTTTTCCATTCTGGTTTTAGAATCTCGAGGCTGACCAATGGAAGGAAAGAGTTCTGCTTGTCAGCTCAAGTTCAAGAACGATGGGTTTGTGTCGGCTTAAGCCTGCCGTGCTCTTCACAGGAGAAGGAAGCGGCTCGCGAGAAAGAAGAAGCCGAGAAGGAGCGGCAGCGAGCGGAGCGGGAGGCCCTGGAGCAGAAGAAGAAGGCTCAAATGAAGAAGTCTGCCAGCTTCATGGACAGATTCGTCATCAAAAAGCGGCCCAGCGAAGTAAAGCCGGAGAAGAAGTTAGACCTAGGGCCTGGCCCCATTCCGAAAGCGGAGGGAGGAAATGAGCGGAGTGCTGAAAAAGTAGGGGAGTCTGAAACTGTGAAAGCGATGGACAAGGAGTTTGCGGAGAGCATGATTCGGTCACCAACCGAGTTGAAGAGGTGAGGCAAGCAACGAACCGAGCTAATATCGAGGAGCAGGAGGAGACACCTTTGCATGAAGTAGCCTTGATATCATTCGTAAGGCAATGACTATTTGCACTCCTCCACTAGGTTGTCGAATGTTCTGAATATCGTGCTAGTCTCATTCTGAGGCTGGAATTGCGCCCAGGTAATATTGGCACCTACTGTGGCAGGAATGGCGACAAACCTGCTCGATAATAAAAACGAAAACGTTCTGTTCTGTTATGGGCTCTTCCGCGCACCGTTTTGTGCGTCCTTGTTGCCTCATGCCCCAATGCATAATCCACTGCACGAGTCAAGTGCATGACACTAACGCTTTCAAAAAAATCATCCAACATGCACGGCTCGAACGTTCCTACCTTGTGCAGGTTATATGTCAAGTCGTTCCAGGAGGCGCGCCCCGCCCTCAAGCGCCAGCCCCGCTCATACTGGGGCCTCCGACGAACCCCCAAAAAAGCAGTCCAAAACGCGATCCGGCTGGCGGGTGATCCCTTCGCCGCCATGCGGGAGCCGAGGTCTAAGACCCCTCCGCCCCCGTCAGCGAAGGGGAAGGAGAAGCCCGTGGTCGACGTCAGCGACGATGATGACGACATGGAGGAGGAGGGTGACGTCACCCCGAGCGAGGAGAGGCCGGGGAAGGAAACCGGGGAGAAGCGGAGGGGGCGGTACAAGCTGCTGCAGCTGGGGGAGATGGGCAAGACGTGCAACCGGCCGCCGTACTACGGCACGTGGTCAAGGAAGAGGTGCGGATTACTTCTTCCTGCCTTGTTGTAGTATTTAATATACCTCCACATTGAGCAGGGGTGAGCTCGGAAGAGCTGACACATGAACGCCAAATGCAAATGGTGGGTCGGGCAACGTTCTGACAGGTGGAAAATACGTAATGTCACACGGAAAGGCTGTTGCCTGACGTGCAGTGACATTCGCGGAAGCAATGCTCTTAGCACATCCTTGTACAGTCGCTGAAGCCAATTCTTTAGGGGCAGCGATCAAGGTCCTGGTTCAAGTTCGGCCATGCGAGGCATGTCACGTTTGCCTTCGTCTACACGTTCCTAAGCACCGGTCGCAAGAGTGTCTTTTTGCTTCTCAACAAACCAACCTGTCCATGCAGCAATGCTGTCTCCGCACGCCGTCCTCTCGCGCTGGACGCCGAGATGGATTACGAAGTAGACAGCGACGAGGAGTGGGAGGAGGTGAGCGGTCCTTGATTCTGCTTTCCATAGCTCTGACTACTTTCGATCAGCCCAGCATCATGTGAAGACCCCGCAGAATGAGTTTGTAGGCCTGTCTTGGAAGCATAAGAGGCTCCAGTCAAGCAGTGGAAGCCTAGGGGTTGAGGAGTCTCAATGAGGTTGCCCTCTCTAGTTAGCAAAAGAGTCTTTCGAGCCGTTGTGTTTGACGCTCCGTGTCAGCAAAACTTGCCCTCGTCCGTATTTCTCCAATTGACAAGCTTCCAGAGGCAAGCGAAAGTACGGATGGCAATCAGCCGGTGAAAACATCGCCAGGGGGGCCTCGATCAGCGGTTTCCAGAACCTGCTGCGGAGATAGTTCCATCGATTAAGGACAGCTGGACCGACATGACCAGTTTTGAAAAAATTACCGTTCAAAGCGTCAGAGGGCGCGCACGTCCTTATCGGATCTCTTGGTGCCGAAACCCTCTTTGAGTTGCAAAACTTTCACCGTGACAATTTTGAAGCCGTTAGGCAATTCAGTATGACGCCGTCAGAACCGGACGCCCAATTCTGACAGTCGCACTGCGTTCTTTCTTGCAGGAGGATCCGGGCGAGAGCTTGTCGTCCAGCGACAAGGAAGACAACGAGGAAGAGGACAAGCAAGGGTATGGGAGCGAGGACGAGGAAGACGGGTTCGTGGTGCCGAGTGGGTACCTGTCGCAAGACGAGGTGCGTTTAGGATTCTAGGAATATAAGGCTCTTCAACTCTTCGTAGTCTTTGGGGCTTGGGGCTTTCCAAAACTGCATCCAAGGGACATTCGTATTCCCGAAAGGTTTCTCCATCAACTGAACAGCGGACCGTGCTCGTTCAGGTCGTGAGACAGCTCCAAAGAGGGAAGACGGGCACTTACAGAAGCAGAAAGCCCCCGTGCTTGATGACCGACGTGATTGAAGTCTTCTCTGCTCATGGATTGTTCTTGATGGCCTGGGAATTTCTGGGCCATCAAGGAATGTGCGGAAGACAGATTGCTCTCAAGTGACGACAAGCAGCCACATCGTACTTCTGCGGTCCGACCGTTATATCGGGGAAAGTTTTGTTGCATTGGTTCGCCAATGTGCTCATCCTCCTTCTTAATTCAACCTGCGGCTGCTAACATTCAAAATTCCATTCTCCTCATCCGCAGGGCATCGACCTGGACAGCCCACCAACGGCTGCCCCCACCGCCGACGCGTCGCCAATCGTCGACGAACACGTGGCGACCCTCCAGAAGCTCCAGCGCAAGCTGGAGAAGGCGACCAGGGTCGCCCTCCGCACCAGCAAGCCGCTCATCGTCTCCGCCCTGCTGCCGCCCGTTTCCGGCGACCATTTCCTGGGCGATGGGGGCGTTCCGGTCGCCGGAAACGGACGTTTCATCTACGAAGGCAACCAGGCGTTTCTACAGGCGATGACGATCCAGGTTCTGCGGTCTGACGTGTGCATTGAGGTCCCCGCTGCGACGCCGACGGGATTGGAGGAAGAACCGGTCGTTAGGGTGCCCGGGGGAGAGGAAAAGAAGGGCGTGGGCCGGCCCCGGATGGTGCTGCCGGAGGAGAAAGTACCTGAGCTGGTGAGTGATGCAGTATACTTTAAACAATGTCGACGAGTCCCATTTCAATCTCGTGGTATGCACAGTCGAGCCTCCAGGGACCTCCTCTATGACTCGCTTTTGAAGGGCTGTTCGTCGTGGTCAGGCGCGCAGGAAATCGCTTCGGTGCCGTTCCGGGCAAGCCTGTGAAATGAGCAGTTAACCTTGTACCGACCATCAGTATAGTGGCTGGCGGAAGCGCCCCTTTGCGCACTCTCAGGAATCAAGATCCATCCCAAGCCAATGTTTCCAGCGCTCACTTTGCGATTCTTTTCGGTGTGGGCTTAAGCCAGTCCAGTACGATTCCGGGTTGCAAAGCCTAAAACCCTAAAACCCTAAAACCCTAAACGTGGCCCGCGCAGATCGAGTTCCTGTTGGGGTCGACCCACGGGATGGCCCGGAACGTCGACGAGCTTTCGGCTAAGTTCCCGGGCGTCTCCAAGAAGCACCTGGAGCAGCGAATCCGGGAGATCGCGGAGTACGAAGGCGGGCGATGGCAGGTGCGACATTTTTCTACCGCTCTTATGTTTTGTCGTTTTCTTCCAAGACGAAAAGCATGTTCGAAAGCGTGTTGATCTTCGTCCACCGTCCCAAGGAGGCGGTGACGGCTACAGTGGATTCGCTCCGCTTCAACGTGGTTCACCAGTCCCCAGACGCCACCTGATGAGCCGCGCAAGGCCTGATTCTTCACAGTGAGGAAACAAACGATTTTCAAACCTTCTAGCTAGCACGTGCGCTTGTAGCTGGGGCGTGTAAATCTGGCACATGCATCAGGGACAGAACAGGCGAGAGGATGGTGGCTTCGCGTGGCGGTGAAGGAGTGTCGGTTGGTTGCAGATTCGGTTTCCGTGGGGTCTGGTTGTGTAACCCTACGAACTCTGGCGAGCCAAGCCTACTGCTTGGTTCGGACAAAGAGCAATCTCGGTAGGCAGGAAACGACATGCGATATGCTCGGAAGTCTGGTCGTGCAATGCCTCGAGAAGTGCAGGCCTCTTCAACAAGATGGGTAGCAGGAAGGCAAGGAAAAAGGCTTCTAATGGGTTCCCTCGGAAGTTTGGGTCCATGTTCGTCCATGTTCGTCAAGATTCTCCTCTTGAGATTGTAAATTATTTCTCCACGGCAGCTACTTTGAAAATCGAAACAAAGCAGACTACTCGTTCGTTTAGATGGTTTCCAAGTCGGTTGTTTCATCCAGGTCTCTGACTTTTGCAGGTGAAAGCCGTCGTGTTGGCGAAATACAGCATTGGTCTTCCGCAGACGACGCCTGCTGCTACAGCAGCGCCCCCTCCTGGTAAGTACGTACGATGGAGACGCTTCGCTCAATCTGCTGGTAAAACAAGACAGGGTGGGGAGGTACAGCATGCTTCGGATCGAAAAACGCAGGACGGATGTATCTGGACGTTTACGGTAACGCCGCTCACTGTTGCATCGGCCTACGCTCTTAGCCCTGTCTTTACTGACCTGAGTTAGCTGGACTGTGCACAATAGGGCCGGGTGCTTTGCTTTGAAATTATGTTGCTTGAGACCTCAGCTTCCACTTTGCCTCCGCACTTTGTTCGAGGAGCAGATGAGAGCAGGATGATCGCAAGTACAGTACCATGGCGATCTTCATCGAGACCTGCTTGACTAAGTACTGAAGCCGTCAGCGGCCTAGTTCCTCTTGTCCAGGTAGAGCGTTTTAACCTCAGGCATTAGCTTTCACCCCCTGTCTAATACACTCGGCAATCTCAATCCTCTGCAATCGGCCCTTAATCTGCTCTGGCACGTTTCTCAAAAGTCCTTTCTCACCGGTTTCCTCTCACTGTTTCTTGGCAGGACAAGAGGAGACGCCGAAGTCTCGCCCGACTCCCCGAGTGCAGCCAGTGCCCATCACGAAGTTCTTCACCAAGGTCTCGAGCGGCTCCCAAAACAGCAAAGGGAGCCAGGACAACAGTAAAGGCGGGCAGAGCGAGAAGTCGCCCATGGCAATCGACAGGGAGCAGAAGGGTTCGCAAGAAGCGAAGAGTGTGATGCAGGCTGGGGTTGGCCCTGAATGAAGAGACAAGAGCTAGATAATCATGGGCAGAATTCTGAATTGACTGTGTACTCGATGTGCGTTGATTGCAGATCTCGGCGAATGCAGCTCTAAAACACGCAGCTTAATGGCAACATGTCTTCTGCCGGATGCTATACCCTTCGGCTTTATTGAGCACGACTTGCGGACTCGATCTGTGGAATCACATTTTGAGTTGCATTGCTACATGCATGGCACCCTTGACTCCATAAAAGCGCAGAAAGATCGTCAACTTCAGACTGCTTGCTGCCCGCGCACAGAGTGACACCCTTGGAATGTTTTCTACTCAGGAATGCTGCAGCTCATACATGACGGTGGCTCTGACAGCCATACAGCTTGTCCAGCTAGCTCGCCCAGCCTGAGGCGGCCTCGGAGCAAAAGCTAGCAGCGTATAAGGTGCCGGAACATACTAAAACCTTCCGCAGTACGATGAAGTGAATTCCGCAACGATGCGCGGCATGCACTGATCCTATATTTCGGATTAACCCCGCGGAACAAATCTGCACTTGGTAGCCATGTATAGAACTCTCTATAGTCCGACGACTCCAGCCTAGCTAGGTTCAAAATTGAATCATTCAAATCAGGTCCAACGATCTAGAAATAAGTAGATCGTCAATCCGCGATCCGCGGCGCAATATCGCATGATCGACACATACCCATCACTAACCTGAGTCCGATCGCGCCTGTCTACAGCTTGTAATCCAAAGTTGCCAGATCAATCATGACCCATCTCTAGGCACGGCATTAGTACATGCATCATTGCAGTAATGATATCCGCAAGGAAGACGTTCCACCTGTACGAGAGCGCAGGACACTTCAAGGATGCCGCAACAAACTACAGCGCCCTTGAATAATCAAGGATGGTGACAATGTTAACGTCTACCGAGTCCAGGCTTCCCCTTCTCATCCAAAAACACCGCGACTTTCTTAAAACTTCCTCAACCTGCAACTTCCGAATCTTTATCCGGTTGATCGTATCTTCAGGTTTTCCCGTTTCAGATCGTCTACAAGCAAGGCCCGCTAGCTATCTGGCGCTGATGCAGCTTCTACCCCTTTTGATGCCGCCGCTTTCGCGTCACCGTTGGCTCCGTCCTGCGCCGCTGCTGCGGGCGCCTTTGGTGCTGCGGCGCTCTTCTGCTCCTTTGACTTGGGCGGGGTGTCGGGCTTGGTGACCTTTGGGCTTGCCTGAGGAGAGCAAAGCAACTTCTGCATCAAATGATGGTCTAGTATCCGCATCAACATCTGAGCGATGGATGCCAAGTGCGAGGGACAGAAGCAGCGCCAACTGTTTGGATGAACGAACTTCCAGGTCTGGCGCTTTGGTAAGGTGCAGGACAAAAGTTGCACGGCAAAAGTCGCTAGCTTGTCTAGGGAACCACAGAAGCCGCCTCAACTTCCCAAATAATGACCACCTTTCCCGTTGCACCCAACGGAAGGTCCTTCTGGGACTCACACCACACTCCACCTTTGTTAAAGCAGATAGGGACACGAGAGAACACAAAGCAGGGGAGAAACTGAACATTACCCCCAACAAACCCCCCGGATCGGTACAACAGCCTAACCTTCTGCTTCAACCCCCCCCCATTCTGGGCTCTGAGGTCTTATGTATCCATCCTTCTTCTTGTTCCATATCGCTGAGGCCTCACCTTCTGCTTGCCCCTTCTCCTTCCCCACCTCCTTCGTCTTTACGAACGGGATGAACTCCACCCCCACCACGAAACGAAAATTAAATCCATTATGTTTCTTGCAAACCGCAAAATAACGCAGAAAAGTTTTAGACTACATTGCTCCAGCCATACCTTCTGCTCGCCCTTCTCCTTCTCCGGCTGCTTTGCGTGGACGAACGAACCAAAGTCCAGAGATCTCAGCTGAAAATTAAGACATGACAAAGTACGAAAACTGGAGAGCGAGGCACAGCTAATACCTTCTGCTTGCCCTTCTCCTTCTCGGGCTCCTTTGTCATGCCGAACGGGATGAAGTACAGCCCAACCAGTTTCAAGAAGTTCAACTTCAAACGTCCCCACAAACCGCAAAATAACGCAAAAAACTGTAGAGCACATTGCTCCAGCCTCACCTTCTGCTTGCCCTTCTCCTTTTCCGGCTCCTTCTTCTTGACGAACGGAATGAAGTCCAGCCCCACCAGCGGTTGCAGGCACGCGGGGACCTTGACGCCGTCCGGTGTCTGGTGCGTCTCCAGCAAACAGCACAGTGTGCGTTCCGTCGCGGTCAGCGTCGAGTTGAGCAGGTGCGTGTACTGCTTCTGTGGGTCGTTCATCTGCAGACACAAGAATCATAGGAATTTGAGAGTGCGTTTCCGAAAAGATGGAGCCGATTATCCAGCAGAGAGTACGGCCGGCGGTCTGTTACAGTCAGCGTCGAGTTGAGCAGGTGCGCGTACTGCCTCTGTAGTGTCGTCAATGTGCAGAAACAGAGATTCAGAGGATTAGAAGTTACAAACGTCTGGCAAATGAAGACCTTGTTTCTCAGCAACAAGCACAGCGGAGCGCCCTGTTGTGGCCAGTGTTGGGTTTGAGTGGGCGCATACACCACATTTGGGAAAGCTCGTAGAAGGGGCGTTAGGGAGCCTTGCCTTTCTGGGGGTTTTGCAAAGTCAGAAAGTGAAGTATTTCAAGTTCGTGTAACAACGTGACTGTACAACCTTGCTTACATGAGCGGTTCCTCTTACAAAGGATGTCCGGCAAGCAGACTCGAGAACATGTGGACAAAACACGTCACACCCAACGTCTCTGACTTGGGCCAGCACAGCGAGCAGTAGCTTGAAGAAAGACAAACCCGCGCCTTTTAACCAATCACCTTCTTTACTTCGGACTCGTCAATCAAAGTTCTCCTTCCACAGCAGGTTCTTTTACACCGCACTGCTCCAAGTTGACTTTCTTCAATTCGGTCAAGCGGAACCTCGCCCTCACTTTGTGCGCACTTGCCGGGCCCCTCTAGCGACTACAGGGCCAGACACGCAAACGTGGTACTCAAAGTATTGATCATGGATCCCTGCAAACGGCCTGGGGCTTGTTCTCTTCTAAAACTAACACGTAACATTGCGGTACTGGGTCGGTATGCCATCGAGACATTTGTAAACACCATAGAAACGCTCCCTGTCTGTGCAAACGCCTACTCAATCTGAAGGTGTTTCTGGCGTCAAAACGTTACCGAGGAACCAGCGACTGAAATCTCTGTGTTATGGTGTATTCAAACAGAGGGCCGACCGATGTCCAGCCTGTCGATCTCCGCGTCTTTTTCAAAGAGTCTCAACTTTGAAATAGTCACTGGGCACAAAACGCTGCTCATTATCTGCAACGGAGCAACTCAGAGTTGCAGTCTTGAGGTAAACGATTCTCAGGGTTCCCTCACCTTCTTGATCCCATATCGCGTTTCAAGCCTCCGTGACTGGTAGTCCGTGCAGTTTGAGCATGACACGAGTTCCCGGTACGCTTTGGACGCCGGGAACCACGCCTCCAGGTCGTATTTCTTCGCCGCAGCGTCGTTCAGCGCCCCTGACACGATCGCAACGACCCGGTACGGCAGCTCCAGGGCCTGCATATCACATAAAACGCTTGTCAGACGCGGTTAAAGCGCTGCTTACGCTTCAGCTTCTAGGAGTGACTGGTTCTGCAACCAGCATGCTTTGCCTTTGCGGAATCGAGCCCGTCTGCATATTAGATCGTTCCAGGATGCACACAGTTGAACCTCTCGTAGGATTCCAGAATCCCGACAAAACATCTGATGGGCCACTTCGCGAAAAGGTGCTCGTTTGCATTGATTTGTAGGGGTATTGAAGACTTGAGGTGTGGCTTTTTGAAGGGCTCAGGGAACCTGCACAGACTACGAGCCAGGCGCGCTGACTCAACATTCCTGACAACTCACCTGGACGGGCTGTGGAAAGCAACGAAAGACGGAGCTACTCTGGACCAGGGCCCGCAGATTGACGTAGAAGCCCGGAACAAGAGGCAATATGAACTGCCCGTATCCGGCTGTTAAACTGGGGACTGTGCTTTATTACGACCGTGTTCACACCGTTCTCACAGAGCAAAGCAGTTCTTAAGAAAAACGACACTGACCGGACAGTCGACCTGGCATGGCTCAAAGTCTTTCATTCCGAAACAGTTTAAAAGGCTGGGATTCTGCTCAAGCGGCGCCGTTTTGAGGCAACAAAAGGAACTCCCACCTGATAGAACTCCTCTGAGTTCTTGAGCATCTCCTCGTGCATCTCCCACGACGCGTTCTCCAGGGGGCTCGTCAGCACGAACTGCTCGACCTTCTCAAATTGGTGCACACGGAAGATGCCCAGCGTGTCGCGCCCGTGGCTGCCGGCCTCCTTGCGGAAGCACGTGGAGTACCCCGCGTACCTGGCCGGGAGCATAAGCTATGTGACGCGGCTTTCGAGAGCATAAGTTATGTGAGGCATTCAAAACGCCCGTGGCTGCCGGCCTCCTTGCGGAAGCACGTCGAGCGCCCCGCGTACCTGGCGGGAGCATAACCTATGGGACGCGACATTCGAGAGCATAAGGTATGTGAGGCGACGGAAACGCCGGTTCCTTGCGTAAACAAATCAAGTAGCCCGCGTATCTAGCCCAGAGCATAAGCTATGTGAAGTGACAGACAGGGCTTCAGGCACGAGATGGAACGGAAAGAACGAGATTCGGAACACGCTTCTAGGCTTTGTTTTCTTACGTGAGATACTTGGAAGAAAGAACATAGACCAAGATGAGAGATTGAGCTATGCTCCAGAGAGCCATAAAGATAACATCTGGAAACATCTTTTGCGGACGAAGTGTTCAGGACAGATCTGATTAATCATCATCTACAAGCCTCACAGTCCTTCAGCACTGTCGAACGCTCTCCAAGACAAGGAGCTCAGGATTTGGCCGAAGTAGCGCGAATAGGCCCTGTGCCCGAACCAGGGAGGCGGCCGCTCGCTTACAAACACTTTCGAGATGAAAACTTCAGCGGACTGCCTTGCTGACCTCCTCCTCAACGGATGGATGAAGTATACCTCAAATTCGCAAGCACTTGAGCATAAGAGCAGCATTTCTGACTATACCTTTCACGAAAAAGACCTGAAGCCGTGTCAAAGGCTACATCAAGAAACCACTATGATCCTTGGTCACCTACTTGATTGGCAGGCTTTTCGCGTCCATCCAGTCCCCCCGATGGTATGCACACAACGGTTGCTCTGACGTGGCAATCAGGTACTTGTCCTCCCCCTCGCCCGACACCTGGCATGCGAAAAAGCAAGGATAGTATTGGCGGTGCTTTGAAGGATCGAGACAAGACTCCTAGCAGAAGCGCGATAGAATATTAAGTAGAAGCGCATTTTGTGGTTGCTGAGGCAGGTACGCAGGCACACACTGTCGTCGATGCTAAGAGTGCTCAATATGACGGGATCAGGGCAACCTGCAGACGCAATGGTCGGAGACTTCCGAACTTGCGAGCTGCAAAATGCAAGCTGCAGACACATCAAGAAAGACGGAACAAAAGTCTGCTCGAGAGGGTCATCACCGTCCCTTCTTCTTTTCCTGAACGATCGCATCCGGGCGCCACCTTCTGCTTCTTCCGGAACGAGAAACAATTGGGAACAATAAACCGGAACCACAGATTCGAAAAGAATGACTATGCTCAAGCGAAGGAAGACAGGCGAAGACGAAAGCGCAGCCTCACCTTGTAGAGCTCCTCGTCAAACTGCGCGAGCTGCGCGCATTCGGCCATGACATCCTGCTTCATGAAGAAGGGCGTCTGCAGGGGCGTGAAGCCGCGCTTGACCAGGAACGCCAGCCCGAAGTTGATCAGCGCTTGATTCAGCAGGACACCCGCGCCCTTCAAGTAGTAACCCCGATTGCCAGCAACACCCGTACCTGCAAAGGGGAAAGACAAGCGTGTTCTAATTGTGTCAATGAACATGTCTTCGAAAGGTTTGGAGCAGGCAAGGGGGAAAACGACCGGAAATCCCGGCTTCCTTGTCGAAGTCTGCAGAGGAAGAGTTGCGACTTGAAAAGAACATGCATGTTCGTTTCTGAGTTGGAGTACTTTCTTTACGAGGATCGGGTGAAGTGCGGAAAGCGCTTTAAAAAGACCACCCCATGAACCTCTAAAATAAGTGATGGTAGAAACAGAGACTACGCAAGCTTTTGTGTCAATCTCTTCCTGCGACAACCACCCCACCATGAAGTTGCACCGTTTGTTGGAAGGCCCCGTTCTTGCGTGGAGCAGAAAGCATCGTGAAGCTGCAATAAAAGTAAGGCTATTTCCTTGAGGGGCCAGCGTCATTGAGATGGGATATTTAGCGGGAAGGGCTCCAAACCTGAAGGGTCGAAGTTTTGAAAGATTGAGGCTCCAGTGATCGTGGCGAAAGTAAATGTTCAAATACACTAAATAGGAGTCCTAGACACTGATTGGCGAAATGACACTAATGGCGAAATTCCAAGCGGCGGCTGTGGCCGGTGGGCTGTACCGGTACCATTTCTTCATGTACCGACCCATTTGTCCCTTTTCCTCAGACGTGTTACTTGCCACAGTACCGACAGGGCTAAACGTTATGGGTTCTGAACATGGTTAAGAGTCGTCAAACTCAGAGGAAGTACCCGAGCGTTCCTGAACATGCTTAAGAGTCGTCAAACTCTTGAGGAAGTACCCGAGCATGAGACAAATGCCTGAGAGTCTGGCAATTTTCGCCAGGCCGGCGCGATACGCTTCCTGGACACTAGATGGCAGAAATCTGGCGAAAATCAGATTTGGCGAAAATGTTTAGTTTCGCCACAAACATTGGAATGAGCGTTCACCAAGACAAAATATTTGGGGCTTCGATATTTTGCAGAACACTGACCTTTTTCAACATCCGCAATGCCGAGCATTTCGACGAGATCTACGTGGTTGTAGAGCTTCTCTTCGTGCCGCTCCGTCCCCCATTTCCGCACCACCTCGTTGTTATCCTGGAAAGAGAAGGTTGTGATCTCAACAACGGTAACTTCTTTAACCTTGCTGAGATACACAGCGGGGCGAAATAGCACAGGATAGACGGAAAAGCAATTACATAATCCGGATCACACCAATCCCCTTTCAAGCTCTGACTTACAAAGGCTCAAGCGAGACATCCCGACGATAATCACTCAACTCCCGCATTGCATTTTTAACAAAAGAAATCAAAGTCTCTCCATCCGCACCTCGTTGTCATCAATTGGCACTGAATCATGCACCAAGTTTCCAATCGGCACGATTGCCCTGTCCACCGCAAGCTTGCACTCCTTCTCCTCGTCTTCCTGCTTCTTGATCCCAGCGTCCAACTCCTTGCTCTGAGCAATCAACTCCGACGCATCTTCCTTCGCCTGGGCCGCAGACAAGCATGATGTGAGGTGCCACACAAACCAGAAAGTTGCAACCACCCGAAACACATACATTTCGGATCCACTGACATCGGCGAAGATTCGTCTCCTGCTATTGCCTCTTGGATAGTAACCTGGATGCTTGATAGACGGTCCCTGCTACCATCTAGGAGCTTTCCAGAAGCGGTGAGTGGGCCAGAACTAAGCTTCCCCTCTAGATCCAATGCTTCATCAATTCGGAGTTGGTGAGTTTAAGAAGATTCACTTTATCTGCAAAGGAAATGTTTCTAGACAGAGGAAAGCCACCTCGCTGTTCCTTCTGCCTTTAAGCGAAGGCGATTAGACAAGATCCAGACTGACTTCTGAGAAAGTTGACGCCTAGTGTCTGCAAACTTTGTTGTGACCTGTGTACCTGAAACATCATTTGACAGAAGGAACGGAAGCCAGCTTTCGACCACTCACTCCATTGACTCATTTCGAATTTTGCTTCCTCAAATTCTGGTACTTAAGGTGCAAACAAGCTGTCAGGAACGTCGACCAAGATGAGATGGAGTCAGACTCACAATCTTCTTGTCCCTGATCTGCTTGTTCAGCTTGTTGAACTGGGTTTTGAGCTGATCAAGCTGGAAACGACCTGCAGTCAGTTGGTGGCGGTCTTTGTTATCATATGCGGGATGCGTGGATGCGAGGACACTTGGAACAAAAGCCTTTCGTTTGAAGGCTCTGTGAGACCCATACAACAGTCGTTCGGAGGAACCATAATCAAAAACTATGATCAATCTGCCCCCATTGAGCAACCCACATCCTGTTTTGTTACGTGTGTCTGAAGCTTATGAAAATGCCGGCTCCAGAATGGACAGCCAATGCAGGATACGAAGAGGAACAACCAGATTTCCTTGGTAGAGCAGTCCCTGTTCTGCAAATGGCAAAGATGCTTCGAGCAATCTACACGAGCTCTTCCTACCCAAGGTTCACGCAGAGAGCGGTAGTCATTTGTTACTGTGAAGCATGTTATTCCAATCCAGACGGGACATGAATGCAAGCCAGACTAAGCCAGCAAAAGGGGTTACTTGGATGTGCAGCAAAAGGAAATCAGAAGGAACTTTGTGCCACTGCAAAAGATTGACAACACTCACTTTGCCTCCATATTTCATCCAGTCTGATGACCTCGTCAACGAGCTTCTCATCTGCAAACCGCCGCCGCTGTGACTCCCTGATGATGTCAGGGTTGCCACCCTTCTCCGCACGGAAGAGGTTGATGTCCAACATCCTGGCAGAACAAGACTTCACTTGAGTTCCAGCAGTTGGAAAAATTGGCACTTTCGCCCAGCCCCTTCAGGTTTTGTTGCCCTTCTTAAGCACTGGCAATCTTCCTATCGCCCTTCTCAAAGCTATCTTCCTGGCCAGCAGCTGATCTGCGCTCCAGCGTGCTCAATCCTGATCGCCCTGGCCCCTGCCCTAGACTCAGAGAATATCAACCCGCAGTCACCATTGGCATTGGCATGCAGTGATTTCCAAAGACCAGTCGGTTCACCATGGTAATAGTTATCCCAGGGCCAGGCACGTCGAGCACCATCCTTTGTCGTTAAAAGTTTCCCCCTCTAGAGCAGAATCTGCTGCCACCAGCAGGCAGCTCCCCCAGGTGCTCCTAGAACTTAGTAGAAGGGCAAAAGGCGTGTGGTCGCTGCCGCATTGTTGTAGTGGTGTACATTGCAGGGCAGTGTGCTCAGTTGGTTGTTGCATAGTTTTCGAGCTTATTGAGATTGCTTCCTGCCCGTCTTCCCGCTGCGTGTCAGGCAAAGCAGTTGTCATTGATTTCAATGTGCGCACAAGCCTCCTTCAGGAACACACCAGATTGCCATTCAGGCCATTGGTGTGTTAAGCTGTTGCGGGTTGAGCCCGGCGCTTGAGCTCTGGCGCGATGGTGAGATTTAAAAATCTCCCTTTTGATTCTTCCCATCAAGCATTGCTGGAGAAATGGTTTTCTACGTGGTTTTTCAGATTGCTAGATCCAAGTGAAAGGTGCTGTGAACGCATGATGCTCAATTTGTGATCCAACCGGAGAGGGCGCAGAAATGCAGCAAAGGCAGGGTTTTGATCCAGGATCGAATCTCATGCTGAAAGCAACCATGGGCACATTGTCCACCTTTGATTATGGTGAGGCAAAAGTTGCTCGACAATCGGGCCCCTAGTGCCACATGGCAATGCTGCTGACCTCGGAGGAAATCTTTCCTGTCTTTTCAGAATACTCAACTCTTGAAAGAATCTTCATCAAAGGTTTGGAAGTTGGAACCAGTTGAAACTGGCTGTTCAATCATGATCGAAGTTCCAAAGAGTCAAGCTGGCCTTTTGCGGCATTCTGTCAACATTGCTCTGGCTTCGCTAACCAGTTTAAGCATCTTGCAAACTTGCCTGCCTGCTGTTCAATGCCCCTTGCTAAAGAGTTGTCTGCGCTCTAGGAGCCATCGAAGCAACCCAGTAACAGTCTGGCGGCCTCAATTCCAACATTGTACCTGCCCTGTAGACTGTTGTTTTACTCATCAATTCTGAGCGAGCGCTTAGCGCTTGGCAGTAGAGTCTCAATGGTATTCGCAATGCTGTCAAAGGTCAGTCTGCAAGTCTGGTTGACTTTCTTCAATTCTTCTGTGAAGAGGAATGATAGGAATTAGTGACCCAGATCCTCGATGCGGCCAGGTTGAGATACAACTTGTGTTGGAGAAAGGACACCCACAAACACAACAGCCAGTCAGGCAGCTTTGCTTCCAGTGCTGATTTGCTGGACTCGTACCGTTTGCAGGCGAGTGCAGCCAAGGATGGGCCGGTGGAAGCCTTCCTCGACCTTGTCAGGAAAGAGAAGTTCCGAGAAGCAGCGGAGGAGTTTGTGAAGCTAGTGAAAGACCTGAGGTGCTCAAAACTGACGCTTGAGAAGGAACAGGACTTCCGGTTGCATATCAATAAGGCGTTCAAGAGGGTAAGGACTACCCTGACAGTTCATGTGCGCCCCTAGTTGTCTTTGTCTTTGTCTTGCTCAAGTTTGCAGTCTCGGGGAATGCAAGTTTGCTCTGGAGGAAGAACGAACTTCCAAGGCCTGGCTTTTCAGAATGTCAAGGTGGCGGAAAGCAATCTGACCTTGGTGATCAGTCCCCTAATCATGTCAGGAGACGAGGGGACACGAGGAGATGAAAATTGCCATCAGCCTTCTCACAGCAGCAACCAGTGTCCACATCATGGTGATTCCCCAAGCAGTCCAGTAGGCACTTAATTGCTTCGAACCTCAGTTGAGCGCACGAGCAAGCGTTGCTTCTTTAATTATCCTCCAATTGAAAGATCCAACTTTGTTCCTGTGCAGCTCTCGAAGTTTGTGCAAAGTAAAGAGGCTGTCCGTGGACTGCTCTCCATTCTTGAGCGAAGCCCTCCTCATGGCGCGGTGGTGATGGAAGCTCTTTCCTCAATCCTGACCTCGTCCCTTGGACATCAGGTGATGTCCTGTCACTTGCCTCCGAAACGTGCATGAGGGTGTGCAAACCAAGTCGCCATAGACTCCTTGGTGTGAGCCAATTTGGACACTGGCACTAAATCTGTTGAAGGGTGCGCCAATTGGTGATTGCTCAGCAGTGGACGTTTTGCTCTGGCCCCGAATGGGCTTACCATCTGGTGAAGGACTAGCGTCTCGCTTTCTTCAAAAGTCGGGATCATGATCCAAGGCCTTTTGCTTTTGCTGATGACTGCTAGTTAGATTGGACCAGGAACGAATCACAAAATCTGAAAGCGCGGTTGTCAGGTCTTGAGAATGGAAACCCTGAGTTCACGCGTTGAACTAATCTGTTTATACAGATCCTATAGTTTGATTGGTAAACGTGTCAAGTCAAGGTCCACAGAGTTTTTTTGCGAGCGCTATGCACCTTCAAAACCCTGGACATTACTTTCGCACAAAGTGCCTCGAATGTACAGGCATGAAGTCTGTGGGACCACATATTGACTTCAATCATCTGCTTCCTCTTCTCTAGGTGGCATCCTGTGAGACTGCCGCTTCCGCTTTCTGGCATTATGGGGAGTGGCTGTTTGCCCCTCTGATGTCCCCGCCCTATCAGCCAAGGCATGGGCAAGAGGAGTACACCTTCAAGCACGTGTCCGACCACCTTCTCAACTTGGCGAAGTTGATGCAAGATGGCCCCCCGAGCTTCGTCAAAGGAGCCTTGCAGCAGCGGCTCCTCCAACAAGTCATCGCCTGCTTTCCATGGGGCCAACAGCTGTCGGCGCTCAAGTACCGGGGCCAACTTGGTCCCCTCGCTTGGCTTGCTCACATGCTCGCGCTGTTGGTCGGCGAGTTTCTAAACAAGGGGGAGCGCTCGGAGGTTCCACTGGGCAAGTTGGGGTTGCAGGCCTTGGTTCCTTGGTTAGTTGCCTTCTTTGATGAGTTGCGGTGCATGGCTGAGCTCGCAGCCAAGGATGGGCCCTGGGGTCAAGAAGGTGTGCAGCATGCGGAGGTCTCGGCACAGATTCTCTTCCACCATCTGCACGAGATGACAATCTTGAACGAGATCATGCGAACTCCTCAGGGCCCTAGCTTCGAAGCAGCCGCACGGAAGTTGCTCTCGTGTATTTCTAGTCCGGATGCGAAGTTGCAAGGAGGTGCGCTGGTGAGCAACATCCACTACCTGAGGGTCCAAAGAGGGGCTCCGACCAAGGACACGCTCAAGGACTTCGAGGGTGTTCAAGGGCTGCTGCAAAGGGTTCAACAAACCTCGGGATCTGCCCGGAGTGAGGCGCTTTGGCAACTTCTCTCGGCAATCAACGGAGGAACAGTGCCTGCCCTTCAAAACCTGATGTTGCACTGTGAGGTCGTTTCGTGCCTCACTCAAGTGTTCCAAGCGGAGTTAGAGGCGACTTTGGAAGTAGAGACCGTGGAGATTAACCGGCTAGCAAGCATATTGGAGTTGCTCTCTTTGTTCACGGGGCTTGTGGACATGAGCGACTCAGGTTCACTTCGAGGTCGACTTTGACGCAGTGGGTGCTTGCCTTCTTGACAACGCCGATCGTGCTTTGCAACGGCTTGGGCAGAATACGAGGTACTTCTGGGAGGTTCTCGTTTTGTCCTACAATTCGGGCAACGTGCTACAAGAGAGAAGGAGCGAGCTGATCAGGGTGGTCGTGCGGGGGCTTGACTCGGATGCTCCGGAGCGGTGGGCCGGTGTCTTGGGCTGGCACTTTCTGACTGTGCTCACGGGCATCGTTCCAAGCTTGAGAGGCTCAGGTTTTGGCGTGCAGACTAGAGAAGCGGGAGAAAGCGAGGCTTCCTATCGTACAAGATACGGAGTCGAGTTTAGAGCAAGGCATCCGCCTGTCGAAACGAGGCACGTAGAAATCGAGCAAGAGGGAAGTAGGGTTGCTAGAATGGCGATGGTCTTGTTCCGCCAGTTCAAAATATCTCACGAGCTACATGGTGGGTGCCCCAGCAGTGCTGCACTTGTACTCGAGCTACTCTGCCGCAACAATCCGGAGCTGCTAACGGAGCAGGTTCTTCCCAAGCTCAGCCTCCTCGTCGAAGTTCTAGAGATAGCATATAGCGAGGCGTCTTCTTCGTTCAGCGATCCCCCGGCAAGCACAAGCCCCGTGCAAGCAATCGACGACGAGCAACAGGATGCTCTTTGCGCCGCCCTCGCTGGTCTTGTGGCTCAATTGCTAGCTTTGGGCGACTCGTTGGACTTGGTGATCAAGGAGGTGGCGCGCAGCAAAGGTGTTGCCTTGTGCAAGCGCGTCTTGCGGTGTAAGAGAGCGACTGGAACAGCATACCCTCCTAGATTGGCTGCCTCCAGCGCACATGGTGACTCGCGAGCAACGGCACAAGAGCTCGAGGCACTCGTTCAAGTGTGGGAGAAGATGGCGAAGGGGTTTGATCTGAAGCCCTGCAGCAATACGGTAAGCTGTCAAGCTTGAATGCATGCGTTTTCAGATCTTTTTGCAAGGAAAGTTGCGATTGATGTCATGTATGTGTGGGAAGGTTTCAAGTTCCGGCCTTAAGTCAGACTCAATCTGTGTTGTCCTACTTATGACCAGGCTTGGAAATAGACCTGTAACGGATAGTTTTCAACTGCTTTTGGTGAACTTTTAGCTTACAGACACTGATGTCTTCAATTTTGGTAGCCTGAGGCGGCTTTGTTCAAGATAAAGACAACATTTGTAGGGGCTTACAGTTTAGAGCGTTCGTATATCACAGAATTCTGCAGTGCAAATACAGCTTACGAAACTATCTGGTGGTTCAATTTTTAAAACTCCAACATCAATATCACCCCTCATGGTGAACCCTAGCTGCAAGTGCTGTCTGGCTGAATTTTGGATGATTGGTTTTGCAAGCAGCTGAGATATCTCCGCTCTCCGTGTGTTTTGGTGTAGGATTGTCAAGGGGAGATTCTAGAGTCCGTAAAGAAGACCTTCAAGAAGTGCAGCGCCTGTGGGATGGTCCAATACTGTTCCCAAAGTTGCCAAGTAAGTATGAACGGTCTAACTTATTTCATTCGAAAGCCCCGTGCGTAAAATGCGAAGATATGTTGGCACCACCAAACATTTGCTTCTCTTCCTCAAATTTGGAGCTGGATGGCTACGACCCAACGAGTTTCAGGATTGCGTATTCTGGTGACTGAGCGACATTGCCGCCAAAAAATCTCAACTGTAGAAGAGGGTAGTATGTGGTTGGATCAAAGGAGTTTGAACAAGTTCTTCTGCTGAAAGATGTGCTTGCGTGCTTTCAATGATTTATGTCATCACCGGATGCTCGATGGATTTTTGAAGAATGAAAAGACGTAGTCAGTGACTTCTGGTGACTGAGCGACATCTGCATGTGTTCACTGTAATCCATCGATGTTTAACGTTTTTGCTTGCAGCGTGCACACTGGAGAAAGGAGCACAAAGTGGAATGCAAAGCAATGTCGTTGAAATAAAACGCTGCTTGATCTCAGTCATTGGATCGTGAACTGGTTTTGCAAGGACCCTCCATAATTGTTGCGGCACCCAATTAATGATTGCGCCACAAGCACGACACATGTAGCGCTTGGCCGACAAGAATACTTTATGGCCGGTCGTATGCAATGGTGTCTGAGGCTTTTTCAAAGTACGCAATTTAGAAATCGTCCCGTGACTTTCGAGCATCATTGTGACGGTCCAGCCATACCACTTTAAAATATGTAAACCCGGAAGTTCTTATATGCGTATGTATCCCCCCAATGTCACATCTGATTTGAAGCCAGGAGTTACAATCCAAATTTTTCTGCATATGCATGCAATCATGCAAGTAGTAGGTAGTATGGACAAATGAACTTGCAGAACTTGTGACAAACGGTGACCTAACTCATGGTGCTATATTAATATTATGTCACTCGATTATACGGTATACAGTAGGCAAGAGTGCACGAGGACAGGTCAGAACCATTACCGAGACAATTTCGATCTGCGCGGCGAGAACCGTGAGATGTCACTGGTATTCAAGAATGTCTGGATGCAGACCTGACTCTGGTTAGCCGGTAGCGGTAACGGGGACCGGGGCCCTCACCGGAGGTAACGTACCCGCGAAGGTTACAAACTTGATCAATGGCTACCAGATTAATTGAGCAGATTTAATTGGAGAGAATGACTAATAAATTAATAAATTAATTAATATATTATATATATATATATATATTAATTAATAAATTAATAAATTAATTGCAGGACAGCAACCTGCCTGTAACGTCAAGCAATGACAACTTCGAGCAACGTTCAGACGCTATTCCTCCGCTAGAACTTAGAAGCTGTTCAAAGCAGATCAAAGCTATTTTCTCTAGAGCTGCCAGCTTTTTCGTGCCTGCAATGGTGGACTCTGATCTTCTGAGCCAGGACGGGCACGGCAGCGCAAACTCGCTGCGGCCGCCGGATGAAGCGGTGGTGTCCATCATTCGGACCGCCGAGGAGCTGAAGGAGGCGCTGCACATCCGCCAGCGGGTATTTGTGGAAGGGCTGGGCGTGCCGCTTGATGAGGAGATTGATGCGTATGATGGGGGAGGAGACCCGCAGAAGGTGATTAGGCTCTGGTGGATTGTGTGTTGTTGACTTCAGCTCCATTTCCTCTGTCATGTTATCAGTTTCATTTGCAAGGTGTGCGGAAAATGGGTCTTCTGGTTCAGAGGGGAGGGAGGTGAGGTTATGCTTAGACATGCCATCGGCGGGGCCTGTCGTCGCTGCTTGTGTTGTCACTGTCATGAACCACTCCACACTTTATATTCTGAGAACAGTGTCGGAAGCTACAACTGTTGTCAATTTGAGTTAGAGAATCATCTGGCAGGCTCTCCATCATCCGAGGGTTGAGTCTAGAGAGTTTCTTTTCAATCCCTGATTGACATCTTGATGTCCTTTCGATTGCTGTGCGGGCAACTAGGCTGCCAGCGATTCATGCAAGCCCTGTCCCCTTCTCCAATTTAAAGCCACTAGCGCCGGTAAAACGGGTGAGATTTGCATTGGTTCTTAGTTCTCATACGATCTCTCAAATCCGAAGAGAGTTTTGCGACTGCACATGTCACCGGATCTTTCAGATTTCAAGTTGCCACTTGGTTCATCAGATGCATTTGAAGTTGCTGCAAGTAAGCCTTTACATCACCTGTCGTTTGTTCTTTCTACACCTTCTCACCAGGGCAATGCTGCGCCATTCCAGGAAGGGAGCCTTGTTTTCACTTTTGTAATCAACGATCGTGCTTTGTCCATCTTTTGAAAATATCCTACGTCGCTCCTGAGTGCTCGCTTTGTTGTCTGCTGACCTAGTGGTTTGATAGCATCTTTCCACACATGCCTGTCTGGACCTCTTACTTCTGCCAATTATCTGGTGCTGTATTTCTTAGGGCTGTGTTCGAGGGCCATTTCCCAGCAGCCTCAACTCCATCCCTAAGAGACAAAGTCTTTGTCAAGCTCCTAAGAAAGCTTGTCGTTCTCTCTTTGATGATCTCCATGTCAACCTGAGCAGCGTTTCTTGATCCGGGTGGAGTTGCGCCCGTATCCATGCAATGAACACCTTAAAACCATTGTGATGGCTTCTGTTGCACAGGAGTGCTCGTTGTTCTGTGAGGGTGCCCAGCAGTGTTGATATTTAAATCTTTCTGATCAGAACAAGGCCGTTTTCACGACTAGCGCCAAGGCGTTGCAGGGGCTGCCAAGGCTTCTTTGCTGCTGTGCACAAAAGTCAACAACCGTTGGATGAAGAACGATACATCTCGACTTCGTCTGAGAGAGTTGCTATGTTATTTGCTCAGTGTCATCTTTCTCGAGGCCTGCAGCCAATAAGTTCTCTCTACTTACAGGTGGCACAAGATGTGGTTCACGTGTTGGCTCACATGAACGGCAAGGCGGTCGGCACGGGGCGGCTACTCATAAATCCGCCCATCCGACAACTCCCCAAGGCGCAGCGAATATCGGTGTTGGACGAGGCGCAAGGGAAGGGCGTTGGGCGGCGCATCATGCTAAGTCTGCAAGTGAGGGTGGTCACTTTCTCGATCTCGTTGTCCTTGACAGGTTGGCTCGTTTGAGTTCAGTGAGGCCCGTACGTTTTCCTAGTTCATCTGTTATCGATGATTCTGTATGAGCTACCTGTCCTTCCGGTCAAGGCAGACGTACAAACATGCTGGCATTTGTCATCCAACGGTGCAAAGCCGGAATAAACTATTGGACCTTTGAAGTGAGCCATCAATGTTTTGGCAAGGTCGATACTGAAGAATAGAAAAGAGATCAGCTGTGAAGTATGCGTTTGGGAAAGCAAGCGCACATGCTATGTTTCTCTTCAGAGCTTGAAAGACTGCTTTCCAGCGCCGTTTCTTCGCCCAGCCTTACACGCGTCTTCAAAACGTTACACGCTTTATCACGAATGGGACTTGCCTGCATGCGTCAGACCAATAATTAGCTCAGAGGTTGGTGAAACTACTAACCGTCCCTTGAGTCTGAGAATCATTGAATCCAAAGACGTTTGGTAGCCGGACCTGGCATTGGATTTAACATCTTAGTTGGTACACCAGTCCAGTCAGCCGGTCTGCTGTGGGATTTCTTCGCAACCCTCGCTTTCAATGGCGTTCCAGCAATCAAGAAGAACCGCCAAATCGAGTCGACTTCGCATCTACCTTCAGCCGCTGTCCAGCTTCTGCGAAGCAACATTATCGTCCCGTACTTTCGCCTTGTAGCCAGAAAGCGCTGCCTTTTAGCAACACAATTGCGCTTCCGGCCCATGATGGAACACAAGAGTTCGAGCCGCCACATTCTGTGCCGCGCAGTAGCAAGGTCGTGGGAGGCATGGCAGGCGGACAATAACTGTCAGTGCGTCGTGCAGTCCTCTGGCTGCTTCATTCTTTGTCTGACATGCATTTCCTTGCGGTCCTCGTGCGCTGCAAAGTCTTGCCACCCTGCAGCAAAGATTTTTTGGTGGTCCCAAGAAACACGTTTGGGCGACGATGGTTAGTCCCTCTGACGTCACTGTCATCATCCTCGCAGGAACAAGCATGGGCCCGGGGCTTTCGAGGAGTCATTCTCGACGCGCAGCTGAAGGCGATTCCCTTCTACGAGAAGTTGGGTTACAAGGTGAAGGGGGACGTATTCCTGGACGCGGGGATCGAGCACAAAAAGATGGAGCTTGTTTTCGGAGGCGGGGCCAGTTTAAACAACGAATGATGAAGAAATAAGCAGCGCCGCTCGAGATGGGGAAATTGTTTCAGTATGCGTATAGGCCCTAGTTGCCTGACAGCGTTGCAAGCCGTAATGCTGATACTGCGTTTGTCGTCAGGCTTTCCGAGTTGGTTACTGCAATAGAGGAGCCGTGTGAGACGTCCACGCAGGCTGTCAGAAAGCACAATGAACCTGAATGTCAGTGTTGGCTGCTCTGTTGGCCCAAGAGGAACTGCTGTGCATAGCTTATAAACTCAACGTGTCTGCGTTTGTTTCACAATAAGGTCATTACGGTTGTCGAGTATAACAGGTTCGGGAAGCTACCAACTTGAAGTAGAGCCATAAGGAAAGCTAGTTCGTAGACTCATAGCCATCATTATATTGTCAGCTAAATCGTGTAGTAATAATTGCCGGGCCAGCATAATGACGTCAGTGCGGCCCGTTCATCTTGCACCTTATGGTTTGTAAGTCTTGTTCGTCGTACAGCCAACAGTGACCGTCACAGCTAAAACGGTACATTTGGTTAGTATGCTTGTCCTGAGTCCACAATAAATCATCAGTGCACGTACATATCGCGCACACCGTTGTACTGCTTCCATCAGCACACGAGCGAACATCCCCGCCTTACTTCTGTTGGGCAGGCCGGATTGTCTCAGTCTAGCTTGCACTTGAGAACGGTGCAATGCATGCATCTTTTTTGAGACGGGCGTTGTGATGATAGTGACACTTCGTACAGCGGCCCGAGACCTGCAGCGATACTGCAGTGCGTAACTTAAAGCGCGCCCCGCCCGTATTGCCGGCAGAAAGGGCGACCGTCTATATTGTAACGGCACACGGCACACGTTATGATCGAGACATCACGCGTCCACATATGATTGGAACAAACTCAAATTCAAGGCCGGAATAATCATGCTGCACATGACTTCAACAGACTATACGTTGTTGTTGAAGCACTGAGCCGGCCAGCACTGCAAAAACTTTTTCCTAACTCAACAAGAAGCTGCTACGCGCTGCTCGTTGATAACATATCCGCCAAAGATGCTTGCCGCTCTCGCGACTCGATTAAAATATAGCCTGAGCTCATCAAACATGCATGCAGAGCCCCGGCCGGTTTCTCTGGTTCCAAGTCTGTCGAAGTTAAATTGAGATCTTTCCGGATGCAAGTACACATATGCACGATTGATCCGATCGACAGAAGTGACAGAAGTCGACACACTGCAAGACCTAGCTGAGTTGCAAGCACACAAGGCCACACGGACTCCAAAATAAGAAACTGAAATTAATCATATCACCGAGCGTGCAATTTAACCAACTCCGCGCCCATCGTCATATCTAGAAATCGGACCCGCATCCGTCGCCGTCAGACGATCCGCCCCCAAAGTCAGAGCTGCCGTAACTAGAGTCGCTAGAGCTGCTGTAACTAGAGTCGCTAGAGCTGCCGTAGCTAGAGCCGGTAGAGCTGCTGGAGCTGCTGCTGGAGCTCGAACTCCCGCTCCAATACGAGCCGCTGACGTAATAGTCGTCATCATACGAGGTCGGCCTCGTATACGAAGCACTTCCACTCTTTGTACTCTCTCGGCTCCCTTTTCGGCTGGTCGCCCCGGCGCTGCTCCCGGTCTTCGTGATGCTCCCGCTTTCTCTGCGGTTAGTCGCTCCAACATTACCCCCAGACGTTCCGCTTCCGCTTTGTCCGCGGCTACTCGTTCCGCCGCTGCTCTCAATCTTTGTGCTCGCACGGCTGATCGCTTTGATTCTTGCATTCAGCTCCTCGCGGCGCTCGTTTGCGATTAGCTCCTCGAATCGCTTGCGTGCAATCTGCTCCTCGCGTCGTACCCTTGCAATCAGCTCCTCGCGCTGCTTGCTTGCAATCTCCTCCTCGAGTCGCTTGCGTTCAAGCCGGTCCTGATTGTACTGGTAAGCAGAAAAACCCGCCAGCGGCCCCAGATATAAGAGACCAACCCAGACGCTTCCATCCTCAGAGATGTCTGCAAACGAAGCGGAACAGGCTTAATTTTGGAGGAGAATGCGCAGCGACGACACATATTTTCTCAACGATCCTACACTTAGGTCGAGGTGTGATGTTTTACAGCGATAAGAAACGACCCATCCGTGTCTCCTGCCATAGTTCTCTTGTTTGCAGCTCATCCAGCCGAGCATAAGTGAGAACCTTCATCACGCAGCGCTCTTCTCCACGTTCCACTTCTAATCCAGAGGTTTTCAAACAGTTTTTTGAAACGGAGCCAAGTCCCTCAGCGGGTACAACAACACACTGTGCTTGGCTGCTTAATTTCATTACAAAGTCTGCGGCTCAACGTTGGTCAGTGTTTTATCACTTCCTCAGAGGCGACTTATACTTGCGCGTACTCCCTCCCCTAATTCTCTTGACGTGAGCAGTCCCGAAGGTCTAAAATCCTTTTGATATTCATGCACCTGAAGCTCGAACCAGGTGTCCTTCAAAAGCAGACAATCAGAGTACCGAAAAACACAGGCGGAGAGGAGATAATTCGAATAGAAACAAAACCAGTCAAAAACCCGACATGCAAAACTTGGAGAGATCAACCGTGATCCCATCATCAAAACCCCGGGCAGAAGTTCCTGAAGATAAGTCAACATTACTGGGCTGTTCCGGTGCCTTCTGGTGCTCCGCCGTTCCGTCGCGAACTTCTCCGTGCGCGCGCAATCCGGCGCAAAAGCCGCCGGATGCGGCGCGCTCTCCAGTCCCGATCATTAGAGGGAACCGCCCCGCTCTGCGGTTGTCCCAAACTTTGGTTCTGACCGCTCCAAAGAAACAAGGCAAAACAGAGCACGAAACACACTTGGGCGGTAAGGAGCCTTCGATAGTCAACGTCTGCAAGAAACGCACAAAGGACTGTCACAGAAGCGCTTACAGTATCAAGCCCTAAAACGTCAGACCTCTTGGGATCGAAATTAGTGCGGGAAGATTCACCATTCTCTCTCCGCAAACCTTGCCAAGTTGTTAATCGGAGAGAAGTCACACCGCAAGGAAGTAGAAAGAGCTGCGAAGAAACTCCGGCCTCGGTGTTTCTTCAGATGGCCATGGAAACAGTAAAGCAGTCAAAAAACTTCACGGGCCAGAGAAGAGGACTGAAAGCACACTCAGGACCGACTGAGTGATTCACTAAGTAGATATTTCTGAATTCTCAACGGCAAGATTAAAGAACCTCCAAGCTCGACAGTAAGTGGAGAAAGGGCCACTAAGTCGACCTGCCTGGAGAAGGTTTCTCGTCGGTCAATTTCTCGTTTGCTGCCGGTTTCGCTTCGACCGCCCTCAGGTTGTCCGCGAGCGCGTCCACTCCCGCAACAAGGCCTCCCCCGAAGTCATCCTTCTTCAGCAGCGGCACCATCGTTTGCTTCTGCATGCCCTTGAGCCAGGAGGCCCTGTTGAACGGCCCCTTGACGCCCCGCCCGATCTCAATCTCTAGACTGCACGTAGAAACCGATTGTCGAACTCAAGGGTTTTGGGTCCTGTGGACGACCGTCAGTGAGCGGGTAGCGGAAGCATACTGAGCAAGTTTTGCTGCTTTGCAGAATCCTACTTTACAGCTTTACGGGTGCAGATTTTGGGGCCTGATGATGTCCTTTTTGTCACTTCCTCTTGAGAGGAGTGCGTTCAAGACCTTTCTTGTGCTAGGTTTCTCTATTAGAAGCAGACTTTGGAGCCCGGCGAATCAATCTTTCCGGCTGAATTTGACGTGTCTCTTCCTTTCACACTTTCAAAAGTGTCCTTTCCTACAACGAGCTTGCAATCCTTCTTTGTTTTCGAACGCGCAAGGAATTGCTCTTTGTAGGAATCAGTCTTCGCTTCGTTTAGTTTCTGGTGCAGAAAGTGACGTCACAAAGAATGAGCGACACACGCAAGACATTCGTCTGGTACAAAGTTGGATATTTGAAAGGGGGAGCGAGCCGCTTGAGACCGACATATTTGAGAGACTTACCGCCTCTGCTCCTTCACGAGCAGAACTAGAACTCCGTTGTTCCTCTCCCGGTCGCCGATACGCCACGTGTTGAAAAGCTCTGTGGCAAACGCCTTTGCGGTCGTCTTCCTCGAAAGTTGATCAACGGTCACCAGCGCTATTTCCGCACCTGTTCAGACCGGGACCGTTGTCTCAGCAGATTCGAAACAAACCGCCAACCAAACAAACCCTGACATCAAACAAACCCTAATTTCATAACACGCCCTAGCCTTACAGACCAACTCAAGGGTATAGGAAGATTGCGTTCGGCGCGGGACAGGGTAGAGGTTAGAGCGACTGATGAAACTACGCCTTTTGGTCCCACGCGGCGGCCCGCTGACGTCAATCCGCCTTCCACTTATTGATAGACTCCTTGCACTTATACCGGCAAAATAGTCTTACGCAGATGCTGCAAGTTGATCTGCCCATTTGAAGGGTGAAAACTCAAAACAACGACGTCAGCAGGAGCCAAGAAGTAACAAAAGAACTGCTAGGTTTCAAGATCAGAAGGAACGACAACTCTACCTCGCCTTTTAGTCAAGCGGAAACCGATCTCCAGTTTATTGCAGGCACGCGGAAACTTCAGAATCGTGCATATGATTGAAAGTATCATACAGATATCCCGAAGAGTGTTGGGTAGAAGATCTGTACGGCTTCCTAGGGGAGCTCCATCTTTAGGCCGTACCTGTTTCGTCCTTTACTTTCTGCGCAACGTGCTCGATGTGTCCTTTCTGGGAGTCTGACATCACGCTTGCGTCATCCACCACCCAGCCCCCATGGCTGGTCCTCGGGTTGGGCACGTCGAACACGCTGGCGTACTCAACGAAAGCCAAGGGCCACAGCGGAACAGCGGACTGAGCGGATCTGCGGAACGGAATTGGTCTTTGCTCAACGTTTTCGATGGACCTGAGACTCGGATCAAAAGTGTGCATCTGTGGAAGCGGAAGTAATAACGCCTTAATAACTCTTTGGGGGGCTATGCGGTTTCTTCAGTCCCGTCGAAAAATGGCACGGTATCCTGAGGAACAAGTGGAAGTCCTACATTGCGAGGAAGGGTTAGAACCCCTTCCTCGCGGCACCAATCATCGCTTGCTTAAAGCGCAGATTGCAGGGTCCACGTGATTTTTCAGCTATTCAGCTATGGGCAGCTCTTTGCAGAAGCTTAATTGAGAGTTTTTTGCACTGAATTGACCGCATCCTACCTCACGCCCAAGCTGTGACTGGGGGGTCGAAGTGGACCGCTGAGGACGGTCACCGGAGCAGCTCCGGCTGCCGCCGGGCTGACGAAAGCCATACCGGAGGCTGACGTCAGAAACACCAGGGCCGTGCAGACCAGAGTCCTTAGAAGAGGCTGCAGGGGGGCGTCGAAAGCTGCCCTCGTGGCGGCCAGGCAAGCGCTCGATTGGGTCTGGAGAAGTGCCAATTCAGCAGCGACTCTGTCAACGTCTTTCGTTGAATACGATCTGGAGGGGAAAAAAGAGCCTTGTACGTCGAATATGTTCACAGGTGGAATGGATTGACAAGGTCAGGAAAGCTTTCTCAACGAGCAGAGAGTCCGGAGAGCCCTGAACACGTTCTGAAGCAGGGGGCTCGAGTATGCCATTGAGAGTCAACGTTGGAAGAAGGATCACATTCTTATTCACCTGAATCTCGAACCTGCCTTGGCAGCCTCAAGTACGTGGGTCTTTCCTGATTATCTTCAACTTGTGATCCTTCCATCCTCACATATGAATCTGATGTGGCATAATGAAATAGTGTCATCTGTTTTGAAGAAGCCTTACGCAATAGAGAGGATTTAGGACAGTCTTGATTCAATTAAAGTCGATGTTGTCTTTGTGTCCAGGAATTCCGATTAAAGAAGCTGTTGTACACTGCAATCAAAAAGCAACATGTTCTCAAGAAGCGATCACTCCGTAGACTGAAATTCCAAATCACGGAGAGTGAGACTCCTTCTGTTCCTCTTCACCTTGCATTGCCGGCAGCTGCAACTAGTGCAAGCTGCTCGTCAAACGGCTGCCGGAGAGGTTCAGACTTGGAGCTTCTCATGCTGATGTCACTCCTTGCTTTCTGCAACTTTGATGCGCATTGTCCTGCTGACGTCACCTCCCTGTGCTGCCAGCGTGTAGACTGCATACGATTCCGGGCATCACTGACGCCTTTCTGACGCAACATTCCTAAGACCTGAGACTGCCTACTGATCAGGCGCAGAGTCTTCAACACGGGTCTGGCGGGTCCCCCAAATACGCCATCAGGCTTCACGACGGGCCGCAGAATGCCGGTCGCAGGGCGTACAGCTGCGGAAGCTTGCAGCGAACCCATATCGCCGCTCCAGCGTCTCTGAGCCGCTTCCTCAAATCTCACGCTTTGCCAGGACTTCCTGTTACCGATACTTTCTTAGAAATTAGACGTACTATAGGACGCGTATTACGGCTGTCGAGGGTACGTTCCGAGCGCGGGTGCCCCGGCCGCTTCAGGTTTCGGGGTTTCGGTCGATGTAGGGTCACGGTCCAGACTTCGGAGTCAACGTTCTTGAATTATCGCGGGCCGGCCGCGCGCTGCCGCATGCCGCCGCGGCCAGTGGCGGGCGCGGCCCGGCCGCGGGCCGACCGCGGCTGTATGGCGCTTCATGCGCTCGTACTACGTCCAGTGTGGAGTCTGCAGTACGTCCGACCACTGATTGACTGGCTGCGGCTCAAAAGCTCGCGATCGACGGTGTAGCTGATAAAAGCTTGAAGCAAGGCAACTCTATTGCACGGCGGCACCAGCAAATTGGCGCACGACAGATTCGCGGTGCTCCGCCGAGTTCGTTTGCATCCCTGTCAGCTAGGTCAAGCGGCGACTATGATTATAGCAACGGCACGCCATACGACAGCATGATGTTCACACAATATATTCACGCATTACGGAGGGCCGTGATGCAGCGCCACAAGAATATTCCTTTTTTTAACCGGCGAAGCGGCAAAACTCCCTGCTTAAGATTTGCAGCACGGCCCTCCTGATCCGGCAGGGCTCTTTGAGAAATTGAAGTCGCTAGTTCCATGGTGCGGATCAGAAAGACGGAATTCAAATCGACACTGACAAAATCAAAATCCGCCAGGAAAGCCTTCAGTGCTCTAGTCGCACAGCTTTCGAAAGCTCAGCATAAAGTCCCGGTTTTTCTGGTTTTTGGAACTTCTACGTGAACCTTTTTCAAGAATGAAGTACTACACAACCTGACTTTCAGATTATAGCACAAAGCAAGGACCTGAATTCGAAGCACACAAAACAACACTGACTCTCAACATGATGGCATCGGACGTGTTCTGATCATTGATCGTGCACCTTCACTGGGGCGCACCCGCTGTCATGGCTCAGAAATCGGAGCCGCATCCGCCGCCGTCTGACGACCCGCCGCCATAGTCGGAGCTGCTGTAACTAGAGTCGCTAGAGCTACTGCTGCTGGAGCTCGATCCCGAGCTCCCACTCCGATACGAGCCGCCGACGTAATAGTCGTCATCATCATACGAGGTCGACCTCGTATACGACCTGCTTCCACTTCCGGTGCTTCCGCTTTTTCCGCCGCTGCTTCCTTTGACGCTAGCAGACGACTCCTTGCGTTGCTTGCGTTCACGTCGCCAGTTCTGGTAAGCACGAAAAGCAGCGAGACTCGCCAAGGGCCCGAGAAAGAGGCCAAGCCAGACGAATGTATCAGACATATCTGCAGAAGAAGCGGTATATATAAGCCACAGAGATTGAAAACGCGCTGACGCGGAATATTTTACAGTAAGTTCTGCTTTTAGTGGTCGAAGTGGTGCACTTAACACTGATACAAGAAAAGACCCAGCTTTTGAGGTGGATGGGTTCTAAGGCAAGAGCGAAAACAAACGGTAGGATTTGGTCTGATAGCACGAACAGTCTGCGCGCGCACGACTCCTGCCTTTCTAATTTGGAGCTTATCCAGAGAGTATCCGTAGATACTCCCGTATTCAATACTCTCACACTGTAAGTTTGACATTCTAGAGCCTTAGGGGACTCACAAGGGACTTGTCCTGGCAGCATGCCCTCACTGTCCAGTCTTCCTGCTCGGAAGTTTGCCATTATACTGGAAAAATTCTACCGTGTCGCAAGCTAAGGAAAAGGGTCTCGGATGCCCCTGACAACTCCGCTCAGTTTCCGTTCCCTGTGAATAGATCAGTGTTGGTTAAGGACAAGAAATGAAAGTGGCAGGTCAATGCACATAAGAACTGGATGGGCCAGTGAGTCGACCTGCCTTTAGCCGCTTCCGCACTGGGCGCTGCCGGCTCCGTCTCGACCGCCCTCAGTTTGTCCCCGAGCGCGTCCACTCCCGCGACAAGGCCTCCCCCGAAGTCGTTCTTCTTCAGCAACGGCACCATGCTTTGCTTCTGCATGCCCTTGAGCCAGGAGGCCTTGTTGAAGGGCGCGTTGAGGCCCCGCCCGATCTCGATCTCCAGCCTACGCGAGATGATCGATACCGTTTGTCAAAACCCAGGTCTTTTGTGCCAGTGAACGAGTACTGGTAAGCGGGGTAGAATGAGATTTGGGGCACACTCCGCTGTTTTGCAGTAGGATTCTCTTCCGCTCTCCGAAATTTGACCTTGGAACAAACTTGTTCCGTTCAAGCACGCTTTTCAAGGACAATGAAAACCGGCAATTTGAGCAACACGGGGAGTCATTGCGGCTTCTGCGTCTGGTGGAGATAGTTACAAGGGCAAGACTGGCGACTTGGATGCGACACAGTAAGAAATACTCACCGCCTCTGCTCCTTGACGAGCAAGACCAAGACTCCGTTGTTCTTCTCTTGGTCGCCGATGCCCCACGTGTTGAAAAGCTCTGTGGCGAACGCCTTCGGGGTCGTCATCCTCGAAAGCTGATCAACGGTCACCACCGTTATTTCAGCACCTGTTGAGTAGAGACCTTGTTTTCGCAAAGGTTGTGGGACGGGTTGCGTTCGGCTAAGGGCAGCGAGATAGTTGCAGCCTGAACTGAACGCACCCAGGCTACTTGGCTTCAGATTGCCGATTTTCGGCATGCAGGGTCAGTAATTTGATGACCTAGTTTGGAAGAAAAATAAGTAACGTGAGGAGGCAGTGAGTTCAATGCTAAGCAGTGAGTTCATAGTCTCCTTTATTGTTGGCTTTCCAAAGTGATAAAGAATTATGGTCGACAGTGTAATGACTCATTCGAGGTGGAAAAAGGCTTCTGGGATGAGGCAAGGACGCGGCCAGGTTCAGAACTTGAAACCCATTTAGATCATGACAAGATCGAAGAATGGGGAAAAGGCTTATTTTTGTCCTACTTTCCAGCATTTCCGCTTGGCGGCGTACCTGTTTCGTCCTTCAGTTTCTGCGCAACCCGCTCGATGTGTTCTTTCTGGGAGTCTGACATCACGCTTGCGCCATCCACCACCCAGCCCCCATGGTCTGTCCTCGGGTTTGGGACGTCGGACACGCTGGCGTACTCAACGAAAGCCAAGCGCCACAGCGGAACGGCGGACTGAGCGGACCTGCGGAACAAAAATGGTCGTTACTTAACTTTTTATGGCGCTGAAAATCCATACCCTTTTGTCAGACTGAGGCTTGCGGTCTGCGGACGCGAAAGTGGTTACCCCATAAATTCTCAGGCCGTTGTTACTTCGAAACCGTCCCGTTAAAGCTTCCCGGATAGCGTTTCTGTTCCAGAACTTGTCCTCGCAGCACCAAACATCGCTTGAAAGAATAGATCATAAGGTTCTCGTTGATTTTCAGCGTTTGGCAGCTCTCCGAAGCTTTAGAATCAATATTTTGCAGTGGATTACCTCATGCCCAAGTCGTAACTGGTGGCTTGGTTTGTACCGCTGACAACGGTCATGGGAGCAGCTCCTGCTGCCGCTGGGCTGACGAAAGCCAGGCTGGATGCTGACGTCAGAAGCACCAGGGCCGAGCAAACCAGATTCCTCAGCAGCGGCTGTAGGCCGGCGTCGAAAGCAGCCCTCTCGGCGGCCAGGCAAGCGCTGGCTCTTGTTTGGAAGTTTGTTGTCGAACGCGATCTGGGAAACAGAAAATAGAGACAAGTCCATCAGAGATCAACACAAGTAGGATTATCGGCTTGGAGGAGCAGGAAGTCCTGAAGTTAGAATGCACGAGCATTATGTCGCCGGTTGAACGTGGAAATACGCCACCATCTAACCCTGAGCTGTTTCCGAACTCGTATTGCCAGCAAGGTTTTCCTACCTAGTGATGCTTGACATCTAAGGCAAGGAATAAAATAAGCACTCAATCTATCAGTGTCAGATTTGCAACCCGGCAATGAGAGATCAACCATTCTCCAAAATGCCCTGTCCACTCCAATACCCCTTCAGGGGAACTAAAATTTTGACTTATTCTGAGCCGAGGATTTTCATTGTGTCAAGCAACTCTTCGAGAAATAGCGAAGTGCTGCAATCATGTATAGAGAGGCTCAATCATATACCTAGGCTTTCTTTACTTAGGCGAATTGATGCTTCTGCAACTTCAAAGATTCGAACACGGAGACCTGGTCTCCTTTGCTCCTCTTCACCTTGCTTTGGTACTGCAAGCTTCCGGTGCAAGCTGTTCTTCTGACGGCTGATGGAGGGTTTCCAGTTTGGAACTCTTCAATCTGACGTCATTCCTTGCTTTATGCAGCTTGGAATATTGGCCTGCTGACTCAGTAAACTCTCTTTGCTGCCAGCCTGCAATCTGCACAAGTTTGTGAACTCCACTGACGCCTTTCCGATGCAACATGCAAAATACGCTCCCAGGCTCACAATGAGACTGCCTACTTAGCAGGCGCAGCGTCTTTAGCATCGGTCTGACTGGTTCTGCAGACCTCCCATTTGTGCATGGCTTCACGGCAGCTCGTGGGATGCTCGCCGCAGGACGTAAAGTTGCAGAAGCTTGCAGAGAACCCATGCTGACGCTAAAGCCTGTTTGCGCTGCGGCAGCTTCCGTAGGAAAGCTGTGTGTCTATTTAAGTTTTGTTGGTGCCACCATGCCAGTGGCAGCAGGTGCGTCTTAGACAGATGTGGGGTACGTACCGGCCGAGCTATTGCGCGGCAACCGCGGCCGCCCGCGCTATCAGCGCGGCAGGTTTCGAGGGGGTTTCTAGTTATCATCGCGCGACTCAACGAAAACCCGCGCGCCGTACCGACCGGCCCGGGCCGCGACATCATTGCGGCCGCGACTCATGCCGGCAGTGCGGCCGCTGAACGAGTGCGCCTGATATTCTGCGGGTCGTCTTTCCTTCTTGTGCGTCAGACTCGAAGGCTCCCCAGCCTGCGCTTGTAACCTTCCTCTAGGTCCTGTGAACATGATCTGCCCAGAATGTGGATCTGGCAGTCCCGTCGAATCTTCTTCCGAGTAGCCGCACAATCAGCACAATAAGTAGAAAAGTGGACAAAACTCAGCCTATCTTCTGGAGTCTCTTTAGAAAACCGAAATTTCCTTGTCTTTGATCCAAGAGAAAGGTTCTGGTGTCCGGACAAGTAGTAGAAGAGGGTGATATTCAAGTGCATCCAAGTGCGAGAATCAGCATACTAAACTTGTGCAGCTTTATGTATAGCAAACTTGTTGTACTCAGCGAACCGGGAGCAAACCAGGCACGTTCTACATGGTACCGACCGCATGCCGTTCCAGCGGTTACACTTTCACGTCGTAATGGACTCTGCAAGCGGCCGGCTAATCAAGGCCGTTGGACTGCGAAGCTGGTCTCTTGAAACCTCCTTCGAGCTGACTCGAGCATATGTCTGGACGCGTCCGAGGCTCACGACTCACGAGCAGGTCAAGATTGATGTCCAATCATTGGGGGCCTCGTGCGCACCGCCCGGGAAGGGCGACTCTGGCGACCTTTTTGGCCGGTGCGCCGGCTCAACTGTCGCCGCGCTCCCTATCTCCGCCTTCTGCGAGGAACTGCTCGGACAGGTTCATGATGCAGAAAGGACATGGTGCTCCGAAAATTCTCACAGCGTGTGTGACGGTTGGAAAAGACATACCTGCAATTACGAGACTGCGCATCACACGCGAGCTAGCTTCTGCCGGAGGTACGTGCATGGCGAAAGGCCCGCCACATTTGCCACCTTCCAACAATAAAAGTATTGAGTTCCTTCTCTAGTCATGAGACTGTACAAAAAGATGGCAAAGTCTTCTTCGACAGCTGTATCATTCGTGACTGAGTGCAATACACTGATGCCCTTCTCCATTTTCCGCTGCGCGCTTGAGCAGCAAGTCCTTCCGCTCGACAGCTTCCCCTTGATTTCCTAGAATCAGGAGAATCCACGCTCTTGATTTCCAGCGCTCTCCCTCCAAGTAATATTTCCACAGTTTCTGTTGCTCATGCACAAGATGGCTGCTCTAAGTGGACGCTCAGCGTGCTTCACGCTCCTCTCGATGACCCTCCAGCTGGCGGCCACCCAGTTTCTCTCGTCTGGCGCTAGCTCAAAACCGCCCAATAGGACGCGCTCGGCAAGTGCTCCCTCTTCGGAGAGGCGCAGCGGTCTGGGTACGGCGGTCCCACCCAGAGACACTCCAGCCTGGGACCCATCTAGCAGCCCGGAGTCACCCCGACAGGGCACCCGGTTCCTGTGCGAGGAAATCCGAAACTGCTTTGCTGGCTTGGGTAAGGAAAATCACTCTGAGGTGCTCTTAGATCTGAACATCGCTTCTCAAAGTAGGAGAGGGCTCGAAAGTCCTTCGGAACTGTAAGCCTTCTGTACTCGGCCGTGCCCATCAGTTGATGGCAAGAAGACTACAGAAATTCACAGAAAAGATGGGTAAAACCTGAGATGCTTCAGAAGCTATGCTGATCTGCAAAGCACTTCAAATCCACAACTGCAGGAGCAGCGGATTTGTCAAATACATGCATCCTGACCGCTGCGCTACTGATCATAAGCCTCAAACGTTCTTCGGTTCCGACGCGAGTTCATCTAAGAACGATACTCCTGCCCCTACAAGAACAGAGGAATCTCACGTAGCGCGTGATTGTGCAGTAGACTTACATTTGCTGGAGGGGCCCAGATCGCTGCGCCTCTCAAAACAGCGGGCACTTGCCGAGTGCGTCCTGGTACTGTGCAACACTGAAGCTGGCCCCGGACGGGAGAGACTGGGTCCCCGCAAGCCGGGATGTAATGAACAATAAGGTTACGAACGCGATCCACGCAGAGCGCCAAAATAGAGCAGCCATCCCCAGCGACGAGCTGCGTAGGCTGTCTATTTGGTCGAAGGGAGGTCTGGACTCGCATTACCAGGACGATAAGGGCCTTGCTGTACGCACGAAGAGCAGGATCACGAACCGCAAAAGAATTGTGTATTTCAGCAGCTGTGGGGAGGGGCAAATACGGCTATCTTTCGGCGTATACCCCCTGTTCTCCCTTGCCCAAACTTCGCAGGCCAAGATGTCGCCCGACTCGCCCTTCCGGGCGGCATGTCCGGCGCTCTTCTGCGCGCACGAGGTGGCCAATGATTGAGCATCGTTATCGACGTAATTATCGACGTCTTAAGACGCGCAAATACGTCATGCTCGAGTCAGTTCGAAGCAGGCTTTGAGAAATGAGCACCTTTTACCAGCCTCACGAGGTGATTCCAGGCACTCTCAAATTGAACCTACTATAACTGCATATCATTCGCCGTTGAGATTCTGGGATTGTGAATCGCATTGCATCGCAAAGCATATCTCTTCGATTCATCGTTGTCCGTTTGTTTCCACTCGGTGGATTTGAAAGAATTACGGTCTCCAGCTAATCGAGATAGGAGTAGAGACCTTGCAGCTCTGTATTGTAACGTGGAACGTGACGGCGGGGTCACGAGTACCGGTCTACAATTCCGTGAACCAGGTCAACTGGAACAATCGATTCCATCTGCTGGAGTTTCCTGAAAACAATCTTTCCAGGTGGAGGAGTGTCAGTGCATTCAAGATCGGGCCCGCTCGTCCCTGGTCGGACGGATGAGATCCAAAGTGAAGAGCGCGAAGTCTGTTTTCCGGCCTTGGAAACGCCGGGCAGCTTTACCCAGCTTCCCAGGAAACCGTCAAGGAGCTTCCAATCGTGACGTCAGCGAACTTTGTGACGAATCGGACCCAGCAGCGGCCGTCGTCCGTTTGGCATCGCAGTTGTCTTTTGTATCGCTCGTTTCGTGTCAGACTTGATTTTCAGACAATATCGTCAAAATGATGAATTGTGCACTTCAAACAGAGTGGATAATACATGCCCTTGATGGTTCGGAAACCATCTGCCAGGGATAAGCGGTCGTTCAGATATGGAGGGTTGTGATAGAAGCTTTGAAAGAAATTATTTTACAAAGGTTATATTTCCTGGCCAGTAGATGGAATTTTGTAAGTGCACACTACCAGTGAATGCCGATATAGACGGTGGCTACTGATTGACAGCGTCATTTGTAAAGCACGTAACTCTGTATGTAAGGAATTCATGTGACGCGAAGCTTCACTTTTGTGTCAGTTGAACAGTTGAAAATTCAGCGAGGCCAATCCCGTAATCCCGTATCCACCATCAATGGAACAATGGAAGATACATGAACCAATGAAAATGTCGATGGACTGATTGGTTTTGTAGAAGAGGGAAAAGACAAGCATCCAAATGGTCCGTCACGTGATTCTGATTTCACAATCAGAATTGTGAGTTCGAATCGCTACATGTCTACTTTCAACTGGTCTGGTCTATTTGAACGGATCTGAGTTCGCAGTAGCTCGTAGCCGGGCTTCCCCACGCAGCTCCCAGGGGGATCCCTCCGCCACTCTCTATCCGAACGGACTCTCTCAGACAGCCGCGTGGTCCGGCTCCGCTCCGCAGCCCCCAGAGGGATCCCTCCCGCCACTCAATGGCAAGCGGCCACGTCACCCGGAGCTGCGGGGCACGTCCCGGAGCAGCACACCGACTGGGTGCCGGAGCGGTTGAAGCACTGGTGAGGCTTACTAGAGAGGGGGTCGCAGATCCGGGTTGGGTTGAAAATCGGGTTAGGATCGAGGGTGTAGGTTCCCTTGGGAAGGATGGAGGTTTGCTTGGGAAGGACGACCGGGACGCGAGGGTTAGGGTCAACGCGGAGAGTGCCTTGCGGCACGTTGCCGAAGAGTGTGCCGCACATGGCCTCCGGACCTGGTGTTGGGCACTGCGGAAAGAAGCAAGAGAACGATCAGACCATGGATGGTTGTGGGCTGATTGAAAAGTGCTTATATCCAGACTTGGGCGATAACCAGCCCTGGAAAAAGGTAACAACCCGGTTACTTTTCAAATAACCGACGACTCGAGTCTGGTAATAGGCCCGGTTAGCAGCCAGGATCCCCCGTGAAGGCGGCGCAGTGACACTTTGTGGTCCAAGATCGCTGGCTTGAGAAGTGGTATAGACCGAGACACTTACCAGATGGTTAGAGAAATATCCTGTTGAAACTAGGCCAATTTTCGTACGACCCTTGTAGAGATCTCCCTCTCAGAAAGCGGAGGCGAAGCAAATCGAGCGTAAACTTCACAGCCGCCCTCCTTTTGGGGGCTTTGCTGAGCTACAAGGTCTTCCAAACCAGACTCAGCAACGAAGGGGCACTGAGCGAGACTGGGACGTCCGGTTAAAAGCTAGAAAGTGCACTGAGATTTGAAGAAAAGGGAAACTACGAAGCTTTCAGGTCTCAAGCGTCGAGCAACGAGATTAGTTGTTGAAAGACTTGCACTAATGTTGGCGGATCACGCTGAAAGGATTTTCGGGATTGTTATGAGCTCAAGATGCTCACGACAGTGGCCGATCCGCAGCAGACGAACTTGCTCTGGTCGTTATTGAAGCACGGGGCCGGTTTGGCACTGAGCAGATCGCAGAGGGGACCGCATTCGGCCTCGCCAAAGACGGAAAAGGTGCACTGCGCAGAGTGAGACACGTGTCAGCCCACAAGGCCAAGATGATAGGGTATACTTGCGCGCGTGCAGAGGGGACAGCATTCAATCGTCGACTTGCTCCGTGAGTGATACACGTGTCAGCAGATGGGCATGCGGATCGACGAGGAAGTCGCTGTTCAGCCGCGAAACGAAGCAGGGCAGGATCAAACCTCGTTTAGTTCCTCACATTTTAAGAGCAAACAACGTAATCTTGGACGTCCCTTGATCTATTTTTCAATTTGCAAAACGCGGAGCCCGCGTAATAATCTGAAGGAGAAGGCTAGATAAGAAAGCTAGGAGCAATTGTGAATTCAACTGCAAGATGTTCATGCACGCAAACGGCCTTCATCAGCGCCTGTAACCAGAGTGCTTGATTTCAGTATACCGTCTCGTCCTATCTTCCACCCAACCCGACTATGTGGTACCTTTGTTTTCCAGGTTCGAGACGCCGGTAAGTTTCCTCTGAGGCATCAAACTTCCGGCGCCTCCTTTTGAGCGTCTAAGGGATAATATATCTCTGCGGATTTGAGGGACTCCCAGATTCGGCCAGGGCGCAAGCGCCAGGTCATGTTGCATAAGGTGACGTCAGCATGCGAAGCGGCATGAGGTCCCGGGAAAGACTTACGTATGGGCTCCGGCAGCACACGGGGTTCTGGCCCTCGGTGTCGTAGCACGTGTAAGGGTTGTCGGCCAGCTGGCAGAACTCCGTGGAGGTGCCAGTCTCCTCTGCAATGGTACGCCAAAGTCTGTTTAATGATTGATTAGTTACTTACTACAAAGCTCTTGTCTTTTTTGAAGATAGATTCCTGTAGTGCTCTCTCATTCGCAAGTTGGCGTTCGCTCGATGCGCCCATCTGGAGTCTACTATTCTGTGAAAAATTCGTGCGATCACGTACAAACGATTAAAGAAACCAGAAATCCTCGGCCAGAACATCCAGAGAGGCGACACGTTCCAATCCAGCTCATTTGTGCGGGCGTCTGATCTGATCAGCACTCTGACAGCCTCGGCCAGAGCACAACATTTGCAAAGAAGCTCACACCTCCTAAACCAAAACAAAACCGTTTCCACTGTTGGATCGCACTTCGACGACTTTGGACACAAAAGGGAAGTATAAAAGAGGATGAACACGCGCGGTCCAGCATATACGAAATCCTCATTTTGCCCAAATGGCGAGTCACCACGTAACATGATTCCCATAGCGTCACAACTTCAGCTGAATGCGAAGACGTCACGATGACGTGGGAAACTCACGCAAGAGCCGCCTCGCCCCTGAGCTGGTGACGCTCAGCAGCAGCAGGAGGACTGCGGTACGGACCGCCATCGAAGCGACGCCCGCCATTGCTGATGTCAGCTGATGTACTTGGGTCGATTGACAGCTTTTGCAGGAGAGTTCGAGCTGTGCCTCTCAAGGGACCCGAAAAGTCACCCTTCGTACTGCTTTACTGGATGACCGAAAGCAGGCTGTTTGTCCAGATTCGGAGTGGAGAAAAATTGGAGGGTGGTTGTTTTGGGGCCTGAAAGGAGCACTGGGGAGCTTCTTCCCGGATTCGCTTGAGGAAATTTGGTCGAGGTGTGTGAATCTGAATGTGACAAAGGGAAGCGTATGGGCCGTCTTTATGGAACTGTAAAACACAGCATTGCGAGCCCCTCGAGGGTCACTCGAATTGCTGTGAGTCACTCATGTCAGCGAATTCAGTGAGCACCCAGTCAACTCATCAAGTATTGTTGAAAGTAGGTGCGGTATGCAGTCACAGTCCGACCAGTGCAATAGTACATGAGTGTGCCCCCAGTACTGGTAAACTGCAAGCCGGCCAGACGTCCACGGTTTCAGTTCGCCAACAGTATGATTGGAACACGTACTCAAGGTGCTCGACCCGTGCTCGACTAGATTCCGGATGGCCCCCGGCCGTCTGGGATGATTTGCAGCTGTTGATTATGCTTTCTTAGCAGACTTCTGTCTTCCAGAGTAACTTTATTAGCGGCCGTCTCAGGTGGCTATCACTGGCAGCGGCTGTATCTTTTGAGATACTGAGAGGGAGCGCGCTGCAACTTTCCAGTGGCCCGGTCACTGTCCTGCTAAAAGGAATGGGGCAGTTCCGGGTGCGTTTATGGCCCGGCAGCCTGCAGGGGGATCATCCTGAGTCACCGGCCCGGGAGTCGGGACCCGGGCGCTTCCCTCAATTGCGACAGGATCGGCTTGGGTTGGGCGACAGGTTAAAATGGACGGCTGCATTGAAACCGAGCACGCACTGCGCACGGAATGGGAAACTTGTTGCAACTGCATTATGGAGGGCCACCCGAGTACACAGTAATTTCTGGTTACTACAGCTTCTACCTAGTAGTACCGAGCAACCTGCCAGTTTTCGTGTCGACTAAATTAGACTAATTGCAGTCAGCAGCAGACTGACTAACTTGCACTAATACTCCCACTAAAACTGGCAGGATGGTCGGAAGAAGCTGTAGTTAGCAGCTAGGTTGATGACCATCCCACCAGGCCTAATCAGTCTTAGGTATTTATTGGACAACATCATACCGGGCTTCAACCTTGTTTCACCGCTAGACATCGCCCAAGTTTGGTTCTTGCAGGCCAGACATACTGTAACCTGTTCAAACATCCCGAAATAACCTCACATTGACATCGATCTTTTAGGGGCCATAAACTATTGTGGGTCATTCTCCATTATGAAGCTCTTTCTTACCACACTCGGCCCCTTGCGCGTAAGCACGTCTGTGCCAAAAGATCAGCGCCTCGATTTCTGCAAGCCAACCTGCATATGCTTGTGAATGCAGTGCTGGTTCTGAAGCAAGAAATGTAATCATGAATCATGTTAGAGATATGCCAGCACATCGGTCCTCTGAGCGGCGGAAGGTTCCAAAGCTAGGCTGCTCGTATCGGAAACATCGGAGATGGAAAGCCCAAAAGTTTGACAGCTTTCCGGCGCTTGGACGTACACGCTGGGTCCTGAGGTTTCATTTGACCTATAATTTAGGCGCGGTCGACGAGCTTTGAACTGCACGAGAGTTCTCTAAATCATCCAAAGCCACTACTGGCCCCTTTCCATTGACATTTCATCCTGTTCCTTCTCTCGCTCGTTTGGATAGGGCTCTTCATGAAGATCAGGCTTCAAGCTTATTGACTTGCAGAGCAACTTAGAGCGAGCTACTTCGCCTTGAATCGAAGGTTGATTGACATACAACAATTTGGGAGGGATTGCCGAGGTGAATTGCCGAAGGCATCCGATCAAAGCGTCCGAGCAGGAAAACCAGCAGTAGTCGGAAGGCGCATTTTTACTCAAAACGCCGTTAGTCCGTCTGAAATGTGGTTTCATCTGGCCACGAGGTGTCAAGTGAGCACAGCGTAACCGGCGGCCATTCTCGTTGATCCAAGGGTTAGGGCAGCATCATCCAGCATTGCTAAAGAGCACACTGTGGCTGCATGTGAAGGTGAATGTTAAAAGACCATCAAGCCGTGTTTCTCATGAATGAAGAAAAGTTCCTAATCTAGGAGCCCCTGGAATGCGCCGATGAATTGATTTCCAATTGATATGTCCATAGAATTGTGATATGTACTGCCTTGCTCTAAGCTTTAAGAAATACTCGGAGACTCGTCGTCTAGAACTAACACGTATCTTTTTATGGAGTCCTTTTTGCCTATTTGTACGCTTTTTGACTAGCCAGACATTCCTAATCTGTGAGAAGCGCGCGGACATTTATATTATTGTCATCATAGGGACGCAGCAAAGGTTCGCAAAGCCGGCCACATTCGTACATCATCATATCCAGAGCTCATACAAGATTGACGGACGCACGCGGCGCACACAATGCGTCGTGGTAAGGAGAAGCTTCTGGCGGTTTGTAGAATGAGACAAGCATCAATTCATCCAGTATGATTCACGAGGGGGTGCATCTGAGTTGCCACTTCCCCTCTCGCTGGTCGCTACTGAAGCAACTATGTAGACCCAAGCGGAAAATAAATACTCTCAAATCTGTCCAGCTCGATCATGAACTAGATTCTGCGAAGCTATGCCGCTATAGAAATAGCATCATATAGGCAAACTCTACGTATGGATGTGATTTCGACCAATACTTCTGCACAAAGGAAGTTCTTTTGACATTTCCCCTTCTGACATTTCGGAGGGAGATGTCTAACGAAAATCTGACGCTTCTAGGGTTTCGTTACGTGGCAGAAGTGTATCTTTTGGCAGGAACGGCACACCTCCCGGCACAGTCTACCGGCCACTCTCGAAGACGGTCCTCAAGTGCCACGCCACGGCTCTCGCGCCTTCGGGGCATCTTACCGACCGCTTACATGCCCTGGATGGCCGCGCCGGCCGATTCCGCTACGGGGGGATCCCTCCGGCCACTGCCCCGCGCAAACGCGGCCACGTCACCCGCAGTCTCACGCGCAGGCGGGCAGGTCACCCGGGTCCGCGGCGCAGGCCTCGGGGCAACACTTCGATGCGTCAAGGTTGCGGTTAAAGCACTGGTTAGGCTGACCCGAGCTGGGGTCGCAGGCCGGGGTTGGGTTAGGTTCGAGGAGTTGGGTGTGCAATGGAGCGAGGGTCATAGTATGGGTGTGTACTGGAGCAAGGGTTTGGGTATGGAGTGTCTTTACTGGGATACTAAAGCACGTGGGCTCTGGACCGGGGTTCGCTGGGCACTGCGGAGAATACAAGATGGTTTGACGGGTTAAGCATAGTTGGTTACGCGCTCGTTAGCAGCTGGTTCTACGTCCAAATGACCAAAGTCGAGCAGGAACCAGACAAAAGTCTGGTTACCGAGCCTGATTAGCATTCGAACCTTTCTGAGAAAGTAACAGGCGCCAACGCAATTCTTCGGACCAGCAAGACAAGGAGACCCGCTTGCGCGCAAAGACATCAGGAAGACAACGTCAATCTCAGGCGATGACGCATGGAGATTGAGTGAACATTTATTCATTGAACCTGCTGTTCGCTTTGCGACACCCAAAGAAAACTACTTTCGATTGAGCACGGCCTTTTGGAAAGTACGGGAGCTGCTCTTGGGTAAGAACTTAAGAGGGGCAGAGGTTAAGAGCTTTCAGATCAGTCCCGGCGCGACTCAAACCCTGTGAACTCTTATTGGCGATCTCCCTCTCAAAACGAAAACGAAGCAGACTTCATGGATCTCACAGCCGCCATTTCCTTTGGGAGCTTTACAAACAAAAAAAGGGTCACAGTCAAACTCGGCCACAAACGGAGACTAAGCGAGGCCGGGCCGAAAGAAAGAAAGGCGAGCGAAAGGACGCTGGATCCAAAACTTAAAATGCTCACGGGATGAGCGAACGAGCAGCAGACAAACTTCGTTTTGTCATTATTGAAGCACGCTCCGGGTGCCCTACTGAGCGGATCGCAGAGGGGACCGCATTCGGCCCTGCCGTCGGGCGCCAATTGGCACTGCGCAGAGGGAGACACGTGTCAGCATGTGGCCATGCATGGAAGAGGAAGCTGCTGTCGAGGCGAGAGAATAGGCTCGGACCTAGTACATCCCTTCCTCTCCAAATGCGTTCATTCTTGTGGAGGCAACTGAGGGTGGTCTTTTGCAATAATTCTCTGCTTCGTGTTGTTGGGAATCTCCACTCATACAATGGACGCGGCTAAAAGGATGTGGCTAGATGAAAAAGGCCGACAAGCAGAACGGTCCGCGACAAAAAGTACAACGCAAGCAGAGAACCTTCATCTAGCCTGTACACAGAGTTTTGGGATTCAACCTCTAATCCGGCTCTAGCTTACACCCATAACTGTTTTCGGAAACTTTGGACTTTCCTTCGAACCTGGAGAATCGTCCACTTTCTTCAGCAATCGAAACTTTTGCAGTAGCTTCTGAGCGTCTGAAACATAACAACGTCTTACAGTCCGACAACTCGGAGATCCCGTGCTGCTGAATAAGCACCAGAGCAGGTTGCATAAGGTGATGTCAGCATGTAAAGGACTCATGACGTCGCATGACGGACTTACAAAGCGACTCTTGCAGCACACGGGGTTCCTGCCGTTTGCTTCGTAGCACGAGTACGGAGCCCCATACAGATCGCAAGGCTCCGCGTAGCTTCCAATATCTTCTGCAAAGGATACACGCCACGTTTTGGTCTACGTTTCTTCTCTGAATGACCCGGACTTTTGGTCTTTCATATTTGCTTTTCTGCATCCAATGCTTCCTCAATTGCTTGTCAGCCTTTTTCGCTCGGGCGCTCAGCCAGCATCGATCTACAAGGTGACTATGCGACTAGGCAAAACTGTCCGAAGTGTGAGGACATGCTAGTTCCGCATGTGGATGAGCTGATCTGAGAAACGAAAGTACTCTCTGCTGGCAATCTCACCCTTCTGAATCGAAAACTTCGTTTTCGGGGACAATCAAGTCATCCGGACTTTGATTGATCTCAAAGGGTGTTCTTAGTATCCAGTCTAGTTTCCCATTTGGTAATAATGACAAAGCAAGCTTCCTCCTCCGGAATCGCATTCCAGTGATGCATACCCTCACAGGCAAAGAGTCTCCAGGCGCAAGAACGTCATCATGACGTAGCAGACAGCTCACCTATGGGCCTCCTCGCCTCTGAGCAAGCCACGCCAAGCACCAGCAGGAGGACTGCGGTTCGGACCGCCATTGCTGACGTCAGCGGTACGTAGTAGGTCAAAGTGCAGGTCCTCTGTAGGAATTTCTAATTACGACAGCTCTTCTCACGTTGTTAAGGGCTGTTTCTTAGGACCGACCAGAAAGTGGCCCGTCAATCTGCTTCAAGATTTTATGGCCACCAAAGGGCAGGCTCTTTATGAAGAATGGGAGTAATGTAGTAATATACACTTGTCTTTCGAGGGTGTTGATTTAGGGGGCAACAACTTGAAGACTCTTTCTTTGGATGCGCTTGCTAATCTGTTGGTGGGGGGCATTTGGATCTTCAAGGAAAGCTTCAGCAGGTCTTTCAAAGTACTGTTGTTATGATGCGCGTTGCTTGACCTCAAGAGCGCTCAAAGTAACGGCGGATCAAACACCCAACCTGCGCACTGCCAGTCAGCTCCGAGTTGTCAATTCATGGTCAAGCCAAGTTCTCGCGCTCGATCGAGAGTTTTTAAGCTTATATAGCTACAAATTAGTGGTGCATGCAAGATGCTGTTAGGGTCCGCCCGCAGCTGTGTGCAGTGTGCCCCAAAACTACTGACCTAAGATGGTCCACAAGTCCACGCTTTCACTTCGCCAACAGATTGAGAACAGCAAATAATCAACGCGCTTTCAAAATGATCAGGCTCCGGATGGCCCCCGGCCTTCTGAGCTGAATTGTGGCAGCTTTTGACTGAAGCAAGTATTGCGAAGTTTGACTCTCGACTGTCCCAGGTGAGTCGGCGACTGAGGCGTTACAAGTTGCGTAGAGGGAGTGCGCTGACGTGAGTTCCAGTCCCCGGCCGGGCCTGCTAAGCGCGCGGGTGCGTCCGTTTGAGTGATATGCGACAAGTTCCCGGGGCGCACCGCCACTGAATTCAACAAACATCATAATAAGCCGAGATAATAAGAAGGTAACCGCACTGGGACGGTAGGGTTAGTTTGATAGTTAGGGTGGGTACGGGTGCGGAGCATCTGGGTTAGGGCTTAATCTGAGTATTAGTCGAAGCTTGCTATCGTCTTTCTTGAGATTTATCGCGCCGCACGATAAATAACAGTACGAGTTGAAACCGAGCGGAGCCGGGCCGGCGTCTAGTGGACTCTGCTGATCAGTCACGACCGTGGAAGTTGAAGATGTGGACACGGCTGCATTATTGGAACTGAGCACGCACTGATGATCGAAAGAGTCGGAAATCAGAAAGACTAAGTACCTATTGCGGTTGCGTCACAGGCCGGTCCCCCGAGGTCCGCTGCACATTGTCAAATTTCTCCCTCTTGCTTTCCAAAGGCCAGCCTGTCAGTGGAGAGGCACCTAATTATACCTGAGTCGATGACGGTGTGCAAGCTAATCTGCATGCAGAATGCTTTAGAATTTGAATCACACAGGACGTCTACTGGCAGATAGGACCGTACTGTTTGGTTCATGTAACGCCATGCAGGAGTTTGTGAAGCTGACTGCAAAGAACCGGAGGGGACTGAGAGGAGGCAGCGAGGGCGAACTTAGCCCGTGAATAGTAGCCCTTCAGACTTGCGTCGCTCTGCTAGCCTTCTCCCACTGCAGCAGAACTCACAATGTGTCAGAAAAGAAGCCCGGCAGTGCAGCTACAGCCAGGCCGGGTAAAACATCGGTAAACCAAGCCAACTACTAGTCACTTTCAAACTATGAGGAACCAGCCATCACAAATTGATCAAAACTGAGTGCCAGCTAGCACCTGCATGTATGGCAGCACCCGAGTTTCTATGCGGCTATCCGAGTCGCAGTAGCTCACTAAGGCAAAAAGGTAAGTGACCTGCAGTTTCAGGCTCGCCTCTGGATAGTCCATGCATGCACTCAGCTGCTTTTCTGTAATTGAAGAAGGGCACTAAACGTGAGGCTTCGCGTTGAGGTTTATAAGGTTACTTCAGCAGATTGCGATGCGTTATTTGGTGAAAGTCGTCCTTGAAAAATATTGTGGACATCGATTGCAGATGGGTGATACTTGAAGGCATTTCAGTATATAAAAAGAATCTTGACTACTTGACCTACGTACTCTTGTTGTCCGTATGCCGCTCTTGCCGCAGACGTATAACGGTTCACCGTCACGGATGAAGCACTAGAAATTCAACTTTGAAGCCACCCCGTTCCTTCTGTCCTATTGTTATCACTTCCACTTTCAGTCTAGCATTTGGTCCGTCGCTCCAGAACTCCTCCTTACGGTTGTCAACTCAAAATTCACAGTCAACAATAACCGTTCGTTGTCGGAACCAATTATAAAAACCCTCTCAACGTCCAAGCGCGATGGTTAAGACCCAAGCTACAATCTGTTCATTTCCATACGTGGGCTGCTACTGTCTAGTAAAAGAAGCCCTCGTTCTCGTATGTTTTGCCAGATCTGAAGTAGCTTACCCCAATTCTTCTGGTCGTATCTCAACACTGTGATTCTTACTGCCAATCACGGTGGGCCAGCTGCGTCTTGGAGACAGGTCTCTTCGTTCTGTGATCAAACCGAGCGAAAAGGCTCGGACTAATGCATTCGCTTTTACATTGCACGGCCCACATTTCACCCGCCCAGTCCGTTACAATTTAGGGATTACATAAGTTATCCAAGGTCGAGTGCAAATAGCAGGTGGGACAGACACCTCTCATACGTCCAGATGATCCGCCGGCGCCATCTCAACTTCCTCCGTAATCTCCCCACTCTCGTTCCTACTCCGCTCCCGACTCGACTCCGACACTACCAGCCCCGAGCTCAGGTCGCAGACGGGGCACGCGCGCGCGCCCCCTGCTAGCTCGCGCGTGCACTCTTTGCAGGCGACGTCGTGCTGGCAGGGCAGGTCGCTGGTCGCCGCGCGCGGCTTCGAGTGGCAGACGAGGCACAGGGGCTTGTCGCTGGAGGCTTTGGTGCGACCCAGAAGGCCTTCTTGGGACGTGGACGAGGACGCACCGGAATCGGGTTTTGAAGGGGACTGCAGGGAGAGAGTCTGCTGTGAGAATATGATGGGATGGAGACGATAGAGTGAGCGGTCTGATCCAATATTCAAGCTAGAAATTGCAGGGGATCTTTGCCTTTAGGCTGGATGGGAAGAAGTAGATGGAGCATCTATCTTTGAAGTTGATCTTTGGATCATAAGACAGGCAAGGGTCAGAAAAGAACACATAGTCAGCGGTGACGGTAAGTCGGATCCAGTTACAAGACTCCCGCAAGACGAACCAGTTGCTTGCCGCTCAATCATCCCCGTCCAAGTAAGACACCCCGAAAGCTGCCTCTAGTTTAGGAAACGGAATAATCCCATCCGTCTTACGAAAAACAAAGCCCAACGTTCTTCAAAGTTATGATCAACCACTCACGGAGTCGGTTAGGTCGATGACCACGTGCGGGGGGATCCCCTCGTCGTCCTCCGCGAGCGGCAGCAGCGTCTCGACGATGTCGCCCATCAGCGGCCGGTAGTCAGCCTCCGCCTGTACACACATGGCCGCGATCGCGGCGACCGTGCAGAGCGACTTGATAGGAAAGCGCCCGCCGAGCGCTGGGTCCGCCATCTCGAGGAGTTTGTCCTTGTTGCTTAGGTTGGGGCCCGCCTGGAGAGCGGAATCGGAACACGTGAGCGGAACGGCGAGATGACGTGCATACGACCAAAGTAAGTAATGCTTGAGGAGAAAATCTGCGGAGAGCTGAAGCGATGGAGATAGGCGATCCGCAAGACTCTGTCAACCAGCGGAAAAAACTGGCAGCAAAAAGACAACGTAAGCTACTTGAACGGAATTTGTCAAAGCGGTCAATAAACGTTCTTACGCATCTCTAGTCAATAACGTAAACAACAACGGACATTCACGGAGGCAGAATCTTTGACAGTAAACGAAGCAAGTATTCTGCAAGGGAGGGACTTCGACCACTATTCTCTGAGCACTCCCTCCCAAGCCGAAACGTGGGTTGTGAATTTTGTGATCACAACCGGTGCTTATACAGAAACAGCAATCCAATCAAAATTCTGGAAGATTTCGAACGGAAGATGCACCCGCCAACTCACCCACGACACCAGGCTCTGTTCTTTGGGCGGTCGCCGGATGTCAACCGGGCGCCGCCCGGTGATGAGCTCCAGGAGCACGACGCCGTAGCTGTACACGTCCGACTTCTCGGTCAAGTGCCCGGTCATCACGTACTCGGGGGCGACCTGCGAAGCGGCGCAGAGTGGGAGTGAGAGCAGAATTCGCGACCCGGGTCGCCCGCAAGATGAAACGAAGTGGATTGAAATTGACCGCTTCAAAAGAGAAGAGGCTCTGAGCGCAGATGCAGGAGTCAGACGAGGGAGTGGAAAGCGGGGACTCAATTCCTTGTGACAAACGAAGACAAGCCTCCTACTATCCGAGCAGATTGAGCTGCTTGCGGCCCCTGAAATGTTGACTGGCTATGTACAGGGTTTCAGAATCGTTTGATCAACTTACATATCCGAAGGTACCCAATACGCGCGTGCTGATGTCGTCGTTGTGATTGGGCGCCAGTTTGGCCAGCCCAAAATCGGCGACCTGCAAGAGCCCAAGAAGTCCGTTTACTAAACTGGCCTTTCAAATTGCGCTATGGGTTTACGAGATCTGAACTGCTTGACTACACTCTGAAATATGAAAGCGCCCCTAAACTCACATGAATTCAACGCGGCAACAATTGGGATGGAAAAAGGATGGTCAATCCATTCTGCATCATAACAAAGCCCTTCAAACCATCAAACTGATGCATAGCTAAGACCCCCACCTTGGCCTCCAGTTTCTCGTCCAGCAGGATGTTGGACGACTTGAAGTCCCGGTGGAAAACCCGGGCCTCGGTGCCCTCGTGCAAGTAATGGAGGCCGCGCGCGGACCCCAGGGCGATGCGCACGCGCGCGCGCCAGTCCAGAGGTTTCGGGCCGCGCCCTGCACAGAAAACGACAGCCGCTGTGAGATACACATGACGGAGGGAGATTCAGGAACCCCGGCCCTCGGATCAGCAGAGGGAGCCTGAAACACCTGATGAGGTCGGCGTAAGCTTTCCGCAGAAGGGAGCATCGATTTGTGAAAGCAACCCAATCCCACGAGGCACAATACCATTATCACTGCTGCTTCCGAGCCCAATTCCCACCCACCAAAAGACATTTCGGTTATTCTGGACCGAAATAGCTAATTTGCCCAGAATCCGACAGCCAAGTAATCTCGCGACAGGGCGAAAGGATCTCCACGGTACGTACCGTGCAAGTGGTCCTGGACGGATCCGTTGGGCATGAACTCATACGCGAGCAGCCGGTGGTCGCTGTCCGCGCAATAGCCTATGAGTTGCACCAAGTTCGGGTGGTACAGCCGGCTTAGCAAATCCACCTGCGCGCGCAGATTAAGCGATAAGATGCTTCAATGGCAGGTCTTTTCAAAAGATCTTTCAATCTCAAAGACACTCCATGACTGAGGCGCTGCTCGGGATGTCCAGGAATCTGACCCATGCGTTTGAAAGCATCCGTCTAACCCGTACGTCTGATTCAAACCAGCCTGGTTGCCTCAACTCGAACGGGCCGTCTGAGACGAACCCTGCAGGGACCATTCCGCAGACTTCGATGCCGCGAGCTACTTTTTGTATCAGGAGCCGTTTCACACCGCGCGCTCACCTCCACTCGGAACTCCTTGTCGCCCTGCTTCCCCTTGGGGTCCAGCTGCTTGACCGCGGCCACGCGGCCGCCCTCGAGCGCGGCGCGATAAACCCTGCCAAAACCCCCTTCTCCTAGGATGTTAGCCTTGGAGAAGTTGCCGGTCGCCAGCGCGAGGTCCTTGTACGTGAACACCTCGGCGGTCACGTGGCGCGTGCGCGCGGCCGCGAGCGCGAAGTGCATCGTCCGGCGCCAGACTGCAGCAGAAGTCATCTTTCAGATATCTGCGGACCGCATTCCTTTGCTCCTTGCCCATTCATCCATCTCGCATGTGGGAGTCCGCAAATGATTCTCGGTTCTGTCCTCTATATCCCTTCGTGATCTCGAGTCCAATTTGGGTCACGTAGGGTGGCAAAGAGGAGCAAAAAGCAACGTTTGCCATCCTTTTGAAAAGCAGGGAACAAGACAAAGAGTCCCCTAAGAGGCTATAAAATGGATACAGGCTCTCAAGCGTAAGGTCGCGTCCTTCCTGTCGAAGGCCATGCAGAACTTTTGTGCTCAATCAATTTTTCTCTTACCGTCGGGACTTATAGAGACCACAGCTTTGAAAGACTGAGTTTCTTAATTCGTATTGATACCTACGCAATGCAGTCTGAACCATGCTTGAAGGGCTCTCTAGGAAACTGCGACGCTTGAGAACCTACGTGGAGCCTGACACGTGAGCTTTGTGCAGATATTAAGAAGTGAATTGTATAACATTCGGAGGCTGGGGTAGGAGCGTCGAACTGAAGACACCTACCATCTTTTCCTTTCTGGGGGCTACTTACGGACCGGCCCCAACTGACGCAAAAGTTGCCTGCCAGCAAAGAGCGTTTGCGTCAAAGGCTTTCCGCTTAATCGTGCCATGCCGGTTCCCTTAAGCGATGGTTAGCTTGAGCGTGTCGCTGTCCGCTTGCTTCAGTGTATTGAAGAAAGTTTGCCTCTGTTCCCGGTCTCTTTCTAGCGGTATGCACAAACCTTGCGGAGAGCTTCCACTGTTCTGCCATCGACTCAATCTCAAGAGCCACTCCCGTGTGCATACACCCTATCGCTTTAGCCTCGCGGAGCCGACGACGTCTACGTCTACATCTTTCTCCCTGATCTCTGAAGGCAAGTATGAAGTTCGACCCTTCGACCATCCTTCAGCGACGCCCATTCCAACTTTTGTTCAGTCTGTGGTCCGAGCGCTTGCTACAACTGACCAACCTTTATACGATGGATAGTCCACCCATCGAAAGTTGAAGGTAGGGAATTCCCACCGTTCTTGTCGCGCTGAACCTTTTGGAAGCTCAGGCTCGGGTGCAGCCCCCTCCGCCGCACAACAAACACCGCGCCGGCTGTAGCCACCGCCAAAACGACCACCGCTGCAAGGACCCCACCCACGATGCTGCCCACTTTGGCCCCGCTGCTGGAAGACGTGCCGGGAGCGCTGGCGCCTACATTGAGAGGTAGAAAATTTGGTGTTGATAACTTGGCATCGATTGGCAGTGATCTTTACATATTGGCGTTACGTTGCCTTGTGCACAGATCAATCGAAGAACCCCTAACAATGGTTTCTTCTTAAGTGGCCCTGCTGCTGGAAGACGTGCTGGGGGCGCTGGCACCTGTTTGGGGGGGTAAGCATTCCGATTTTAGCAGTCGTTATTATGTTCGAGTTCCCGGATCTTAGCTCTTTGGCTTTCAGTAGCCCTGCGTGCGATCTCACTTAAAGAGGACTCCCGCGATGCTGCCCACTTTGGCCCCGCTACTGGAAGAAGTGCCGGGGGCGCTAGCACCTGTTCGAGGGGGTAAACATTTCGGATTTAGCAATCTTTAGTACTTGCATTCAGTGGATCTCAGCTCTTTGGCTTTCAGTAGCCTTGCGTGCAGTCTCGTCTGAGGAAGAACCACAATGCTACCCCCTTGGGTCTTGATGAAAGAAGACGGGCCGGGGGCACTGGCACCGAAAGCGGGGGTTAAAGAGGTTTCGGGTTTCGTAGACCTCAAAATATCGGCTTTCAATGACCTTAGACGCTTGGCTTTCAGAAGCCTTATGTCGAGAAACGCATCAGGATGTTCCCACTTTGACCCCATGACCCCACTGCTCGAAGACGTGCGAGGGGTCACTTGCGCCTACTAAGGCAAGAGGGGGAAAAAGAACTTGTGACGTGTGAGGACGAATGCGGGGAAATGCGAAGTCGTTACGAAGCGCTCTGCTTCTTCTGGGGCCACTGACACGTCCCAAAGACGACGGGGAACGTACTAGAAAATGGCTCAATACGAAGACGGCCAAGGCCGGTCTAAAATATTCTCAAAACTTTGGCAGGCGGCTAATCTCTTAACTTGCTACCTTTACTTTCAGAGGCGCCTTAGGCAGTGGACAGTACGTAAACCTTTTCCTGGTCTCACCAGACGGAGGTTTCACCTCGCCGAAGGCAGCCGTCACACGATTGGCAACGCGCCCACCATGTCAAGCTATGGAACACCTTTCTTGTAGCATTTTGTTGCAAAGACCGTCGGTTGAAGACGTTCTGACGGATCGAAATCTCCAGCAATTATGTCTCTCGGTCTACAACTCACCCACGCTTGTAGCGCTCCGCGCTGCTGCCCCCCCCACTGTCGACCCGTTCGCCTCGCCCAGAATGACCGTCGGCGCCGGTCCGGCCTGCGCAGGAACCAAAGCCGCGACGCCCTCCGGCCCGCTTATGGAAAACGACTGCAGCCCGATCGACGAACTGGGAAGCGCCAGCTGGCGCTGTTCGGACACGCCAGTCCCGCTGAGCTGGATGAACGTGCCTGGCTCCCAACCGTTGCCGGACGCGGCTTTCAGCCATAGGTTGTAGGCGCCGGGAGGGAAGCAGGCGGCGACGATGGTGGTGGAGTGATTTGTGTAGTTGCTTCCCTGGAGGGGGACGGGAAACGTCTTGATTCAGAGACGTGCAGCAAAGGAGCGAAGGAGAGTAGCAATGAACGCCTGCAAACATGAAAGATGAGACCTCGAAGGATTGTGAAGCTTGTTCGTAGTGGCAGCACTAACTCTGATGGATCCAAACTCGTAGTTTCAGTTCCGTATTCTACATCTCTTTAGAACAATCTTACCTTTCCTATATGATTCTTATAAACGAAGAATTGACAAAGGGACGAACGTTCGCTTGCCGCAGAACTTCATGCAAAGGGAATGCGTTTCAGCCCTGTGACAAACACGATAAATTGAGCCCAAAGGCTTGAAGGCTTTGCTTTTCTTAGAGGAAAATCATACCTGGAGGAGAACGTGCGTGGAAAAGGTTGCTGAAGTGATGGTCCACGACGCATCGGCTGCGCGTCCCTCTGCATGAAAGGTGATGGTAACAGGGACGCCGGTCGGGGAATCGGTACAGACGTCTGCAGCTGCAACACAATGATGGACCAACTTCAGTTTTTCCGCAAGTCTCACAAGGTTGTTTGGGCAATTTCCTGCTTTCCGCTTGATAGGGAAGTAAGTCGAAGGTAGTTGTTCCAACATGTTCCTCTAACTTGACTACCTGAGTTGTCTGACTTCTAGGTTTCCAACGTCTTCTGAACCTGGCAGCTCGCTCGGAAAGCGCTGTATTATGCCACAGGTGGGGTTGTGCAGCTCAAAGAACACACAGTGGGCCTCTTCTGCTTCAAAATTCAGCTTTTGGTCAGGCTAATCATGCTGAAAGTGAAGAGCCCTGTGCCCCAGCCCTGAAAGGCTGTTTGTGTAAGGGGGTGAGTCACAACGTCAGCATGGCCCGATGCGGACCATCGTGTGTCTAGTCACCTTCTGTGTTCCCTACCAGAATTACTGCTTGCAGGTAAATTCGTGGTCCCCATATTTTGAGGATGTCCCCTCTATGTCTCCCAGGCCCACTCACAGGAAAGAGACCAGAGCAATGGGCTGAGCAAGTCGTGTGCTTTACCACTCACTAAAAACAGCACTTGTCATGCGGACTTGCGTGACTATTGGGTATTATCAGTGGTCAAGCTGCTCAACGAGATTGGTCAGTGGCAAGTTCGCAAAAGGGCACTCGCTTCATGCAGAATGTGCCAGCTCTACCTTAGAGCCAAGTGGCAGGTTTTGCAGCTCACTGCTGATGCTCTTCTAGAAGCTGACGCTCCAGACTTTGGAAAACCTTAGAAAGCTATCATTTTGATGTTGTGATGTACAGCAGTAGCAGTTGAATCTAAGCAGGCAGGTACATATTTGACTTCATCTGTACACCTGATGCGAAGAACTCTCTTCGCATGAACCACAATCTCTTCCCTTGAGTACAGAGGAGCCTGACCAAAGTAATAATTATGAAAGGTACACTTCGAAGGTGAACCAAGAGTTCTCGCATTTTAGCCGCTAGTGTGGTTGACTGAGAAGAGCCCAGAACTCACCATTCTGACCCTGTGCTGCAGCTAGGAGCTGAGCAACGGCTGCAAAGAACGCGACCAAACCGAGCACTCGTTTACTGCCCTCCATGGCCGTGCCAAACCTGTCCTTCCTAAAGCTAAGCGCAGGCCGTGGAACGCACAAATCTAGCTACAAAATTGTCGTGCACCACCCATAAACGCTGAGCTGTCTTCCGGCACCCTCCTTGTCGATAGCTTGAACGTGAGCTCGCTGTGTCAACTTTCGAAGAGGTCACAGCAACAATGCGGGAGCTCGCTGCAGACTTATAACCACTAGTCAAAGTGAATTAGGTGCCGCACAATGCCATGCGTTTTCATTCAGACCAAGAAGGCCGATATTCCAGCAGAAGGTAAGAAACAACTCTTGGCCCCTTCCAAGCTGCAAGCTGCATGCAATGTAGGCCAGGCGTAAAGCTGTTGCGCTTTACTGGCAGAAAAGCAGCTTGTCCTTTGTCATAGTGACAACTCCCTTCCGCCCTGCAGGTTGAACCGCTTTCTCCGAGAAGCTGGGCCGGCCGACCTTTTTAGCTCTCTAGATTCTTGCAAACATGAATTGTGACAGCCCTAGTGATACTGTAGTGGTCATCAGCTCTTGCAGCAGCTCAGCTCAACAGCTCAACAGCTGCAGCTCAGCTTATCAACTGGCAATATATATATAAAGCCGTTCTTACCCCTTCTGGCAATCTGACGGTTCTAGTGGCTGTACCTCGCGCGCGCAAACTTGCTTATCGACGGTCGGATGCGGTCCGGCACACAAACCTCCGAAACCCGGCGGCCGCGCGATCCAGCGCCCAAACCCGGATTAGCGCTAGGATGATATATTGATCGATCATATGGAGCTAGCTAGAGTAGGACTAGCTGTTTCATTATGTCCCTAGTGTAAATCAGCACCAGCTAGTCTTAAGCTGCACTTCCTTCGCCCAGAAACTCGTTTTTGTTCAAAACTGCTGACTGCAGCTGCTTTCTTTAAAACATAACAATCTGTAAAGGCATGCAGGCAATTGACAGATCCGAATGGGCAAAAGTGCTGGTTGGAAAAGAAGTCTGGTGGGTACCAGCTGGAATGGCCGTGAGCGATATGCATTTCGAGCGGCGCGGCGGGGTCGTGCAGCTGCGCATTCGCGAGGCCCCCCCCGAAGCGTGGGGGACGGTGCGCCCCAACGCTGTCTTTCAAAAGGGAGCCACATATCGAGCTATTTCAAAACGGCGCTCCGGGATTGCTGTAAAGGAGAAAATGGTTCCGGTTTTAGCGAAAAAGCTGTCCACTGTGGCAGAAGAGGGAGAAGCGCCGGAACATACTGTCGAAGAAGACGGTTTGGTCGACGAAGCAGGTATATGTTGCGCATGGTGGCATGGTGTGAAGCCCCATAGTCGTGGACCTTAATGACAGTGTGAACAGCTGCCCAGATTTCGGCCCCTTAGAACGGCGAAACGCGACGCGGAATGAAGCCTCCACGCCCGATGGAGCTCATACAGAACCAGAATCGGGGATAAAGAAACAGTTGATGTTCCGTTTCTAGATCACTCTTCGATTTGTGAGTTCCTGAAACTGATTTGTTCCAAACGAAAGGCCAGTGGGTTTGTTCAAGGTGCCATTGATCGTGACACTGATCCATCATCATTTAGCCGCATGAGTAGAAGTGCATCAATTTGATCAATTCTGCCGTCCACTTTGGGTCAGAGTCTTCAACCTTCGCAGCATGTACTAAGACGGCTGTAGTGCATCGGTGGCTTTGTTCAGTCCGTTGTAGATATGCTGACGTCTGGATTGCTCGTCTTGATTAGAAGTTGCTGGCTTGCGCACATGCTACCGCCTGTCAGCTCTCATTATGCCCTGCAATGACTCGGCGAGCCATTGATGTTCCTTTTTTGTCTACGATGAGAAGAAAAATGGTAGTAGATATAGCTTTCCCTCAGGATTACTTGGATATCAATAAACTAATATTGCGCAGCCTTCACTGTTTCGAATGTCCGTATATCATTCTGCAATGTCCACGACCGCCGGGGGAGGAAGTTGGAATGGTGGAGTGGTCACCGGTAGTCGCGGCTGCCACATTGGAGAACGAAAACGTAACGACGCCGGTTTGAACACGGTTCTCCGCAGGACGCGTCCTGCTTCAGGATCTCAGTTGCCCGGATCCTCGCCCCGTTCATCCTTATTCGTTCGCGCCCTTGTATTCAGTTCGTCAACTGGCCGACGCTTTGACATGAATCGATGCGGTTAATTTAAGGTGCTTCCTGAAGCTTTTCTTGATCCATTTGTCATTGCTGCCAACGTCGTTCCATGATTCATGCTGCTAGCACATGAACCTCCCTTTGAATTCCATGTTTGCGTGTGCAAATAATTTTGATGATTTCTTCTTTGCCTAGTCATGGTGGGCAGGTACAACTTCAGGGGTTGAATAATTATACAGGACCGAAAGCACCAGGCTGCTGCATGCAACAGCCTTACAGGCGATCAGGCGACCCTCCAGTTGCGACCCGCGGCGCTCGTTTTAGATGGGCAGCGGCATGATTATTGCACGTCCCCACAATTACCGCCGTTGCTGTTGATCTTCCAATATGAGCTACTGTACTGTGCGTCACGTATGCATGTCTGTTGGGCGGTCCTGCGGCCGCCATCGCTTACATTGCTCGCAGGTGCGCGGGCCTGTCAAAGGCAAGGCCAAGCATGAAACTGAACCGTGGTTGAACAAGCTCTTGGGAATACGAAGTCATCATGAAGTCGGACAAGGGCCTGCATAGCTGGCGCGCGGCTAAGGTAGTGGGTGCCTGTCATGGCAGGTTGATCCCCAACCCGGCGCAGCCACGGGGCAGAGCTTCGAAGCGGACATGCATCACTTAGGCGTCTAGCTCCGCATCCGGCTTGTCCAAAAGCTCATGCAGCTAGCGTCCAAATTATGCAGAGTGCCAGCTAGACATGTCAGTCCCAGACCAATCATTAAATTCTTTCCAAAAGCACCAGAGCTAGATGCACCCGGTTGATTTACAGATATAGACTCATGCAGAGCTGCGCAGCCGCAGCTGCATGTGCATATGCATCAACATTCAAGTAAGTTTCGAAAGAAAGTGCCTCGCCATACGCCGCACCTGCCATGGGCTGGCAATTGCAAGTATTAGCACGATCGACTGCAGTGCACGTAACCGTCATGACATTCGATCATTCTGTCTCAATCTTGATCAGGTTAAGTTAGCGGTAAGACACGAGATCATGTGCCCCATCAGGCCAATCTAACAGCTCATCCGAGACCTCAGAGCTCGATTACCGTCATCAACGAACTTCATATGTCAAAACTGCGAGGCAACTTGGCATTGACAACGGAATCACTGAAAGCTATAGTATCCCTTATTATAAGGTGAAAATAGTGCGAAACAAAAGCATCCGATATCCTGAAAGCTGCTTGCCGTCACAATGTGTATGATCAATTATGGTACAGTTGTGCCTCCTTGTCACAGAAGCCCGACCTATTCTGCGTCACTAGGAACAAATGAAGCCAATCTAAATGCGGAAAGTGTTGCTAAGCTTGAATAAGCACTGCAGTCCACTTGTGCTTCAACCTCAGTTTACGCAAACACCTACATACCTCCACTTGCTGCAACATTTGCATACGAACTAGAGCGACAGAAACTGGAATACATACGGCATGCCTTCCGTAACCGTCCATGCTACGCTAGCATAAGATATTAACCTGATTGTCGTGTCGAGATTGAACCCCTCGTCCTCGACCCAGTGCTTCGAATCCTTTTCCTGTCCTAACTTAGCCGTACTATCCCAACTTGCTTCCGATGTTTGTTTCCGCTCGGAGTTGGCCCCGTTCGTCTGAGGCCAACCCAGACCTCGATCCGCTTCTTGCCCCCAAGGCTGCCTTTTGTGTAGCGACGAAGTGTTCGAGGGAGAGGCGGGTAGACTTGGAAACTCGGCGACTCTCGTGGGGGACTCCTTGTCAACCGGGAGAGCACTGCAGCCTCTGATTGGGATGCCGAGAGCGCGGGTCACAGCCGGTAGGGTCGCCTTCAAGAACGCCTTGCTGCCTTCCTTGGCGAAGAGGATCGCCGGCAAGCCTGAATCATCACAGAGAGTGGCAGCTTGTGGGAACACTTTCAGAAAGCTGCGAAGTCAGTGACAGCAGAGGGGATATCCGGCTCCTGAAAACCAGAGGGACAGCCCGAGAAGAATGTGATTTCCGTTATGAGATCCTCACAACGGATTCCTACGATGTCTCTCAGTTACCCGCTCTTTGAATTTTGTGTAGGGCGTGGAAATTCACCGAGACAACGGATAAATTCGGCTCTTACAGATGAAAAGCATATGCGTCTTACTTGAGGAGCCGGGAAAACAATCGAAAGAGCCAGATTAGAATGGGGAAGCAGCTGTAGCAGCAGAAAGAAGTGAGAAAACTAGTGCAATCACACACCGCTCGGAAATGTTCACGCAGGCTATCACGTTTTTCGTGATACCCTGTCCGACCTTGTCCAACCCTGCAATCAGTCCAGTAGACTTGGAAAGAAAGTACTCTGCAAATGTGGGCATTGATTGTCCTTCACAGTAGTGAAAAATATCGAGGAGATCCGCTTACCAATCAGCAACCGCTTGGCAATCGCGATGGCACCCGGTCTCGTGAATATCGGCAGAGGGGCCGCCAGCCCATTGTGAAACTGGGCGAAGGTTCTATGGACGCCGACGATCTGAGACAAGGCAAAATTGACGTCACTTAGCGACACCTCAGAACACGTGGCTAAAGCTGAGTTCTTTCTATTTAGGCCGTTGGAATTCGGTGAGGACGATCCTCCATCCAATAGTGGGGCCCCCACCCATACTCTGGTCGCAAAGTGACAGCTCGACTTTTTTTCTTAATCTCGTGAGGCCACTCTCGAGCATGCTGCAAAAGCGAGTCGGCTGAACGCTTCAACTCGTTGGGACGTGTGTCTCCGAATGGGAGTCAACGATGCCCAATCTACTCCTCACATGGACCACTAACGACTGCAATCGTGTCTGCAGGCGAGCAAACGAGGGATGGAGAGACCGGAACGAAAGCAACGGACTGCTCACCACGCCCAGAGCAACCCCGTTGAAGGACACGTGGTAGTCGTAACTAGGAGTGGGCGTCTCTGGCACCGGGTACAGGCAGTTGAAGAGAACCGCCAGCACAATCTGGAAGGAGATCACTGCGACGACAAGAGGGAGCAATCAGCACGAGCCACAAAAAACTATGTTTGACTGGCGCTCCTGTCTAGCAGGTGCGTGGCGGCGATATCAATGGATGAGCCGTCGACGCGCGAGATAAGCCGGCGGTCACCATTTGACTGCAGTCAAGCTCAAGTGGTGAACACTGCAAAGTGCCGGACTCTTGTACGTTACGTTGGCTCGCACGTATGCCGAGCCCCACGCACAACCCTGCATGCGCAGAACCGAGGGACAAATGCTCTCCAAGATCCTTTAAATGTGGAGCAGAACTCCTCTCAATATCAGAGCCGGTCTCTCCTTCTTTTCAGGAACAGAGCAGGCGACCTCAGGCAAAAGCACACAAGCAGGCATTCGTCCAAAACCAAAATTTTCTCGTCTGTCAGTTGCGTGTCGCCCTCGGAGGCTCGCTCGCATTGTGGTCCCCTCCGTCCCTTCGTCTTGCACGGTTGTGGTCCCGGATACCAGTCCCAAGCGCCCCCTTTCTCCAGATTTCCAAACTTATTTTGAGTTCACATTATGAAAATAGCTGCCAAGTGTGCTGCCCTCACCGTTGGTTCCCCCAGTGACCCAGCTGTCAACGAAGCGGTCCACCTGACACCAGAGCACGAGCGCTACAGCCGCAATGATGGCGCCCACATACATGTCCACAGGAGAGTGCATCCCCTGGTAGAGCCGGCCTGGAAAGCAGCACGGGCAAACATGTCAGGTGCCTTGGAAATTACGAAAAATACATTCGAAAAATTTGCTTTGCGCTTCTACAAACGATGAGCTTTGCGCCTCTATAAGCAATCCGCCTTTACTAGTGATTAGCTTCTCAAATCTACGAGTGATGAAAAAGTGCAGGGGCTCAAGGTGATGCTAAACGCCTCTACATTTTGCGTTTATCACGAGGTGATCAGGCAGGTGGCATGGCAGTTTGGGCACGACGCTTTTGTGTTGGGGTGAGGTTGAGTCCAAAACCTGGGGTAAACGTGTCCACTCACCATACATAATGAACAAGCCGAGCAGAAGGACCCCCCCAACCGCGCCCCAGAGAGACGTGATCTCAATCTGGCCTTCTTGCACGAAGTAGTGCACAATGTATCTGCACGGACAGAGGTCCTTTGTGTCAGCATTTGTTGTCAGGATTTGTCACCTTCACCTGAATGCCTTCTGGGCAATAAATGAGTGGCAGACTACATGGAGGATCTCAAAGAAGCAGACTGCAAGCATATGAAGACTGGGATAGTGCGCTTACCCAAGCAATGCAAGCGTATTGATTGTGTGCGTGGAAGGCAGCCCATACTCCTGGGCGTTGGTCTTGTCGTTGTCGTTGTTCCGGATCCGAACGACGGGGGGGGACGGCGGCCGGGGTGCACACACAACGTCCTGCATACAAGAGCGGGCGTTCCACTTCATCAACTTGGAATACCTGATCCATGTAACAGCGCACGGGTGCCTATATCTTAGGATAGAAAGTCCGCAATGAAGAAACATCCCTGAATGGATCTTGGCAGCTAATACGGATGCTGTCTGTTGTCATCCTGACTACTAAGGTAGACCTTGGACTTCCCAATGTGATGGTAACAAGCTGGTCAGAACTGCCGTCGGCTTTGAAAGGCTTACAGTCGAACTCTTGCATGATGCATGCCCTCCTGAGAAGGCGCACATGGGTCGTAACGATGCTGAGAACTTTTTAACGACCTGAAAGTTGAATCTCCTACAACTCGCGCAACAAGAACAACCCTCAACTACCGTTTCCATGCTCCCCCACACAAAATTTTGACCTACTAAACCTGTCCCCCCTTTGCCTGTCTCGGTCAAATAACTGATTTGTCAGGAAAAGAACCAAGAGTTGGTGAATCAGACTTCACCTTGAGTGCATTGCCAATGTACAGGCAGACGGCCATCAGCAGGGCGAGCTGGCGTGCGAGGTATGAGTAGTTTGCCTAAAGAACAAATAGCCGCAATGAGCCACTGCTTCCAGTAGAGCATAAGAACGACACAAAAACTACATCAAGAAAGCTCTTATTAATACATCAAGAAAGAGCCTTTGATCCCCCCCGCTTGCCCCGGTGGAGCTAGGGAGCCCTTTCTCCAAGTGGTCAAAGCTGTCTATACAGCCCAATGTTCAACATATCTGGCCCCATTCTTTTGGGTGTATGAAAAGTCACCGCTGTCGACAAGGCCAATTCTTGTCTGGTGACCATGTGGCAGACACACATTCTCTGACCATTCACAATATATGAAGTTTTGACATGTTTCTCATTTGTTGAAATCCTAAGCAATGCACGCACATGACGACACCAGCAAGCTGGTTGACTAGAAACAATGAGCAACCTGTTCTTCTTATGCTGTGCAGAACACCCTCGATTAGGAAGTGTTGAAACCAAATCGATTTGCCCCAAAAATCAAGAAGTGCTCACCCAGAATAGAAGAGGCAGAAACGTGGCGTAGAACTCGATGGACACGCAGAGGGAGCAGAAGGAGATGAGCTGGCTCAGCAGGGGATGCTGGATTTTCTGCAGGTTGAATGAGGATGATGTCAGGAACCGAATGTCCTTGGCCGATGTCGATTGATCGTAAGTTGCACATTATGGGGCAGCTGCGATGCAGTACACAATGCCCGATGTCGACATGGGCCTGTAAGCTCGGACCTGCCCGTCAGTGTTAGGATGCGAAATGGGGCCGGAGCCATGGATCGGTTCAATGCTGTCCCGACAACTACGCAGGACTGGGAATGGGAAAAGTGCAGATAAGGCATAGTGTCTCAGCGATGTTGGTCTTGGAAAGCTTGCACTAGGAAGATGCAATACTCTGCTTGATCGATGCGGCAAGCAACATGACTGCATCGCATAAATTGTCGCATTGAGGTCAAGCCTGCGTTGCCCGAGGAGCTCATGCAAATGTAAACGGCATTTTACCGCTGCTGTTTATAAGCCATAAATGTTCAGCCAAGCTTGAGGTGCGTTGGGAAGCAAGGAATTGACATGTCAGGGGAAAAGGCCAACCTTCTGTTTCATGGCCACCAATTGAGGTTTCACTCAGCGCGACCTTGCTTCAATCATGCCACAAACAAGAGCAATAAGAGAGGCAAGAAACCAAGCAAGACTCGCAAGATCTAGCCAGCCGATAAGCCAGCAACATTCAGGGGAGCGCCGCAAAGAATAGCAAACCCTCTGTTTGCAGATCACAGAGCTCTCGCAGGCTTTCCGATTTCTAAATGCAACCTCAAGCAATGGGGCAGAGCTGAAGATTATCCAATCGGCTGCCAATGTGCAGATTTGTTCATTTGATCAAACCTAATTTCAATCACTGAATCTGGGGCAGTTCACGCACTCCTCAGCAGCAAACAAGTAGTAGCTAGCACTCTATGCAAGCGACAATGTGCTTCCTTTAGCTCACCTGAGCTCCCAAGACCACCCACAAACCCTGCTTAACCCACTTCACGGTCCAAGGCCGCATCTGGCTCCGCACTGCGAGGGTTAGCTGCATAACCCTGGCTATGTACATAAAGGTCAAGATCCCCGCAATAGTGCTTATCTGCCAGATTGGAAATCCCCCTGGGATCATCAGGGCCACTCTCCCAAAGGCCGCATCCATGCTGCTCATTTCAACATCCATCCTAGGCTGGTGACTTGCAAAAGCTTGGTCACATGCCTTTTTGTGCTCTGAAAGCCGAATCAAACCCTTCTGATCAACCAGCTTCGACTTGAGAGCTGATGATGCAAAATTGAATTCTTAGTGAGACTTAGGATGCAGGATTGAAGTCGCCCGCGGCCCCATGCTGCCACTGCATATTTCCCTGCTGCCGGATTCAGAATGCTTTTGCGTTGCCAAAATCAATGCAACCGCCCCGATCCTTGAAGGAGGATGTGTGAAGAACGGGCCATCTAGAACTGATCCTAGGTCCCCTTCTTCCAGACTCCTCCCGAACTCGCCACGTGCAGAACTGGCGCCGCACCTGGCCGCATCAGCTCCTCAGCCTCTGTCCAGCAATTGAAAGTCCTCCCATATTATTTGGCCCTGGGAGTTCAGCTGTGCAACCGTTGAACTGCTGATCAGCAATTTTAATATTTAACTCCAGTCCGAGCAGTCGCCTGCGGCCTGGCTTCACTTCGAAATGGTAATGGTTCAAGATTCTACTAGACAAACCATTGTCGCCTCTTCACCGAGGGATGGGGATAGCAGAATGCTTCCTGCGGTTGAGATTTGGCGGAGTGGAGTTAACCGCTGCCTAATTGGCGGTCAACTACAAACCGTTTCCATGATGGTAGACGGAAAACTAGAGTCTAGAGAGTGGACCGTGACGTGGAGTCCGATCCACTTTGTTAGATTGAAACTTTCGCGCCATTCAGGCAGCTCATTCAGGTTGAGGCCAGGGCCCAGGATAGGCAAAGCATTCGGAAATGCTTGCAGGCGTACAATGTCGCAGCTTCTGCGGCCTTGGTAAGGTGTTTAGTCTGCTCGACACCACAGAAGACAGATGGGGTAGATCTTAAGCGCTGCCATCGGAGGCAACTTACGCTACCAAGAGCATGTGAGTTCCTGTAACAACCCTTTTCAGTGAGCGTTTCGAAAGATTTGATTGGTTCGCAGACCTCGGCAGTTGCAGTTTTCGTTGGCGTTCCGAGCCTGTGGTGCTGAGGGATGCCTTGTAGGAGTCCACTATGAATGCTGCAGTCCTGGTCTTCTGTCTTCTATTTGTCAAGCAGACTTCCGACGGCGTCTGGTCTACTTATGTGGTCCGCTTTTCCTGGTCTCAATCCATCAATGTCTGGTCGGAGCTCGATTGCTCTAAATCCCTTCTGATTTCAAATGTTTGCCATTGAATGACTCTCTTTTAGACTCAATAGATTCACTACCTACTTTCCAAAGCAAGAAGGAGGCGCTTTACAATCAGGATCCGCATCTAATGTATACCGTTCAGAAAGGCATCAAACCCTTGTAAAGTACTAAGCTAAGCTCTGGGCGCCCTTTTCTAATTCTCATTTGGAAGATTCGATTGAATTCCTGCCCAAGAGCACACAATGGGTCAGAGCTTGTCCATACATTTGTCCCCACTTGATTTCGTCTCGTCACAGAATGTACTGAAAGGTCCTTCATAAGGCCTCAAATTCCATTCTCAGGTTTGTACTGTCTTCGAGCTGGTTTATGCTACAAAACCCGTTTGTAGAATCATTGTTCCCGTGTTGAAGCTGCTCTTTCTGTGACCAGGATGGCGTATTACTGTGGCCCCTGCAACCAGCAATTCCCCTCCCAGCGAGCATATGCCGAGCACGCTGCCGCGCTCCACACACTGAGCCACAAGTGTGCTCAGTGCGGCCGACTCTTTCGCTCGGAGCAAGCGCTCTCAGAACACGTGACAGTGATCCATCCAATACAGCCCCTCTCAAGGCCCCTTCCCAAGCCGCCCGCCGCGAAACCGGCTCAGAAGCAGTTGCTTCAAAAGCCTGATGCAACGCAGCCCCTATCGAAGCCCCTCCCAACACCGCCAGCTTTAGAGCAGTTGGCCTGCCAAGACTGCACGGTTAGCTTTGTAACCCAGCAGGGTTTGCTTGACCACCGGGCCTTGATCCACCCCTCCTGCCTGGACTGCAAGCGCGCCTTTGCCTCTCAGATCGCTCTCCAGCAGCACCGTATCCATGTTCACTCCCGATCTAGTTCCCAAGCTGCCCCAGCAGTCGTACTTCCTAAGCCCAAAAACCAACATGCCCTCCAACTGCACAGCGCGTACCTGCAGAAAGTCCGCTCTAGTTGCGGCAATGACCAGCAGGTTCAGCAGCATGCGCTTGCCAATGTCAGCAAGGGGTCCGGGGCCCCTGGTGAGCAGGGCTTTGATTGCGAGGAGTGTGAAAAGCGCTTTTTGTCCTTAGCGGCGCTTGAGCAGCATGCTAAGGATACAAAGGGCCACAAAAGGGAGTTCCAATGCCGGGTATGCGACCTTGTGTTTCTCACAAAGGCGGGCTTGGGCCAGCATTGCAATGGGGACGTGCATCGGATGCGCGTCGCTAACAACGGCGTCAAAGGGGAGTCCAGTTCAGGCATGGTTCCTGGAAAGCTCCCGAACGGTTCGCTAAGCGCCCCGAGTGTCGTCCGTTGCGACGTCTGCAACAAGGACTTTGAGACGTTGCAACGGCTTGCCCAGCATCGGAAGGATACTCCGGGACATGCACAAAGAGTAGTGCTTCAGAGTAGCGTTAGAACCCTACCCCCAAACCCGGGGTTTGGTTTAAGGAAGCCAAGTGCTGCTCAAGCGGGGGGTTTCGCCTGCCGGCCTTGTCAAAAGGAGTTCGCCTCTCAAGCTGCCCTCGACCAACATTTCAGCAACTCGACCGTGCACGCGGAAGCCGACGACCGCTTCGCATGCGGCCCGTGCGGGGCCGTCTTTGCCTCGTCAGCAGAGCTCGAGAGGCACAAGCTGGCCTTGCCCAGTCACGTAGAGACGTTCGTATGCAAGGAGTGCGACAAGACGTTTAAGTCGGGGCCTGCGCTCAGCCAGCACCTGAGGGACATACATAAGCAGCGTGTCCTGGTCGAATCCCACCAAAATCCCAAGTTCGTCCCAGCTAGTAAGCAGCCCCAAGTCTATAAGCCCACCCCGTCCGATACAATGAAGAAGGTGTCTAAGATGATAGAGAAGCGGCTCGCGGAGCTTCCAGTTCAAGCTTCAATTGAGCCTTTCATTGATGAGTGGCGGCCGGGGGCCTCAAAAGTAGATGTGGGCTCTCAGTTTGATGGCAGAGCATTCGACGGCGGGGAATCTGCTCCCAACGGGCACGATCAGAATGGTGATCTTGTGAGGGGGCCGGAAGAGGAAGCCGGAACTGATGCGCGGGTGCAAGAGGTGGAACTTGAAGTGCAGGTGAGCAATCTTTCTTTTGATGGGGGGCGTGGCTTCCATGCAGATTCGGATGCAGGGAGTCACGTGTGGTAGGCTTATCTGCTTCCCTTGCTTAGTTGCTTCCTTTACCTGCGCTTCCCGGCTGGATTACTAATAAAAGCAGCTTGGTTTTTGTAGCTTAGACAGGAGTACGGCAGCATAGTTATTGTCAGATACACGAAATGTGCCATTCGTCCAGGTACTCAGGTTTGTTGATACACTGTGAAGTTACTGATTAGCATTGCTTGCTCTGGCGGTTTCAGATTCTGCAATCTTTCTGAGAGCGATATGGTGGCCGAGTTCAAATCTAGCTGCCAAATCTACCTCCTGCACAGGCGAAAAGCATTTTTGGAGTCCTACAGGAATGAACGACCAGAATAACAGGAGCACAGTGCCAATGTCCTTGTTGCAACTGCAAGAAACACCAACGAAAGGCTTGGATGGCTTAAACGGATCCTTCAGAAGTTCGCAGATGGCTTCGATGGCTCAAATGAAGAATCATCCCAACTCCGCAACATCTCCAATCAATACGTCAGTACAACTGTCCTCTGCAGGCTGCTTCGGTTGCGACAGCACAAGCAGCACCAGAAGGTGCAAGTGCTGTTGCTGGAGGCACTGTCAGGCACGAGGATGAGTGCATCATCTGCTTGGATGCGCGCAGGGATACGCTGTACCTCCCATGCGGGCACTTCTGTTTCTGCCACGAGTGCGCTGTTCATAATCAGGAGAAGGGCAACCCCTGTCCGCAGTGTCGGACACCGATTGACTTGCTGCTAAAAGTGCTCGCTTGATATGACTGACATTGCAGTGTACCGAGTCTAGGTCATCTTTGAGCAGGAGAAATCGAGGATCTGTGTAAGGAAAGATTGTTGTGTTTTGATCATCCGCAGAATGAGTTACTGCGGATTCGATGATTGCAAAGAGATGAAGGCGAGCCGGAAGGCTAGATACGCTTCGGAAAGTTTCAGACTGTGCCTACATTGAAGCCTGGATCTTACCTTCATTTACATGACCACAACCGTGTCTGCTGATGGTATACTCGAAGTTATCTAGATGTTGCCTGGGCAGATTTATTTCACGTGGACATGTAGGACAATCGGAACAACGATGTTTCAAGCCATCATGTCGGTCATCAGAAGCACAGTGACCAACATGTACAGCTTACTTAGGCCAGATCAGACTTGAAAATGAGTCACTGCAGCATGCCGGCATGCATGCAACGTCTACCTTCCACGCGTATATGCGGTACACATCACCCGGCTCAGCCATGGCAGGAAATTGATGTGCCGATGCACCTTGAGGCTCGAATAAACGCATGCTCCAGGGGCGCAGCAGTGCATAATTTACTGACCATGCCGCGCAGCTAGCTGTTCCCCAATCATTCATTCAGTCACTTCAAAAGGTTTTGAGGCTGCCCGGCCGGGCATGGGCGCCGGATTATGATTATACGCTCATGCAGATTAATTTCGTACTCACTGAGACGGTGGGCTCTGCGTATAAGGCCCCCAGTGACCAGCGCGGCTGATCCGACCGAGCCATGTGCATGTTTTATGTACTGCGTGGTCCGAACGAAGGAGTCCGACTATAATGCCGCATGGCATAAGTATGGCCCAACATACGGTTTGCTCATTCTCAATCCTTCAACAGTATAATGCGGTCGAACAAATTGTGTTAGAAGTTCCAGCGCATATGCGCACATATACGCACCAGCTTGCAGCTCGTTGACGTGGAAAAGCAGGCGCACTACAGTCGAATCTTCCGTCCTAATTCCGTTTTCGGGCACCACCACAATAGCGCAAATGTAGCTAATGTCTGTGGTTCATATTCACCCCGGGGTTGAATGGGGGGGAGTAAAAGTCTCTGCTAGTGTTCTTGACCTCTGCGTCCGTATACGCAGTGGTCCCCCTCGCTTCGTCTTCGTTCCGGTCGCCTTCGTCCTCTTCGTCCTCAGCGTAAATGTCGTCGGGGTGCGTCACCCGGTCACCCAAAATGTGGGTCTTGAGCATGTCGACGACCTTTCCTTTGAGCTGGGGATAGGAACAGGACACGTGTCAGCACGTACGATGGCCCCAACGTGCACCAAGAGTCTGGTCAACGCTCGTTCTCTACGAAAGCAAGATTATCCTCTTTCTTTTTCTGGTCCCGCTAAGAGAGTCCGGTCGCTCAACGCGCTCCGTATTCCAACGGCCACTGGGGTTCACACCTCCACCGAGTAGCGGCTTCGACGCCGTTGGGTGCGGGCAAAACATGATGATGCTGCGAGGCAGATTGGTAAGAAAGAAAGAAACGACTAGTTGTTGCCGGCGACCACTCAGCAAAGGCACTCAAAACAACATTCAACCTCATCTTCAGCGTTGAACGCCGATATCTTCTCCATTTCTACCATAAGCAGGGGTCCACATATGGGTTGCGAACGTCACAGCTTCGGTTCCTCACGTGATCTAAGCCCTCCTCAGTTTCGATCGAACATCGAAGCGCCCCGCTGGGCCCTCGCACTCGGTAACTTTCGACGCCGTCGTCCCCCGCTTCGTCGACACCCAATGGGAACTCCGGCAGCAAGTCCCCCTTGGACACGACGTCGATCCAGGGCCGGTCGCCGAAGCGGCCCCGCAGCTCCTCGTACAACAGTTTCTGGAGAGGTGAAAAGATAGGCATTAGTGTAAGAAACATATTCCGATACCAAGATTCCCAGTGTAGCACCTCGTACACCGACCTTTGAATACGAAAGAGATACACTTCTTCAGAAGTACAAAGTATGCGCGATTTACAACGCACAAGCAAAACCCCTTTTTGCATAAAGAGCTGGGCGGTGACAGAATCACACGCATTGATAAGAACGGCGCTTGCAAGTCCAAGGGGAGGCGTTGCCGACAAATTTTTCATTTTTTTTCAGACCTCGTGAAGCACGTCTGAAAGGACGCTGAAACGACTTCAAACGAACAAGACCCTGAAAAGATAGCAAGCAAGCGCAAGCTGGTCCAAATATCCATAAACTACCCCCTCAGTGGTCAGTTTAACGCTCCTTACTTTCGCCTCACTAAGGCACGGTCAACCTGCACTGCCGAAGAAAACGGGCGCTTATAAAGCAAGCAGCTAGGCAGAGCCAGCATCGACACTGCGACGATCTGCTGACGTGTACATGACGTGGCTGCTGACCTGGTCCTCGACGGAGGTGCCGCAGTCCTCCGTGAGGTCGTGGACAAAGAGGACGGCCGTGGGCAGGTGCGTCAGAGCCGCCAGGGCCAGCTTCTCGATCCGGTTCCGGTCCTCTGCGACCGGAAAAGCGGAAAGTGTCAGCGGCTTATCGTGCAGGAAAGCCGGGTGGCGACAACCAACGCGAAGGACCCAACTTCGGACCGTTCTGCGGACAGCTGCGAGGCTGGAAACACTGTTAGTAGATGAAGTTCCCTTCAGCCATCGGCATCAAGAAGTACAGTACAGGTGGTGTATCGTCCAGAAAACGTGTTGGCCGACTAAGAAGGGACTTGTTTGGTGGAACCAAGAACTTGGAGCCAATTGTCTCGTCAAAAAAGGCACCCCAATGGGAAGGAGTTGGATGCAAACGAAAACGAGTATGAAGGAAGCGAGGAAGGAGGCGACACAAAAACTGTTTAGAAAGTGTACGTATTTTCAAAAACTTGCAAAAAGACACAAAGCGAGGGATGCCGAGCAGCGGAAGATAAGCTCACCATCCGGCCGGAAGAGCAGCCCCGGCGTGTCGGTCACCTGGTGCCGGCGTGTGTCAACGAAGAAGTGCCCCATCGAGATGCCACGTGTTGTAAACGGATAGTTGCACACTTCCGGCTTGCCAGACGATAGGACCCGTACCAGGCTCGACTTGCCCACGTTGGGGGCGCCCACTAGGCACAGCGTCGGCACCCGGGGGTCAACAACCGGGAGCCTCCTCAGAGTCTGCAGAAATGGAAGGAGCGGGAAATCTGAACTTCGGAGTCCTGAAACATTCTTTCCACGACATTTTAGAGGACATTCTGCCCAGGGCAAACCACCGCCCTTTATTTTTGTACCAGAAGGGGAGTGCTGCTGTTCCCGAGGGGCCCCAAACCATTCTCTTGCAGCGTTCACGCCATTTGCAAGACAGTGGAGAATGATTGGTCCCGCTGGACGAATGGCTGAGACAAACGTCTTCTTCGTCTCAGGTTAACAGTGATCTTCTCGTAAAAAGTTCGCGGCCTCTGGCGAGATAATTCGAGCACCTGTGACAGCACCCGCACCAAAAAGCTGAAGGTTTAGTGCTCTCACCTTCGCGACTTCCTTCAAGTCGTCTACGCTCCGGCCCTGCTTCCGAAATATGCTTTCGAGGTGCTCAAAGCCCTGCATGGGCAAAAGGGTTCGGTTCGGAAGCGGCGGGCAAGAACCTATCGTTGCGGTTGGGTCGCATGCATGGACTACAGAAGACAACGTGGACCCCACAAGATGCAACCAAAAGCAATTCGGGCCCTAAGTAATGTCCTAAGACGAGAGGCATTCGAAGTTCGATGAACCTCAACGGCCTTACTCCAGCATGTTGCAAATGAGGTGGCCAGCATATTTTGTACCGAAACGGGTTATCAAACGGGCACGTCCACATGTAAGATGACGTCAGAACTTGAAGGCCGACCCCGACAGGTGACTGCCTGATATGGAGTTACACGTCCAGCGACTGAATCTTGCTTAAGAAAGGCCCAGATTTGGCGACCGGCCCAAACCAGCCTTAACATTAGGGCCCACACTGCAACTGGAATGATAAACTCCACAAAAATCTGGGCAATCGGCCAGTAAGAAACTCTAACCCACCTCTTGTCGCCTCTCGTCGGCTTCCTTCACATTTGTCGCCTTTGCACATGCCGCCGCATGCTGCTTCCCGATTTCAAGCAGTTTCTTCCGGAGAGCGTTCACACGGGCCAGCGAGGTCTCATAGGTGCCGTCCCCGAGCGTAAGCACGAGCAGGCTGCGCTCAAAGGGGTGCAGCTTCGCAGCATCGGGGAAGCGCTTGAGCCAGTGCCCGAGGGGGACAGTAAGCTCCTGCAGAGGGGTTTAGAGATTTGGATTTGACAATCTCCTCTTCTATGGCTTTCGAGATCGTATGAATCGTCCACCCTTCAAGCAACAACCAACAATGAATGCAAGAGCCGTCGACTTGGCGCTGGGATCCCTCATAAAACAGGGGGAGAAAAAGGCCGGAACGAAAGTGAACCTTTGAAGAAATGGGATGCCATTTCGTTCAAAACTGTCGTTGATGCCCAACGCACAAAGTAGGCTTGCCATTTGTCAACCAGCAGGAGGGCCAAAAATCAAGCAGACCCAGTCCAACGAACGGTGTTCGACAACTCTTTATCCACTCCCCGAACGCCTCACTTGTACAAGCAACAAGTTGTTGTGGTTTCCCTCTCACATAGATGTACCGTCAACTGAAAGTAATCATGTGGTGCACAACGCTTGATGCATTCCCAAAGTCTTCACCTTTGTCAGTGCGTCTAACTGCTTGGCGGCCTGGTTCTTGGCGCGCTTGGCGGCGTTCTGGATGCCTTTGGTTGCCTGCACCCGGTAGGCCCTCTTCAAGGCAGAGACGACAAGCTCCTCTGCAGCGGGGACTTGGGGCAGGTGCTGAAAGACGTCGTGCTTCACCAGGCGCAGAGGCTGGAATGGAACAAGAGTGATCTTTAAATCGAGGCATTATGAGAGAACAGGAATGCGAAGGGGGCGTAGTTTTCGGGATTAAGAAGACGGGGAATGGCAGATGGGGCAGGTGCTGAAAGACGGCGTGCTTCACTAGGCACAGCTGGACAAGAACGATATCGCTCAAGAACAACAATAATATCATGCGAAAAGGGGACTGAAGACTTGGCGAGGATTTAGAATGAGGCGATCAGGAATGGCAGCTGGGGCAGGTGCTAGCTTGACGGTGTGCTTCCTCAAGCGCTGAGGCTGGAGGCGGTCACTAGTGCAAATTATTCTGAATGGAATGAAAAACAAAAAAGGATCCTTTGGGTGAAAGGGCGAGATAACTTCCTGCAGAGACAAGGCCTAGGAGAAGAACAACAAAGAAGAAGAAGTACAAAAACGGGCAGAGAACGTCGATCAAGGAGCTGGCCTAGTGCGACAAGGATAATGCCAGTTGCCATTCTCCGATGCAGGGGTGGTGTAAAAGAAAACGGTGTTCGCTGAAGCAGTGCATTACAATACTATAAGTACAAGAACCAACCACTGCTGCACCCATACGGCAGCATTCCAGGTGTTCAAACCCTAATGCCGAAATCAAGGAGCTTCTGGTAACGATCTTTTCATTGATAAAAGCTGCCCGCTCATCCCAATCTGAACTGTTATTTGCACACCTTTTGCTTGACTTCCAGGCCCGCTGATGCCTCCCTGCCTGAGGTGGAAGGCTCTTCTGTTGCCAAAGACGCAGCATTTCTCTTATACACGTCCAGCTTCTCGTCTGAAACTATTGTTTCCTCAAGCGCCGCCACGCCCATCGTTGTGCCATAGCTCCTGTTGCTCTTGCTACTCACAGCACTCTGCTGGCACAGTCTATTCGAAGTGGAGTGGCTGCCAAGATTGGAGAACGTGCTATAGTTCGTCCTCAACGATATCGGAGGTTGCTTTTCTACGGACCCCCCAAAGGAAGGGCTGTTAGTTCTTGCGATGTACAAGGTGCCCGCAGAACATTCTTGTGGCTGGCACTTGCTTGCGGTCGAGGAAAGTCTGCATTTGGTCAGGTCCAGGGCAGCTGCCCTCAACGTTGCCGCCATCCTCCGGTGCTTGCACAGGAGCAGCTTTTTGAGGGTTTGTGCACACCCAAACATCAATGTTGGTGCAGGTCGATTAGATTGACGCCCAACATTGCACTGTCCTTTGCATCGTCCTTTGTTGAGGTGCGCCTATGTGGCTACAAAACCAGGCAATGATACGCAAAGCTCTAGCTAGCTAGCTGTATATGATGAAACTTGCCTCGAGATTGATTTCCGCATGTCGACATAGTGTAAATGTGCGCTTCGTAAGAAGGAATCTTTACATCGGACAGGTGCTGGTACAGCCGAGCAAAACATTTGCCGTCCGATTGGATCCACGTGAACCATGTGACCTTAGCCTCCTATCGTGGGCCTGCTCTCGTAAATTTATTCACACCTTTCAGACCAGGTGAAGTAACTTGCTTGCTGATTTGTTGAGAGCATTCTTTGTATTCCCAACATTGCCAGTGTCGCACCTGGTGGGGTCACGCCTTTGTTGAATCCTGTGTTCCAAACAAAGTTGACGAGCGTCTTCAAGTAGCTGCTTTGGTACAGGTCCAATGCTGTAAAATTGCGACCCGTTTGTATATTTTCTTTTGAGTGGCAGATCTTGAACGTTGGGAGCTCATGTTGCTGAAGGAACAGCTGACGTGTTGCTCATCTTAGAAGTTTTTGCAGAGTTGACCACATTTGTTCAAACACAGCGGCGGACTTCGTGCAAGCGCAAGAGAACGAGCTAGATTATCCCAGGCACAACACGGAATGGAGCCGGTCAATGACGACACCTCCGTTGTCCAGTCATCAGGGGCGTCGCTGACGTCAGCAACTCAGCGGAGGCCTTCGAAAGCAAGCGAGAAGGAGCAAGCCAAGGAGACAGGTATGTAATTCATGGATGCTTGCGATGTGGTTGGGATCTTTCATAATATTCTTTCCTTTCCATCTTCAAATATTGCTAGAGCGGGTGAGGGAGCGCACCCCACTTTGATCCCACCACCATGTGCATTCTCTGGTCGGGGCTTGTTTTATGAGTTTGAGCAACTTTGTATCAAGCGCTTCACTTTTGCCCATATCAAGGTACAGAATGTGGCTCTCGACTTAACAATTATGTCAAGTAAAGCGATCATGGCCTTAAGGAGAGGACTCCCCACTCACACAACCACCTCTTCCATCAGCTTTCTAGGTCCTAATCTGTTATAGGCGTCACCAACAGCCACTGAGGCTGTGTGGGGCAATATTGGAGGAATGTTGGCAAACTTGTCGCCTGCTGAAACACTTTCACTTGTCTGAGCTTGCAAGACATATACAACACTGGCTGCAGAGCTTCAAATGTTGATCCAACTGGTATCGTAGCCTTTCTTAGGCAATCACAGCTCTGAGAAAAGGTTCCGGGCCTCACTGAGGTTCGCATCGGGAAGATGCTCAGACTTTCGCTGGTGCTGAGTTTAATCAGATCTTTCCACAGCAGATCCTGGTAGTGCAAAAGTTTGACGTGGACAGAAGTGTGCCGCTAGCCCCCCTTCTAATTGCAATCCAAAGAAACCCCTCCTGCTTGCAGGCAATGAAGTCGCCACTGTTGCCCCGCTGCCCCCCCACCCAGCGGTCCAAAATTCCAGACCGGATGCGCCGGTCGTCTCCACAAAAGCCATCATTGCATCCATAGTCCTGACCATTGTCATTGCCGTAAACATGAACTATGGCTGGTACCAGGACCGTTTGGCGCTGGACCGACCCCCCCTGGACAAAGACTATGCACTGTACAAGGTGAGCTTTGGCAATTCTTTGGTCGTATGGGAGGGGTTCAGCGCGGTTTTAAATTCCTGGTTGGGGGTTGAAGTTTCTCTCCTGTAGAGCTAGGTGGTTGTGGTGGTTATTAAGCAGCTTGTATGAATTGCAGGGTGAGGGACTCCTTGGATAAGTGACAGCTTTGCATGCTGTGAGAGCTGTTCCGTTGGTTTGCTGGGTAGACGCTTCGTAAGTTCTCTGGGGAGGTTATCTGCAGCCAAACAAGGCAAGGGGCTAGTTTGAGGTGGACATTTCGAGACAAGTCCCACCCGGCCAGTCCTCATTCGAGACCCCACTGACCGGAAATCTCCTCCAAAAGCCAACCTCTACCCCCTCGGGGGCTGTCTCTGGCAGATGCTGCAGTGAATGGAGGCCGGGGGCACCTTGACCACCTTTGAACGCCAAAGCCCTCATTCCGAAGAGCTGACTGGCTCTAGCAATCAACGAAGTGCAAGTTTTGCCACGAAACGTGTCTCTCACCCGTGCTGACCTCACCCCCTGGGGCTGTCTCTGGCAGGTGCTGAAGTGAATGGAGGCCGGGGGCACCTTGACCACCTTTGAAGTCCAAAGCCCTCATTCCAAAGAGCTGGCCGGCTCTAGCAATCAACGCAATGCAACTTCTGCCACGAAACTTGATTTTCACCCGTGCTGACCTCACCCCCTGGGGCTGTTTTGTGCAGGTGCTGCAGTGGATGGAGGCCGGAGACACCTTGACCTGTCCTTTGACCTTCAAAGCCCTCATTCAAACAGCTGGCCGGCTCTAGCAATCAACGAAATGCGAGTTTTGCCACGAAACTCTTTCACTCATGCTGACCTCACCTCCCGGGGGCTAATTTGTGCAGATGCTGCAGTGGATGGAGGCTGGGGGCACCCGCGGGGCCCTTCCCCCGAGCGCAAAGATGGAGGTACTCGACGACCTGGGCGCATGCAAGTGCATTCGGGGCGTGGCCGCGACTCACGACATCCAGATCATGGAAACCATCCTCGAGATTCCGGTAAGCCTAGGCACCCGTTGCAAGGCATGTTGACCCCTGCTGCTGGCAGGGCTTGCTTTCGCTTTCGCCTTGAACATTGTCCTTGGTGCCAAGTTCAAATTACCTTGTCGTCGTCCAGAAACACAGGCAGCCGCTTGCGCTTGAAACACTCGGACTGAGCTCGATGGCTCGGCTTTATACAGGTAGGACACCCTCTTAAAAGCAGAGACTTATCCTACGTCACCATCCGTCCTTCTTTCCACGGTTCGACCACATCGTGTTCGACAGCCAAGGCTGATGACCATCTCGGCACCCTTCTCATCACAGAAAGTCTCACAAATCCGCCCCAGATTTGAAGCAAGCACTAGCTTTAGTCCAAGTCCCTTCCGCACACTTCGACCAGACAAATCTTAGTTCAGAAAGCCCAGACTGAACTCAATAGGCTCGGCTTTAACCTGGCCAGGGTAAAATTACCCATCGAAAAGCACGACTAAGATCTGTCGTAACATACCCGTTGTGCACTTCGCCGTTGGGCAGCCAACGCGAGCCCCGGCCCGCGTGCACTGTGCAGGCGCAGTCGAAGGGGTTAACAGTACAAAGGCGTCAAGATTTGCACGGCCAGGATTGTCGTCGGCATGCTGTGTTCCACAGCTTCTTACTACAGAAAGTCACGCACTTCCGTTCTCTTCCAGAAGCAAGCACTATCTCTCTTATTCTCACCTTCCGCCAGTTCGACCAGATCGTGTTCGACAGCTAGAGCAAGCTCCGCCAATGACTTTGACTCCCCAGCTTCCAATCGGACAAACAAATATTCACTTTTCTCCCTGTCAATCTTCCCTCCCCGCAGATTGACCAGATCATGCTCGACGGTCTCCATCACCGTCTTATCCTTGCAGCTCGACCAGATTATCTTCGGCGGTCTGAGCCTTATCACCACCTTTTTTCGCAGTTCTGCCAGATCATCTTCGACAGCCAAACTGAATCAGCATCACCATCTTTTTTCGCAGTTCAAACAGGTCATGTTCGACAGCCAACTCGAACCCCTCCCTGCGATCACCGTTGACGGCGCAGTGGGAGCTAACAGAGGGTTTGTCAGAAGAAAGGCCATGATTGTTGACGTCATGCTGTTCCGCAGTTGCTACTCTAAAAATCCACGCACTTCCGCTCACTTTCAGAAGCAAGCACTCACTCTGAACAGTCTCTCCTTTTCCCGCATTAGGACCAGAACATCTAAGTCCGAGGTGTTCTCCCCTCCCCGCAATCGTATCAACTCATTCTAGGCTCTCTTTCTTCGCTACATTTCGACCAAGCCATCTAACTTGGAAGCATCCCCCTCCCCGCAGTTGGACCAAATCATCTAACTTGAAAACATCCTCCTGTCCCCGCAGTTCGACCAGGTCATTTTCGACAGCCAAGTCGAGCCCCTGCCCAAGTGCACCGCTGACGCGCAGTGGGACGTGCGCCTCGCGGCCGCACTGCTGCGGGAGAAGAACAAGGGGCCCAAGTCGCCCTTCTTCTACTACATCCAGGCGCTGCCGGACGAGATCCTGGCTGCGGTGACTTTGGACGAGGAAGACCTGGAGAAGGTGAGAGCTTTCGGTTTTAGGGTTTTAGGGTTTTAGCCCGTCTTTTTGCCCGCTGACGCTTCTGTTTTGGGCTTTACTGTCCAGGTTTTGCAAATGATTTGGGAGAAGAACAACTTGAGCTGGGCTTCCATGCTACATGCAGGCATTATCTACGGGATACATGGTTGCGGTCATTCTGGACCAGGAATACTGGGAGAAGGTGGGAGAAGAAGAACTTGTTTTCGGTGTTGCGTCACGTTCAGTTCTGCGGAACTGTAGCGAAGGCCAAGGGGCCTTCCTCGCCCTTCTTCTACAAACAGGCGCGGCTCGACGAGATTCTAGCTTGTAACGCTGGACGAGGAAGATCTGGAGAAGGCTTGGCCTTGCTGTGCTTTGCTCAGGGTTGTTGTTTTTGACGTCCAGACGTGGTAATCCAGAACTCTGAAGAAGGAGTCCTCGATTCGACCTTTTTAACGAACTTTCGGGGCCTGCCAATTGAGATGCTGGCTGCCGTGACATTGGATGAGGAAGCTTTGGAGAAGGTGAGGGCTCTCAGAGTCTTGACACCTCAGGGTTTAATATTGCAGACATTTCGTAGAGATCCAGGGTTATATGCTTTGTCCGTCCGCCCTTTTCCCAATGCAAAGTCCCATTAGAAACCAACAACGATGACGGGCTCGATTCTCGACGTGGTTGAATGCGAAGCAGGCCGCCCCATGCTGTCAGCAAAAACTTCAACAGTCTTACGATTCCAGAAAAGCTGGCGGTGCACTCGCGATCTCAATCAGCGAATGGTAGCACACGCCACTCACGAGCCGCCAATGGTGAAAGTCCCGGCGGACCCATCGTGCAAACGACTAGTTGGTTCCACTTGAATTCTGATCTCGGGTTGTGGCGCAGGTACAGGACAAGACGGACTGCGCCATACTAGCGGCACAGCCCCAGCAGGTTGGAACTTTGAAAACGTCAACCTGCGACATTCAACCCACGAGCTTCGCATAACCCAGTAACAACAAGGAAAAAGTGACCGAGTCTTATTTCGACGCAGGTGAAGTACGAGACGGGCCGCGCCAAGCTGGCGGCGCAGCGGCCGTGGATGGAGACGCTGTGGGTGCGCTGCCTGGCGGAAGCGCCGGAGCTGATCGCGCACGCAAACTGGCACGAGTTCCGGTGGGCCATCGCCGTCGTGCAGAGCCGCTCGTTCTCGCTGGTGCAGAAGCGAGCGGAAAACCAGGTGAGCGGAATGCTCAAGTGTAGGCAGGACACTGAGAACATCGTTGATTGCGTCAGGTCATGTTCCGAGGACACCTGAAAACGTCCGGGGGCCATGGGCGACTCGCGCCTGGGAAAAGAATGCTGTTGTTTTCTGCAGAATGGCAACTCGTACCTCCACCTTCTCCCCAAGGTATTTTTCAGTTCGATCAGCCGTTTGCGTGAAACTTGTCGTCGACGACCAGATTGGCGTGCACGTTCTTGGCGCTGCCTTGCCTCGATTACAACTTCATGGAGCCTAGTCGAAGCGGTCAATACGCATCCAACCGGGAATCGACGGCTTGGGTTTTCTGGTAGTTCTGGTAACATCACGGAACGTGAGCAGAAGTGTCGCAC